ACTCCTTCAGTGCGCGCACCCAGTGGATGCTCTCATTGGGTTGGGCATCAATATGTATCATCCATTTTGTGCCTTTTCCTGTGTTGACTCTATTGATGGAGTCTACTATCTTCGATGCTCAGAATATGGGAGTATGACAGATGACGGTGGCATGAGCATGGACATGTCGGGCGACGATTCTAGCGGGCTCATTACAAGCGACGACTGCAAAATGACGGATTCAGCAATGTTGTCGACTATAGCTTGGTGTCTGAAGCTACACTGCCAAGATGAATCCAGTGATAGTCTCCAAGCCGTTTGGAGCAGTAATAACGTTTCGAATATATACACATATTTGGGATCGTTGGAACTAGGGACACCAAGCCATGTTATCGAAGATGATGCACTCTGGCTGAACACAACCGGATATGTGAATCCTACGCTTTATAGAGCAAATTACGATACTTTGTCATATTTCTCTTTTCAAGAAACGATGCATGCGCGGTTCGGGTAAGCAGAAGTTCTCATTTGTGCTTCAAATATATCTAAAATAATGTGTCGAGCTAACATTAGGTGCTTTTAGATTCGCATTGCTGATGGTCGGCTGGTTCTTTTGCTTGATTGGAGTCCTCCACCGGCTCACGGAGCATCTTCAAGTCTTGCCCCCGAGCTATTCAGCTTTTATCAATCGACATTTGTTGAAGCCGGCTTTGTTCTCATCGCGCGCAGATGCTCCTCTTCCTTATGACGTGGGGTATCTGCCTCCTCGACTGGTATCGATCGGGATTTTCATCTTTTTCGTGTTGAATTTGCTATTTTGCTGCGTCCCGTACAAGACTGTTGCGGGCAGTACGTGGTATACTTCCTCCGCCAGGGAATTATATGCGTATGTGGGAAATCGAACTGGAATTCTCTCCTTTGCAAATATTCCTCTTCTTCTATTGTTCGGAGTAAGGAACAACATCATGGCCTTTCTAACTGGCTGGTCGCAAACGACATTCATGCACTTTCATCGGTGGATCGCATATATTGCTACGGTAGAGGCAATTGTGCATTCCATACTATACACGGCTGCCTATCTCGATGACGGAGGGGCGGCGAGCTATGCTGAGCAGGCTGCATTGGCTTATTTCCAGTGGGGAATAGTTGCTACTGTTGCCATGGGACTCGCAGTTGCGTTTTCCGTACTGTGGATCAGAAAAAGGTACTATGAGACTTTCCTGGTCGGACACATCGTTTTGGCCATCTTGACGATTGTTGGGTGCTGGTACCATATCAAGCTCCGATACACGACAGAATGGGGCTATATTTACTGGATATATGCCGCAATTGCGGTCTGGGCCTTTGATATGCTTTTGAGATGTACAAGACTGTGTCTCTTCAATTTCAGATCAACAAAAGCAATTGCCGAAGTTGTTCCCGGCGAGCTCTTGCGCGTTGTTGTGTTTCCATCTTTCGAACAACATGCCGCAGCAGGGAGACACACGTTCCTATACTGGCCGACAATCTCCTTGCCTTGGACTTCTCATCCTTTGACGGTCGCATTGTCGGGTCGATATTCGGACATTATATCTGGAACGGCAGCGAAGCGCTCGAAGGAGAAGACAGACCGAATAGATGAAATCAGTCTCTCGGAAAATTCCTCGAGCGAGTCCGCTAAGTTCGTCGAATGTAATGACGTCATTCCTGAACTACCCGACGTTGACCCGGAATCTCTTGTATATGTCTTTTACATTCGACCCATCTGCGGAGCAACGAGAACACTGTATGACCAGGTCCTGCAAAGCAAGAAGCACCGCTTACGCTTCTTGGCTCTTAGTGAAGGCTTATATGGATCTCCTCCTATGGCGTGGACTTATTCGAGCGCCATAATCTGTATGACGGCCGGAGTTGGGTTTACTGCTGGACTTTCTTTCGTGGATAGCTTCGCAGCGAGCATAATCAATCCTCATCATTGCCATCAGCGGTTTATCTTCTTGTTGACGGCAAGAAATGATGAGATGATTCAACACGTTTCGAATCTCATTAGTAGTCGCTACGGTGCATGTATATCCGCTGGAGTGATTGAACTTGTCACGCACTGCACCGCTTCGTCGACTCAGAGACTTGATGTGAACGAGTTTCTGACTCGTAAAGTGGAGGCCATTGGAGATAGTCCGAACAAAACGAAGACAGTTGATGTGATTTCGTGCGGGCCAGGTGGATTTATGGATGGCTGCCGTCAAGCCGTCGTAGGACTACAAGAGATGCGTAAGAGAGGCATAGCTGTTGAGTATCACCCTGAGTCTTTCGCCTGGTGAGTCTGTCCTTCAAAAGTATATTCTCAGTGAAGATTCGGGACGCGCCGTGGTTTGCTTAAACCTATGCTGCAACTAGATTATGTGCTATCCTGATATCAAAAGAAGTGTTATATAAAGATTTATAGCTATCTAAAAAGCCAATAAGTTTACTTTTAGTTTTAATAACAGTAATATTAATATTACACGCGTAAATCTCTGCACACTCACAATGTTACAAGACAACAATAATACAGCGTATGGTTAATGAGAGAGCTTCATACTCATCCTCAGATCAAACAAATAAAAACTCAGGACTACAAATATCATCCCTGCAAAAGATGGGTATAAAAGAGCGAACAATACCGTTCTGCAGTAACAAGGTCGGCATTAGACGTTGCTGTCTGTGCGCGATGATTTTCTCAAGTTTCTAGACAGCGGGCCACCAGCAGGCTTTGCGTCGACGGAATCATCGGGCGCGACCGATTTTCCGAACAAAGCAAACACGATTCCTGCAAACCCATACGCAATACTAATGAGAAAGATGATCTTGAATGCGTACGCATATGACTTTGTGATTCCCGAGACGGCGATTCCCAGCTGCTCCTGTGTCAGCTCGGCCAAAACCGGCGCCGTGGTAATTCCGGTAGTCAAAGCAGTGAGAACTTCAGGAATGAGAGTTGGATCAAGTCCCGACTGCGCAAGGGGCACCGCCACATTAGAGGTCAATGCCATGGTGAAGCGGGTGACTAGATGGTTTGAGTATGTGGTCGATCCGATGGCTCCTCCGACATTTTTGACAGTGTAGAAAAGACCAGTGACCCATCCGATATGGGCTGGCCCAGCTTCAATCTGAACGATGATCAGAGTAATGATCCACAGGGACGACACAAAGCCACCGGTGAGGGCAACCAGTGCCGTGATTCCGCCGGCAGTGGCAGTTTCCACAGTTGCCATGCACCATAGACAAAGTAGCATGGCCACGAGATAAAAGAGATACTGAAAGTGGGTGTATCCGATTCTGAAAAACAAGAGACCACTGATCAAGGGAAACACAACCATAGGGATGGTATAAGCGCTGGAGTACCATCCAATTTTCAGAGCATCCTGAGTATAAAGAACTTGAACCTGAGTACCCCAGAGATTGTTGACGGCAAACTCAGCGGCACAGTAGAAAAACAAAGACCACAGGATTGTTACAACACCTCTGAAATTTGCCATGGCCTTCCGGGGAAAGAGAGGGAACTTTAATGGCGCAAAGGTCTCAAACACTCCGAGGAAGAGGAGAAGGCAAAACCCGATCACGGTAAGGCACAAGGTGATTGCGGATTTCCTGTGGATGACATGTCAGAAAGAAAGAATAATAGATTGACGTTGATATTGCAGAGGAAGTACTTACCAAGTGAATTGATTACCACCGAGCGTGAGACCGAGCACAAACAAGACAACTCCGGCAAAGAATAGGAATGACCCAATCCAGTCAAACAAAGCAAGCCGTTTTGAGACAGAGAGACCAGTGCTAGGATGCACTGACTGGGGATGGTAGAAAAAGAATACCAAAGGGATATCGATGATATAAAGGATAAATGGAAGCCAGAAGATCCACCGCCAATGGCCATGGAAATCGGCCGCGTGGGCTACAAGAGGAAATGTTAGAGGTCTGTAGCTCAGGTCAAATGTAGCAATCCCCATGCTGACTACTTACCAATGACTGGGGCAAACGCAATTCCTGGAGCTAGAGCCAGTTGGAAGAGGCCAAATGCCAGAGCTCGATGTCTCTTTGGCACCAGCGCTGCGAGAGTGGCCCAGATCTGAACGTGAATCGATGCACCGATTCCAATAATGATGCCGCCGGCAATACCCATGTTCACGTTTGTAGCCCAGCCAGCAAATCCAGCGCCCAAGATTCCGAAGATGTTGCTCGCTAGCATCAAATATCGCGAGCCAAATGTGTCGCAAAGACCGCCAGCGATGGGCCCAAGGAAGGCCAGAAGTCCCAACTGTCCCAACTGAATGAAGGTATACGTTGACTGAGGGCCTTTAGATTGTGTATAAGTTAGCTTTGTAACTATCTAATCAATGGGCGGGGGATATTCTATTTGTCACGTACCTAGGTAGGCGTTGATGCTTGCAAGAATACTGCTGGACGTATTCACAGCAAACAGATCAGCCATCCAGGCAACGTAGCCAGCCTTCAACGTAAAGAGTGAGCATACAGCAAGGAAATTGAAGAAGAAAATTTAACAGCGGCACGTACAAGAAGGGTTAGAAAGATTTCTTTTGTGAAAACGAAGGGCTCCTCAAAAGGAGCCGGGGACCCAGAGTCCGCGGTAGAGTTCGTTGGTTTCTCGGGGTCAGCATTGCCATATTCGAGATGCGTCTGGTCATCAGGGGTCTGGGGCTTGTCTTGTACGGACATAATTTCTGGTCTTAACGAATTCAGTGAAGAGAAAGGTATCGGTTAAGAGAAGAAATGGATGGCGGGAAAGGAGGAGAGGGGATAACCAAAACATTATAAAGAACTTCAAAATTTGACTCGGTGTGCGATGAGTGCGGAGACAACAAGGGGAGAAGTGTACGATCTTGCGAAAGATTGAGACGTGATTGTGTGTTGAGAGGCGTACAGACTTCGGAATTATTTCGGATATCTTCCCCATTCAGCAGGCACTCGGTACTCAGAACGAGATGCCAGACGAGAACTCAAATACCTCATAAAGGAGGAGATGAAACATGAGTTGCGCCAATTGAGCACCTACTTAAAATGTCACGTCGTGATGCTACAAGAAGAGCTTACACGTCTGGATTGCACACTCGAATTGCTTCTATTACCGTTTCTCCAACTGTTTCGGACAGATATTGGCCCATGAGTAGACAAGGAATCAACAAGCTAAGCATCAACTATGACGATGATCTGCTCGTGTTGTATTTAATTAATATTATTTTATATATTTTATTCGTTCTGTAATATTTGCGGATTCCAATCTTAAGTAATAAGACCAAATATCAACTAGGGAAAAGTATGTATTGAGCGTAAAGACTAGAGAATAAACAAACAGAAGGAGCGTCCCTATTATAAGGTGGCGCTGGACAAATGTGAGGTCACCAGACAAGAAGTGGCTAAAGACAAACTAAAGATAACAAAGTAGAAGTATGAAAGGTAAATGTAACGCTTCTCAACACATACTGAAAAACCCTTTATAATCAAGAACATAATCAATAACAATAAACAATAATGATCAATTACTCATCACAAGTGCAGTGCAGAGCACATACACTACACGTTCTTCGCGGTATAATTTTGTGTGAGCGCAGAGTCCCCGCACGCACCTGCCCTGTCTTAGAACTCAAACCTCAGATGAGCAGATGCGGGGTAGTTAATAACCCCAGCCGTAGCCGCAACGTGGCGCTGTCATTAATACTACTACCTACATTTGCAGATTCTAGACGGTCCTGCTCCAGTAGCTGATCTGAATAGAACTACTTGGTTGATACTAATATGAGCCATATGTCATCTCTGTATCTTCAGTTTTATCTGAACGGGTATATCATTAGTACGGTCTCTCTGATACGAATCTGAGGTGCCGAAGTACCATCAGGGCATGGTAATACTCCTCCTCGGTGTCTCGGTGACTCGGTGATCGACAGATATTAAGCGAGCACGGGAGTATCTTAAAGTTTATGGACCGGCATTGCTGCGAAGACGTCCAAAGTCGTCGTACAGAGTGGAGCAGGCCTCTCTACGAGGTTCATGCTGCAGAAGGTCAAGTAGTTACGTCATACAAAGACTGTTGTGGTGAACGGTTCCACAGAATAGACGAGAAATGAGAATATAAGCAGTTGAAAATGCGGGGAAACCCTACACTATTAAAGTTAGTAATAGTGCTCTAGTGTGGATTAAGCTGATTTATTAAATATTAAAGATGTCGGCTCAATTCCGCCATCGCGCGAGAAATCTGGATATATCTTAATTTTTCTAGCTATGGCAATTGTTATTAGGGTTTAGTAAGTCAGTATTTTCCAAAATTTCTCTCTTTTGTAGCACTTTTTGGTGATTTTCGATGTTGAAAGTATAAGGTGTATTGTACCGCGTATTTTACTGCGTATTGTCTGCTTTGGTCTTCGATCAACCCCTCAGTTCAATGCTATAAATTCATTGTCGTTTAAGATTTGTAGTCCGCGCTCCTTAGATCCAGAGAACAACTTTTGTTTTGAGAAGTGGTTTGTGCGCACCGCCTAAGATCTGCGACTGCGACAATAGCGTTGTCGCCCGAGAACTTAAATGCAATTATTTATTATGTGCAATACACTGGCACGGCGTCACGTCGGGCAACCGAAAGGGGCGATCCTGAACTAATTAGCTATAATACAGAAACAAGATCTTAGAACCACAACGTGTTGAATCTTATGTAGTATTGCGCGAAGTGCGCGCATCAAATATGTATCTTCTCCCCGCATGTGCCTCAGCGTCCGGTTCAGCGCTGTTCTACCCGCCATCCCTTGCGCAACTTTTTTGAAGGTGCTCTTGCGCATCGTCTGTCTAGTCTATGAAATTGAAAATTTGTCATCATACTTACTTAAGCTGTCTTAGGACCTCCTGGATTTAAGCATATATACTTGTTCGGCGTTTACAAATCTCTAGAGTTGCCTCCTACCTGCTCTTCAGCACTATGACTTGGAAACGACTGGAGAGCTACATCAGTAGATAGTCATTAGAAGTCTGCTTTCGGAGAACCGTGTGTAGCCTGGCATGATGCTACGAGGCTAATGATCTGCTCCTCTGTTATCAGACTGGCTCTACACGCCTGACCTCAGAATTCTTCTCTATTTTATCTTTACACTACTTTTCGCTCCTTCCAATATTAGTACTCTTTTAAACAGTTGGAACCAAAGCCTGCCAGTCGGTTTCTACATGAAATGAAATGATCTCTACTAATTCAAGAGATCTTTTCCCCTAGTTCCAGCCCTCCTCTGTGACGGAGTAGTGCCGTCGGAAGGGTTAGTTTTGTCGATGGGAGACAGGCTGATTGAGTGATGTTGTTGTGAAATTGAAATAGACGAGAAAATGGTAGAAAGAATCTACTGATTAGGTGTTGATCAAGGCAACTGGTTGATATTCAGGTCTCTTAATGGACGCTCCAATCTTGCGACGCTACACCTTACTTTCTACTCGTGCCGTGTCCGGTGATAACCTCCTCCGTCTTGCACATAAGTAGACATCAAACAACTGCTTCTTATTTACTGTTGCCTTGCAGGCCGTAGTAGGTGTGCGGGTCAGTGTGACGTTGGGTGTTGAGATTGCCTGTAATGGCTTGGACGCAGTGCTCTGCATCTGGTTTGTTTATTAAGCGCCGTGTAACGAGATGACTAATGACAGACCGAGAAAACGTCGTGCTTAGACTCCTCCAATGATGTCTCCGGCATTCGGAGCGTGACGTCCTCGCCTCATCCGGAACGAGATGTAGACGAGGCAGTCAGCAGAGAAACGTATAAGAAAGCCTGGTTCGCCCGTCTATAATGAATCTCCGACTACAGTATCTCCCAAATCATTTGCAATCTCGACTTCCTCTACCAACCTTATTTATCGCTTATGCTTTCAGTATGTCCTCCAACGACAACCCTACGACCCACGACGACGCGACTTCACGAAGTCCGTATAATCATCATCCGTTTAGAGACTTTCGATTTCCTGTTCTGGAGGTATTTAAAAATCAATCGTTGTAGTATTATTTGGACAAATCCTGATTATTATGATGATTACCCCGCTCTCACGCCTCTGCTTCCTTACAAGCCACCCCCCAACTTAGTTTTCCACTGAGACCCATATAACAACATTCAAGCCTCTTTCACTCATCGCCTAACTTGAGGTATGTGTCACCGACGATCTCAAGTCTCCAGACAGCGCTACACGTTACAAGTTGTAGGTGGTTTTTCAGTCATATGAATAAAGCACTAGTTATATTTGAAGTAGATAACGGCTATACTCGCGTACAGCTAATCACTGCTTAAAAGCAACACAAACTCCCATCTGCTTAGAAATGGAAAGCCTTCTTCGGATCGATCGATGACGTAAAGTCTGCCTCCTTGGTGGCCATGTTGACAGGGAACGATACGTGCTCGTGAACCCACTGCCAGTTGCCTTCGTCAGTCTTGGTAAGGAGGCCAGTGATACGATAGATCATAGTGAACGGCTTGTCATCTCTAGACTTTCCGCGAAGGCGCTGCACCATTGTAGCGTATCCTGAGGTCTTGGACGTAGCAAAGACTTCGAGATCTTTGAAGTCCACCTTGGCATTTGCAAAGTATGGGAAAGTCTGCTCAAAGTGTTCCTTGAAGTCGCCTCTTCCGGTAAATCCAAACAGGTCGTACGTAACGACGTCGTCGATCTGATAGAATTTCTTGCCCGTCTCCGAGTCCTCGTTGAACTCCTGGTTCAAGCATCGAGCCCATCCCTTGTAGAAGTCGAGAATCTCCTCCTCCTCCTTGAGCAGCTCAGGCTTATGGTTCTACACAGAATTTTAGTGTCAAGTGCTTGAATGATAATAATCATCGACACTTACCTTGCTCTTCGCGTAGCTAAGATTCTTCCAGAGATCCTGAACGGTAGTCAAGGTGTCCTCGTCAAAGTAAAGGTCAGTCATGATGCGAGTGGTGAAGTTGGCTTTGTCAGAAGTAAGAGTCAGCAGAGAAGTTGATTGCAAGATGGAAGTTCTCCCGCAGACTGCAGGAGAGCTAGATATATATACCTTAGAGCCAGAAAACGACGGTTTGCAGCTTCATAGATCGGTGAGATTGATAATCAGAAACTGTACGATACCCTCTGCGTAGTGCAGGCAGCACTTCCCCGCAGTTTCGTCAGTGAACCCCGCAATGTGTTCGAGCAGAGAGCTCGCGTGAAGTGCTTTCGCGCGCTTACATCTGTGAACGGATCAATTGATCCAAGTTTCGCGCGAATACGTTCATTATACGATCAAATAGAATGTCTTTTATTATATAAGAATGTGGGCGGGGTATAAACTTTCGTGCATCGCGATGCACTTACATGTGGGAGTTCGTGTTCGACACGATGCTACATCTCGGCCGTCAAGACATATCATTTGCGACTCATGATGCTTCGCGCGAATGTAAGCTGCAACTGAAAATAATATAATATCAGTAAGATGTAGGCCCAAAACACGTGCAGTCTACTATTACGTAGGGAATACTATTCACAATACTATGAATCACGACACTTCGCGCGAGAGTGGACGCGCGAGCGCGATCGCGTCCGTGTCGATACTCGGCCCTACCCCTAAAAACGCTCCTCTTGTACGTATTGGTCGCTAACGATGATCAGCCAGTCGTCTTTTGGTCGTTACAAAACATCTCTGCCCGCATTTTACCATCCAATCGTGATGCACAAATTACTATATAAGACAGACCGAGTCTCTCTGGGTCTGCCGGTTGGCCGAGCCTCTTGAATATTTCTTTTGCTGTCAACTTCATGCTCAAGCTGCAATCATGGACCATCTCATGCAGTACATCCACTCTATTCCAAAATCCCCAGCTATCAACGTAGCTGTTTTGGTTAAGGGAGTCTACTCCGCCCTTGCTGTTCTCGCTGTCTATGGCCTCTATCGCATTCTTCAGACGGGTCGTCGCGACCCTCGCATGCCTCCCGGTCCCCAAACGCTTCCTGTTCTAGGCAATCTCCACCAGATTCCCATTACCGGCTTTTACAGAAAGTACAGAATCTCGCTGATTCTTTTATTCAAACTGACTGCTAACAAAAGCAATCGTCAAGGGTCCGTGAATGGGGCATTGAGTATGGTGGAGTCTTCTCCCTCAAATTCGGAAATTCAAACGTTATCGTTCTGTGCGATCGTAAAGCTATTCACGATCTAGTGGACAAGAAAGGCCTCGTGTATGCGGACAGACCTCACAGCTACATTGGTCAGCTTCTCACCGAAGGAGACCACATGGTTCTCTCTCCTGGCGACCCCATCACTCGGCTCAAGAGAAAGATCGTGACTCACAATGTTTCACCCAAGGCCATTGATGAAAAGCTTGCTCCTATCCAAGAGACCGAGATTACTCAGCTGATGTACGATTTCTTGACTAAACCGGAGGATTTTTATCGTCATCTTCGCCGGGTTACTTCATCTATTGCCTGTACCTTTGTCTATGGTCAGCGCGGACCGACATTTGATTCATTTTGGGGTCATGTAAGGAACCTTGAATCATTATTACTGTTTCGCATTTGATACTAACTGGCTTATTACAGTGCGTGTACGATGCGCTGCATGTGTTTGGTGCAGCCCTCGAGCCCGGTGCTAATCCTCCTGTGGACGAGTTTCCTTTCCTTCAGCTTTGGCCGACTCGCTTCAGCAAATGGAAAAAGCGGGCACTTGCGTCTCGTGAGGCAATGGACAATATCTGGTCTACCGCTCGGAAGACTGTGGAGGAAAGACGCGCACGTGGCGAGAAGCGCGACTGCCTTACTGACCGACTTCTCGACGAGTATGAAAAGACGGGAAATCCGTTCACTCAGCACGCGTTTGATATGCTTCTTGGAGAAGTCGTGGAAGGCGGAGCGGAAACTACGTCTTCTTCTCTTTTGACGGTCGTACTTGCTCTCGCCAGAAATCCTTGGGTCTCAATCAAAGCGCAGAAGGAAATTGATGCCGTCTGTGGACCCGAGCGTTCGCCGACCTGGAGTGACTTTGACAAGATGCCATACATCAACTGTATTGTGAAGGAAGGAATGAGATTCCGCCCAGTGTAAGTATACGGCCTGCATTTATTTACCTTGCCATTTAGTGATGGTATGCTAACACGCTTTTACAAATGATAGTATTTCGACTGGTTTGCCTCATCAGAATGCGAGAGAGGACTGGTACGAAGGAATGTTGATTCCCAAGGGCTCCACCATCCTTCTTCCTCTGTGGGCTATCCAGCACTCTGAGCATTTGGGCTACAAAGATCCGGAGTCATTCAACCCCGACAGATTTTTGAATCATCCCAAGCTCGCCGACGCGTACGCCGGTAGCCCTGACTACAACGCGCGCGACCACTACGGCTACGGATCCGGAAGACGGATGTGTCCGGGTATTCATCTTGCCGAGAGAAACCAGTGGCGTATGGTGGCCAAGCTTCTTTGGGCTTTTGACATCAGAGAGCCTGTCGATCCCGTGACTGGCAAGACTATCCCCCTGGATCCTGAGGCTTACGAGTTAGGTTTGTTGCACGGCCCTCTGCCGTTCAAGTGTAAGATCACTCCTCGCAGCGCAGCCCATGCGGCGACAATCCGAAAGGAGATGGAGGCAGTAAGGCCTGCGTTTGCAAAGTGGGAGTAATATGTGATGCAGTCGAAGTCATCCATCCATTGTTTTAGGTAGCAGTAGCTGCCGAGTGAAGGCTCAAATTATTAGTATTTACTTGTCTATTGTACACGCTCTTTCCTTTTGCGAATAAAATACTATTCAGTTTACAACTGTCCAGAGTATAATCATCAAATCTCCTGCTCCCTTTTTAGAGTAGCGAATAAGTAGTTGGCAAAAACCGCAGAACTTGCCCTCGAGTATACGAACGGTATATTCTTCTCTTTTTCTGTGTCTCGCTCGAAACGGAGAACGCCGGGTGCGAATTACGGACGGCAAGAGCGAATATGGCCTATGCAGGAAGAATGAGGAAGAACAGAAGTAGCATTGGATCAGCAAAATCAGTGAAAGACGGCTCCATCTCACCCTGACTAACATCTCGCCCGTAAAGAATCTGCGGTTTGGCTACAGCCCACCCCGCAGTGATCATGTCAGCGATGACTGAGCACACGGCCTACCCCGGATCTCGGGAGTAAGAAAACGCGGGGATAGCCAGGCTCGCGGTAGAACAAATTCTAGCCATCACTTGCTCGTATAAACAGCAACTGGGCTATCGCTCGCGCGTCTGTTGCCCCAATTTGTTTAGGGTTAGGCTCAGAGGGCCAAAAATGCGGGGGGGCTAAACCCCCGAGGTTATCCCGAACTCTGTGGGCCACGGAGTAATACTGCGACTACAGCAAAATGGATTCCAGAGCCCCTCACGTTGATGCCGCCCGGAACGAAAACCTGTTTTAAGAGAGTTTTCTGCTGTTGATTCAACATGAAAGACTTAATAAATCGTTCCGACCGCCGAACCAGAAAGCGCCTCCTCTTTTCGTGCTCCCTCTATCTTCGTCGTCACTATGGAAAAGGTCATCATGGTTCAGTCTCCTCTCGATGCAGGCGCTCAGCCGATTATAGATCAGTCCGTCGCTAACGATAACACAACCGCTGGTCTCGAGGTATGTCTTGTTGCTTACGATTTGGGGTTGCGCGATGGCTAACGTGGGGTCATGGAAACAGCCTGTGGAGGACAGCCTGGTTTCGACAGCTCTCATCGCCGTGCTTGTCATAGTCGTCATCGCCTACTTCACTCGCAGCTCGTTCTCTAAGAGCAAGAAAGAGCAACCCGCGAGCAAGTCTGTGGGTGCTTACTCGGACCGATGCATAGTTCAAAAACTTCAAGAGACAAATAACGAGTGCGTTATCTTCTATGGCACCCAGACTGGCAACTCCCAGGATTACGCTGAGAAGCTCGCTAAAGAGGCCCACGCAAAGTATGGCCTTCGTGCAATGGTAGCTGATCTTGAGGAATACGACTATGAGACCTTTGTCAATTTCCCAGAGGACAAACTCAGCATCTTCATCATGTCGTCGTATGGCGAGGGTGAACCCACCGATAATGCCGTGTCCTTTTTCGATTTTGTCACCAGTGAGAGTCCTGATTTCTGTGAGCAGAAGGACGTTCCGCTGCAGTCGATGCGTTATGCCGCCTTTGGTCTTGGAAACAGTACTTATGAGCACTACAACGCTGTCATTCACAGGGTTGACGAGTCCTTGACCCGTCTGGGTGCCACGCGTCTCGGACCAGTCGGTGAAGGAGATGACGCTCGGGGCACGGCTGAAGAGGATTTCATGGCCTGGAAGGAGCAGATGTGGCCCGAAGTCAGCGAGGCCATGCATCTTCAGGCCCACGATGTCAAATACGAGCCCTCGTTTGCTCTCCTGGAGACGACTCCCGCTCCGGACAGATTGTACCTGGGTGAGCATAGCGACGACCAGCTGTCCCAACTCTCTCGCTCGTCCTATGGACCGCACAATCCGTTTTTGGCTCCCGTTGTTGAATCTCACGAGCTCTTTGCTGGTGGGGACCGCAATTGTCTTCACTTTGAGGTTGATCTTTCGGGTTCAAACATGACCTACCAGACCGGAGATCATTTGGCTGTGTGGCCAATGAACCCTAGTGAGGAGGTTGATCGTTTCCTTCGCGTATTTGGACTTTTGGAACGCCGCAACGACGTTTTTGAGCTCGAGCCGATTGACGGAACCGTCAAGGTTCCATTTCCTACTCCTACTACTTATGATGCTGCTGCGCGGTACTATGTGGAGATCTGTGGAGCCGTCTCGCGGCAGTTTATGTCTACGCTTGCCGAGTTTGCTCCTGCAGACACTCCCTTGAAGGCTTCGCTCACCAAGCTTGCAAGCGACAAAGACTATTTTGCCGAAGTTGTCTCGCACAAGTATCTCAATCTTGCGCAACTTTTGGAGTCTTTGACTTCCACCGCCTTTGAGGTTCCGTTCACTGCATTGATTGAAGGAATTCGTGCTCTGCAGCCCCGGTTCTACTCTATCTCGTCTTCGTCTTTGGTCCAGCGGGAGAAGCTGTCGATCACCGCCGTTGTATCCACTGAAGATGTTGGCAACGCGACAAAGTTTTATGGCGTTAACTCCAACTACTTGCTGGCTGTTAAGAATGAGATGAATGGAGAGAAACAGCAGCAGGGTATCACTTACAGCGTGAGCGGACCACGTGAGCGGTACGGATCCAAGGTTCCAATCTATATCCGCACTTCCAACTTCCGACTGCCGACGAACAAATCTACTCCGATCCTTATGATTGGACCTGGAACCGGAGTTGCTCCTTTCAGAGCATTTGTGCAAGAGAAGGCAGCGCAGGTCAAGTCAGGCGCTGATATCGGAAAGATGTTGCTGTTTTTCGGATGCCGAAGAGCTGACGAGGATTTCATCTATCAGGATGAATGGAAGGTGTGTAATTTTCATTCGTGAATGTTTACGTACGTTGTGCTAACTTAAGATAATTATACAGGAGTATGGGGCTACGCTAGGAGACAAGTTTGAGATGATTACTGCATTCTCGCGTCAGTCTGCCAAGAAGGTGTACGTTCAGCACCGAGTTGCTGAGTACGCAAATGAGATCATGGATGTGTTGGGAAAAGGTGGATATGTGTATGTGTGCGGCGACGTTCGGATGGCGCGTGATGTGCAGTCGACCTTGATTCAAATTGCAGGGAGCAACGGCGAGCAATTGATCAGAGATCTCCGAAAGGACAACCGTTACCAGGAGGATGTTTGGTGATTTAGCAGAGCTGCAGCTGGGTTAGAGGACTAAGTTGAATATGATATGTTTCTGTTTATCGAACGACATGATTTTAGCGATGTTAATATTAGTAATGCATTTACTTACCGTGCCCAAGATTGATAACGGATCACTTTCTGGTGATCTACGAGTGTCTTCACCAACACAAGTAACCTCAATTAGTCATGCGTGATTGTTGATAGACAACGGACGGAGCGTATTCGCTTGGGGTCACCTATCAAACATATAGGGTTTCTGTCGGTCTCCGACTAGACCGAATATCGTGTCAAACCAGCGTTCTTTTCACTGAGTGGGATATCCTGTAGACTACTGCCAAAATATATATTACTCGTCTCTTACTTCTATCAAGATACTTCTTCATATCATTCAATCCGCACAAGTCATAACTCCTCCAATCCAGTTCTATATAAAGAGATATTAGTAAAGAGATATTACAGGCATCACACGGACCTCTACCCCAGATTGCATGATGGTCGCGTCACGTGGGACGAGAACCGAAATTGCACCGTGTCGCTCTGATATATAATCGTCCTCGCATGAGATATGACTTGACCCGCGGCCCAACAAGTGCCCACCGGCTTTGTTTGGGCTTTTGGTAATATGTTCAATGCGTCGCCGACTATATAACCGTGGCCGTGCTCCGCCTGGTCGGGGCTTCGCCCATCTCAGGCTTTTTTCCAGTCGAGCACACCAGTATGCTGTCGTTGACCAAGAAGGATAGCGCGCCCGCTACCAGCGATCCTGCCCTCGAAGAAGGCGGTCACAGACCCCATGGGCGTCAGGAACTAACTACCACAAACATTCTTGTAAGCATCATTCTTCTCCAGAGTCTCTGTAGATCATGTTCAGGCTGCTAACCTAGTTCTTCCCACTAGGCAGTTATTGTTGCTGGACTCGGTAGTTTCACCTTTGGCTACGCCAACAACGCCACTGCTGGATCGTTTGCACAAACTACTTTTATTGCCAAGTTTCTGAGCGGATCCAATGCAGACTCTGTCATTTGCGGAATCATCGGTGGATTCCTGGGTGGAGGTTACATTGGCGCCATCATCCAGGCGCCAATCTCGAACCGCTGGGGAAGAAAGGCTGCTACCGGAACCGGTGCTGTTCTCGTCATGATCTCAGCTGCACTTGATGCCGGCGCTGTCGATATTGCGATGTTTGCCGTCTTTCGCATGACCTGCGGCATTGGCGCCGGTATGCTGCTCGCCAACTGTCCTGTGTACATGAGCGAGATAGCCCCGCCGCATCTTCGCGGTATGCTCGTGGGTAATCATGCTATTTCGATCGTGTGGGCATATGTCATCTCCTCCTGTATCGCATTGGGATTTCACTTTATCGAAGAGTCATACCAATGGCGTATGCAGTTTGTCGTTCTCACGTTCGTTGCCATGCTCTTGGTAGCTTCGCTCTTTCTCCTGCCTGAGTCTCCGCGCTGGTTGTGTGAGCAAGAGAGATATGATGACGCGTGGAAGATTCTCAAGAATCTCAACAAGACGACTGCCGATCCTGAAGCAGTGACGGCTGCTGCTGAGATGGCGCAGATCAGGGCGCAGATTATCGAGGAAAGGACCCTACCACGTGGTTACGTCTACATCTTCAAGACCCCGCATCTGCGTCACCGCGCTTTTTGCGGTATCTTGACTTGGATTATGGGACAGTCGACGGGAATGCTGGTCATTGCAAACCTTACTCCTACCCTGTTTGCTACTCTTGGATATGGTACTGTCTTGCAACTTGCTCTTGCTATTGTTTGGTGTGTTTGCGCCATGATTGGCTGCTACATCAACGCTGCCATTATGGATCGCGTCGGTCGCGTTAAGCTTCTCGTCTTTGGCGGCTACCTTTGTACAGCGACTATGATCTGTGAGGCAGTACTCCAGAAATACTATCTTGATGGACACAACAAGTCTGGTGTGAACGGTGCCGTTGCCATGTACTTCCTCTTTGGTGTCTTTTATGGTTCTACAGTCGACTGCGCAGCCTACGTCTATATAGCCGAGATTTGGCCAACCCATCTGCGCAGTTACGGAGTCACAATCGGTCTCACTTCGTTCTTTGCTCTCGCGCTCGCGTTCACCACCCCTGCGTCGGCTGGCTTCTCCGCAATCGGGTGGAAGTACTATTTCCCCATGATTGCGACTTGTATCTGCAGCACTACTGCCATCGCCTTTGTCTGTCCTGAGGTATGCTCAAACTGTTTTCTTTTTTTCATATATATACTAACTCTGTACTTTGAACAGACTGCTGGACTCACTCTGGAGGAGATCAACAGAAAGTTTGGCGACAACGTCGCGCTCGAACTCAACACTGCAGAGGCAGTTGCTCAGGCAATGATGAAGGGAGGTGCTATGCACTTTGAAAACGCACAGGCCAGAGATCCGGACGAGTACCCTCTTGAAGAAAAGACGAATTAGGAGCTAGTGTAGTTTGCGTCGAGCTTGTTTTCAACGTTGCTTATTCTTACAAATCAGTTATCCAATAGTGTGTAGTTTCAGCTTCAATTTGAGATAACACGAACCCTACACTTACAACTTACAAATCATTACAAGATCGTCACTGATAAAGAGTGACCTACGCAACCTAGCAAGGAGACAATAAAGATAAAGATGCGTACGTAAACTTCGATTAACTGCTAAACTTGATTAAATCCACAAAAGAAGGTAGATACACTCAATTTACCTCCAAGCCTTGAGGAAATCCAGCGCTCCATCGAGTTCCTTCCGCATAGTCTCCGCGTGCTGCTCGCTTCTCGGAGTAATCCTGACCTTGAACGGGAGAGGAGCCTGCAAAATACCAGGGTTGTAGCGGTGGGTATCGAGATGCACAACCTTGCCAGTCTCGGGATCGATCGGCTCCTCGACGTTGAAGCCCCAGAGAATTCTTGCGGCAATACGCCACATATTCCGCTCGGCCAGATGCACACCGGGGCAGAGACGACGGCCGGCTCCGTAGGTGTAGTGGTCGCGTTGAGTGTAGTCAGACATGCCGGCGTAGTCGTTTGCGAGACGGGCGTATCCCTCAAATCGGTCCGGGTTGTATGTATCTTCGTCGGGGTACAGACCCTCAGTGTGGTGAATAGCCCAGACGGCCAAGAAGATTGTGGAATCCTTGGGGATGAAGAAGCCATTGTAGTTGTCATCCTGACGAACACGGTGCGGCAAGCCAGTAACAGCGACAGGACGCCATCTCAGCCCCTCTTTGATCACTTGGTTGACGTAGGGAAGATCCTTAAAGTCAGAAAATCGGGGAACTCTGTCGGGGCCGCAAAGCGCGTCAATTTGCTTTCTGGCCTTGGTCTGAACCTCAGGATGTGTGGCAAAAGCGAGAATCAGGGTCAATAGCTGCGCAGCAGTAGTATCAGCTGCTCCCTCGACGACTTCGCCCACAAGATTGTTGAATGCGTGCTGAGACATCGGCCATCCCTTAGCGTTGTACTCGTCCAGTAAGTGATCGATGATGCAGTCCCGCTTGTCACCCTTTGCCCGACGGTCGTCAACAATTTTTCGCGCCTTTCCCCAGACGGAGTCAAAGACGACGCCGGCAGCAATAGCGCGTCGCTTCCAGTAGGCGAATCGCTTGGGAATCAGCTTTAGGATAGGGTATTCATCAACGGGAGGGTTGGCACCAGCTTCCATAGCCTCGGTCCATCTGTCCATGACATCGTAGACGCAGTGTCCCCAGAACGAGTCAAAGGTAGGGCCGCGATGTCCGAAGGCAAGGGCGGATGCGACTGAAGCAGTATAGCGACGAACACTGTTGAAGAAGTTGTCTGGCTGAGTAAGAAGGTCGTTCATAAGCACGGCGGCCCTAAAGTAGTAGTTAGTATCTGTTGCCAGTTACTAGTTCAATGTAGTAATATTCACGTACTCAGCTTCCTGGACTTTGAAATGCTTCTCGTCGAGGTTCTTGGGAGAGAAGTTGTGCGAGATGACTCTGCGCTTCTCACGCCAGACAGGGTCCATCTGCTCAAGCGCGATGTGATCTCCCTGGGTGAGCAAGCCACCGACGTAGCTGGGAGGACGGTCGGAGTAGATTGCGCCCTTCTTGTCGAGCAACTCGTGAATTGCCTTTCGGTCGGTGAGAACAATGACAGAGGAGCTGCCAAACATGAGAGAGTAGATGGGGCCGTATTCCTTCGCCCACTCTCGAAATCTACAGACAGTTTTAGCGAAAGTCAGAGCCGAAAAAAATAGAGATGAATACGTACTGGGCGTATAGGCCGGAGGAGGGGATCTGGTGGAAGTTACCAAGGACGGGGAGGGTAGGAGGTCCAGGAGGCATACCAGGCTTCCGCCTGCCAATCCGGAGCACCTTGTAGATGCCCAAAGCCAGGACAGCGACAACAACGCTGATGGCGAGCTTTGTAGGATCCTGCGCAAAAGTCATGATCGCTAATCTGGAGAGTGATTGCGTGAACTACAGACTGAAGAGATAGGTTAGATCGAGAAAAGGCCGTGAGCAGACTGCGTTTTAAGAGAAGAAGTGTGGAGTAGCCATGAGCATGGGATGATTTTTGTTACTCGCGTTCTGGTAGGCGGACTCTTTTCGGGCCATCATCGACCACCCACGCGGCGTGTGTGCTCAGGCTAGCGCTGCGGGGCAGGACGACGATATTAATAATATTCCTCCGTGAGCCGCACCCGACGTCATATTGCGGGGCCGGCACAGCGTTTAAGTAAACACCGACATCCACCCTTGAACAGCAGCAGCGCGCAGCAGTACACAAACAACAATTCTTCATCATCACCTGCAATTAAAACATGACTGCTTCTAAAGTTCTCGAAGGAAAGGTCGCGCTCGTGACTGGCGCGTCTTCTGGTATGGGCCGTGCTACGACGGCCCTGCTTGCCAGCCATGGCGCCAACATTGTCTGCTGTGATCTCAACCCGAAGCCGAACCCGAAGGGATTCGAGAAGGACCTGCACCTGACCACCGTCGAGGTTGTCGAGCAGCTCGGACAGAAGGCAATCTTCTGCCAGGTCGATATCTCGAACCTGAAGCAGGTCGAGGAGGCCTTCACGAAGGCGGTTGAGGTATGATAGTAGTATTATGCGGCTCATCACTTTTGAGGGGTTAGACTGACAGAGCTTAAACAAATAGACTTTTGGCCGACTCGACATCAACGTCAACTGCGCCGGCTTCTGGGCGCCGTTTGGTCCCTTTGGCGAGGAGACTGACGAGCTCTGGCAGAAGATGGTCGCTATCAACACTCTTGGTACTTCCAAGTGTATGCGTTTGGCCGTCAAGCAGTTCATGAAGCAGGAGGTTGACGAGGCCTTGGGCTCGCGCGGCCGCATCGTGAATGTTTCGTCGTGTGCCGGGCATTTCTCGTTCCCGGGCGAGGTCGCGTACTCAGCCACCAAGGCAGCGGTCAACCATATGACTCGCGCGGCTGCTACCGATCACGCAAAGGACTACATCAACATAAACGTGGTTGCGCCGGGAGTGGTTCACACCGGAATGGCCCGTGGAAATATCGAGGACAAGGACATCTCTGCTCTGATGAAGAAGAGCACGCCGTGGCCAAGACTGGGAACGACGCAGGACATTGCTGAGTCAATTGTGTTTCTCTGTCTGCCCGGCTCGCAGTGGATCACCGGCCAGCTTCTGGCTGTTGACGGAGGTATGACCTTGGGCGTCCCGTACCCCACTTAGTTAGTAGGTGGTAGTAGAGTTTTTTCAATATAATCTTACTTGTATCTATGAATGAATTGAGTTTCACGCTGAACTATTGAATGCTGATGCAGATGATGCTTAGAAGTGGTGGACAGAAAAAATCTCAGGTTGGGTCCATTCCACGTTGGGAACAGTGAGTCAAATGACTAGAAGCAGCTGATTGCAGGCAGAATGTTCTCTGATAGCCAGGGAAGTCGGGTCCAGCAACTTCCGGCGCGTGCGAGAGCCAGAACCGGAGTCTGTGCGAAGTGGCCGCGAGATAGACGAGAGAATTGTCGAACCCCGCATCCAACGCGGGCAAAACCCTACTCGACATGGACCTTCTCTGTTTAGCGGTCGTCTGCCAGAACTGAACTCGTTTTAAATATTGTGCCTGTGCCTCTTTGTCTTGATCTCTTCTATGCCCATCCACGGTTCCCCAACATGCCCGCCCGCGCCCTTCAAGTCATTATCCTTCCTCACAGACCGGTCAAGTCTGAGGCCGAGATCGACGCAAATCTCGATGGCCCTATGAAACTTCTTCTGGGCGCAGACGGCGTCATTGCTGCCTGGCAGGGCTGGAAGAACGAGGAGAAGTACGTCCGTGTCTATCTCCTGCTCTGGACCTCTCTCGAGGCCTCGCAGGCCTTCTTCCTCTCGCCTGCATACGACCAGTTCACGACCACGATCCAGCCTGCATTAAATGGCCGCAAAGTCGATTGGCAGCATCATACTCTTCTCGATCAGTCGGTGGTCAGTGACGAGGAGCACTTCCGCTCGATCCTCACCTCGCCCGCCATCGAGGTTGCCTGGACCAAGGTCGTCGAGGGCAAGGTCTCGGGATACTATGAGAACTTCAATCGCGTGGTCAAGGGTATTCTCGAGGACGAGCCTGGCTGTGACGGATTCTTTATCTCGCCCCAGATCCAGAACTTGCAGGACCAAATCTTGCTCATCAACTGGAAGTCAGTCGACGCCCATCATGTCGATTTTGAGAATAAGCAGGGTTTCAAGGATTGCATTACTACTCTGTTTGACTACTATGATGTCTTTGTTGTTCCGTGGCATATTGTTGGTTTGAGGAAAATTGCGGGTGATTTCTAGTCTACTTAATGTCTTCAATGTCTTGGTCATAGCATAATAAAACTCTCTCATCATTCAAGATACGTTACAACTCCAGCTTATCTCTTTGTATAGAGTACAATCTATGAATATGCAGAATCTATCGTAGATTTTTCTTATTTTTATAAAAGATGTATAAACAAGAGATGTCAATTTACAAACAAACTACTCGTACCAGACGGTGTTGATCAGAGTGCCAATCTTGTCCATGTAGACTCTCATGTCATCGCCATCCTGGAGCACAATCTTAGGGTTGCGCATCGCACCGATACCGGGACCAGTTCCGGTCATGATCACAGTTCCACGCTCGAGGGTTGTTCCCTGCGACAAGAATGCAATAGTCTCCTCAATTCCGAAAATCATCTCCTTGGTGTTTGAGTCCTGAACGACAGCGTCATTGAGGATAGCCTGGATCTGGAGCTTGTGAGGATCGCCAATCGCCTCGGGCGAGACAAGAGTAGGTCCAAGCGGAGCAGATCCATCAAGACCCTTGGAGAAGCACCACTGGCTGTTCTTGAACTGCTGCGCACGAGCACTGACGTCGTTGCTAGCAGTGTAGCCGAGAACGTACTCGAGTGCACGCTCCTTGGGGATGTCTCTGCCAGACTTTGAGATAATGACGACCATCTCGGCCTCGTAGTCGGAAGTACCGTCCTGCGCAATCTTGGGGATGTTGATCTTGGCGGGGTAGGGTCCGTTCAGAGCAGTTCGCGGCTTGATGAACAGAACGGGCTCGTTGGGGATGGGCATGCTTGCCTCGCGAGCGTGATCCTTGTAGTTGAGACCGAGGCAGCGAATGATTGGCACCTCGTCCATGGCAATTGGCGAGAGCAGGTGCGCGACAGTCAGCTCCTTGTCGGTGACGACACCGTCAAAGATTGTGCCTGTGACGAGCTTGGCGACGATTTTCTCGCCCTTGAAGGTGCTGAGGCCAACATCGGGGTAGGTGCTGGCGTCGACCTGGCCGAGGTGGATCTGGTTGTCCTCGACGGCGATGAAGCGAATGAGATGAGTCCAGTTAGGGGCGGGCATGGCGGAGGGCGATGATGATGATGAGATGAGGGTAATTATGAGGAAAGGGATGATATTATGTGGTCGACAAGGCGAGGAGCGCTGTAGTTAAGCGCAGCACAACATAGTGGGGGGAGCCTTGCGCCGCACCGGACGGACTAATTCCAAACCGAGCAGCTCGTCAACACCCTCCTGATGTCGCCCTCAGCCCCAACAGTCTCCTGGTTTCCAGATACTCAAGTGCTTCAAACTTGAGCTGTCTGCTTCAAAAGCTGCTTTGTGCGTAATATCACAACTAAACGATATAATTGTCGATCGCGCAGAGCAAGTGGGCCACGCAGGATGTGGTACAGAGCACTCGAGCGAGACCTGTGCGGCTCATGCGTTGGGCGCTGCCATGTACCGTCACTCTGTGCATCACGTGCGTAGTGCGGGGAAGACTAGTGCGGGGAACACGAGGCGCGAGCGTAGAATTGCAAATATCACCCGCCGTTGGTCCGTCTTCGGGCCCGGCAGCGACCTGAAGTTTTTTGTCTCGTCGTTGATTTGCTTCCTTCCTTCTTGTTTCTTGCAGTATGTGGTTCGATACACCGCCCAAGTCTGATATCGCCTGCCTGATCTGTCGAAAGTAAGCTGCTCTAGTCTGTCTATCTATGCTATAAATTGTTTGCTAATTCATTTTTCTCTTCTAGACGCAAAATCAAGTGGTACTTCGATTCTATCTAGCTCTTCTCCTTCCTCTGCCTGCAGCTAACCCTTCTCTCCACACAGCGGCCGCGAACTGCCACACTGCGGCGTATGTCGGCAGACAAATCAGACTTGCGAATATCCGCCTGGCCATCTGAAGCCAGGCCCAAAAATTGGTAAGTCTTTAAAAGAAAAATAAGAGTGAAAATATTGGTGGTGCTGACGCGAACTCTCCAGGCTCCCTACAAAAACGTCGCAAGCGGCAACGCGAAGAGGCTCAGGCTGAACCAACCCCTACTCCAACTCAATCAGAACAGCAACGGTCAATCTCGCCAAAGCAAACAGTTTCGCCTGCTGGTCCTACTACAGCACCAGCATCATCAGCACGACCTTCTCTCCCTGCTGGGTCTGTCGAGCCAGAGGCTCTCAAACCAGATGAAGCTGACGAAGACGCGGAGCCGGCCTCTGCTGACGCCAGCAAGCAGCGTCGAGACTCGCAAAACACGATCTGCTATCTATCATATATCCTTCACCCTTCACATGAAGCTTCCACTCCACCCGATACCGAAAAAGAGAAAGATACCGCCTCGCCGACGTCTTCCAAGGAGTCGGTCGAGAACCAGCAGCCTCTGATGATTGCCAGAGCGTGCTACGCGCTCAGGGTGACGCCTGACGATCTGAAGCGGCTCGTCGGTCTATATTTCGAAAACATGGTCTCAATCACCCTTTTCCGCGAGCCTAATTTTGAGGAAAAAATCTCAAAGCTGCAAACTCCTGCTCAGGTTCACGCGCTACTTGCTGCGATGCTGGCATTTTCGTCTCGGTTTTGTGGGCACGATGACAGTCTCGAGCCGACGTCGCTATCTTCGTACAACCCTGCGACTTTCCTTTCCTTAGCGACCAAGTTCATCGCCGAGGCACTGGAAGAGTGCGGCGATGAGTCGCCACCTCTTGCTGTCTTGCAGGCTCACATCATCAGCACTCACGTCATGCTCTCGCAAGGTGTCCGTGGCAAGGCCTGGCGTGCGATGGGAGCTTGTGTTCGACTTGCATACGAGCTCAATCTCCATCTTATTGATGCTATCCCGGTCGAGCATACTAGTGAGAACGCAGCGCGGTGGATCGATGACGAAGAAAAGCGAAGGGCGTGGTGGGCAGTGTGGGAGATGGATGTGTTTGCAAGCACGATTCGCCGCTGTCCGACCGCAGTCGACTGGTCCCATATGGAAACTCTGCTTCCTGTTGAAGACAAGTACTGGTTTGCCGGAACCCCCACCGCTAGCTGCCTCTTTGAACTCGACCTCATCACCCGCTGTAAGACTTTGCAGGAGAGCGGCAATCAGTCGCCGAAAGCGTGGTTTATTGTCATCAACTCGCTTATGAAGCAGGCGCAGATGATTTCAAAGCCAAGGGCAATTATGAACCTGGGTGGAAACTTCTTTTCAGAAGAAAATATGGTTCAGAACGCTTCAGTCTCGCCTTGGTCAAACTCTGGAGTTTTTACCAGTCCCGCGGTCAACTACAGCTCAACCGCAGATGGGAAGCAGAAGAAGCTAGACGCGAGGCGAGTTATTCAGGAAAATCGTGACAAGCTAGAGATGCTTTCCAACTCGGTCCGGTGCTTTTCAATTGCCTTACCGGTGCATTTGCGGTATCGCAACCAGTATCTCAGTTTTGACGCTCGCGAGCCCGGACAGCAGTTTAGCTTCAAGCAGCAGCACTGTGGGATCCATAACATCTATCTGATGACGCAGCTCGCGAAGCTCATGATTCATCATTATGACGTTTTCGGCTCTGCTGCGCGCGCTACGGCCTCGCTAAATCGATTCAGCAACAAGCGGCCCGGGAACGCCAAACGAGACGACGAGCTGGCTTTGTCTCTGTATCTGGAGGCTGCTGACAACATTCTCTTGATTACAAGACGAAGCCACGAGGACCACGTCAAGTACATCAATCCGTTTTTGGCATCTACTATCTGGCTTGCGTCTGCCGTCGAGCTTGTTCACAAGGAGTTTGGTCCGTCGGGTACGAACCGAGGTCTCATCAAAAGCAAGTTCGAGGTGCTCTATCAGACCTACAAGAAATGTGTCAGCTTCTGGGGGATCGAGACCGCGTTGCAGCATAATCTTGAGCTTTTGGAGGAAGAACTGGAGCGGTACCGTAAGCTGATTGAGGACCAACTCAAGGCCAAGCCCAAGAATGGTATCAAGCGGGCAAGAAAGGAGTCGACGACCTCGGATACACAGGAGGCGACTTGGACGCAGGAAATCAAGCCAAAGACGGAGACCTCGTCACCTAATCTGCATGACGAAAGGGCTGCAGTAACTCCAAAGGGGCTGTACGAGGCTGCGAAAGGAATACTCCCTGCACAGCCTGCGGATGCGGATGAGAAGGGGCCTGTGCCGCAGTCAAACATTCTCTCGCCTGAGATGTTTTTGGATGGGTTCTCGCCGAGTCTGTCCGCGCTTGATTTCCTGCGGACCTCTCTCCGAAACTCCCCGTGCGCAACTCCCGGCGGCGGCGGGGTGACCACCGCGTCCAATGGATTTTCCGAGCACTCGCCCTCTTCCGCTGTCATGTCGCCCGAGTTGAAGCTGTTTGGCGAGTCCCTGCAGCAGTCGCTAGGGTACGGAACCGACTCGCTGCCGCCGATGGCCTTTGGTCTGCACATGGACGGCAGCAGTCTTGAGCTGGCGAGTTATCTCGATGAGCTGCTGAGCGGAAGTGTGATCTACTGATTACGTCTTCCAGTGTATTTTTGTAAGCATGTCTGGTGTACTCTCATCGCTATCTGTGTTAGCTTGGGTTGTTTTTGGAGTCTTTTTTTTAGTTGTTGTTAGTATTTTGTAGCTCGGATATCAAGGTGATTATTAGGCGTCTCTGCTATTGTGAAAATGTAAATTAGGTCTTATGTGCCATGTTTGTAATTGAATATATTATTCGCTTTACCATATCTTTTTCCAATACGTATTTATTAGTACGAGGGGAATAAATTTTTACGAACCCAAAGAAGTGTACGCACAGTTAGACTGAGAATGATTTTCAGAGTAAAAAAATTGCGTACGCGCTACACTATAAAACTGACTTTCAGCGAAATTCCGCGACTTTTGTCTCTACACATATCTCTTATAAACTAGTTGCTGCATCTAGAATATAAATCAAATATTTAAGAATGTGATAATTATACAGAGGTTTGGAAGTAAGCAAGCAAGACGTATTATTACTATTACTATTAAACTAATTGAAAACCGATTTAGGCGGTAAGTAACAACAACTCAAGACACACATTAAACATCTGCACGATTTTCAACACATTACACACATTACACATTACCAAGCAAACGCCTCCTCAAAGTACTCGACCTTCCCGGTCGCCAACTCAAGACTATTCGCGACCGCCGCGCGCGCGTCGTCGTTCATACCGGGCAGGCCGCAGACGAGCACGCCGACAGAGCCGGATGCGATGTCGGGTTGGGAGATGAGGGCTGGGATGAGGGAGAGCATGTCTGGGCGTTGGTGGATGATTTGCAGGGACGGGGACGCGAGCGCGAGGGAGTTTGATGATGCGGCGGAGGATTTCTCGGCGTCGGAGTCGGATTGGAGAGGCAGTTTCTCGGTGGTGGGGGAGGAGGAGGTGCCGGGGGCGGTGATGAAGACTTGGAGGTCGATTGCGGAGTTTGCGAGGAGGGAGTTGAGTTCCTGCGGCATCCAGGTGAGTGCGTCTTCGTCGTGGATCACCCAGCGGACGACCACGCGCTGCTTTCCAGAGTTTGTGGACGCGAGTTCGAGCGCGTAGGGGAAGACGGCGGTGATGCCGATGCCGCCGGCGATCAGGACAGCAGAGTCGAAAGCGTGCAGGTGGTGGTGCGTGCCGTAGGGGCCCTCGACGAAGATGCGGAGGTCGGAGCGGTGGGAGGAGGAGTTTGCGAGGCGCTTGTAGATTGAGTTTGTGATGCCGTGCTTTTTCTTGCCGAGGAGGATGATGTGGCCTTCTTCGCCGGGGAGGTTGGATTGGAAGACGGTGAACGGGTGGGATTGCCAGAACCCGGTGGGGAGCATGACGTAGACGTAGATGTGCGCGCCGGGGAAGAAGGCCCATGTTTTCCAGTACTTGATGTCGGCGCGGAAGACGTCAGAGCCGCGGGCTTCGAAGGAGGTCTTGAGCATGCCGCCGTTGAGGACCAATCTGACAAAACGCAGGGCGCGATCGAATGCCCAGAACGCGATGGCGGCCCAGCAGTACTCCTCAAAGGTAAAGTCGATGAGCGTGACGTGGTAGTAGCAGCCGGCGATGAAGGCGATGGCGAGCAGGATGTGGGTGGCGAGGAAGAGCTCGTAGGCGTGCTGGCGGAAGAACTGCCATGCCTGGCCGAGCATGACGCCGCCAACGATGGTGGCGGCCGCGCCCCAGCGCCAGTAGGGCTGGGCCCAGTAGAGATCGAGGTAGGCGCGGTTGTGGCCGTACATTGTCCAGGCGACGGAGTGGATTGCGGCGTGGAGGAACATGGTGCGGGACACCCAGCGGTGGTAGACGTTGAAGGTGTCGAACGACCAGCCGGTGATCCAGGCGAGCACGTTGTTGCGGGAAGCAAAGAGGAAGACGAGCGGGAGCTGGCCGAAGGACATGATGGCGCTGCGGTGGCTGAGCATGAGAAGGCGGGTGATGTACTTTGAGTAGCCATAGATGTTGTCGGCCTTGTACTCGTAGTAGCAGATCGAGACCATGAGGATGTTCATGAGCACGTGGATGAAGACGACGAGGGATTGGATCCGCGTCGGCATGTATCCGATGAAGGGGATCGGGCGGCTGTGGCGCTTGGTGATGGCGGCGGGGAGGATCAAGTGCTTGCGGATGAAGTTGATCTGAACACTCATGAGGGCTCCGGGCGTCGCCTTGCTCATGAAGTTGTAGACAATGCCAAACACCATGATGAAGCCCCAGTAGCCGAGAATTGCCTTGCTGTGGAGAAGTTAGAACAATGAAGATGAACAAAAGGTGAGGAGGAGGCATACGCAAAGTAGTTTCCGTTCTCGATCTCGGTGTACATGGGAACGAAGTAATCCATGCTAAAAGCATAAGCCGTCTTGTTTGGCGTGATTGGCGCGTCCACGATCTGTCCCTTTGCGAGCGAGTAGAAATCAACGACCCAGTTCGTCTCGGTCGCGTTATCATAATACTCAACCAAAGTGTCCTCGTCCGGGAGCACGCCCTCGCAGTACTCGTCGAGGTAGGGATAAAGCTGGCCGACCTTGCTCGGCGCGAGCTCGTGCAAGCATACGTAGGAGGAGATCCAGAAGAGCTTGTCGTAGCAGTAGAGCACGGAGGCGAGCACGGAGGTGGCATTTGTGTGGGCGGCGATGCCTTTGGTGGTCGTCCTCAGGCAGCTGTAGACTTCGTTGCGGGTGGCGAAGTCTGCTGCGCAGGAGGCGATCAGCGAGCTGAGCGTGAGAAGAAGACTCAGGCGGGGGAGAATCATGGCGGAGGGTGGTGGGCTGAAAAGAGAGAAGAGGAAGGGGGGGGGGGGCCGTATATGTATTAGAGCGGCGCATGAGAAGACAGGAAGACAGAAGGCAGAAAAGCACAGACAGGCGAGAAAGAGGCGTCTGGACCTGGGGTATTAACACGAGTAGCCTGATTGGAGACCGAGTAGGGTTTGTAGAATAAAAGCATGTCGAGAACGAGAAACAGTTGGAGGAGGAAGAGTTTTTCTTGGCCAGAGCAGGCGCCCGGAGGCTTCTGATATGACAGGCGACGGCGCGAGCTGCCGAGAGTTCATTTCGTAGAGTCATGAAGTCTTCTATCGTACGATCTGTCAACGTCGAGTTGAGTTTCTGACAGTGTAGTCTGCGTCTGCTTATGAGCATCACGATTATCGGCAAGTAGAGGCATCGACGGGAGAGGTGCGGAAGAGACCGTGCGGAGGAGGGTTCGCGAGAGTGGAAACTTTGTTTTGAATACGGATGAGTGCGGAGCGACGAAAACAAGAGTTAATAGATTGCCGAGCACTCTCGTCTTGCTCTTGTGTATTTAATTAGTTGCAATTAGTTCTAATAGGCTCTGCTACAGAGAATTACAACCTCACATGTTGCTATTTCAAAGCACATTCAGGGAAGAAGACAAAGGACGATAATGAACACACAGGATAGACGTAACCCTAGGCTTGCCGTGGCGGGCATGCCGATACCGCGGATTGGGATAATCTTAACTCGCCTCCCGCGCGGAGACGCACTTTTGCGAGTGCAGAATTTAAGATTGAAAAGCTTCCGCCAAGCGGGTCGAGCGCCATGAGCCAGAGTCTGGTGTGCGGCCGTGGGGCGAGGTCGTGGTTAAGGTTACGAGGGGCGATTGCTTATTTTTGCTTCGTTTTGCTTCGTTCTTCGTCTGTGGTGTGGAATTAGATAGAGAGGAATTGATAGGTGGAATAAGAGTGCTATAGAGTGTAATAAAGACCGCTCGCAAAAGTATAGGGAGAGGAAGAGATAAGAAGGGAGTTTGAAGCCGTGAGATTAAGGCTTGACATCCCGAAATCTAGACCATCTAGACCTTCGAGGCACCGCGGCAGGGTTTGCCCTGCGGGCCCGCACTAGCAACAAACTGCAGCCGCGAAAAAAGAGAGGAAAAGGAGTGGAGAGTTTCCCTGTTTTGTCCGTTGCGCTTGGGCACTGTGTTTGCAGCGCGGAAATAGCAGCGGGGAGGAGGCTGCCTGTTTGTGTGGTGGTGGTTGAGTCTGGCTGGTCTGCTCGGCCGTCGATGGTAGTTGATTGGTGCTGTTGTCGGAGAGCAGATTTTTACAGTGAGAGGTGGCATGGTAGTGTACGTCATATACTGTATATATACACATATACTGTATATACACAGGCGCTCTTTAAAGAAGGACAGAGCGAGACGATATAAGAACGGAGTAGAGTTATGTGATGAAAAAAGCCCGCAAGGTTATTGCAGATTAAGGTAATCAGATGGTGGAGTCGCTAAGTGAGACAAAGAGGAAGAAAGTAAGAAAGCCGAGCAGCCGAGCGGGTAGGGTAAGTCTGAGGGTTTGATATTGGTTGGTCGGTCTCTATTGCAGTACATCATGGAGAAGATTTAGTTTGTATGAGATGCTATATAATCTCGTCTTTTTAAGTGGTCCAGGACATATAACTAAACTACAGTAAAGTATAGTGTAGTCTAAAGTATACTTTGTACAAAGTAGTAGAGAGGAGCGCTGCATGTGGATCTAGACTGTCGAGCTGTGGAGACAGACGCGTGTCTGAGCGCTGCTGCTGTCTGCTTAGCTAGTGTTAGTGTGCTGACCATCTGACTCACTCAGTGTCATGTTGCTGTTATCAGAAGAAACAAGAACTCAGCCCAGTGTTTTGTGCAGAGAGCAGACTGTATGTAGTGTGGAATTTTTGTAGGTAGTGTATGTGGTGTGGGGAGGTAGGAGTATGGGGAAGGCAGGAAGATGAGGAGAAGTGGTCTAGATCGCTGCATTAAATCCTGTGAATTTAACACGCCAGCCGCCTGCCTACTGCTCCTACTCTTGTGTCTATACTTACTTATATCAAATGGTCTGACCGCAGTTGCTCATGCTCAGCAGTGCTCATGCTCGCTGCTCAGAGGTCAGAGGCAGGTCCGATCCCAGAATCAGCTCTCGCTACACTACTACTACAGTGCACGTGATGAATATTAATTATCTATTAGCCTGCGCCACAGATCTACTACGGTTCAACTCTAAGTCAGAGTAACTGCAGATTGAGTTTTATTATGCTATTCAAACAAAAATTACAATCAACTAAAGAACGACAACAGCTTTGAGATGCATCCACGCTTCACGACGAAAAGCCCAGGACGTGGTTCAGCACGCTCTTCAGCTTCGCCTCGCACTCCTCCGCACTTCCCAGCACAGACGGCGCGCGCCAGGCAATGAACCGATCTGGTCGCGCCAGCACGCAGCCCGTCTCGTCCACGCCGCGCAGCCGGTCCCACTCAAAGTACGGGTCTTCCCAGTCCTGGCGGAAGCCGATGCTGTAGGCCTTGATTGGCACAGAGGCTATCTTGCTGACTGCCTCCTTCCATGCGTCGCCGCCGATGCCGGTGAAGAGCGTGAACTGGCCGTGGCCCGCGAGGTCGATGGTGGAGACCGGCTTGCAAGGGATCGACTTGTTGAGCCAGACGTGCGGCAGACGCGAGCCCGGGTAGGTCGTGGGCTCGTAGTAGAGCACGTCGTCTTCAGCTGCTTTTCCCGTGTACTTGAACGGCTCTGGCTCGTCTGCGTCGTACACGCAGGAGGAGGAGTAGTGCTGGTTCATCTCGACCCCGAGACCGTGGAACTCGTGCGACGACTCCTGGATGGCCTTGCGCAGGGCCTCACGACGCTTCTTGCCCTCCGGAGTAGCCGACTGCAGCTCTTGCAAAACGCGTCGGCGATCCTCGACAGAGTCTAGCGAGGTGCCGAGGGCCTCCCAGATCTTGAAGTGGTCGCGGAAGCCGTTGTTTGCGCGGGTGATGATTGTGCGGCCGACGGGCTGGCGCTCGGTCGAGTAGGTCTCGAGGATGGACGGGTCCGCGTAGCCGGCGCGGACGTACGCGAGCTTCCACGCGAGGTTGAACGCGTCCTGGATGCAGGTGTTTGAGCCGAGGCCGTTCATGGGCGGGTGGCGGTGGACGGCGTCGCCGAGGCAGAAGATGGTCTGGCCGTGGGAGTACTGGGTGGCGACGATCTCGTTGATGTACCACTTTGAGACGTCGATGATTTCCGCAGGGGTGTCGTCGCCGATAAAGTCCTTGACGCGGGCGAGGTACTCTTCCCTGGACGGGCTGACTTTGTGGGGGTCGATGGCGCGGTCGGGGAAGAGGATGAACATCCACTCGGACCAGGGCTTGATCATGCGGACGATGCCCTGCCAGCCAAAGTAGGGGTGCTCTTTTTCGGGCTGCATGACCCAGTGCAGGTTGCCGGTGCGGTACTCGACGAGGTGGGAGAGGTCAGCCTTGACGAGGACGTTGATGGCGAGGCCTTGCTGGGGCTTTGCGTCGAGGGGGAAGTCGAGCTGCTTGACGATGCGGGAGCGGGCGCCGTCGGCGCCGAAGAGGTACTTTGTGGAGATCTGGTAGACGACCTGGGAGACGTCGTCGCGGACGGTTGCGGTGATGAGACCGGAGACGTCGTCTTCGACGAAGGAGAGGAGGGAGGTGTTGAAGCGGGTGGAGAAGCCGTGCTGGGTGGCGTGCTTGACGAGGACGGGCTCGAGCAGGGTCTGGGGGAGGTCGACGGGGTTGCAAGGGGATGCGGTGATGTACTCGCCCTTGCGGGCGGGGTCGTTGCCCCAGGAGTAGATGCGGGCGTACTCCTCGCCGGCCATGGAGTTGCACCAGCGGGTGTGGATCATGAACTGCTCGCCTTTGCAGGAGAGGGCCTCGAACTCGGAGTCGAGGCCGATGTCGCGGAGGCAGTCGAGGGCGGCCATGTTTGTGATGTGGGCGCGGGGGGTGTTTGCGGTGCCGGGGGCGGCGGAGATCATGAGGCCGGTGATGCCGTAGGAGCCCAGGAAGCAGGCGAGGGCGGCGCCGGCGGGTCCAGCGCCGACGACGAGGAAGTCGGTGTGGACGGTGGAGACGGGGTCGGAGTCGATGGTAGAGGAGCCATGGGCGGGAGGAGCGGTGGAGGGGGCCATGGCGTGAGAAGAGAGAGAGAAGATGGTGGTGAAGAGTGAAGACAGAACGAGTAGTGAATATAAAGAAGTCAAGCAACGCTCAGGTGAGCTCGGGCTCGCGCGGCGTCTTCGCGGACGGCGTCGGGCAATCGGCAACCGCGTCTTCGCGTTGTTTTGGCTCCGACCCGGGGAGAATCCGCTTCAATGGCTTGAAAGGTGGGGGGAGAGTTAGGCCGAGTATTAAACTTAGTTCCTGCTATTAACTACTGTGCTCTACTCTGCTGTTGAGTTTGTGTAGGGTTGCTTGCTTACGCTCTATTCTTTGTATGGTCACAGGACATGTATTCACTAACTACTGCTACTACCACTACCACTACTACTGCTCACTGCAAAAAGGTAGGAGGCAAATCGGGTCCTGTAATCTGTTAGTCATCACTTCTACTCTCTCTAATAGTACTCTACTCACCCCACACATGCAGTCCGTCAGGCGACGCAGGCACTCGGTTCGTCTTCGTCTCGTCGTTCACCAAATCCCCATCCACGTAGTGCTCCAGAATGAACTTCGAAGGATCAAACCAGTAGTCAAAGATCTGCGATCCCATGATATGTCTGCCAACCCCCCAGCAGTTCTCATAGCCCTTGTGGCGGAGCCAGTCGTGGCCGAGCACCTGAGTGTCAAAGTCATGGCATTCAAAGGACGAGTGGTGCACATGCGACACCGGGCCTTCAAAGAAGAAGAAGCAGTGGTGGTCCACCAGCTCAGATCCACGGTCGAGATGCATGAACGAGACAATGTTGTTGTCGGTCTCGGGGTCGTAGTTGATCTACTTCTGTTAGTCTCTTCTTCTCCTCTTCTCTCCTCTCTCTCCTCTCTCTCTCCTCTCTCTACATCTCACTCACATCAGATGGCACAAAGTTAAAGTGCTTTGAGTAGAACTCGAACGTCTTGGCCCAGTTGGTCACGCACATCCCAAAATGACCCAACTTGTGCACCGGCGCGGGTGCTACTCCCTGTTAGCCTTCTACACCACTACTCTCTCATATAAAGAACACTCACCCTTCTCAAACCGCTGAAAGTGATTCACCGCGCGGTGCTTCTGCGTCGGGAAATTAAACTCCCGCTCCGGCAACGCCTCGACCTCGCGCTTCGTCTGCCCATACACAAGATGGAACGGGAACCCATCGACCGGGTCCTTGAACGTCACGCACTTGCCCCCGCCCGGCGCGTCATTCAACTCGTAGATCGGAGTCGCGCCCGGGAGCACCGACGCCGCGAGCTCGAGGTCCTCGAGCGTGTCGACCGCGAACGCGGCTCCGCCAAACTCGTCCGCGTCCCCGGCAGTGGCGACGTAGAGGAAGGGCTCGGGGCCATATCCACAAAAGTAGGTCGACTTCCCTACAACTTTTTCCTTTTGGAATCCAAAGTCGTCGAGGAACTCGAGCTGCTTGTCGATGTTTTTGTGTGTATAATACACGTGCGCGATGTGGTTGAGCTGGATCTTTCTGTCGAGGGTCATTGTTGCTGCTGTTGATACTGTTGATGATGATACTACTACTGCTGATGATGATGATGATGATGAGGGGCGGCGGCAGCAGAAATAGAGGCTCCCCTCCGAACTGCCGAAGCAGAGTTAAATTAACAACTAATCAATTCGCTCTCGGACAAACTCCTCGGACTGACTTTCGGCTGCTGTTCTCCGCACTATTACATAAGCTCAAACCTTACCCCCTGCCTCGCTCCTAGCCTCGTACGATGCGGCGCGCACAACCACCTCCTTCTTCTCTTTGTCTCCGTCGTCGCCTGCCTCGCTCGCGGTCGCGCTCTCGACCACGTCCAACTCCCGCATCACAGCCAGTCCATACGCGTTGATCACCATCCCCCTCCTCCTCTGCTCCCGGCGCACCATCCACCCAAACACCACAACATTCACCGCCAGCAACCCAATCACCCCCGCAATCACCTTATACCCGCCCTTGTAATGCGGCGCCTGCACCGTCGGATACACCACCAGCGACCACCAGAACCCGATAATCATATTCACCGAGTTTCCCATCCCCACCAGCACGCCCCTCGACATCGGGTCGTCCTGGAACGCCTCGGACGACCACGTCAGCATCAGCGGGAACCCGGCATACCCGATAAACCCAATCAAGAAGCCAAACATCTTTGCCCCGACCGACGGCGGCCATACCGCTAGAACCACACTGCCTACAAACTGCAGCACAATCACAACCGCCCAGCACGGCCACCGCTTGCCGATCGCGTCCGAGATGCTGCCAAACACGTAGCCCGACACCAGCGCGAGCCCGTACCCGCCCGTAGGAATCACGTTGATCTGCTGCACCGAGTACTTGTCCAGCGACTTGAGCCACAGATTAAAGTAGCTAAAGTAGTACGCCAGCAGCGCAAAGTTGTACATCGGAATAAACACATACGGCCGCCAGGTGCGGAACATGGCAAAGAACTTCTTGCTCGTGATCTTCTCCGGCGCCTTGCGCCCCACGCGATCCATCCTCAAGTTCGCAACCAGCAACTCCCGCGGACTCAGGTAGATTGCATGACACTTGTTTGGGTAATCCGGCAGCGCGACAAACCCATAGCACGAGATCGGCACCGAGATAATCCCGTCGATAATAAACAGCCACCGCCAGCCCTGCAGCCCGCCGAGACCGTCCATCGACGTGTACACGCCCGCCTGGATGTATCCCGAAAACATATTCGCGAGCGGCTGCGCCATGTAAAAGAGCGAGTACCGCTTCCCGAGCTCCTCGGGCGTGTACCAGCTGCCGATGATGTGGCTGAAGCTGGGGAAGATGGACGCCTCGAGCAGGCCCATGAGTAGCCGGACCGCGTAGATTGTCTTTGCGGATTGGCAGGCGGCTGTCGTCATCGTTACCGCGCTCCAGATGATTTCGATCGTCGGAATCACGAGCGAGGGGCGGACGCGGTTCGTGAGAAGTTGCGAGGGGACGGAGCCGAGGAAGTAGCCGACTGAGTAGAAGGTCGAGAAGAGGTTGAGCTCGTTGCCGTAGAGCGAGAGATCTTCCTTCATTCCTGAGACGTATGCGTTGTCTATCAATCAAGAGTCAGTACATATCCTTATCAAAACATCTCATCACACAGTATACTTACTGATATTGGTCGAATCAAGAGTCTTAATCAAATACGAAAGCACAATATACAACCTATCAACATCAGCACCTCCCCACACACATCTCCACAACCTCATACTCACAGCAAAAACCCATCAATCTTCATCAAAAAACTGCGCTCCTCGCCCTGCTTCCCAAACGAGTCCCACACCTTCATCAGCACGCGATCACTCCGCGACCGCACCCGCTTGCGCGCTTCCTCGGGATACTCCAGCACCGGCGGCGGGCGGCCGTCGGCGCTGTTGCCGGGGACGATGGGTTGGGAGTGGAAGAGTGCGAATTTCATTTTGCGTGCATAACAAAAAAAGAAGAAAAGAGAAGAGAGGGGGTAGTGTGGGTGGTATATATAATGGAAGATAAGGACAGTCTAGATCAGAGCTGCGGTTCATTGTGCGCTGCATCACAACCGTCGCACGACGTCGTACACCCCACCCCCTGACCCTCGTCCCCCCTCGTCTCCCATCAACTCCCATATACTGTATTCATATTATAATATAAAGAAATATTAGTACATCAACACATCTTGGCTCTGGTTATTTGTCTGCAATAATCCAGGGCCGAATGAAGATATCACCATCGATGCGGTGCAAACGGGCTCTTGACAGATCGATGACTCGCGATAGTCCTCCTTGCTGTGGTGAGCCCTTGCTTTTATCCAGTGTTTAGCGCCTGCCAACACATGTGCCCCTGCGCATCTCTGATTTAGCTAAATCTGGTGATTAGAATACTGTCGCCTCTTATCGGTTGGTAGATAATATTTTATTGATTGCGGATAAGCATCGCATAGCATATCTGCCCTAAACCGCTGCCGTCCCCTTCTTCGTTTTAAGCCTAACTTATTTTCTCATCATCCCCACGTCTTCTTCAAATACTCATACGTCAAGAAAATAATCGCACTACTCGGCGCGCTCCGCAAAACAGTCATCCCGCACCCTCTATAAAACACGGCTACCCCGCCCGCGCGATACATCTCCTTGCCCACGCTCCAGAACCCGCGGTCGACCGCCGCGCCGGTCTTGCTTGCTGATGACGAACCGATCAGCACGGCGTCGGTTTGCATGCGCGATTTGATGCTGTCGGCGGGGAAGAGCGAGAGGTTATACGACACGCCTGCCACCGCGCCCGCGATCATCGAGTCCGTCATCGAGTTGCCTGATATCTGCGTTGTCGATGTCGATGTCGATGTCGATGTCGATGTGGATGATAGAGGGAGGCGACGACGGCGGAGAACACCGCTGACGTATTCGTACGCGCCGAACCAGGCTGCGCCGCCGCCGGTTTCGCGGAAAAAAGTGCCGAGTTGACCGCGCCAGAAGCCGGCGAGGCCGTGGTCGCGGTAGACTTGGGAGATTAGCGTGAGTGCGGAGGGGGGCGGTGCTGTGGCGGAGGAGTACGAGAGCGCGCGGACGGGGACGACGTTGCTTGTGTGGTGTTTTAGTGTGAGAGAGGAGGGCGAGCGAGTGGTGGAGGTAGAGCGCGAGGGGTCGTAGAGACGGAGGTTTGTGACTTGCATCTGGCATTTGATGAGCTCGATCGGGGTGAGGATGAAGGACGTGAAGGAGCCGCTGACGGCGCCGCACACGAGGAGGGAGGACATCGGGAGGTCGGTTTGAGGGGCGAGGGTTGGGTAGAAGAGGTAGCGGGCGGTTTTTTGCGCGAGCCGGTACTGTGGGTTGTTAGCTGGGGTAGATCAGGATGAGATAGGGTGCGCGTACGCTGAAGAAGAGAGAGGAGTTTTCAGCTGCTGCGCCGACGAGGGGGGAGGAGATGCCCTGGATGATTATTAGAATGAGATAGAGTAGAAGAGTAAGAGAGGAGTGAATACCCTGAAGAATCCATAAATGCCCTCCTTCCGCCACGTCTGCTCGAAGCAATCGAGCGGACCTTTGAATCTCAGAGGCACGCCATCAGGTTGGGATTGTAGCCTGACTTTGACGGTGTCGAAGGGGTATTCAAAGAGCTTTCCAGCTACTCCTGCGGTCTGCGAGAGTCAGTAGTGAAAGAGAGGTGGAGAGGTAGAGTAGAAGGAGGACATACGGAGCCAAAGGAGATCTCTTTGATGGAGTCGAGGGTGGAGGTGGACTCTTCCATCTACAGATCAGATATAGTAGAGGAGAGAGGAGAAGAGGAAGAAAAGAGGAGTAACAGAGAAAAGCTATCGCATTGGGGCAGCAGAGAAGATATAGAAAAACACAAGAAAGCCAAGAAAGGCAGACGGAAGAAGATGAAGGGTCTCGACCGCTGTTGTTTGCAAAGTTCCTGATTCGCGCAGCGGCAGCGGATGACAGCAACTCAAAATCAAGACGAGAGGTGTTTCAAGGGCGGAGGAGAAGAAGGTAGAGTTGGGGAGGTGGCAGGGGAATGGTCGAAGAGGTCTGGACGGTGGATTTGGTTTAATCCAGCGGTGGTCGGAGGGTTGTGCGTTCGTCTGCGGATGTGAGATGTGAGTAGTGTACGGACCGAGGCTGCACTGTATTCTTAGTGTATCTTCACTTTGCTGTGTTGTTGAAGAGCAGAGGAGGTGAAGATGCTGATATTGTCTGGTATTGTGCTGGTGGGGTGCTGGTGCTGGTGCTGATGCCCATGCTCAATGAGCTCGGGCAGCGTCGAGGCTCGAACCGGGAGGCTTATCCTCTTTGTCTTCTACATCTGCAACTACATCCACAACTACATCTACGTCAAGAAGATATCAACACCATCACCTACGGAAAGGCATCTACTCCTTCTTTATCCTGATCATTGTATATATAAGATATACAATATGGAAAATTTCAAAATTTAATATATTAGTCATGTCTTACATGAGATTCTTACTAACACCTCACTAATCAACCCCGCCTCGGTGTGGAGTAGTCGAGATACCTCCACTCATCACGACAGTCAACGACCCACAAGACCTCATTCAATCAACAGACCCCGGCAAATAAGCCCTCAGTCACTTCTCCCTCGGCGGCAATAACACGGCTGGTCGGCAACTTAGCGGTTGATGGCGGTGGGAAAGTAAACCGCCATCGTCGGTTTACCCCACGAACCGAGTGCCGATATGCTGCCGAGCGGGTTCAAATACTCGCCGCCGTCGTGGAGACCTTCTTCGTCCATCGTCTACTCCTCCTCTACTCTTACTCAGTATCGCCATGCCTCAGATCATCTACAAGTCCCACACCGCAGACATCCCGCTCTTCTACGGCTCCCTCCCCGACCTCCTCTCCTCCTCCCCCTACCACCTCAACCGCGGCCACCGTCCCCTCGTCACCGACGCTGCCACCGGCCTCACCCTCACCATCGCAGACCACTACCGTCTCGTGCGCGCGCTCGCCGTCGTCCTCAAGCGCAAGTACGCCTTCAAGCGCGGCACAGTCGTCGGCCTCCTCATCCCCAACCACGTCTACCTCGGCGCGCTCCACCACGCCATCCTCTGGGCGGGCGGCATCATCAGCCCCGTCAACTCGGCATACCAGCACAAGGACTTTTCTGATCAGATCGTTGCCGCCGGCGCTGACTTTGTCGTGGCCCTCGACGGACCCTGGCTCACCGTCGCGTCCGAGTCCCTCGCCCAGATCGGCGACCGCTCCACCAAACTGCTCTCCTTCACCGACCTCACCAACCAGGCTCTGAGCAACCTCTCTCTCGGCGATGGCCCCGAAGGCGACCCTCTCCCCCTCGACCGCCCGTCAAAGGAGACCGTCGCGTACCTCTGCTTCTCGTCCGGCACGACCGGCAAGTTCAAGGGCGTCATGACCTCGCACTACAACCTCGCCAACAACGTGCTGCAGTCCGTCCTGCACTCGCAGCACACCTTCACCCAGTTCGGCGTCTACGCCGGCTTCCTCCCGCAGACGCACATCTACGGCCTGCAGACCCATCTGTACGTGACCCAGTACCTCGGCGCGCAGCTCGTCGTCTTCCCCAAGTTTGTCTTCCCGGACTTTTTGCGCGCGGTCGAAAAGTACCACATCTCGCACGTCAACGTCGTGCCCCCGATCATGGTCCTGCTCGCAAAGTCCCCGCTCGTCGACCAGTACCCGACCATCAAAGACCACCTGCGCGTGCTCGTCTCCGGCGCCGCCCCGCTCTCGGAATCCCTCGCGGCCGCGGTCTCGGAGCGGCTGGGCGAGGGCAAGATCTGCATCTGCCAGGGCTACGGCATGACCGAGATGTCGCCCGTTACGCATGCCACGCCCACAAACAGACCAGACACCAAGATCGGCACGATCGGAACGCTCGTTCCAAACGTCGAGGCCCGTCTTGTTGACCCGGACACGCTCGAGGACGTGCCGTACGGTGGACCAGGCGAGCTGCTGTTCCGCGGGCCGAACGTGATGATGGGGTACCTCAAGAACGAGGCGGCCACGCGCGAGTCCCTGATTGGCGACGGCTGGATGCGCACGGGCGATATCGCGTCGATCGACGAGGACGGGTACTACAAGATCGTCGACCGCGCAAAGGAAATGATAAAGTCAAAGGGCTTCCAGGTCGCGCCGGCCGAGCTCGAGGCGCTCTTGCTCACGCACCCTGACGTCGCTGACGCGGCGGTGGTCGGGCACTGGTCCGAGGAGGAAGCGACCGAGCGGCCGCGCGCGTTCGTCGTCCTGCGTAATGGTGGGGATGCGGAGAAAGTGCATAGATGGATGGACGAGCGCGTTGCGAAGCATAAGAGGCTTTATGGTGGCATCGTCGTGCTTGATGAGATTCCAAAGAGTCCGTCGGGTAAGATCTTGCGACGCCTGCTCAAGACGCGCAAGGGCGATAAAGCGACTGTGTACAAGAGCGTGGTTTCGAAGTTATAATCAGTGAAGAGTGATATAGTGATAAACTGTTTGAATATTATAAACTCGCATATGACAATAACAGACCCCATCAACACCGAAAGCAATATCTAAGCCCACAAGAAAACAAGAATACACAAATAGAAGAAGAAAAAGAACTAGCCAGACGTATGTGACTCTTTAAACGGATGCGGCCGGCCCTCGCTCCCAGTCTCGCTGGCATTGCTCTCGGCCTCGAGCTCGTCCTCGAACCTGATATGTCCCGTAAGCTCGCCCGCGGCCCCGGTCGGCGGATGATTCCGATGCTGCTTCTCGTGCGTCAGCCCGTTCTCGTCCACGAGCGGCTGCAGCTCGGACTTGCGCGGGAAGCTCGACGGCGGGAACCGCGACACCACGATCTCGACGATATCCGACCACTCGCGCATGCCGCCCATGCCGATGTCGCCGCACGCGAGCACTTTCTCGACAGGCTTGAGGACCTCGATCCACGGCATTTCGTCAGAGATGAGGCGCAGCTGCCGCTTTGTTATCGGGTTGTTGTACATGTATGTGTTCATTGCGGGCGCGAGCAGGATCGGGACCGCGGGGTTCCACGCGCGCACGGCAGACGTGAGCAGGTTGTCGCAGAGGCCGCCGGAGATCTTTGCGAGCGTGTTGGCCGACAGCGGCGCGATCAGCAGCAGATGCGCCCATCTCCTCAACTCGATGTGCACGATCGGATCCGAGCGGTCGCCCCACGTCGTCCACTCGTCCGAGTCGCGCCAGAGCCGGATGGCGGCCGGCAGGGGCTTATCCGCCGCGGGCAGAAAGCGCTCGGCCGAGCTCGTCACCACGATCTGGATCGAGATCCGCGAGGGCTCGTAGATCCTGTACAGTTTCTCGACGATCAGCGGGATCTTGATCGACGCGACCGAGCCCGAGGCCGCGAGAAGCAGGTGGAACTTGCCGTCGTTGAGCGGCAGGTTGGGGTGCGGGGCCGACACTTTTGGCTCTGTCTTTTCTTCGGACGGCGACGGCGGCGTCGGGAGGTTGTCTGCGAAGGACACCGACATTGTGTGTTCTGTGAATGCAGTCTGTGCAGAGCTGTGGAGTGCAGAGTAGTGCTGTTCTGTGGTTACGTGGTTCGAGATCAGAAGCAGCGAGAACCGAGATATTGGGACTGGGGCGTAGTCACATGACTAATTGCTTATGTCATGTTTACTTATTACTATACGTAAGCATACGTCACCACCGCTCCACTCCTCGAAGCAGGAGCAGGAGCAGAGCAGAGCAGCAACAGCAATGGATCCTCCGCTCATCGTAGCCGACCTGCTGGCGACGGCGATCAGCGAGAAAGAGCAGCGGCAGCAGACGAAGGAGTCTGCGATCCGCGAGGCCGTGCGGTGCCGCGACCGGCGGACGCTCGTGAAGCTTGCGCGGAGCAAAGGCGGGCTGGTCAATGACTCTTTGCGGAAGCTTGCGTGTGAGTTGTGGTGATGAATTGTGTAGAAGTGCAATGCTGATGAAGTGCTGCAGGGCCGTTTCTTTTAGGATGCGACGCCGACGCGTTCCAGGATCCGGACTGGAAAGTGCTGCTGCCGGCGCACCCCGAGGAAGCCCAGGTCAGGCTCGACACCGACCGCGCGTTCCACTTCTACCCCGAGTCGCGGACGCCCTCTCCCGCGACGTCCGACGATCTCCTCCGCGCGGACCGCGACGAGCTGTTTGATGTCATCACGCACGTCCTCAGACTACACCCCTCGCTCAGCTACTTCCAGGGCTTCCACGACATCGCGCAGGTGCTCTACCTCGTCCTCGGCCGGCGCCACGCCGTCACCGTGCTCGAGCACCTCAGTCTGACGCGGCTCCGGGACTTCATGATGCCTGATATCGAGCCCTCGGTCGACCATCTGTCGCTGATTCCCGCGCTGCTGGCGCAGATCGATAGGCCGCTCGCGGACGTGCTCAGGTATACGAGGCCGCATTACGCGCTGGCTACGATCTTGACGATGTTTGCCCATGTCGTTGAGTCTTATTCTGAAATCACTCTTGTTTTCGACTTTTTCTTCTCGGCGGCGGATATGGCCTTACCCGTCTATCTCTACGTGGTCATCCTAATCAGCCGGCGCGACGAACTTCTATCATTCCAGAAAAACACACAAGCAGACCCAGAAAAAGAACAAGAACAAGACGAAGAAGATATCCACGAAACAGCACAGATGCTCGAAGCCACAATCTCCCGCTTCCCACAACCGCTCCCGCTCGCGCTCTCGGACGCGCTCTCCCGCGCGCTAGCGCTATGGATGCAATATCCCCCGCACACACTCACCCCCGCGTACGACAAGATCTCGAAATACTCTGTTTTGAAGACACTCCGCGAGCCCACGGCGGCGGAGGATATGTATTCCGGCGTCGAGCAACTCGACGGCGAGGACGAGAAGCGCATGGTCTCGCGACGGGAACGGATCCGCCGCCGCCGGAAACGCATTCAGGAGTCTTCCACCTCCTCCTCACCCAGACCATCGCGCAGACCGTCCTCCGCGTCCGTGGTCGAGGAATACGACTACATCGAGCTCGACCGCGTGCACAAACCCGCAGACTACACCGCGCTCGACGCGCTCGTCGCGCGGCAGACGAGCGAGTGCAAGAAGCGCGCGGCCCGCGAACGCGCGCGGGTCGAGCGGCAGCGCGCGAGGGAGGCGCGCGAGAGGAAAAATAGGGCGGTTAGGGAGCGGAGGAGCGCGACGAGGAGACTGGCGGAGCAGATTCCGGGCGCGGTGGCCACTTTGTATCGGCGCGGTGTGGGCGCGGAGGAGGGGGGTGAGGAGAGTGGGGAGGGGGGTGAAGGGGATACGTTGGACGGAAGTATTGTTTTACTTGGTAAGCCAGCAGATATGCAGCAAGCAACCTCCTCGTCCTCGCCGACCCTCTTCACAGCCTTCCGCCGCGCGCGCCCGCCAACCGCACAAGTCAACGGCACGGCAACAACGCTCGGCGGCGTGCGCCGGTTCAAGTTTGCGGACGCGCGCAGGACAATCACGGCCTTGTCTCCCTCGTCGATGATGGCTGCCATCGGTATGGTCTCTTTTTGTATCGGCGTTTTGAGTTGGTGGGTCTCGTGGTTTCTGCGCAGGGATTATTAGAGATTAGAGATGTAGAATGTGTGTAAAATGTTTGGGTAGGTGTTATGGCTAGTGAAGTATATTCCACAATACAAAACAAAACAAAACAAAAAACTAAACTCCAAATCCAACCTTTTCCGTTCTTTATATCAGACCTTATATCAGTCTACAGCAACTCACTTCCCGCACTCTCCTTCGACGCCACACCAGGCACCTCGATCTCCAACCCCTCGAGCACGTCCTTATCCGCGCTCTCGTCATCATCCTCTTCTTCCTCCTCCTCCTCCTTGCGCCGCCGCTCCATCTCCTGCTGCTGCTGCTTAAGCAAGATCTGCTGCTGTATATGCAGACTCTCTCCCTGCGCGGCCGCGGCCCGGATCGCCATCGCGTCCTCGCGCGCCTGCTGCTCACGCGCCTGGCGCTCCATCTCGTCGATACGCCGCTTAACTTCTCCCGCGACGCGCACGCTGTCGGAAACAAGACTGTCAAAGAGCTCGCGCAGGGTTCCCTTTTGCCGCAGCGCGCCCTTGGCAGGAGTGACTTTGATTGAGTCGGCAAAGTCGTGGGTGAAGAACCGCTCGAGCGCTTCGTCGGCGAGGACGACCATTCTAAAAGTCGGCAGGGTGATGTGCCGCGGGTGGTTCGGGTCCAGCGCGATGTTTGCTTTCGTGGCGGGCGCGTCGATTAGTTGCGTTGAGGCGGGGAGGTCGTCGGGAGTGGCGTATTCGAATGCGCGCTGGATGAAGGCCGAGACGGAGGAGAGGTAGTCGTACTGTGGGGTGGGCGTGGCAGAGGCGTTGGGATCAGAGGCGTTGGGAGTAGATGAGGAGGAAGAGGACGAGGTCGCGGTCGGGGGCGGGGAGGACGAGGAAGCAGTGGCGCCGTCGAGGTCAGAGACGACGCGCGGGGTGAGGTTGCGGGTGATGTAGAGCAGGCCCTCGGACATTTGCAGGATGCCTTCGCGGTCGACTTTGCCGTCGCCGTCCTCGTCGTAGAGTTCAAAGAAGTAGGCCATCGCGCTCATGATGTCTTCCTGCTTGATTGCGCCCAGGCCGGTGACGACGTCCTGCAGGGTAAGCCCGCCTTGCAGCTCGGTGTCCCATCTGTGGAAGAGGCGCGCGAGGAAGTCGTGGGGTTCCACCGCCCACGATGCCAGCCCGTGCATGAAAATCTGGAAAGTGTCAATGTCCATGTAGGGTTTTGTCGGGCCGAGGCCGAGACGGGAGGACTGCAGGGCCTGGAAGAAGCGGTCGTAGACGTTTGAGAGGTCTTCGGGCGTGAGCTTTCCGGTTTTGTGGAGGTTTCGGAGTTGCGTGCGTTTGGCAAAGTTCTCGATCCCGTCGAGGACGTGGGATTTGTGCTTGCGGCGTTGCTCGGAGATGATGTCGTCGGTGATTACGGAGAACTCGCGGAAGGCGACGACCATCAGTTCTTGGAACTTTGTGACCTCGCGCAGTTTCTCGTTCTGGGAGGAAGGGTGCGCGGAGTCGCCGAGACGGGTGAAGTAGTCTTTGAGGATGGAGATGAAGGAGCCGTCGTCGCTGACGTCGAGGAGTTCTTCGCCGTTGATGCGGAGGATGGCGAGTCCGATCTGGAAGAGGACCTTGGGACCTTCGAGGAAGAAGACGTCGAGGATGCGGAAGGCAAAGGTCAGCGGCATCGAGTTCACGTAGAGGGATAGGAACCAGGGCAGGGAGACGACTGAGAGCTGGATGTCTGATTTGACGAGGTGGTCCCAGAGGATTGGCATCGTTTTCTCGACAAGGGCTTCAAACACGCGCTGGTCGAGAAGGGTGCCGTACATTGTCTGCGAGTAGTAGCCGGGGACGAGGTGGTCGCAGAGCATGGACAGACACCAGAAGGCTTGTTCTTCGCTCATGTAGCTGGTAAAGTTAGTATGAGAAGAGAAGAGGAGGAGAGTAGAGACTTACATGAGGAGAGCGGCGACGACGATGTTCATGGCTTGGCAGTATCCGACCGACTCGTTTCGCCAACTGTAAACAGTGAGGACGCGTCTGAGACGCTCGATACCCTCATCGGATTGATAAGCAGGATACTCTGGCAGAGAGCGATTAAGATCCTTTTCGATTTCCTCGATGGCGAGGGACGTGCGGCCTTCAAACTCCTTCTGCAGACTGGTGTAGAGATTTGGGTTTGCGAGACGGAGAAACATTGAGCCTGAAGTGAGTTCCCAGATCTCGCCGCGGAGAACGTTGGGGAGACCGACGCGGATCAGTTTCTGGAAGGTCGGCAGGCGGACGAGGGTGAGGTTGCGGCCGTGGTCGCGCATGTATTCGGCCCAGAGCCGGAGCTTTGACTTGTCGCGTAGTTTGCGGGCGTCGCCGGGGTATTTGAAGAGCTGGCCAAGGCCTCCGGGAGGGGGATCGCGTGAAGAGGAGGATGAGGAGGTGCGGATCTGCTTGGAAGGGGAGAGGGCAGGATCGGAGAGCATGTACTCTGAGTAGAGGGTGGGGAGGAAGTCGCGTAGGAGACGCATGCGGGACATGTTTGCGCGGAGGTTTGCTTTGAGGCGGGCGCAGAAGTCCTCGATCTGAGAGCGCAGACCGACGAACTGGAGATTGAGCTTGTGGCCGTGCATGGTCTCGATGAAGAGGGCGAAGAGGTAGGTCTTGGAGGCGAGACGCTCGACGCGCTTCATGGCGACGAGGGGGATGGCGAAGGAGCAGGCGCGGGGCTCGATGGAGTCGAAGACGAGGAAGGACTGGGAGAGCATGAGTTTTCCGGGAAAGAAGATGGAGGAGGAGCGGTCGAGAGAGAGCTCGATTGAGATGGCGGCCTCGAGGACGGCGTCGGGGGGGAGTCTGAAGGAGGACTGGAAGATCTCATCGCGGGAGGGTTTTGGCTCGGACTTTGCGGGATCGAAGAGAGAGAGAGAAGCGGCTTTGGAGCGGATTGTGGATAGGAGCGACATCTCGCTGGATGAGCAGGAAGACGAGGCGGTGAGGGGGGGTGGGGGAGAGGAGGAGGTGGTGAAGCAGAGCAGGTGGTGAAGCTGTTGGGTCGCATCCGGAACTGCGCAGCCAGGAGCCGCAGAGGAGTAAGAGATTATGTAAGCCTGCTATGAGTGAAGATGTTTGTGTATTTAATTGTATTGTAGTTGTTATGATACATCTACTACGCCTATAACAAGAACAAGATAACAACCTCCGACTAACGGATCAGAAAGTACAGCAGCGTCCTTATACGTAACAAGAAGTGCGCCGAACGCCATCGTCGTGTGCATCTGGTCCACTGAGCCCGACTGCAGCCCTCAGTTAAGAGTGAACAAACACAGCTCGACTGAGATCAGACAGAAGAGCCCGAGTACCGCATCCGATAACCAACGCCTGTGTTTTCATCATATTTCTAACGTTAAAACGTCGGAAGGTCATTGAAGAAAAAGAAGAAAAAAAGAGCGGAAGAAGGCGCGAGGCGGGTTTAAATAGTTGCTGTGCACCGGTTTCTGTGCGTTTGTGCAGCGGAATTAAATTCTTTTTTCTTTTTTATTTTCTTCTTCCGTCTCCTCCTCCTCCTCCTCCTCCTCCTCCTCCTCCTCACTTCCTCACCACAGGTCCGCCGCAATGCTCCTCCCCCGGATCTCCCCGGCACCGGCCCATCCGAGCCGTGTGTTCTTCAGATCCTACGCCGCCCGACGATTCCCTCGGGACGCCCACATGGCCCAGGACTGGCCCCGTGTCGAGAACAACACCTACACCCGCTCAAACATGCTCATCTTCCTCGGAGAGCAAAGCGTCAACGGCGACCATCCCGAAAACTTCTACTGCTACGCCCCCAAAAACAACGTCCCAAAGTATCTCCCCCAAGGCTCCGGTCGCCGCAACCAGGCCCTCTTCCGCAGACTCAACCGCCTCGCCAGCGACAGACTCAACGGCAATGCCTTCTTCGCCCCTCGCGACCCCGACAGCGTCAATCCCCTGCTCCACAACGACCCCTTCGACGCCGTCCCGAAAGCGGTCCACGACGAGGACCTGCTCAAGCCCTTCCCGCTCAATCCCTACGTCACCACCGGCTTCATGCTCTCCGATATGCTCAAGAGCGCCATCATCAAATCCCACGAACGCGGCGAGTCCAATATCGTCATCAGCCAGCGCTACGGCATCAAGCTCGCTCGTGTTGAGGCCACAATCAAGCTAGCTGAGCTTGAACGGGATATGGAGAACGAGGTGTGTATTCTCTATTCTTTATATCTCTTTCGTCGAGGCGGACGAGCAATGATGAGACATAAAAATTCGATTAGTCTTGAAGACACTACTGGTTAAAACTTTTACAATCCTGACCCTCGCCCTCCTCGACCTCTCTTCTTTCTATTTTTCTTAAGCTAACTCTCTCAGGGCAAAATTACCCCCGACATGGTTCGCTTCGACAACCGCATGAAGCTCATGTTCCCCCTCACCAGCGGCCACATGTCGCAGGCCGACTTCCAAGACCCCGACGAAGCAATCACGTTCGAACTCCGAGTAGCTTCGAAACGGGATTCTCCCAGCGATACCGAACCCTCGTTCGACCGGTCTGGGAATGACAACATCTACGAGTACGTCGTCCCTCCCAAGGCCGACAAGCAGATCTACCAGTTCCTGCCCGAAGACGAGGTTATTACTACCGACGACGCGGCCAAGATCTTGGGCGTCGAGTCCGCTGAGTTTTACGTCGATGAGATGGAGAACTTGTCGACACAGCGTGTCTCCTTCGCTGGCGTGCCTGAGGAAGATCTCCCGAGCGCGGTCTGCGATTGGAAATTAGCCACATCCAACGGCGTCCATGAGGTTGAGGTCAATACCAGCAAGGACCGGTTGTGGGTGTTTTCTTCCGCCAAGGTCGGTAAGGTTGGTTATGGATATGGTGCTCGGGATGATGCGCGTAAAAAGTATCGCAAGCACAAGGATACCAGACTGAATTATGCTTAGATGCTGTGTATGTATATAGTTAATAATAAGTACAGAATTTGTATATATCTCTAAAGCTTGCTTCAGTAATCTCTAAGCAACATAACTCTCCAAAACCTCTCTAACAGCCTCCACCTCTCCCTTCTCCCACTCGGTGACCTTCCCCTGCCACTTTGCGCCCTTGCCTCCTCCCTTGACGCTCTTGACAACATCCTTAATCTTCGCCGCCAGTTTATCCGCACCACCACCCAGCACCATCAATGCCCCCGGACTCTTGACCTGCCCTGCCGCGAGCACAAGAAGCTGTCCTTCCTTGAGCTCGCCAAGCTCAGCCACGAGCGTCATCAGGTAGTCCAATCCCACGTCCGGACGGTAGACAAACGCTTTCTGCGTGCTCTCAAGCGACGCCCGCACACTCGCCGCCTCAGACGCGACGACGTCGGCAACCCACATCTTCTCCCGCTTGAGCGCGTCCCTTAGCAACCCTTCAAGCCGGGCGACCTTGCTCTCGATCTCGTCGGTCTGGCATGACAGTTTTGCGTTCAGTCTGCGCGTGAGCGCGTGGGTCTCGGTCGCGTACTTGCGCACGCGGTCGCCGATTAGGAAGTAGAGCCGGCTGTTTGTGCCTTTGTTGGGGACCTGGTGCAGAAGCGCGATTGCGTTCATCTCTCGCGTGTTGCGCAGGTGCGTGCCGCAGCATGGGTTCGCGTCCAAGTCGCCGATATGAACAACACGCAGAATGCCGCGCTCGGCGTCGTAGTCGTCCGGGAGTTTCTCTTTGTTGACGAGGTCCTTGTCCGGAACCTCGACCGTGATATCGAGGCCCTGGCGGATGACGTCGTTGCAGCGGTCCTCGACCTCTGCTACCTCCTCGTCGGAGAGCTTGCGCGGGAGCTCGACGTAGGAGAACTTCTCGCCGAGGTTCCATGCGAGCGTGGGGATCTTGCGTTCGTCGAGCACGGCGGAGATGAGGTGCTGGCCGGAGTGCTGCTGCATGTGGTCGAACCTGCGGGGCCAGTCGAGCGAGAGCGTGACGGGGGTCGAGGGCGGGAGCGGGGTGGGGACTTTGTGGAGAGCGGTGAGGAACGCTCTGCGGATCGCGAGGACCGGGATCGAGGTCTCTGCTGTCTTGATGAGGCCCGAGTCGGATGGTTGGCCTCCTCCTGGAGTGTCTGTCAGCGTCTGACCTCTGATCTGAGATGTAGAACTACTCACCCTCGGGAAACAGAATTGTATCCTTGAGCTCGAGCTCATACTCAACAGGCTTCTCCTCCTCAACGGCCTCTTTCTTGGCCTTTCCCTTTGCCTTGCCGTTTGTCTTTGCCGGCGCGCGCTCGACTTCGCGGCAGGAGACGACGGTGGTGTCGAAGGACTTGAGGTAGGAGTCTACCTGGCACGCGAGCGCGCCGACGACGGTGGATGTCATTGTGAGGGGCGTGCAGGCTGCTGATTTGAGAGTTGTCGCCATTGTCCAGAGTAGAGTAGTAGAGTAGAGAGAGTAGATATAATAGAGAATAGTAAAGAGAGCAGAGCAGAGTGGAGCCGAGGAGATATAAGCCAAACTCCCAACGAGACCTCCTCGAGCTCCTTTTACTTCACCACTTCACCACTCCACCACTTCACAATGAAGCACTCGGAAACACTGTGCGCGACCTCCTCTGCTCTTCTGCGGCTGGCAGGATACATCTTCCTGCGCTGGGTGGGTTCTTCCTCTCTGAATTGAGTGCACTCACGCTAACACCCCACAGATCCCCTCCAGCGCGATCCCAAACATCCTCTACGCGCTGTTCGCGGTCTACATCACCTCCTTCGTGATCTCGTTCAACAGCCAGGTCACCGACGACCCAGTACACAAGAGCAAGCATGTCAAATACCCCTCCGCCGCCGGCATCATCCTCGGCGGCGCGCCAAACATCGACCGGCCGTACCTCACCCTGCTCACCGTCTTCATCAACCTCAGCATCCTGCTCTTCTCCGTCGACCTCGTCTATACTTCTTTTAAGGTCATTCCCGCCATGGCACTCACGCTCACTCGCATAGGCTATGTCTCTTCTACCTCGGCGGCTTTTGTCGTGCGTGATCCGTTCTCGGAACAGGTGCTGCTGAGGTACAAGCAGATCCCGCTCACCACCGCAAACGTCTCGCAGGAGTTTGTCTTTGAGGAAGATGCCTGGAGCGGGTGGTCGCAGGTCACCGTCTCCGAGAGTAGACTGACTGAGGATGTGGATTATACTACCAGCATTGTGCTTAGCGAGCTGGCTCCGCAGACGAGGTACTTACTTTTGTTCTGTTCATGAGTATAGTGATGCTGACTGCGTAGATATGTGTATTCCGCCCCGGGACTCAACTCGTCGTTCGTCACTGCAGCCTCTGAAACCACTCCCGCAGGCTCATTCAGCTTTCTCGCCTCCTCATGCATCAAAGCGTAAGTCTCCACATCCACTCATACAAAACAGACACACTAACACAGCGCAGACGAGTACCCTACAGCCCATTCGACAACCCCCTCACCATCCACGGCTACAGAATCCACGCCTTCCTCCTCCCGACCGTCGACTTCTTCCTCTTCCTCGGCGACTTCACCTACGCCGACGTGCCCAAGCTTATGGGCACAACCACCGAAGCATACCGCCGGCACTATCGCCAGGTCTACGCGGACCTCAAGCGCTTGCTGTGGAACTCGCTACCTACAATCCACGTCTTTGACGACCACGAGATTATTAACGATTACGACCCCTTGTCGGTCGACCTTTACGAGCCCGCGATCGAGGACGCGTGGAAGCTGTACCAAGCGGCGGGGAACCCTGCGCCTGTGCGCGAAAACACGACATACTACGCGTTTGAGCGTCAGGGCGTGCCGTTCTTCCTGCTCGACACGCGCACCTACAGATCCGTCAAAGCCGACGTGGACGACGCGCAAAAGACAATGCTGGGCGCGCAGCAACTGCAGGATTTCCACGCGTGGCTGGTCGCGAACGCCGCGGCGCCGGTCAAGTTCGTGGTCTCGTCGATCCCGTTCACGAAGAATTGGAACGCGGGCGTGGATACGAAGGATACGTGGGCGGGGTACCTGCACGAGCGGGCAAAGGTGCTCGAGTGGATTAAGAACGAGGGGGGTGGCGGTGTTTTGTTTTTATCTGGCGATAGACACGAGGCGGCTGCGATCAGGTTCCCGTTCCTAGAGTCCGGGGAGAAGCACGCGAATGATGTCTATGAGTTCTCGACTAGTCCGTTCAGTCAGTTTTACGTCCCGATCCGGACACATTACCAGGTTGACGACGAGGACGTGACGATCATGTATCTTCCGAGTGGGAATTCCAAGGTGGGAAAAGTGGAGGTGGAGTATGATGAGGCAGGCGAGGTGAAGGTCGTCTATCGTCTGTTTATCGACGGCAAGGAGAGATGGGTGTGGAACATGCTACGAGGAAGCAACAGCTATGAGACAGAATGGACGCCAGGTCCGGTTTAAATACAATAGTGATATATATAAGAAAGAAAGAAACTACAACAAAACATGCGATATTTTACAATTAAGCCTTGCCGAGCAAGTGGAGAGAGACCGAGCTCTCGACGCGCTTCTCCTCAGTAAGCTGGTCCTCGTCCTCTTCGACGTCCTCGACCCAGCCGCGGCACTTCTCGACCGCGCGCTCCCACAAGTGGTACATTTTCTCCTTCTTCTTCTCGGTGATGGTCGGCGTGAAGGTGGTCTCGCCCTTCTTGTTGACGCGCTCGAGGTCGTCGACGCCCTTCCAGATTCCGACGGCGATGCCGGCGGCGATGGCGGCGCCGAGCGCGGTGGTCTCGCGGTAGGACGGGCGGACGACGTTGATGCCGATGATGTCGGACTGGATCTGCATGCAGACGTCGGAGTTGGACATGCCGCCGTCGACCTTGAGCGTCTTGAGGTCGTAGCCAGAGTCCTTCTGCATGGCGTCGAGGACCGCGCGGGTCTGGTAGCAGGTGGCCTCGATGGTCGCGCGGGCGATGTGCTCGCGCGTGGTGAAGTTGGTGATGCCGTAGATGGTACCCTGGGCGTCGTCGATCCAGTAAGGAGCAAAGAGGCCGGAGAAAGCGGTGACGAAGACGACGCCGCCGGCGTCGGGGACCTTTGAGGCCAGACGGCCGATCTCGTCCGAGTCGGAGATGAGCTTGAGGTTGTCGCGCAGGAACTTGACGGCCGAGCCGCCGACGGCGATGGAGCCCTCGAGCGCGTAGACGGGCTTGTGGCCCTTGAAGTTGTAGGCGACGGTGGTGAGCAGGCCGTTTTTGGAGAAGACGGGGGAGTGGCCGGTATTGTAGAGGAGGAAGAGACCGGTGCCGTAGGTGTTTTTGCCTTCGCCGACGGAGAAGGCCTTTTGGCCGACGAGGGCGGCGGACTGGTCACCGAGGCAGGAGCAGATGGGGGTGCCGGCGAGGGCGTTGGCGCCAGCAGCGACCTTGCCGAAGGCGGTGTCGTCGGAGGAGCAGATGAGTTCGGGGAACTGGATGCCGCGGACGCCAAAAAAGTCGATGAGGAAGTCGTCGTAGGTGAGGGTGTTGATGTTGAGGAACATGGTGCGCGAGGCGTTGGTGGAGTCGGTGACGAACTTGTCGCGGCCGGTGAGGTTGTAGACGAGCCAGGTGTCGACGGTGCCGAACATGAGGGTGCCGGCCTTCTGGGCGTCGGCGACGGCGGGGATGTTTTGCAGGAGCCAGACGAGCTTCATGGCGGAGGGGTAGGTGGAGAGGGGCAGACCGCAGAGGTCGAAGAGCTTCTCGGCACCGGGCTTCTCCTTGAACGCGTGGACGAGACGGGAGGTACGGGTGTCGGGCCAGGCGATGGCGTTGTAGAGGGGCTTGCCGGTGACGGAGTCCCAGACGACGGTGGTCTCGCGCTGGTTGGTGATGCCGATGGCCTCGATGTCGGAGGCCTTGTAGCCCTTTGCGACGAACTGCTCGACGGCGCCGTTGATGCAGGCATGGGAGGACTCGATGATCTCGATGGGGTTCTGCTCGTGCCAGCCGGCGAAGGGGTAGGACTGGGCGAATTCGATTTGGTGGGTTGCGTAGGGGGTTCCCTCGTCGTCGAAGATGATGAATCTGGGGGGAGGAGTTAGCGAGTGCATGTGATAGTGAGGGAGGAAGGAGGAGGAAGTACCTGGTGGAGGTCGTGCCCGTGTCGAGGGCACCTACGAAGCGAGGCATTGTGAATATGGTAGATAGAAGTAGAGAGGAGGTGGTGAAGAGAAGAGAGAATAAGAGGAAGAGGAGGAAAAGGGAAGGGAAGAGGTTAAAAGTGTTGCGGGGGCGGGGCCCCGGTCGAGGTGCTGCTCCCCGGCTCTGGTCGGAGGCTTCCTCCGGCCGGCCGTCCCCCACTCGGCGCGGGATCAGAGGCGGTTTAGAGGTGCTGGAGAGTGAGTTATAACAGTATTTGCATTGTATTTATTGTTAGGATGTTGTATTAAACGTGTATGAATGTTCTATTGCATCTGAATAAATGGCTGCCGGAAGAGATATCTGGGATGTGATACTATATCACATTTATCACTGCTAATCCACTTCCTGCCAAATCCTCAGGCTTCCCGACAAATCTCTTTTATAACTCAAACCCGGCTTTGTTTCAGGGTCCGGCCGTTCACGCGTCGTGTTTCCGAGTTTGTAGGGCTGCATATACCGGGAATAGTACTGCTGTATCGAGTAATAATACACCTGCTGCATACTATCTACATATTCGATATACGCATATATACATCTTAGCCATAGCTATATTCTACTCTCGGACTCGCTCTCTCGTCAGTTATACAGCGACCAGAGTACATTTCTATCTGGCCGCCACCTGCCGACGACTCCGAGCTGCTCATTATCGCCACCTCTGTCTGCACATGATGCGCACCAGAGCCGGCGGCAGCTCGACTTCTTGGTCCGCTCCCTCCGAGCGGCCTTCTCTCTCGTTCTTATACATCGCCAACCTTCGCCGTCCCTTCCGCTTCCGTGGGGGCGTGCGTTCATGATCGCAACTGCCCGTGCCCAGATCTGCTTCGGTCTTAGATAACCCTGCTGATTTCATTACTTAATACAAACATAGGACAGACATAGACATGAACCTCCAGAACTCCAGCCAAATTACTACACATCTCGTAGATATTCACATAAAACTCCCCCAGCCCGACGGCATCTTCTGCACCGGCTCCTGCAGCCCCGCAAGATCCTCCGCAGACACCGACACCGACAGCTTCGACATCCGCGCACTTATACTCGTCCCCATCGGACTTCCTTCCTCCACCGCATACTCCATCTGCTCAAAGCTCCCGCTCAATCTCCCTGCACTGCTCCGTCGCACCGTGCTCGTGCTCGTGCTGTCTTCGGGGTGGTAGGCCGAGAATTCGCCCATTATCGTCTCGACCTTTGTAGTCTCTGTGCTGCTCTTGCTAGGAGCTGCTGTGGTGGTGGTAGATGTAGTGTCCAGCGCCCGGTTCTCAAACACTACTCGCAACGTCCGAAATAGATAATACCGACCCGTGCTCGCATGCACCACATGTAAATGCACCGCCTGCCTCAGTCTCCCCTTCTTCTGACTCTGCTGCTGCTGCTGCTGCTGATCGTCCGTCACATACGTCTTCTGCCTCATGAACGTCCTCGTATTCACCGGCATCTCGCTCAAATCATACGGCACCAAAAACAACTTAATCGCCGTCCTACTCGGATTCGAAATCACAATCTGGATCTGTCCCGTCTTCGGTATCCGATACCCGTCCACCTTACTCTTCTTGCTCTTGCTCTTCGTCTGCTTCCGCGCCGTCTCCCGGTAATGACTCTCGAGATCAAGCTGCCCGACATACGGCGACCCCCCGCGCTCCTCCTCGCCCGACCCAAGCCAATTGTAATACACCGCGTCAAACTCAAGGCTCAGATGCCGCGGACACCGCAGCTTGGCCGGACACTCGTCCCCCGTGCCGAGCACGCCTATGCGCGCCACGAACGGCACCGCGGGTTTCTGGCTCGGCGTCGACGTCCGCCCGGCGAGCAAGGACTCTTCATACGAGCCCACGAGGGATTCGGGGTGGGGTAAGTAGTGCGTGAACGAGGACTGGCGGCGGCGTTGGAAGCGCGCATGGTGCACCACCATCGGCGGCGAGGACGACGGCGAGCCCCCGACGGTCGGCATGTGTTCTTGCTGCTGATGCTGCTGCTGCTGCTGCTGCTGAGATAGAAGACCCTGCTTGGTCTTTAGTTTGCTGTCGAGCCCGAGCGGACTCGGTGCTAGTGACGGCATTGCGGTGCTGGTGAGCTGGTGATGGAGTTGTGCTGGCCGAGGAGATATCAAATGACTCTTAGTGGTTTATGTTGGGTGTAGCCGTACCCTTCCTAATATAGCAATTGTCTGTACTCTCGTCCCCTGCTTAACTACGTCATCCCGAACTCCCAACGGCCCGAATCTCCCGACATTTCCCTAAACAGCAACTTCCTCTTCTGTTCTTTCTACTCTCTATCAGCTCTTTCTGTTCTGTTCTTCTGCTCTATCTACTCTATCTACTCTCTCTGCTCTCTTATCTCTCTGCAAACTGGCGAAAGTCTACTCCCTCAAATATGCCCTCGCAGACTACCTCACCCGCCGCTTGTCCCCCGCAAAACCGATAACCTCCCAATCCGACTCCCTCAATCCCTCTCCCTGTCCTCACCCCCACCGCTACATCTTCACCTCTCTCCTCGCATTCACCTTCCTGACGCTCAAACCGCCTCTCCTGCTTCTCTCTGATTTTCTGTCTCTGTTCAAACCCGCCTCCCCCGCGCAGTCCTGGCTGCTCTCCGTCGCCACCCCGCTGCCTATCCTCATCCTCCTCCACCCGCACCCCTCCTCCCTCACATTCGCCCAACGCACCCGCTACTCAAGCTACGCAAGCTCCCTCTCACCCTGGTGCGCGACCGCCGAACTCACCACCTTCCGCGCCCGCCGGCAGCGCGAGATCGCGTACGAGCGGTGGTACGCGGACTGGGCCGCCTTCTACAGTCCCGAGCATGAGGACGCGCGCCTGAGTTTCGGGAGAGCAGTCGGGGTCTGGGTGCCGCTGATTGTGCAGATGCTGGTGAAGTATCTTTTGGAGTGTGCGGAGGACGTGGATGTTTTGCTGGCGCGGGGGGAGGCGGTGAAATGTCATCGGCTGGCGCTGTACTGCTCGCATCTGCTCGAGACGCGGTCGTCGTCGTCTTCTACACCTATCATCGACCCCTGCGCGCTCTCGTCTCTAAATCTTTCAGCAGAAGACGTGGCTGCGTTTTTGAAGTTGGTGCTGATGGAAGTCCCAGCCGGCGTCGTCGGCAGCGCAGACGGATACTTTGCCATCGTCGACGCGGTTGCCTGTAATTCGAGCAAAAAAGACAAGAGGATCGCGGTCACGATCGCGACCTTGGGTAATCCGCATTCAAACCTCTTCATCGCAATCCTCTCTCTCCTCCACCACTTCCTCTCCCTCCCTCCCTCCTCCTCCTCCTCCTCCTCCTCCTTCACAACCTCATCTGACCTCCTACAAACCTACGCCCCGATCCTGCTCGGCGCCGCAATCGACCCCATCAGCGCCCTTTACCGCGCCCAAATCTCTGCTTTCGCACTTGATTTCAATCGCGAGCTTGATCTGCAGCGGTTTGTAGAAGATCACGCTGCGAGTGTATTTGCTGATGTGGTAGGGAGATGGGATGCCGTCGTCGCGGCTTGGGAGGCTGTGTTTTCGGTTGATGCGGGGGATGTCTGTTGAATTTTTTTCTGTTTTGAGGTTGATGTGTCTCTCGTTGAGGGAGAGGATGGGTAGATTTCGGTTTAGTTTATATTTTACTTTGTCAATTTCAAGCCAACGAATCCGTATCTACAATGAACACAAGCATCAACAAAACAAAACAATAACATTCATAGCCAAAAAGAAAAACACAGATATATATCATCATCACGAGAGAGACTCTCAAGCTCAGAAAAACTTGCTTTTCAAATATGACGTCGCCGCGCTCTTTTTCTGCTCGTTCAGGAAATCAGATAAATTCTACACTCAGCCGTTCGTTAGCATTTTCCACACATCTACAAATAAACTTGTGGGAACTCACCTTAACGTAATCACTCGATGCCTCCTCCAGCTTTGCAAACTGCGACTGCACATATCCAAGCCCCTCCCCCCGCTCGTCGACCGCGTCGCTCATATTCCCATACGCGCCTCCCCTCCCCACCGACCGCGACCCGCCCGCGCCCCCGCTTCCGCTCGCGTTTCCGGTAAAGAAAGAAGCGACGCGGTTAGGTTGCGAGGCAGTGGGCGCGTGGTATATCTTCTGCGTGGCCGCTAACCGCTGCTGTTCGCGCCGCGCACGCTCTTCCTCCATCTCCCGCTGCGAGCGGGGACGATGCGGACCGCCGATCAACAGGTCAAAGTCTTCGGGAGAGATATACCGCACGCCCGACATCCATTGCAGGTTACTGATCGTCGGTCTGGGCGGCTGCACTTTCATGACGTCGTAGAGCGCGTCTTTGGTCGCGTTGCCGCTGCCCGCGACCTGTTTCGGCGCAAGCGCTTTCCCCCAGATATTGAACAGCGCAGACTCGTTCTTGCCAATCCCCAGCAGCACGTCGCCGTTGAGCGAGACCAGGCTGCGCTGCGCGTACCGCACGTCGTAGTATTTCTGCGCGGAAAGGTGCGTGAGTTCTTTCAAGCTCGGCAGCGCGTATATCCGCACGTATCCTGCCTCCGTCACGCAAGTCAGCACGAGCGTGTCGCCCTGGCGCAGCAGCGACAGACCCGCGACAAGAACCTTGTCGTCAAAGGTCCTGCTCGAGACCTTATTCTTCGGTAACCGGATCACGCGCGCTTCGTCCGCCATGACCGCCACCACCGCGCCGTTGATGACGATTCCCTGCGCGAGTTTGCCGAGGATCGTCGGCGACGCGACCGCAGACACGCCATAGTCTGTATCGAACGGGATCACCGCCAGCACGCGGCTCTTGAGCTGCGTCGCGCCCACAAACTGCACGACGTGCTGTCCGCCGCTGTTTCCGGGGGCGCTTTGGCGCCGGGGAATGACGCGGAACGTGAGCAGTCTGCCGAGCGAGGTGCCGACGCTGAGCACGATCGAGGAATACGAATCGCCTTCGAGCGCCATCAGCGAGAACTCGATCGCGGTCGGGACCTCGATCGGGGGCAGGCCGCTTGCGGTTGCTGAGCGGCGGTTGTTGCTGTTGCCGCTGCTGTTGCTGCTGATTGATGGGCTGCGGACCATTTTCTCCACGGAGAATTTCTTGTTGGATGTGCTGCCGTGGTTGCTGCTTGCGTTGATGTCTCCGGTTGCGCTGGCTAGAGTTTCGAGGTAGATGAGCGTCATGCTGCGGAGCTCGACTACCGCAAGCGAGCCAAACTGGTATCCCACCGCGAGGAAGCCGATATCACTGTTTTTGATCGCGGTGATCGGTCCCTGCTGGGGATTCAAGACAAAGATAGGCAAGAATCCCTCTTTCACACTCGGATCCACTCTATCCGACACATGCTGGATCATCGCCGGCCGTCCGTCCGAGCCAATATTCAGCGCCTCGAGCCTTCGCGCGGTCTCGCCCGGCGTTCCGGGCCGATTGAGGCCGTACTTGAAGTACACCATCTCGCCGGTTTCGCACGCGGCCGAGATCTCGCCCATCTGGCCGGCGAACGAGATGTGCGACACGCGGACGTCGACCGAGCGGCCGATGGCGTCGGCGATCGACATGTCGAGCACGACGCTGTCCTCGATCTCGCCGTGCGAGGCGTCCCAGAGACGGACGTAGCCGTCCGAGTGGCCGGTGGCGATGATGTTGCGCATGTCGAAGCGGCGCAGGCGCGAGCGCGCGGGCGCGCCGCCGATGATGATGGGCGGTAGCGAGGACTTTTTGCGCGCGGCCATCATGCCGACCCATTGCTCGCGGCGGACGGCGGAGACGGTGACGGCCGTCATCCGGGGTTGGATCCAGCATAGGGAAGGGGGGAAGATCTGCGCGACGGGGAGGGCGGCGCCGGTGGGGTACTCGATCGAGTAGAGCTCGCCGGAGGAGAGGATGGCGACGAGGGCGAGCGGGTCCATGTTGCCGGCGTAGAAAGGCGACATGCGCGGGAGCATGATGAAGTCGACGGGGTCGGCGCCGAGGGGGACGGGGTAGATTCGCTGGCGGCGCGGTTGGGCGTAGTGCTCGCCCATGGCGGCGTAGGACGTGATTTTGACGGCGGGGGTGGGGCCAAAGTCCATGTATGTCATGCCCCGGAGCGGGAGCTCGGAGGACTCGCCGCCGGCGATGATCAGAGATGTGTCTTCGGGGTTTGTGGTGCAGCACCAGGCCAGTCTGTAGATCGGCTCGCGCACGGGGATCTGGTTGCTTCGGGAGGAGTAGGTCGGGCTGGTGGGGGATGTGGGGATGATGTGGTTTGTCTTGCGCGGGATGTTTACGTCTGTGTCTTCGACGGTGCGGGCTTGCAGAAGCTTTCCCTCCTTTGCGTCCCAGAAGACGAAGGAGCCGTCGTCGTAGGCGGTGACGATGTGGTGGCCGTTCGGATGCCATGCGCCGTATGTGAGCAGGGGGAAGCGCGAGCGCTGCTGCGGCAGCTCGTGGAGATCGCCGCCAGGGGCGCCGGCGGGGACTTCGTACTGCAACACAAGAAGCATGTCGTCGTCGGCCATGGAGTAGACGACGGCGCAGCGCTCGTAGCCGACGAGCATGAGCTGGTAGGAGCGGGGGTGGATGGCGAGGAAGACGACGGGGGAGGCGGGCGCGCGGGGCAGTGCCGTGCGCTGGAGGTTGGAGATGCGGTAGGGCGTTTTTCCGCCGCGGTCGACGTCGTAGACGATGGTGAGGCCGTTGTCGAGCCCGAGCCACATCCAGTCGAGGGCCGGGTCGGATTCGACGGCGGTGACGGGGGCGGAGGGGGTGAAGACCGAGAGCACGTCGCGGGACTCGAGGGAGAGGACGGTGACGTTGTTGTTGCCGTCGACGGTGACGAGGTAGATGCCTTTGATGATCCGGAGATGGATGATGGGGCGGCCGGGGCAGAGATCAAACTCGACCTCGACGCCGGGCTGGCCAAAGACGTACACGCGGCCGTTGTCGGTTCCGGCCGCGAGGAGGGACTGGATGGGGTCGAAGGCGAGGACGGAGATGCCGCCGGCGATGCCAAAGCGCGCGAGCTAGAATATGAGAGAGTTAGTATGTGTTGGAGGAGAGTGTATGAGATATGAGATGCTCACGTCCTCGAGGCCGAATGCCTCCGGGGTCAGTCCAGAGGACAGATCGCGGCCGGATTTGTTTAGTTTGAGCATTGAGGAGAGAGCAGAGATGGGCAGACAGACAGTCTAAAGGAGACAGTCCATGATATGCTGTAGTAAGAATACAGTATCAGGATAGCAGGAATACAATACAATATCAGAAGCAATAGAAGAGCATCTGGTAAACACCGGAATAGCTGCGGCTGATCTGCTGTTCTTACGTAACCTCCGCAATCACGGATATCTCGGGTTCTGAACTGCTTCTACACAATGCAATCTACTCATTCAAAACAACCAGCTTTGTATTCAATCATTATATTACACCCGTTTATTTTTAAATGAAAACTTTTAGACCTTGATAGCGGCCTCGAGAGCCTTGCGGCGCTTCTCGAGCTTGGTCGTGGTCTTGGTTCCCATGATACCACCACCCCACTTGCGGCGCGACTCGTCGTGCTTCTCGACAAAGTTCGACTTGATGGCCGAAACAAGAGTGGCGAGCTCGGCCTTGTCGGCAGAGCGCACCTCAGTCAGAGCAACAACGGCAGCGGTCTTCTTGTGAACAAGGGTTCCGAGACGGGCCTTGCCCTTGACAATGGCGTAGGGGACACCCATCTTGCGGGCAAGAGCGGGCAGGAAGACAACGAGCTCGATAGGGTCGACATCGTCGGCAATCAGCAAAAGCTGAACCTTCTTGTTCTCGAGCAGACCAACAACGTGGTTGAGACCGTACTTGACAGTGTAGGGCTTCTCGGAAACCTCCTCCTTCTTCTTTCCCTCAGCAATGGCAGCAGCCTCCTTGGTGAGACGCTCCTTCTTCTCGCTCTTGGTCTCAGGTCTGTACTTGTTGAGGAGCTTGAAAGCCTGGGTGGCAGTGTTCTTGTCGAGCACAGTGCTGAACTGCGAGATGGCAGGGGGACCTTCAAGCGGAGCTTGAGGATCTTGCGCTGGCGCTGGAGACGGACGTACTCGGGCCACTTGACGAAGCGCGAGAGGTTGCGCTTGGGCTGGATGTCCTGGCCAATGCCGAACGAGCGCGAACGCTTCTCGATGAGAGGGTTCTAGAATATGTTAGACAAAAGTTTTCAACACAAAAGAACAGCTATGGACATACCTTAGGAGCCTTCTTGGCGGCCTTGGTGGACGGGAAGGGGGAGGGAGCGGGCTTCTTTCCTTTTGGTGGCTAAGTCATTGAGGACGAGTCAGTATTTTTCACACCGAGCAACTTGATAAGAAGAGTGCTTTTGAAAAAATCCTGACATCATGATCCTCTAAGAGTCCTTCTCTTTTCAGAGAAGAACTCAGCCTTTACTACGAATCTCTGGACGTGAAGTTGAGGTGAGTGTTTGCTAGCAAACCAGCGGCCTCCCACCTCTAGAAACAAGTTTCTCTTCACGTCGCAGGAAACACGGTTGTACGACCGTTTAAATATGCTATTCCCTCCCGTAGAAGAAGGAAAAGGCATACGCATCGAATGAATTCTCGACTGGCATCGAATCAATCAAACTCCGCAGGTCGAACAGAACACAGCAAGGACAGGACAGACGGGATTCATCAAAAGCATTGCTTCTCGCTGCAGTTAATCATAGTAAGACATCGGGATACTCACCATTGTTGCTGGTTGTTGTTGGAGTGTTGCTGGTACTGACGAGGATGGGAGAACTGCTGGCGTCGAGACAACTATCTGGTCGTCTGTTGCGTCGCCGTAGGGTTTGCGGTGACTGCGTGACTGCTATTTGTAACCCTACTTTAGACTGTAGGGTTAAACACACAAACCCCCCTGCTCACAAATAGGGTCACGTGGATATATAAAACCACGTGACCGCTGAGTTCCCAGCTCGGGGCCGGCGAGCGAGCGACGATGGGCTTTTGCGGGCTGGCTGGCTCTTGGCTTCCCGACCAGATCCGTCGCTGCTGCTTCTTCGTCCGCAAGAGCAGGTATCTTCTCTCTGTTCTCGGACTGTGTGTAAGATCAGTTTGTTGCTGATCCGTGCTGCTCTTGTGCTTTTGTTCGTTCGCTCTTGCGACTCGTCGGCGTTGATAGTTGCTCCGTATGGGGTACGACAAAGTAGTAAAGGTATTGTATTATCATTGCATTGTCTATCCGGCACCTACTTCTTCTTCTCAATTGAATACTGACTGTTATTTGTGTGCTTTAGGGGGCTACCAAGGTGAAGGTACTGCAACTCTTCTTCTCTCTCGTCTCGTCGTTGCGTGCTCGCTCTAACTACTCTATCATTCTATTGTATAGCTGGCGGCTCCCAAAATCAAATACATCGAGCCTATCCTGCAAGGAACCTCCAATGAAAGTGATTTGGAAGACATCTTTCGCACTCTCTCGATCCGCTTACGAGACTCTGCCTGGACGGTACTTATCCTCTTCATTGTTGATGTCTGATTGAGCGGCCGCTAACACCCCGGGCAGGTGGTCTACAAGAGCTTGATTGTCGTGCACATCATGATCAGAGAAGGTCGCAAAGACGTCACTCTCGAGTATCTTGCCCGTCACGGCCGGATGCTTGACACAAAACACATGACGTTCGAGAATGGTGGGTATCTTACTCCTCATCAGCCGTCGTTCTAGACTAACAGTCATAGCTGGTGCACATGCCGAGATCATCCACCGCTACAGCAGGTACTTACTAGAGCGCGTGCGCCAGTATGCAAACCTCAAGATCGACTACGTACGACATAAAAAGGATAATCCGACAAAAGGTCGTCTCCGAACACTGTCTGTCGAGAAGGGTCTCCTGCGGGAGATCGAAAGTGTTCAAAGCCAGCTGCATTATCTGCTCATGGTCAAGGTGCGCTTCTTCTGTGTTTTTAAATAGAGCTGCTGTTAACATCTATGTAGTACCCTCCCGACGACGACATCTCGTTGACCGCATTCCGATTTCTCGTTTTCGATCTGCTCGCGCTCCATCAGGCAGTCAACGAAGGAGTGATCAACATGCTTGAGCACTACTTTGAAATGTCGCATTACGACGCCGAGCGCGCGCTCGACATTTACAAATACTTTACAAAAGACATGGACGGCGTAGTGGAATATCTGCAACTTGCTCGGCGGCTCGAAAGCGCCACGAAGCTGTCGGTTCCCAATATCAAGCACGCGCCGACGTCGCTCACACAGAGTTTAGAGGATTATTTGAATGATCCCGAGTTTGAGATGAATCGACGACAGTTTCTTGCGCAGAAGGAGGCGAAGCTGGCTGCGCATCGGTCAGACGCTGACGAAACACCGCTCACAAAAGTGCTGGCTAGTGAGGGCTTTGCGCCGGTATCTCCTCAGCAGCCACAGCAACCACAGCAGCAGCAGCCAGCTCAGGTCGTGCAGCAGCCAGTGTATGTGGATCAGAATGGAATGGTTTTGAATCAGCCACCTTTCGAGCAGACGAATCCGTTCCCGGTGGCTGCTCAGCAGTTCCAGCAACCTCAGCAACCTCAGTTCCAGCAGGGCACGTTTACGGGGATGCAGCAAGGTCAGCAACAGGCACCGCTTGCGCCTGATTTTACTGGTGCTGGATTTGGAGGGTATACGAGTCAATCACAAGCGCAGAGCTATCCGACTGCTCCTCTGCCGATCCAGCCGCAGCCGACTGGGTTCATGGGTCCCGCACCGGAGAACGGATACATGGGTCTGTTTAGTTCGCAGGCCCAGCCGCAGCAGCAATCGGTTTTTATGACTGGTCAGCAGCAGCAGCCGTTGACAGCACAGCCGACAGGAAGTACGAACCCGTTCCGGCAAGCGACGACGTATACGGGTATTAGTCCTCAATTTACTGGATCTGGATCTGGATCAGGCACGGCGTCGACTTCGAACCCGTTCCATCTCGCGAGACCGCCGTCGTCGAATCTGGGAGCTGTGCCGGAGAATGGGGATGCGGCGCTTGTGAGCAGGTCTCCGACAAAGACGAATCCGTTTGCGATCCAGCGGTCTACGACGACTGTTGTTGCGCCGCCGATCCAGAGTTTGCAGGCGGCGCAGACGGGGAGCAATAATCCGTTTAGAAAGTCGACGTTTTAGAGGTGGATGCTATTAGAAAGCTGAGGAGGACTGTGTTTTGTCAAGGGTGGTATTTGCTTGTTCTGTGAGATTTGAGTCTGTAATCATACGAGAGAGAGAGAGAGAATGCATGTGATATTAGAGAGGATTGGGAGTAATATGTTTGTAATAATGCATTATCCGAACGCCGCTGTGTTGCAATAACTGACTTGGAGATGACCATCTACTTTGAAGCACTGAGGAGAGTTGTTAGTGGGCAGAAGTTGGAGGAAGATGAGAGATGAAGTACCTCATGTAGAAATCCGACCTCCTGATCGAGTGAAGGCGCAAAGGAGGAGTTTATATATACAAAAAGCGGTTCCTGATCCGAGAAGCGCAACTGTCGACGGAGGAACCTAACGACGACCTCAAAATGCTGCGACGACGAGATCTTTGCGACCGCGCGCGTGAGTCTGGGCGCGGATCCGATCGGTCGAAAGCGGATCTCGACTTTGCGGGGTGGAGCGCGGGCGTACTTGTCGAGAGCGCCGGCCGCGTCGCGCGGGAGGGTGGTGAGCACGACTGAGGCTGCGAGGGTGGGTTTTTCTTCGGGTTCTGGTTCTTCTGGGATTTCATTGTCTTTGGACTCTGTGTCTGCGTGTGTGTCTGGGTTTGTGTCTGTATCTGTGTGTGTGTCTGAGTCTTGCTGAGCGGGCGATGGAGATGGAGGAGTGTGTGCGTCCTGCTGCTGCTGACGATGACGAAACGACGAGCTGGCAGAGGACACCGACGGCGGCCGGTTGCGGAAGCTGCTGCGGATGTTTGTCGGCGGCGACGCGCTGCTCGCTCGGTCGTCCATGGCGCACCTTCGAGTTGAAGATGGATGCGATGAGAGCGATGAGGTGGGATTCCATGCTGATGTCATCACCACAATTCCCTTATTATGTGTCAGCATACTTATGTCAGTATGATTATGTCATCCCACCACCCCCTCAGCTCATGTCAGCAGGCGCCGACGAATGAGGGCGCGGTGAATGTCAGAAGAAAAAGGCTGCGGGTTAAGAACTGAAGACGAAGGTGAATTTGAGTTTTTCAGATCTTTTTTGTCGCAAAGAGAAAAAACTGGACCGCAGACAGAACATCGCAGAGAGAGCAGCTGTCTTTGTTTGTTGCAGATCCTGTTTGGTTCTCGTTGTTAAATATTTGGTTCAGGCTTCTGTTGTTGTATTCTTCTTGTTGCGTGTTTCTACTGTGTCTTGAGATATATCTACAGCCACAATGAGTGATCGGTTGACCAGGTACGCGTTTTCTCCTTCACGCGCAGACTGATCACAATCGAGTCATGAGCTGACCAAATATCTGTACAGAATCGCTATCGTCAATGCAGACAAGTGCAAGCCAAAGGTACGCTGGATCTATGCTGCGAATCTACTCCTGATCTGCCCAACTCACACTAACCCACCATCTACAGAAATGCAGGCAAGAGTGCAAAAAGTCGTGTCCTGTCGTCCGCACCGGAAAGCTCTGCATCGAGGTTGCGCCTGATCAGAAAATAGCATTCATCTCAGAAAACCTGTGGTATGTTTCCTCAAATTCCTTACATTTGACCTCCACCGCATCTGACATTTGATCCAGCATCGGTTGTGGTATCTGCCCCAAGAAGTGCCCCTTCGGCGCCATTCACATCATCAACCTGCCCACCAACCTCGAGAAAGAGGTCACCCACCGCTACTCTGCAAACTCCTTCAAGCTCCACCGTCTGCCCACCCCCCGTCCCGGCCAGGTCCTCGGTCTTGTCGGCACAAACGGTATCGGCAAGTCCACCGCCCTCAAGATCCTCGCCGGCAAACTCAAGCCCAACCTCGGCCGCTTCGAATCCCCGCCGGACTGGGAAGACATCCTCAAGTACTTCCGCGGCAACGAGCTCCAGAACTACTTCACCAAGGTCCTCGAGGACAACCTCAAGGCCATCATCAAGCCGCAGTACGTCGATCACATCCCGCGTGCTATCCGGGGGCCCGTCACCAAGGTCGAGCCCCTGCTCAAAGCCAAGCTTGAGCGCGACAACTTTGACAACCTCGTCGAGGCCCTGCAGCTGCAAAACGTGCTCCAGCGCGAGGTCGCTCAGCTCTCGGGTGGTGAGCTCCAGCGTTTCGCGATCGGCATGAGCTGCGTGCAAAAGGCCGAGGTCTACATGTTTGACGAGCCGTCGTCGTACTTGGACGTCAAGCAGCGTCTCGCGGCCGCGCTCGTCATCCGCAGTCTGCTGGCGTCGAACGTGTACGTGATTGTCGTCGAGCACGATCTGTCGGTGCTCGACTACCTCTCTGACTTTGTCTGCATTCTCTACGGTGTGCCCTCCATCTACGGTGTCGTCAGTTTGCCGTCGTCCGTGCGCGAGGGTATCAACATCTTCCTCGACGGAAACATCCCGACCGAGAACTTGCGTTTCCGCGAGGAATCGCTGCAGTTCCGATTAGCAGAGGCGGGTGACATGCTCATGATTGACAAGAGCCGGAGTTTCAAGTACCCGTCGATGGAGAAGACGATGGGCGACTTCCACATGCGCGTCCAGGCCGGCGACTTCACCGACTCTGAGATCATCGTCATGATGGGCGAGAACGGAACGGGAAAGACTACTTTCTGCCGTCTGCTCGCCGGCAGCTTGCTGCCCGACAACGGCAAGAAGCTGCCTGCCATGTCGGTCAGCATGAAGCCGCAAAAGATCTCGCCAAAGTTCCAGGGCACCGTGCGCCAGCTCTTCTTCAAGAAGATCCGCTCGTCGTTCCTGCTGCCCCAGTTCCAGACCGACGTTTGCAAGCCGCTGCGCATCGACGATCTCATCGACCTCGAGGTCCAGAACTTGTCGGGTGGTGAGTTGCAGCGCGTCGCTATCGTGCTCGCGCTCGGCCAGCCCGCAGACATCTACCTGATCGACGAACCGTCTGCTTACCTCGACTCGGAGCAGCGTATCATCTGCGCGAAGGTCATCAAGCGCTTCATCATCCACGCGCGCAAGACCGCGTTCATCGTCGAGCACGACTTCATCATGGCGACCTACCTCGCCGACCGCGTCATCGTCTTCGAAGGCCAGCCGTCGGTCGACGCGCTCGCGACAAAGCCCCAGAGCTTGCTCACGGGATGCAACAAGTTCCTCAAGAACCTCAACGTCACCTTCCGTCGCGACCCGGTCAGTTTCCGACCGCGCATCAACAAGCTTGATTCGCAGCTCGACCAGGAGCAAAAATCGACCGGAAACTACTTCTTTATCGACGAGGCTGCGCCGGCCGTGGTGGCGTCCGAGACGGCTGCTTGATTTTTTTTTTTATTAATTTTGTAAAGAGAGTTTGTATTTTTTTGTGGTTGTGTTGTTGTATGGCGTGGGTGTGAGTGGTCGAGTAGAGTCCTGACGGAGATATAGGAGATATAACAACGGGATAAGTTACATAATAACCAAATAAATAAATCAAAAGTATTGCTATATTGTTACACAGTCATTTAGAGTACTATACAAGGGCAATTAAATGCAAGATCAAGAGATGTCCATCTTTTCCTGGTCAGTCTCTGCAGTAGCTATGAATCAGTCAGTCAAGTCAGTCCAAGTTAAAGAGATCTAGATGGGCATACCTTCAGCTGCTGGCTCATTCTTTCCCTCCGCCTCTACAGATTCAGCGGTTGGCGGCACAGGAGTAGCTACTGGCGTACTCTCAGTAGGAGCAGCTACGGGCGTACTCTCAACCTCAGCAATAGCCCCCTCCTCCTCTCCCTCCTCATCCGCCATCCCCTCTCTGCGATCCTGCTCCTCCTTCTCATCCTGGATCTGCCTCCTCATCCCCGTAAGCGCGTTCATAATCTCATCAAACTGCGCGCGGCGCGCCGTCCATGTCTCGGCATACTTCGTCTTGATCGCCTCGAGCTCGCTGATCTCCGTCGTCAGCCGGTCGAGTGTGAGAAGCAGTTCCGAGCGCGGGAGGAGGTGGTCTGTTGAGTGCATTTTGCGGGCGAGGCGGTCGTATTGTTCTAGTTCGGCGCGGCGGGCGCGGGCGCGGGTGAGGTCGGCGTCGAGAAGGGTGGTGGTTTCGATGGAGTGGGTGTATGTGATTTCTGTGTTTGTCAGTATGTATTCTTTCACCAGAGATGGCAGTCTTTGTATTCTGTGGGGGATGGAGAGAGACGTACTTATTTCCTCGCATTGGGAGGCGTAGTGCGCTGATTCTGATTCACTAATCTCAATCTGTCTCTGCGCTTTATACAAATGCGTTTCGTAATTCAAGAGCGCGGATTCCAATCTCTGCTTTGCTTGATCACTAAAATTCAAAAGAACAATTAGTCGTTGATAGATATCAGTGCGAAGAGAGAGGATAAACGACGCACATTTCGTCCTGCGATGCGAACCGCAGGGTCGGCAGTGCTTGGATCTGCGTGAGTATCCGCTTGACTGCCGCATCTGTGATTGCTATCCGTTCGCGGACGACCTGGTCTGAAGAGGATGTTAGTGGGGGGGGTGTGCTTTGGAGAAGATGGAGGATGTGGAGGGTACCGTATATATCAGCCATTGCGAGGGAGAAGTGCACGAGGGGAGGTTGATGATATGTACTTGGAGAGTAGATGATATCTGTATAATGTGAGGCTATGAAATAAAATACTCAAAGTAGAGAATATAGATAAAAGTAGAGAATAAGTTATTGAACAGAATAAATCAATTAAAGCGATTTCCAGGGGAAGCAAAACCGCAGACCCAAAAAACTCAACTCCCAACACCACCCAAATAAATAAACAAACCTCCTCCTCGCCCTCCTCATCACCAACTACACACCCTCACTACACAGATCAGAGCGTCATGGCAGGAGGACTCACGAACGAGGATTTTAGAAAACTCGTGCAGAGTTCTGCGACGTCGAAGAGCGAGCATGAGAAGGAGGGAGACGGGGGACAGCGGCATCGGCATCATCATCATCATCATCATCATCATAGGTCTTCGTCGCATCGGGAGCATAGATCTGGACACCGGGATCGGCATCGTGATAGTTCTTCTAAGAAGTACGTGTTTATTTAATTCTCTGGAATATATAGGACGAAGACTAATGAGAAACATGTAGGTCACTGTCCTCGCAATCCTCATCCCTCGCAGATGCAGACTCATCCAAACCCAAGAAAGAACCCAAGCCGCGCTACCGCGACCGCGCATCTGAGCGTCGTCAGCATGCCGATTCAGAAGAAGACGAAGCAGCAAATCTTGGCCTCCCGCAACTCAAGTCCAGCGCAGGCGAGCACGAGAAACCTAAAGGTCTTGATTTCGAACTACTCAGAAGGGCGAAGCAGGGCGAGGACGTGCTTTCGGAGTTGGTGCCGGATGTGGCGTCGTACGCTACTGGGCGGAGGAGAGAGGAGGAGGAGGGAGGTGGGGATGATGCGGAGCTTGATATCGCGCTGGATCAGATTTTGGAAGGGGGGGAGTTGGAGCGTCATGAGGTTGAGGGGGCGCGGGAGGGGAGTAGGTCGAAGACCGAGTTACTTGCCGAGCTGCGACGGAGGGTTGCTGAGAAGCCTAAACCGAAATTCAAGCCGATAGGGAGGAATACAGCGGAGGAGGAGGAGGAGGAAGAGAGAAGGAGGCGGGAAAAGGAACGTGAGAGGGAGAAGGAGCGACGGAGGAAGATGAGGTGGGATCGGAGGTCGCCTGCGCCTACGGCGGAGCAGATCCAGCAGAAGATCGAGGAGGAGAAGGGAGTTTTTGATCGGACGCCGATCATCACGCCCGAGACTACGCCGAAGGTGACGGCGAAGGTCGGTAGTGTTGAGGCAGAGCGGGAGAGTGTCGAACTCACAGAGAGAAAAAGTGAACCGCCAAAGTCGGCTTATGTTGTGCTTGACGTGGGGAAGAAGAAGAAAGAGGATATACTAGCTGCTAAGAACGACGAGGACGACGATTCCGGAAGCGATATCTTTTCCGACGTGGGGACAGATTACAATCCTCTCTCTGACGACGGCGACAAATCAAGTGAGGAGGAGGAGGAGAATGTTGCTCCTAACAAATCATCGTCCAAGCGCACACGGCCGTCTGAAGAGGAAGATGCGAGACCAGCGAAGAAACACGATTACTTTGCGTTTTCATCCAAGCCATCGGTTGAAAAGTCAACTACTACCACCACCACCCCCACCCCCACCGCGACATCTCAGCCGACTACGCCGTCCACGCACCCATCAACGCAAATGATGGACCTAATCCAAACCGCCGACCTAACAGCGATGGCCAAGAACGTGCGAGCGCAAAAGGAAGAGTCGAAAAGGCAGGGTCTGGTGCCGCTGCAGGCGATGGGCGGGGACTACGATATCGACGATGATCTCGGGGGCGAGGGACGGTGGATCGAGGATGATGAGGAGGATTTTATTGGGAAGAAGGGGCCGAAGGGGAAGGGGGGGAAGAAGCGGAAGCGCTGATGATTTTTATGAATGTATGATACTAACAGTTGAGATGTGTAATGAGATGAAATAGACTGAGGATCTGATAAATTGCACTAAGAGCTAAGGCGTCCAGAGGGATGCAGACCAGATCAACGCGATTGCTCGAGCAGCGCTGGTGGCCCTGTCCGTCCAACCACTCAATTGACTTGTTCTACAATTGAATAACAAAAGAATAAACAACTCTTCTACTGATTATATTCTGAAAAGCAGATAAAAGACCTCTACAGCAGAAAGCACAGTGAACAGATCACTTACCCTACCTCCTCGCGGCCACGTAGTCCCTCGTCTGCCGCGCACGCAAACCCACCTCCTCGAGCACATCTCCGTCCTCAACACCGCTGCTCTCTTCTCCACTCCAGAAAAGAACAAAAACCCACCAATGCAGCTCCCGACGAGTCTTCCGCCGGCGGCCGCGAACGCGCTGCCGCTGCTGCGCACGCTGACGCTGTTCACGATCGCGGGCGCGGCAATTGCCTCGCGTCTGTTCTCGGTCGTGCGATTCGAGTCCATCATCCACGAATTTGATCCGTGGTTCAATTTCCGGGCGACGAAGTACCTTGTCGCCAACGATTTTTACTCGTTTCTGGACTGGTTCGATGACAGGACTTGGTACCCGCTCGGACGGGTCACAGGTGGTACGCTCTACCCGGGCTTGATGGTGACTTCGGCGCTCATCTTTCATGGGTTGAAAGCGCTTACGCTGCCGGTTGATATCCGCAATATCTGCGTCATGCTCGCGCCGGTGTTTTCGGGACTGACGGCGTATGCTACGTATTTGTTTACTCGCGAGATGAAGGATCACTCTGCTGGTCTGCTTGCCGCCGCGTTTATTGGCATTGCCCCTGGTATGACTGTCTTATGTTTTGAGCAGATTGATGCTTGAGGAGGCTTGAGAAGAAGACTAACAGAATAATAAGGCTACATCTCGCGCTCGGTTGCCGGATCGTATGATAACGAGGCAATTGCCATCACACTGCTCATGTTTACCTTCTACCTCTGGATCAAGGCGCTCAAGCTCGGCTCCGCGTTCTGGGGCGCGCTCACTGCGTTATTCTACTTCTACATGGTAGCAGCCTGGGGCGGGTACGTGTTCATCACAAACATCATCCCCTTACACGCGCTCGTGCTCGTGATTATGGGCCGCTACTCGAGCCGGCTGTATGTGGCCTACTCGTCCTGGTACGCGCTCGGCACGCTTGCCAGTATGCAGATCCCGTTCGTCGGGTTTCTTCCGATCCGGTCGAGCGAGCATATGGGCGCGCTGGGGGTGTTTGGGCTGTTGCAGTTGGTTGGATTTGCGGTGTACGTGCGTGCGCGGGTGCCGAGCAAGCAGTTCAAGGTGCTTGTCGTCGGATCCGTCGGCGCGCTGGTGGTGCTCGGAGTCGCGGGCATCGTCGGGCTGACTGTGAGCGGCGTGATTGCGCCGTGGACGGGCCGGTTCTATTCGTTGTGGGATACGGGCTACGCAAAGATCCATATCCCGATTATTGCGTCGGTGTCTGAGCACCAGCCGACTGCGTGGCCGTCGTTCTTTTTCGACACGTTCATGCTGATCTGGCTGTTCCCCGCGGGCGTGTACGTTGTCTTCCAGGAGTTGAGGGACGAGCATCTGTTTGTGATTATCTATGGAATCCTGGCGAGTTATTTCGCGGGGGTGATGGTGCGCTTGATGTTGACGCTGACGCCGATTGTGTGCGTGTGCGGCGCGGTCGCGTTGTCGAATATCCTTGATATCTACACGAATCTTGAAAAACCAGTGGAGGAGGAGGAAGAGAAGAAGGAGGAGAAGGAGGAGGCGTCGCCGCTGAAGAAGGCGACGACGTCGCTGATCGAGGACGAGGCGTCGATTCTGAGTCTGGGCAGCATGTCGAAGAAGCCGCTGATTGGTGTGTATTCCAACTGGGCGCGGGGGATCGTGCTCGGGATGTTTACGCTGTACCTGTATATGTTTGTGCAGCACTGCACGTGGGTGACGTCGAACGCGTACTCGTCGCCGTCAGTCGTGCTCGCCTCGCAGATGGCGGACGGGTCGCAGCACATCATCGACGACTTCCGCGAGGCGTACTATTGGCTGCGGAAGAACACTGCCGAGGACGCGAAGGTGATGAGCTGGTGGGATTACGGGTACCAGATCGGCGGGATGGCGGATCGGACGACGTTGGTGGATAATAATACGTGGAATAACACGCACATCGCGACGGTCGGGAAAGCAATGTCGAGTCGGGAGGAGGTGTCGTATCCGATTCTGAGGAAGCATGATGTTGATTACATCCTTGTTATCTTTGGCGGACTGCTCGGGTACTCTGGCGACGACATCAACAAGTTTCTGTGGATGGTGCGTATCGCGGAGGGAATCTGGCCGGAGGAAGTCAAAGAGCGGGATTTCTTCACCGCGCGCGGCGAGTACCGCGTCGACGCCGAAGCCACGCCGACGATGAAAAACTCGCTGATGTACAAGATGTCGTACTACCGCTTTGCGGACGTGTTTGGCCGGCAGCCGGCGATCGACCGGGTTCGCAACCAGCGGATCCCGAGTCCGATGCAGGACGCGAGCGCGGCGCCGATCGAGCTGAGCTCGGTCGAGGAGGCGTTCACGTCCGAGAACTGGATCGTGCGGATTTATAAGGTCAAAGAGCTTGATCCGTTCGGACGGGAGCATGCGGCCGCGACGGCGTTTGAGAGCGGGAAGAAGAAGAGCGGGGCGAGGGGGAGGACGGCGCCGGTGGGGGGGCATGCGAAGGGGCGGGCGAGGGTGTTGAGAGTATAGTCAGTGTGAGTGAGTTGTCAAAAGTGGTTACAGTGTATAGTTTAGTTTAAGTAAATGTGAGATTAGATTTAGAACTGTGAATTGAACAGTTCGTGCCCTGTTCTTTAGTCTTTCTATAAAATTTGACAGTGGTGACTGAGTCAGGAGATAAACTCGTTGAGTCTTCAGAGCGTGGATGCCACGCGACTCATCTTATGCTTATTCCACCTTAAAAGTGAAAGTAAAAAGTAGAGTAAACAAAGTAAAGTACAAAGCGTTTATTGCATTAGATTAGATTATTATAAAGTGTACAGGCTCTCGCGAGCAGAATTAGAGACGTAAAGTGACCAAAGATATAACAAAAAACATGAGAAAACGTGCACCATCAACCGTAAAAAGAGAGCAAAAGAAATTTAAAATGAAAGGAAGTTAGACAGCGCCGCTGACGACTTTGTCGTTGGAGGTGCTGCCGGTAGGAGCTTTATCGCTCGTGACTTCCTTCTCCTGCTCCTGCGACGAGCCCGAAGGGGCAGCTTCGGTGATTTCGACGCCGCCGCCGAGACCGTCGCCGAGGACGGAGCCGCCGGCGTTGATGTATCCTGCGGCGCGGAGGGTTTCAAAGAGCTCGTAGTCGCCCATGCCTTCCTCGAACAAGAGGTGCTTGTCGAGACCCTCGATTTCCTGGTGCTCGGGCACGCGGAACTTGAGGCCGGGGATGTGGTCGATGATGAGGAGGAGGACGACGGTGACGCCAAAGGTGTAGGAGACGATTGCGCAGATCTCGGCGAGCTGGTAGCCGAGCTGGATGTAGTGGTGGTCGACCCAGCCGGAGTAGTCGCTGGCGCCGTCGAGCATGGAGACCCAGTCGGCGGCGAAGAGGCCGGTGAGGATGGCGCCGATCATGCCGCCGATGCCGTGGAGCTTGAAGACCTCCATGCCTTCGTCGACGCGGATCCACTCGTTGAGGTTCTCGCACAGACGGACGCCGACGGCGGTGAGGAAGCCGATGACGGCGGCGAAGTAGACGGGCACGTATCCGGCGGCGGGGGTGATGCCGACGAGGGCGGCGATGCAGCCCTGGCAGGCGCCGACGAGGGAGAAGCGGCCGCGGTAGAGGATGTAGTCGACGAGGGACCAGCCGATGACGCCGCAGCCGGCGGCGAGGTTTGTGTTGACGAGGACGTAGGAGGTGCGGACGGAGGCGTTGAGGGTGGAGCCGCCGTTGAAGCCGAACCAGCCGAACCAGATCATCCAGGTGCCGAGGAAGATGAGGGTGGGGTTGTGGGGGACGAACTTGGGGACCTTGCGGGAGGGGGAGTTTGTCTCGATGCGCTTGCCGATGATGAGGGCGTAGGCGAGGGCGCCGGTGCCGGAGGAGATGTGGACGGGGCCGCCGCCGGCGAAGTCGAGGGCGGGGAGGAGGTAGAGCCAGCCGTTTGCGTTCCAGGTCCAGCAGACGATGGGGGAGTAGACGATGGTGCACCAGCAAAAGGCAAAGACCATGGAGGGCAGGAGACGGCAGCGCTCAAAGGCACCGCCGATCATGATCATGACGGTGCAGAGGGCGAACATGCACTGGTAGAGGGCGAAGAGGGGCTCGGGGAGGTAGCCAGAGGGGGCGGCGACGACGTTGCGGAAGCCAAAGTTCTTGAGGGTGCCGATGTAGTGGTCGGCGTCGGAGGAGTAGGCGAGGGAGTAGCCCCAGAAGAACCATTGGAAGGAGATGACGCCGAGGACGCCGAGGGTCTGCCAGAGGAGGGTGGTGGCGGACTTGCGGCGGCAGAGGCCGGCGTAGAAGAGGCCGAGGCCGGGGATGATGGGGAAGACGAAGACGGTGGCCGACATCATCCAGACCTGGTGGAAGCCGGAAGCGACGTAGGCGAGGTTGACGTCCATTTCGCGGGAGTTGCCGCCGGCGGCGGTCCAGCCGGGGGAGGAGTCGTTGAAGAAGGCGGAGGGGAGGTCAGCCATGGCGAGGGATGTGTGCGTGGGGAGGAGATGGGGAGGAGGAGGAGGAGGAGGAGGAGAGGTGGTATTTATAATGGCCGAGGAAGAGAAAGGAAGAAGATGCGATGAGAGCGGGCGGTAGCGAGGTACTGTGACTTGTGAGTCACAGGTTGAGTTAGGGCGGCTTGGCGGTTGTGATCGGACAGCCGCCAGAACAGTCAGAGATGAGGGTGATGAGGAGAGATGATATATAGAAGGAGAAGAAGAAGGAGAAGAAGAAGAAGAGGATTAAAGCGACTGATACAATTAAATACAATTACTGCAATAATACTGTTTGATAAAGAAGAAGAACAACAGATACTGCTGCGTACAAGGCACAATAGCGAACTCTACTCGAATGGGTATTAAAACTCTAGATAGCGGGCCGAGAAGCCATTGGACAGAGCGAGCGCGCTATCGGGAAGTGGATCCACCGAGAGATAAGCGGCGAGGGGGAGTAGGAATGAGAGGAGGATGTTGTTGTTGAGGAAGCTGATGGATAGAGGATGGATATACTGAAGAATACAGAACAGAAGAACAGCAACAAGATATCAACACTAAACAATAAGCAGGTCTCGTGTTGTTTAGGAAAGAGGCTTTTCGGGAAGCGGTCAATCAGAGCGCCACCAAAAGCCTGCCTGGACTGAGAGTAAGCCACATACGCAGTGTGATGTTGATGTTGATGTTGATGTTGTTGTTATGTTATTGTTATGTTATTGTTGTTGTTGTTGAATTGTATGTGTAGTATAGATTCATTACTTCAGCAGAGAGCATAAAGTATAGACCAAGATAAGAAGATAACGAGTCTGAGAAAAGACTCTTCTGCTCTGCTCTCTCTTCTCTCTCTCTGCTCTCTTCTCTTCGCATATCGCCGGTACCTAACTGCTCTTTGTTTACTGTTGCAATTGCATTAGCATTCATTATTATTATTATTACACCTCTCTTACTATCTTCTCTTCTTACTATCTTCTCTTCTTACTATCTTCTCTCTTCTTACTATCTTCACTCTCTTCTCTCTACCCTCCCAGCCACAAGCCGCACTAACCTCCACCTCAGCGATCTTCTTCCTGAAAATCTTTTCACTTCCTCACCGCAAAGATTTTTCTTCCTCTTCTTCTCTCTTTCTCACTCTTTCTCACTCTTTTTTTCACCTCCTCTTCTTCTTTATCTTCCCATTTGCACCGCATCTGCATGTCTTCTGCATCTTCTTATTCCCTCTCGTGATCCACTACTCCTCTTTCGTCGTCTGTTCTCATGCACCCTCCTCCTCCTTCCTATTCTGGTATTTCCTATTCTGTCCACCTTCTATACTTCTACTCTACTAGTATAATACATACTCTACTATACTATCTATCCTCTATACTCTACACTTGTACACTACCTATACTACCTATACACTCCGTACTCCACCTGTACTCTATCTACCCTACACCCCCTGCTCTCCACCACTTTGATATAGTGCAGATCTCATTCACGTGACATTTATATCCACGTGACCTACATCACGCCGCAGCTCCATCTTCACCTCCTCAACCCCTCCACCCTCCCTCTCTCTCTCTCTCTCCCTCCATCTAAATCTACTCTCTCTCACACAATGGACTCAATTCGCTCCCATCTCCAATCCCTCACCCACTCCCTCCCCACCCCCATCGCCCACCTCGCCTCCTCCATCCTCGGCCAGGACTGCTACTCCCTCCTCGTCCTCGATCTCGCCTTCCTCCAACCCCCCCTCTCCGACAACACCTCCATCTGTCTCAAATTCGCCATCTCAAAAGCAATCGGCCTCGCCATCGTCTTTGCCTCCTCCATCGTCAAACTCCCGCAAATCATCAAACTCATCCGCTCCCGCTCCGCCGTCGGCGTCTCCGTCTCCGCGACCTTGCTCGAAGCCGCCTCCTACCTCATCATGTTTGCCTACGCCGCCCGTCTCGGCTTCCCCTTCTCCACCTACGGCGAGCAATCCTTCCTCTTCGTCCAGGACCTCATCATCATCTGTCTTCTCCTCATCTACTCCTCCTCCTACGCCTCCCTCGCAATCATCCCCCCCGCCTTCGCCCTCGCCACGTACTTCCTCGTCCTCGCCTCGCCCGGCCCCTCCCTCGCTACCCTGCAAGCCCTGCAAGCTGCCACCATCCCGCTCAGTCTCGCAAGCAAGGTTCCTCAGATTTTCACTATCCTGCGCGAAAAGAGCACCGGTCAGTTATCTGCCGTCTCGGCGGTCGCGTATCTCCTGGGCTCGCTCGCAAGACTGTTTACGATGGCCCAGGAGGTCGATGATCTGATCGTCTTGACCGGCGCGGGATTGGGTGCTGTCCTCAACTTTGTCTTGTTTGTCTTGATGATTGTGTACTGGAACTCTCCTGCAAAGCCACAAACGAGGCCTTCAGAAAAAGAGGAGTAATAGTGAAAAAATTGTGTATATAAATGTAATATTGTATATCTGATGTATTGTACATACATAAAAACCACTCTACATCCTCCGAGCAACCGGCACCCGCGTACTCATAGCTACCTTCCGCACCGGCTCATGCACATCAATCCCCTGATAAACATACCTCAATATCTGATCCAAACTACACTCCATCGCCTCCGCCCCTCCCTCCCCTCCACCCACCCCCCCTCCTCCCTGCTCGCCCGCACCCTTCCCATCCTCCAACCCCAGCACCTCCTCCGTCCGCCGATGCTGCAACGCAACCAGCAGCAAATACGCATCCTTCCACACCTCGTCGTCCGCCCGCGCACTACTCCCTGTCTCCTCCGCCTCTTTCCTCCCTTTTTCAATCCACTCGTCTACCTCCGGCTCATTCCGCTTCCTCAGCAGCGTGGGTAGCAGACCGGGCTGCTTCGCGACCGGGAAGGTAGGCAGCGGGTACGCGTTCGTCGTGCGGAGGGTTTCGGCGTGGGTCTCGAGCGTGTGGGTTAGAAAGTTGAGTTGTTTGAGAATCATGGCGAATTGGGAGTGGATCGACGGCCAGGAGGGTAGCGCTTGTTGCTGGACATGGGCTTGTAGACGACTCAGCCAGTGCGTCAACTATTTGAATATCAGTATCTGCTCTTCTTCAGTTCTCGAATTAAAAGTATGCATTACATGTGAGAGACGAAGCCGGAGTGGCTCCAGTGCGTCAACCGGCACCTGCGAGGTATCCAGTGTCCCGTCTAATATCCCTATCCCTGCACTCTGCGATGCCGACATCTCTCTCTCTCTCGACTTCAATCACTGCAGGTCGATGTGCAAGATCAAAAGACATCTCATCGATGGCCCACGATGTTGTCACCAGCGCACGTGATCCTTACTAAGACGTTACGTAACAGCACGCCGCGACTACTGCGGCGAACTCGTTTCTCTGCTCTTCTCTCTGCTTGAGCATCATCACCAGACTAATTTCTATAACTAAAAGATGCAGTCCGATAAACCCGAACAGTCGAAAGAAGAACTCGCCGCGGCGATTGCGAAGGAGCAGATGGAGCAGGATGGTGCGTATTCCTACCCTTTCAAGCCCATGTTTGCTCGAGTAGAGGAAGACTAACAGAGCAGCCCTGCCATACAAATGGACCCAAGTCCTCGAAGAACTAACCGTGACCGTCCCGGTCCCCCCCGGCACCCGCTCGCGCGACCTCTCCATCAAAATCACGCGAACTCACTTACTCGTCTCGCTCAAAACAAACCCAACCCCGCTGATCGACGACGATTTCTACAAAGACGTGAAAGTCGACGACTCGACCTGGACGCTCGACGACCAGAAAGAAGTGACGCTGACGATCGCAAAGGCGAGCGGGTTGGAGTGGTGGCCGCATGTGGTGAAGAGTGCGCCGAAGATTGATGTGGCGAGGATTCAGCCGGAGAATTCAAAGTTGAGTGATTTGGATGGCGAGACGAGGAGTATGGTTGAGAAGATGATGGTAGCTACTTTCTGTTCCTTTTCTCTGCTATTTGTGAGAAGTAGCTAACGTTCTTATAGTTTGATCAACAGCAGAAGCAGATGGGTAAGCCCACGAGCGACGAGATGAAAAAAGAAGACATCTTGAAAAAGTTTCAGGCTCAGCATCCCGAGCTCGACTTTAGCAAAGCCAAGATCCAATAATCTACCTACCATCTTGATATCTTTTATCTTATCTTGTGATAATACTACAGCTCATCGTGGCTGCTATCAAGACCATACCTCTGCGGCGAATTCGCCGGCACAACCCCCTTCAACCTCCCCTCCGCCGGCGTCGCGAACCCGCTCAGAAACTCATACAACTGCTCCTTCTTAATCTCCCCCTCATACACAGCCCTCTCCTCCTCCTCCTCCCCCTCCTCATCGTTCGTAACCACCACCACCGTCGGCATCTTCTTCACCCCGAACCGCTTCTGCAGCGCCTTGTCCGCCTTCCGCACGATCCCGAACCGCGCGCTCGAATCAAAGTCGATCGCAAGCACCTTAAACATCGGCGGCGTGTTTGGTTTATCCGTAAACAGCAGCACGCGCGGCACCTCTTTCTGCGCCACGAACCCCTCCACGTCCGCAGCGCTGCTCAGCCTCGTCACCCGATTCGAAAGCCGATCGAGAACCATGCCCGTGATCGCCTTCGCGGTCCGCGCGCCCTGGTAATCCTCCACGATCGGAGTTGATTTCGCGCGCTTGCTCGGCCGGTAGATTTTGAGCGTCGGGTAGCCTTTGATATTCGCCTTTGCGCACAGTCGCTCGTTTGACGGGTCGTCGCACCGCACCGCGGCGACTTTTGCGAGACCGGAGAGCGATTTCGCGGCTTTGGCGTAGTGCGGGCGGAGGTTCTTGCAGTGGCCGCCTTGTTCTTGTTAGCCATCTGCCCATACATCCATACAGCTATAAGAAGATAGAGAGAATACTTACACCACTCGGCGTAGTACTCGACAATAGTCGTGTAATTCGTATCATACACCTCAGACCTGAACGTCTTGGGCGTCAAATTGATAACCTCGCTGTCTTTACCGTAAAACGCAGCCGACGCACACGACACCATCATCGCCAGCACAATCACCAGCACATATGCCCTCTTCATCTCTTCTTTCCCTGTTGTCTATTTCCTGAATCCTGCGGCGGACAAAGATCGCTGCTGCTTGCCCGAGTCTCGATCTCGGTGGTTCTGCAGAACTCATCGCGCTGCGTCTGGACACGTAATGAATTTGAGTTTAGATGTGAGTCACAAGAACTCACAAAGCTCACAAACAACTCACAGTTCCTAATCAATCTTCCTGCCCGGGGCGCCGCGGGCTCGAGGTCTCCACTTGAAGCGATTGTTGATAGTCGACAATCATACAGTTACAGACACAGCAAGACGACGAAGAAGGAGAATAAGAGAGGATGACTACACTCACGCCGCCGCCGCCGTCGTTGAAGTTTATCCAGCCGTTCATTGCGCGAGCGCGCGAGCTCGAGCGAGCTGATCCTGTGATTTCATACTACTGTGCGTATTCCCTTTTCTAGTCAGATCTGTTTTTCGTTCAAGTTCAAGAAGAAGAGGAGAGGATGGGGAGGAGAGGAGGAGGATGAGGAGGAGGGATTGTGCTGACGCGGATTATGGTGGATAGGTAAATACTATGCGATCGAGGAAGCGCTTGCGTCGAAGGTGCATCAGTCTGATCCCGAGGCCGCGGAGTACGTTACTAATCTTCTAGATGTTGTCGAGACCGTATGATTCCTCTGTCCTCTACTATTTCTGTTCTTCACTTATGTGTTGATGCTGATGCTGATGCTGATGACGATGTAGGAAAAAAACGCACTGAGTGATCGCGACACGATCAATGATGAGATGGTAGCCCAAGCCTATGTCGAAAAGTTCGCGAGCAGAGTGTTTGCAAACGCAGATAAAGACCTCATCAACAAAACCGCAACAAAGTAACCCCCTCCCCCCCTCCCTCTCTTGACTCTCAGACAACAGCTAACAACACAGATCAACGGCAACAAACCTCCTCGCGGCATCCAACTTCCTCGAACTCCTAAAGCTCTTCGGCGACCCGGACCAGACTTTGCTCGACCAGATAAAGTACTGCAAATTTCACGCCGTGCGGATCCAGCGCGCGCTTAAATTGGGTGAGGATCCGAATGTTTATGAGGATCCGCGGGCTACGCAGAAACAGGAGCAGGAGAGCGAGGTTGAGCAGCATGACGAGCAGCAGCAGCAGCAGCAGATCTCGCCTCAGCATTCAGCGGCGTCGTCGACGATCTCAGCGGGTTCACCGCCCCCGCCATCCGCGCCCGCACGATCCTTCTCGCCCGTCCCGCCATCCGCACCTCCAGCCTCGCACTTCTCCCCGTCCGCACCTCCCTCCACCACCACCCCTTCATCCACCTCCTCCTACAACGTCAGCAGCAGCAGCAGCAGCAGCAAACCCCAAGAATCAGTCCAGCAAATCATGGACGAAGCGCAGCGCTTCACGCTCGCGCAGAAGCACTCCAAATTTGCGATCTCGGCGTTGAATTACGAGGACGTCGGGACGGCGGTTAAAGAGCTTAAGACTGCGTTGCGGTTGTTGGGCGAGAATGTATAAGTTTTTCTTTAGTTAGTTTGTAATATTAGAAGTAATAGTCTTGATTGAGAAACGACACGATTAGATGTAAAAATACAGTCACAAAAACGAAAACACTGAGAAGATACAAAAACTACACCCTCCTAGGCAAAGCAGAGCTCCATATCCCCTCGCTCTGCACCCCTCCCGCGCTCACACCCCCTCCCCCTCCTCCAAACTTCCCCATCCGATACGCGTCCGTGGCCATATTCGCCTCCAGCACGTCATACATCGCATAAATCTGATCAGCCTTATTCTCAAGCGCATCGACCGTAGCCCTTAACCGCGCGACCACCGCCTTCCGCCGCCGCTTGCCGACCGCCGCGTCGAGTCGCTCGTACTCGCTCACTTCGGTCTGGTACCGGATCTTGAGGTGGCGGAATTCGTCCTCGAGCTGGCTTAGCACGCGCGCGGCGGCTTCGTCGGCCGGCATTGACGGCCGCATCGTGTGTTCTTCCTGCCATTGCCCGTCGGCGCCGCTGTTGTCTGCGCGAGCAGCTGTGTCAGGGACCGGCGCGCTAGGTCGCGAGTCGAACGCGGAGGGTCTCGCGGGCATGTATGCGCCAGCAGTGCCGTGGTTGAGACGGACGCGATGCCGCGTGCAGACGGTGCAGCTCGTCGGATTGTGCGCGTTCAGCGTGTCCATCACTTTCTTCATCTCCGCCGTCGGGCGGGGTATCCTTTCAGCTTTCTCTCGCGCCGGTCGGTGACGATGACGCTGCGCTGCTGCTGCTGCTGCTGGGCGGTGGCTTGCGCGTTTTGAGCGACGAGCTGGAACTTGTTCGGTTTCAGATGCTAGGTCGTCGTCGTACTCGTCCACGTCTTCGTCAATGGAGTCTGTGTCTGACACCGATTCTTCATCGTCGTAATCTGCAAAGCTCTCGGTGTCGGATTTCACAACTACTCGCGCTGGCTGCCGCTTCGTACTCGGCCGACGCACCTTCTTTCTCGTCGCGCGCTTTCCAGGCTCAACCACATCCGACTCCTCGGTCGACCACGAGTCCTCCGACGCCACAACCGTCGTCTTCGCAGCCTTGCCGCTCTTCTGATCTTTACTCTTCTTCACCTTCAACTGCTCTCTGAGCTCCGTATTCATCTGCTTCAACCGCCCGTTCCGCTCAACCTCCTTCGTCAACGACTTCACCGCCTCGTCGCGCTCCTCTTCTAATCTCTGACACCGGATATTTTGAAACGAAATCTCCCGCTCGAGCTCCTCCACCCGGTCTTTAAGCTGCGTCTGCTTCTGCATCCACTCCTGCCGCTCGCGCTCCAGCGCGCGCTGGATCTTCTCGCGTCCGGCGGGACTGATGCCTCCTGCTACCTCGCGTCGCTGGCGCTCGAGTTCGCGCTCGAGAGTTGCGACGCGCGATTGCGCGGTCTCGTAGTCGGATTTCGTGCGTCGCAGGTCGGAGTCTAGAGTTGCCACGGCGGTCTTGTAGGTCGCGTTCTTGGTCTCGAGTTGCTGGATGCGGTCTTGCATCGTTCTCAGTGCGTTGAGGATTGCTAGAGCGAGTTAGTATTTGAATAGAGACAGAGTTGGAATTGGTGCATACCTTGATCATCATCACTAATCGGAACCGAGCCTATCTTGCGATGCGTATCCTTACGCACCTCGGTCGTCGCGTCCGAGATCAGCGACGTGATCCCCGTGAGATCCGGCAGCAAAACATTCGCCGTCTCGTCGTCATCGGCGGTAAATTGCTTAATAGACCCCGGCATGGAAACACTACGACTTTTCGCCGTCGCTCCGTTTCCAAACCCCGCGGAAGAGGAAAGCGGCGGGTTTTTGCTGCGACTAGTTGATTTTCGTCGCGGACTGTCTTCTCTTAAACCCAGCTGCATTAAAAGATCCTGCGTCGATTTGAATGATTTCGGAACTTCTTCTGTCGCGGTAGCGAGCGACATCGAGCGGCGTGGCTGTGGTTGCTGCTGTTGTGATTTCTTTGCCGAGGACGCGAAGCGGCTTTGTGCTGGACTCCGTGGGCGATTGAGCTCTGATACTGGCCGCTCGCCTAGGGGTGCTGTAGATTTTCTGGTCTTGGATGAGGATAGTGGGGTAGTAGCCGAGACCACTCGTCGCGCTGAACCCAGCGGTCGTCGATCCTATTTTGCTGTTAGTACCTTTGTTTATATCGTAAAGCACGCGCGCGCCGACTAACCTGTGGAGAACTCACGGATTCCTGGAACCCACGACCGATTTCGATGCTCATTTCAGAGGCATCATTCAGCGCGGCATCAAGTTCCTCTGCTGCCGCGCTAATGCTATTATCACTCCCGAGCAAAGACGAAATGTCTGCCGCAGCAGAGGCGTATCGCTCGCCGGACGTGAAACTATCACTCTCGTCTGACGAGGAGAGGAACCGATCCATTAGCGACTCGACAGGTTTGTTTCTAGTCGCCTTATAGTTGCTGCTGTTGTTGTTGTTGTTGTTATTGTTGTTGTTGCGGTATTTGTATGCGAGATCTTTGTTGAGACCGTCTTCGAGTGACACCCGACTCAGTTCAGACGCGCTACTCTCAATCACGAGCGAGTCCTCGAATCCTTCCGAGATCGAGTCCATGGCTTTCTAGGTCTGTCTGCGTTTTCCTTTTCTCCTGCTGCATGAGGTTTTTGTTTGTTAGTGTATGGTCTGGGGCGAGAGCAGACGGAGGATATCACAACAACGACAACAACACACGAACGCGTCTCGCAGTCTTGCTCAATCCTCCTACACAAACGTACCTTCTCAATACTTAAAAATCTAAAGAATCCACAATCTTCTAGTCAGCTCTCAAACAACTTAAGACTAGAGAACTGCTGGCCCTCGTGTATTCCCTGCTGAACGTGTGCAATATCAGAAGCAGACGTGTGGCATGCCAGCGACACACACCAAAGTCGCTTTTGGCGGTTGAGGAATTTTGAGTTTTGGTGAGCCGCACGCGTGTTTATTTAGGCGCGGTTGCCACGGCAACAGAGAACCCGCCCTACTAGAAGTGCTCGACGCCCTACAGAAAGTATTCATAGCTGATGGATTGCAATTATAAACAAAGTAAGAAACAAATCGTAAGCCGTGCCACGTCTCAATATATCTACGCAAATAAACAAAAACGAATGATTAAACTTCAACAGGTCTTTACCGACCATACGGCGTGCTGCGGCCGTCATAGCCTGCCTGTCTTTGTTGATCGAGCAGGACGTTTTGCTGCTGATACAAGGTCATGCCCGACATAGGCTGCGGCCGCTGCTGGTACTGCGTGCCCATCGTGTACGCGCTCGGCGCGACACTAGGCGCGTACTGCGAGGCCGCGTAGCCGGGGTGCGGGGCGTATGCACCCGGCGAGGGAGCGCTGTATCCGTACGCGACCGAGCCCGGCCGGCCTCCGTACTGGGATTGCGGGTGCGGAGTGTTTTGGACGCCGCTGTAGACCGACATCGCGGGCGGGGGATAGGACGAGTAGACGGAGCGCATGTCTTCCATCTCGTAGCTTTCTTCCTTCATGATTTCGCTGGTGTACATCACGCCGGGGGCTTTCTCGCTTCCGACGGAGGGGATGATGTGTGGACGAACGCGACCGGGGAGGTTATTGTGCGTGGCGTATTCTTCCCATGTTTGCAGAGGAATCGAGCGTTCGTCAAAGCCTTCGTCGTTGATGGCGATGATCTCTTTGTTGCCGCGCTCGCCGACGACGATTCGGGTGTTTCCCCAGCTGAAATTGTCTTGGTTCCAGAAGGAGTAGACTGGGAGTACGAACGAGTAGATCGGGTAGGCTAGAAGATAGATGACCATCCAACCAATCTATAGGAATCAAGTCAGTTGAACTAGTTGTTAGAAGTTAATACACATAGTCAAGACGCACCTGCTGCCACTGCCGTCTGAGCAAAAACACAAGCGCCTGGATGCCATAAATCGCGGCAATCATACAGACAGAAATCAGCGGGAAATTAGTCGGATCCACGACGGCCTTGTAGATAATATAAACCATATAGACCATCACACTCGGCAACATGAGCGTACCAAACAGATCCATGACGATCACGAAGCGCATGCTAAACAAACAGAAGCCACAGAGATCCGGCAGGAACGCGAGCTCGGCGAGGTTGTGGATCGTCGAGTTGATCCAGCGGCGGCGTTGTGAAAGAAGAACGCTCCAGCTTGCCGGGGCGTCGGTTTCTGCGTGCGCGTCGTAGGCAAAGACGTAGCGCATACGCGGGAAGTGCTTCGTCATCAGGGTGGTGAGGAAACGATCTTCGCCGAGCGACAGCAGATTCTTCTTGTGGAGAGTGTTGACGTCGCCGTCGGAATAGGCTTCCAAGACTGCGTTTGCGATGATGAGCGGCTTGGCTTTGTCTGCCGTGCGCAGTCTGTACATTGAGAAACAACCCGGAAGACAGGTGACGCTGCCGAATAAACTCTCAAAGGACTTTGACAGGTGATGCGAGATGTAGTACTCAAACACCTGGATCATCGTCCACCAACTCTTCTCCTGGTTCGTCAGACTTGTCTCACCAGCAATACCAGCGATGCGACTGTCCTGCACGCACTTTGCCACGAGACGGTTTAAAGAATCAGGCATGACAGAGGTATCCGCATCGACCATGAGCACATACTCGTACAGCTCGGGGTCGACTCCAATGACGTTGTTGATCTGGTGAAAGATCTCGAGCTGCAAGGGAGACATGGCCGCCTGGAAATGGACCTTGTTCAAAAAGTCCATCAGCAAGATCTGTGAGTCTCGCTTACCTCTGTTTCCGGGCCGGGACTTCTCGGTCGGCTTGCCGACCTTGACGACCACAACGTACGGAACGACGTTACCTTCAAACTCGTACAGTCCCGAGTACACCTTTCCGTAATTCAACTGCGCCGAGCCCTCGCCAACAGACCTAAACGGAAGCGCGGGAGGATCGAGTCTCGGATCGGCGCCGAGCAACTCGAGCACGATATTCGGCGTCGGCTTTTCGTTTCCAGAACCGATAATCATACCGTCGCAGATGATGAACAGCAGCTTGCGCTTGTTGTCGTACTGCAACGCCGTGAGCGAGTCAATCGCCCGTCGGAGCTCGTCTTCTCCTTCAGTGTACGCCGGAATCTGGCAAATCACAAACTTGTCCTGCATCGTCGGCATCGGCTTGCTGCCGAACTGGAGCGACATTATAAACTTGAACAGAATCACAAAACAGAGCACGCCCGCCATCGCGAGCAGGATGTAGTTTGACACCGTGCAGCGCGCAGACTCTCTGAAGTCGACCTTGCCGGCGTAGAATGCGCCGTTGAGACATTTGAGGTTTTTGGCGGCCGTGGATGCTGAGATCGTGCTTGTGTCGTAGAAGTAGTCTGTGATGTCTTGGCCGGGGTAGTCTGAAAACAATTGCTTGACGTCCGAGTCTAAAAAGTCGTAGACCGCATACGAGTCACTCTCTGACGAGGGATACAAGTCGATTGTGTAAAAGTAGTTTGTCAGGTCATAGATCTTGCCGTCGATGATCGCCCAGTTGTCGTATCCGTTCTCGCCATAGCTCTCGACGGTGCTCTTCTTCACGACAAGGTCACCCTTGTAGTACTGCTTGATCTTTGGGAGGAAGGTGCTTTTGTACCAGCTGATGTCATAGAGAGCCGAGTCCTCGTCGGACTGGAGTTTAGGACCGGACCAGTGTACGGCAGTGGAGTAGGTGACGGTGGTGTTATCATAGAGATAGACGGACTCGTCCGTGACGAGATCGGAACAGACCACCGTCAGCGGGGGAGGAAAATAGTTGCTGAGATCCAGGCCGGCGAAAACTTCCATGGTTGACGTGGTCGTGTCCACGCCATTGTCGGAATGCTGCAGTTTCCAGAATTTACCTTTTAGAGTGTGAGTGAGTGTTTGCAGGATTGTTATGGGTTGGGAGATACTTACTGATATCGTAAACTTTTCCGTGGATGCTGACGTAAAAGTCATTTGACGTAGTATGGTAGCTGACTTCCTCTGCGCTGTAGGCGTCGTCGTAATCAGGGCATAGGATCAGTCGTAAACCAACTAGATACAGATTAGCAGATGGACTAATAGATGTAAGGAAATAGAGGCTCACCCATATAGAAGATCAAGGCGGCGTTGAGGAAGACAATAAGGATGCAGATGGCAACCTTTTCTCTCCAAGCCATGCGCACATCAGGTCTCTTCATGCGACCTACCCAATTCAGACAAAACGAAGGAATCCAGAACGTAAGAAGCCAAGTGATTGCCGTCCAGATCTTTCGAGTGCGCGTCTTGGGCCGGACTTCGATGACGCGGCCGTGCGCTTCGGGATCGTTGGCGGCAAACTTGGAGCCAAACATCGTCAGATCCTCGTCGTCGCTACCGCGCAACTCGTCTCCGCCCATAGTGAGCAACCGCTCGCGCGAGGCAGGGGTACCAACTCGATCGGGGATGAACATTCCATATTCACTCTCAACCGGGGCGAGATTCTGCGCCTGCTGCTGCTGTTGCTGCTGCATCAAAAGCAATCCGTCGAGCTCGCCTTCGAGCGTTCGCCAGACATCTTCGCGCAGCCAGATTCGCTGATGACCATGGAAAAACCCATCGGCGCCCCATTCGCGCTGCGTTTGTGCCCAGGTGTCGAGGGCGTATGGGTGATTAGGGTCGATGCCGCTGGATTGCAGCAGGGGCGCGTATCGGTCCAAGAACTCGTCCACGCCAAAGTCGGCGGTGAAGTCGATGGTTTTGTATTTTTGGAGCCAGTTGGGCATGAACCAGGCGCGCACCTGCGAGGAAACGACGGTGTTGGACCAGGGTGCCAGCGCGGCGTTTCCGGGCGAAGCGACGGGAGCTTCGGAGAATGAATCAGAGGAGGCAATGCTTATGATATGCCAGACGCGGGCGGAGGAGATCAGAGAAGCGACGCCAAAGGAAGACGAAGATGGGATGGTCGAGAGCAGAGCGTTTGGCTCGACGACGGCAGAAATGTTGATGTTGTTGTTTGCAATGTCGACAAGAGGGTTTGCTGGTTCCTGCTGTTGTAAAGTCTGGTTAATCCATGCTGGAGTGGGACTGATTGCAATGCCATCCTGGATCATCTCCGAGGCGATTGAGCCGGGGGTGTGGTCCGAGGAGAAGATGGGTTTGAGGGCAGCGGCCTTGAATGCGGCAGGCATGTCGACGATCGAGACAACAGAGCAGACCTCGTCAGAGTCCAGAGCACCGGCAATGACGTCGATTGTGGCAAGGTAGTTGTTGAGAGCGGCTACCATGATGAGGAGAAGAGATCTGTAAGCGGGAAGTACGATCTCGAATCGCTTGTCGGAGTCGGACATGATTGCCTCTGAGTCGAGCTTTTCGGGGTCGAGACCCAGCAGAGTTGCACCGTCAAGAATATCGTCTTCATCGCTGTTGGAAAAGAGAAGGATTCCAGAGAGAACCTGGAAGATACCACGGAGGGCAGAGGTGCCGGAGAGAGAGCATTCTAAGAGAGCCTGACGCCAGTCAGCCGCTTTCCGCTTGAGCGACTCGGGCAAGACTGTGTGGCGGATGAGCGCGTAGTCATTGAGATTAGACCGCAGCGAGAGAGCGTCGCGCTCGGTGTCAGTCGCAGTCTCGAGGAGGTATGTGAAGACGGGCGAGGCCGCGATAGCCGATCGGACGGCGGAGGGATCAGCTTTGTCGTCGGAGACACGGATGCGTGAGGCGAGGACTTGGCCAGAAAGAGAGAGAGAGAGCTCGACAGAGACAGCGGTGTTGACGCGGCCGACGTTGAGGAAAGGCGCGAGGGCGGTGAGGGCGGAGAAGACATGGCCGGGGATGTTTGGGAAGGCGGGGAGGAGATGTTGGAGGGTGGAGAGGGGAGGAGCGGAAGAGTTTGAGAGAACGAGGACGGCCTGGTCCTCGGCACGGCGGCGAGCATGCTCCCAGATAGCAGTGAGGAAGGGAGAGTCTAGGATTTCCGAGTCGACGTCGTCGTTGTCGTTGTCGGTAGAGGCGCCGGGAAGTTTGTTGATAAACACGAGAGAGGTGGAGGTGAGGCGGACGGGCTGGTTCGCCTCGAAGGCGGACTTGAGGGCAGCAAAGACCGCATGCTGAGTAGGCTGCGGGAGGACAGCCGAGAGTGGTTGGTCCATCTGGGGGAGGTGAGGGTGTTAGTAGAGGGAAGGGAGGGTGAGAGACAGAGGTGAGCGGCTCACAGTGCGGACGCCGGCGGATCGGTGCGCGATTTAGAGGGTGAGTGAGGAGATGAGATATAGAAGAGAAGAATGAAAAATAAGATAAAAAGAAGAAGAGAATAACAGAGAATAAAGAGAAAGAGGTGAAGAGAAAGAGAGAAGTCGAGGTTGAGTTGATGTTGATGCTCAGAGCGCAGAAGAAGGAAACGCGACTTTTCGATTTATTTGTTGTGAACTATTTTCGGACGGCACAGCACACAGCGCGCAGCTGCAGTCGGTGTGAGTTGGTCTGATTTGCAGTGAATTGACCTTCAACAGATGCACTTTTCTATAGAGAATCAAGTGAAGAAGACGGTCTCCAACGTGAATTGTCTGAAATCAGCTTCTTTCACCAAAAAAATCGCAGCCGACGGAGACGCAATCAAAATACGCAAGCGGAGTACTCTGAGCTGCGTTCGTCTGTCGTTCATGCGGCTGCAGTCTTTATATCCCCATAACTATTCTCGCTTACTATTATATAGGGTAACTGCTATCCTGGGCATATATCCCGCATCAGCCGCAGACAGCGCCTGAAAATAGCAGCCGCGGGTTTGTTTATCTTTTTTCTGGCCGAGCGTCGCTCTGTCTCGCACCTCTCCGCTTCTCTTCTCTTCACCACCTCCTCCCTCTTCACCACCTCACCACTCCCTCCCTCCTCCCCTCCTCATCTCGCCATGCCGCCCGTAGCTGACGTCTCCCAGCTCTCGGCAGCGGCCCTCTCCGACCACTCCATCACCGCCCATCTCGGCGCGCGCTTCCATGCCGGCCACCCCGTCTCCTTCATCTCCTCAAACTCCCTCATCGCCATAAACACCTTCTCCTCCTCCGACCCCCGCGATGTCTCCGATCTCGCCTCCCGCGTCTACGACCGTCTCCTCCGCAGATCTGAAAACCAGCTCATCCTCTTCCTGTATGCCCCAACCCCTCTCTGATCTTCTCTCTCCCTCCCTCTACTAACCTCAACCCTTCCCCAGCGGCGAGTCCGGCTCCGGAAAATCTGAACTCCGCAACCATCTCTGCGCCCGTCTGCACACCCTCGCTCTAGACTCACTTGCCGCCCGCATCTCCTCCGCTCTCTTTGTCTTCTCCGCCTTCACCACAACAAAAACGCAAACCACTCCCGTCGCGTCAAAATCAGGCCTTTTGCTCGAGTATCAGTACGACCCCGAGGCCGTCCTCATCGGCGCAAAACTCATCACATACCGTCTCGATCGCGACCGCGTCGGCAGAGTGCCCACCGGCGAGCGCAACTTTCACATCCTCTACTATCTCCTTGCCGGCACAACCGCTCCCGAACAGGAGCATCTCGCCCTCGACCCCGAAGAACGCTACCGCTACCTCGGCCATCCCACTCAATTGAAGACCGCTATCAACGACAAGGAAGGTTTTGCCCACTTCAAGTCGGCCCTCAGACTTCTCGACTTTGACAGACACGAAATCGCAGAGCTATGCCAGATCCTAGCCGCCATCCTCCACATCGGTCAGCTCGAGTTTGTTACCGCCCATGCCGACGTCGATGCGGACGAAAATCACGCGACCATAAAAAACAAATGGCAGCTTGATATCATTGCCGCTTTCCTCGGTGTCCGTCCCGACGATCTAGAGGCTTCACTTGTCTACAAGACCCAGGCATTCAAGCGCGAGCGCGTCACTCTTGTCCTCGACCACAACGCAGCCCGGGCCCATGCCGATGATCTCGCTCGCACCATCTACGCAATGACCGAGCAGTGGCTCATAGAAATGATCAACGACCGCGTCGCCCAGGATGAGTCTCTGATCGCAAACACAATCTCCGTCGTCGACTTCCCTGGCTTTGTTCCCCAAGAGTTTGGCTCCGCTCGTGTCTCCGGTCCCGAGGCTCTCAATCAGCTTCTCTACAACACCGCAAACGAGTCCCTCTACAATTACATGGTCTTTGCCTTTTTCCACCGCATGACTGAGAAGTTTGAGGCCGAGGAACTCGACATTCCAGGCATTGAGTACTTTGACAACACCAGTACCGTCGCTCTGCTCACTAAACCCCATGTCGGTATCCTACCCTTGCTGGACGACAATACCCGGCGCGGAAAGCCTACTGCGGCAGTGACTGAATCCATGCGCAAGCGTTTCGCAACCAACCCCTCGCTCAGCATCTCGCCTCAGGGCAATTCCTTTGTGGTCCGTCACTACGCCGGCGAGGTCAACTACTCGCTCGAAAGCATCCTTGAAGCCAACCAAGACGAGATCTCGGGCGATATGATGAACCTCTTCTCAAGCACGTCTTCGGTCTTTTTCCGTGGTCTTTGCCGCACAAAGGCGGTTGTCGCCATCAAGCACCCGCGTGAGCGCGACACCATCATGCAAGGCCAGCTCTCGTCAAAGCCTCTTCGTCAACCGTCTGTCTTGCGCAAAACGCAGACAGAGACGACAGCTCCCAACCAGCCGCATGCGGATAGAGAACAAAAGGCTTATACTGCCAGCGGACAGTTCAATAACGCCCTCGATGTCATGCGACGCTCGTTTGCAACCGTCAATCCCTACTTTATCCACTGTATCAAGCCCAACGACCGTCACGTTACCGGGCAATTCGATGTCAAATGTGTCCGCCAGCAAGTGCATGCTCTTGGTATTTCTGACATTGCGCGACGAGTGCAAGTCACCGATGTTTCGCTGTTCATGTCGTTCACCGAAGTCCTCGGACTTTCAGGCTTTGATGATGACTCGAATATGCTGGCCTCTGACGAAGAAAAGGTCCGGCAGGTGATGATGGAGCATTCTTGGGGTGATAGAGATGTCAAGATCGGAACCACGGGTGTCTTTCTTTCTGAGGTTGCTTGGAGAGAGCTCGTTGACCCTAATAGTACTTACCAGTACAACAACGGTCTTGCTGGCAATCCCAACGCACCGACCCGCGGAAACCCATTTTCTGACTCCACCGATAAGCTCGGTACTGGAGCCGGCGCCTATATATACTCGGATCCAGACAAATCCCGATCAACAGATGCGCTTACAGTCGGTACTGGCGTAGGTGCCGGCGGGCAAGGTGATATGTTTAAAAATTTCGAAACTCGCGAGGAGCTTGCCGAGCGTGGAAAAGCCAATCATGAGGAAGAGATTGAAACGATCAAGACCACTCGTGCTAGACGGCGTTGGATGGGTCTGGTCATGTTCCTAACTTGGTGGTTACCCGATGGAGTCATTCGCGTGGTTGGCAGAATGTCTCGAAAGGATATCCGAGTCGCCTGGAGAGAAAAATTGGCTATTAATATGTTGATTTGGATTGCCTGTCTTTTGGCTGTCTTCTTTATTGGTATGTATTTTGTTTGCGCCTGCTGCTTTAAGAGCAATCTCAGCTAACTACTGTATAGTTGGATTTCCCGCCGCTCTGTGTCCCACACAGCATGTCTTCAGTGAGACCGAGCTTACGGCGTACAACTACGATGACGAGCCCAGCAAGACATATGTTGCAATTCGCGGCGAAGTTTTTGACCTCTCGAAATTTGGGCCTGGCCATTATCCCCTCATTGTCTCAAAGTCGGATGTGTATGATTATGGCGGATCAGATGCTACTACGCTGTTCCCCGTCCAGGTATCTGCTCTTTGCCAAGGAACTTCAGGATCAATCGATCCTGCAGTCACTCTGGACTATACTGGAAGCAACAGCACCGATGAGAATGCGGTCTATCACGATTTCCGATACTATACCGACGACTACCGACCCGATTGGTACTTTGAAATGATGCAGAATTTCCGGAAAAACTACAAGAAGGGCGACATTGGTATCACGAAAAAGAAAATGAAAACATACGTCAATGATGACAGTCGTGTGCTTGCCAGTATCCATGGGAACATTTACGAGTTTACCGATTATCTCGCTGGTGGTCGTCAAGTCTTGGAGCCCGATGGAGCGGAGTCGTCTGACGATGTGGACACCGACTTTATGGATTCGTCGGTTGTGAACCTCTTTGAGTCGTACGCTGGCAGTGATATCACAAAGAAGTGGTTAGAATTGGATCTGGATTCTGATATGCGCCAGCGCATGGAAGTCTGTCTGCGTAATCTTTTCTACGTCGGAAAGGTTGATACTCGAAACTCTGTGAAATGCCGATTTTCCGAGTATTTCTTGCTTGTGATCTCCTTGTTTATGGTTGCAATTATCTTGGTCAAGTTTGTTTCTGCACTTCAGTTCAGTCGCAAGAAGACTCCCGAAGATCTAGACAACTTCATCATCTGTCAGGTGCCTGCCTATACCGAAGACGAGACCTCTCTGCGTCGTGCGATCGATTCGCTTGCTACGATGCAGTACGACGATAAGCGCAAGCTGCTTTTTATTATTTGCGACGGTATGATTGTCGGTGCGGGTAACGATCGACCGACTCCGCGTATCGTGCTTGATATCTTGGGTGTCTCGCCAGACATTGATCCGGAGCCGCTTTCATTTGAATCTCTTGGTGAAGGACTGAAGCAGCACAATATGGGTAAGATTTACTCGGGATTATACGAAGTCCAGGGTCATATCGTTCCTTTTGTTGTTGTGGTCAAGGTCGGAAAGCCGTCGGAGATCAGTCGTCCTGGAAACAGAGGAAAGCGAGATTCGCAGATGCTGCTGATGAGATTCCTGAATCGAGTTCATTATAACTCGCCAATGAATCCGCTGGAGCTTGAACTTTATCACCAGATTAGAAACGTGATTGGTGTCAGTCCGACTTATTATGAATATATCTTGCAAGTCGATGCAGGTGAGTCTCCTCGTCTCTCTTTTTATAAACTTTTCTAACAGATTTGTAGATACGGCTGTTAATCCTGATTCGGCCACGCGAATGGTTTCTGGATTCCTGGCAAACACAAAGGTTATTGGATTATGTGGAGAGACTGCGCTGGCGAATTCCAAGCAGTCAATCATCACAATGATTCAGGTCTACGAGTACTATATCTCTCACAACCTCGCCAAAGCTTTCGAGAGTTTGTTTGGTAGTGTCACCTGTCTTCCTGGTTGTTTCTCGATGTTCCGAATCCGGACCGCAGAGTCTGGAAAGCCTCTGTTTGTGAGCAACGCGGTTGTCGAGGGATATGCCGAGATTCGGGTTGATACGCTGCATATGAAGAACTTGCTTCATCTCGGTGAGGATCGATACCTGTCAACGCTGCTTCTGCGACATCACCCGACATACAAGACAAAGTTCTTGAGTCACGCGGGCTGTAAGACAGTGGCGCCCGACAGCTGGCGAGTTTTGGTTTCTCAGCGACGCCGATGGATTAACTCGACGGTGCACAACTTGGTCGAGTTGGCGCCGATGTCGCAGCTGTGTGGATTCTGCTGTTTCAGTATGCGATTTATTGTTATTCTCGATTTGTTTAGTACGCTGATTCAGCCGGTTACGGTTGGATACCTTGTGTATTTGATTTACAAGTTGGCGACGGACAAATCTGCGATTGCCTGGACGTCGATTCTGATGCTGGTTGCGGTGTACGGATTGCAGGCGCTGATCTTTTTGCTTCGTCGGAAGTGGGATATGATTGGCTGGATGATTTTCTACTTGGCTGCGATTCCGGTGTTTAGTTTGGCGCTACCAATCTACTCGTTCTGGCACATGGATGATTTCTCGTGGGGAAACACGCGAGTTGTGCTGGGCGAGAAGGGACAGCAGATCTTGATTTCGGACGAGGGTAAATTCGATCCAAACTCGATCCCGCGCAAACGATGGGAAGATTTCCAGGCCGAACTGTGGGATCAGTATGAGCGACAGACAATGGCAGGAGACGTGAAGAGCGAGGTGACTTCATTCCGAGGCGGGCCTGCGTCGTACTACAACCCCACGCCGAGCGAATATAATCTAGATAACCGGTCGATGGCGCGGTCGGTCTCGCCAGCTAGCCGGATGTCGCGACAGGTGAGCGCGATTCCGCCAGAGTATGTACCAGGCTCGCCGCGGCCGCAGTCGAATCGTGGATCGGTGTATTTCGCACAGCCGAGCATGCCGATGCCGGGCGGCGAGGTCGAGATGGGAGTTATCGATCTGCCGAGCGACGATATGCTGTTGACTGAGATCCGGGAGATTATCCGCACGTCAGACTTGATGACAATCACAAAGAAGGGCATCAGACTTGAGCTGGAAAGGCGGTTTGGTGGAGTGTCGCTCTTGTCAAAGAGAGATTATATCAACTCTGCGACGGATGCGATTTTGGTGGGTGAGCTATAAATATAGATGGGAATTTATGAACAGATACCATGTTGCGGAGTTTAATTCCATATTGTTGTCATTTATATACATTTATCATTTTTTTTGGTTATGATTTGGCATGTTATGAAAGTAAATAGTATTCTGTGAATATAATCGAACGAATATGATCTCAGCTGCAGAGTAGAATTCAGAGATTATTGAAGAGGACGCCGCACGTCGTCATTTAGGAGTTTAGGAGTTAACTCAGATATTCAACCCATCTTCACCACATCCTCTCCACACCTTTCTCTACTCCTACCACAACATATAGTGAAAATGACATCACTACGTCCATTCCACGCTACAGATTTATTCCGGGTCGACGCGGTGAACTTGGACGTGCTGACGGAGAACTATCATATCAATTTCTATCTGTCGTATCTGGTGAGCTGGCCGACGCTTTTCTTTTCGACTGAGAATCCGAGGGGGGAGATTACCGGGTATAGTACGTTTTCATCTTTCCTTCTTTCCTTCTTCTACAGTTCTTTTCATGTTTTGTTTGATGGTTTTTGGAGTTGGGTGGGTGCTGACAAGTGCTGCTGCAGTGATGGGCAAAACCGAAGGCAAGGCGAAAGAATGGCACGGCCACGTAACCTGCCTCAGCGTCGCCTCGGATTACCGACGGATCGGCCTCGCGCGAACGCTAGTCGACAACCTCGAGCGACGAAGCGAAGACCCTTACGATGCATACTTTCTCGACCTGTTTGTGCGCGCGAGCAACGTGCAGGCGATCGGGCTGTACAAGGGGTTCGGGTATAGCGTGTATCGAAGGGTGGTGGAGTATTATTCTGCGGATCCGCCGGAGACTGGGGAGGACGCGTTTGATATGCGGAAACCGCTCAAGAGGGATGTGAAGAGGGAGAGTATACGGGAGGATGGAGAGAATTTTAGGGTGTCGCCGGATGAGGTGTACTTATAGACCAGACTCACAATGCATTAAAACGCCACGACCAATACAGTATTCATACAACATCCATACAACATTCACACAACAGCCATACACAATCACACAACATCATATAACAAGATACTCATCCACAATCATCTTTGCGTACTTTGCGTTCCCGCTCAAGGTATACAGCAACTGCAGATTATACGCGGCATCGATCCGCAAATCAAACGCGCTGTTCTCTCTTCCCTCGTCGCTGACCAGCGGCGGCGCGATCTGCAGCACTCGCTCGTAGTACTTTATCGCGAGCGAGGGCAGTCCTAGCATCTGGAACGCGCGGCCGAGGTTGTAGTTCACTTCCTGCTGCTCGGCCCATGCGAGATGCGCGCGCTGGGCGGTCGTCAGCGGGCGCGTGCGGTGGTAGTCGATCAGGTAGCTTAGGCCCTGGACGATGTGCAGATGGCGGTTACTAGATTGCCGCTGCATCGCGCGGTGGAGATGCGACAGCCCGATCGAGAACAGGACCATCGGCTCCTGCGGCGTGATGGCGTATGCGCGCATGTAGTACCCGAGACTAGGAACGTAGCTCCGCGACGAGGCCAGCAGCTGGCCGTAGAGGTTGAACAGGATCGGACCCTGCCGGTCTTCGGAACATTCAGAGACCTGGCCGTGCGTGACGTTAATCGACCCGCTGATCACTTTGCCTTGCAGGACAGAGTCGAGGCCCTTGACCTGTCGCAGCATGTACTTTTGAAACCCGGTGCTGTTGAACGCTTCGAGTGCGTCTCTGCCGCCTGGCGCGCAGCAGAGGAAGAGCCGGTACATGTTTGGATCGAACAGCTTCTCTTGGCTCGCAATCATGGTCCGGATAGTGTCGCCTGCCGTGCGGTAGTCGCCCACATGCAGACTACACGACAAATGCACGAGGTTCAACACGCGCATCTTGCGCTTATCCTGCAAAAACACGTTCGCCTCTTTCGCCCGTCGCAGCACCGCGTACGCGTCCTCGACCTCTTCGTGCCATGTCAGCATGAGCGCGTACTGCATAAAGATATCAAACCACTCGTCGAACGGCAGGTCGCGGAACTCGGTCGCCTGCTCGACCTTGTCGTCCTCGTCCTCGTCTTCCTCCTCGTCAATCACCCGCTCATCCTGTAGCGACTCTTGCAGCCGAGACACCATTCCCTTCAATTTATCAGTAATCGTCTGCTTCCCTGCGCGCTTCTTCGTCGTCACGAAAAACCCTTTGAAAACCTTATGCTTGTCGCCCGAGAAGAAAGCCTTAACGTTTGTAAACATATCCACGAGCTCCGACGCTGCCTGCAGCCACTCCGCGATCGCGACCGGATTCCCCGTCGCCAGACCGTCGCGGTACTGCCGCAGCCGCTTCACCTTGGACTGCACCACCACCGCCGCGCTCTCCTCGGCTGCCATCTTCTCTGACCGCGTTGACTTTGGCTTCGAGTTGGGCTTTGGTCGGCGGCCGGGTCTGCCTGCTCTGCCGCCTTCTGTGTTTGGAATGAATGACGGGACGACGTCGCGTTTTTGCTCCGTGCTGCCATCTTCGCCGTCGTTGTTGTCGCGCGTCGGTTGCTGCTGCTGCTGCTGCGTATGATCTGAAACCTGAACAGACGACCTCTCGCGCTCGCTTTCCTTTCGAATCCGCATGACCTCATTAACCAGCTCGAGTGCCTCGCGCCTCTTCCCGGTCGCCTCATACACCTCCGCCAACGCGATCCGCGCGTCCAAATTCGCAGAGTCCCCCTCGATAACCGTACGATACGCCGCCTCGGCCTGATCGAAATCCTCGAGGCCGTGCAAGCATTTACCCATCGACATGATAAGCTGCGGGGCTGCGTACTCGTCGATTTCGCCCAGGGGCGCGTACAGCGCGAGCGCCTGCTCGTACTTCTCAGCCTCGGCGAGCGCGTCGGCAACGTCGAGAAATAGGTCTGCGAATCGTAAGCTCGGGCGTCCGTCCATCCCGATCTCGGGCTCCTTCTCCGCCTCGGCTAGTACGAACTTGACGTGCTTCAGCGCGGTCTCGAGGTTTCCCAGCTTGAGTCTGTAGATTGCCAGCTTTGCGCGTAGATCGAGCGGTAGGGTGTACGCCCGCAACGCCTCCGCGTCGTTGATTTTCAAGGGCGGGAAGTAGCGGTGGTGCTGTGCGAGGTCGGCGTCGTACTCGTCGTCATTGTCGTCCGGGACGTCGTCCCAGAACGTCTCGTCCGCGCGCAGCAGGAGCCATCGCGCGGTGGACTTGACGAATTTGATTGCTTTCAACCACTCGTTCTGCGCGCCGTAGAGTTCAGCTAGGATATTGAGTTCCGACCACCCGAAGCGTAGCTGCTGCGATCGCGAGTCCTGCAGGTCGTCGTCGCCAAGCACGGGGGGAGGAGGGGGAGGAAGTGGACGCGAGGAACCTGAGGGTGGGGTTCGAACTTTGTGAAGAACTTGTTCGTAGAGAAGAGCGGCGGCGGAGATGTTTTTCTGGAGGACGTAGACGGAGGCTAGTTCGCGGATGATTGTTAGGTCGTCTGGGAGCATGTCGTGAAGCTTTTTGAATGCCTCGAGGGCCTGTTATGAGTTAGCTTTGCTTCTTAAACATATAATAGAAAAAAAAGGGATAGACTTGCCCTTCCGTAACTACCCATCTCTTTAAAAACAAGACCTCTCTCAAAGATAGCCTCGATATCCTGACTATTCCCCAAAATCGCGCGATTATAGCAATACAAAGCCTGATCAACCTGCCCGATCTGAAACGACAACTTCCCGCAAATCGACCACAGCTCGCTATCCTTCAACCGCAAATGGCCCGCCGAGATCCACGCCAGCAGACATTTCGGGATATCCCCGCGCTGCTTGTGGATCTCCCCCAGCGTCTTCCACGCAGGGTAGACGTGATTGTCGATGCGGATGACTTCTGCGAGAATGCGCTCGGCTTCGTCGAGTTGGTCGGCTGCGTAGGCTTGGTTTGCCTGGCCGAGCAAGATCTTCACTTCGCCTGAGGGCTCGTGTTCGCGCGCTGCACCCGGCACGCACTTCTTCTTCTTCTTTTTCTTGCCGAGACGGCCGCTGCTGCTGTGTGCACCGCCGCCCCGTGTCGCCGCCCTGCTGCTCGTCGCCCTGGCGCTGTCGTCGAGCAGCATGGGATCATACACGCTCTCGTCAACCGCCTGATCAACATCCATCTCCTCACCGTCATCGTCTCTCTGCACCCTACCACTGCCGCCGCCGCCGTCCTCGTCGTCGAGAACGTCGTCGTCGACGAGATCAGAGTCGATGTAGTCGTCCTGCTCGTCGTTGTCATCGGAGTAGTCAGCCGCGATCAGTTCGCGCATGCGCTGCGTCTCTGGATCGTCTGCGTCGTAGAACATCCTTCTTCTTTATTGCTTTCCTTCCTTTGCATTCAGATGATGTATATTCAGAAGTTGTTGCTGTTGAAGCAATTCAGGGGAAGAAGCGAGTTGAAGCTGCTCGCGTTTTAAGTTTTACAAGTCATCGCAGACAAAACTCAATTTGCTTGATTCTCTAATAAATACATTTCTTGTTTCTACATTATATTTCTCATATACGTTTCTCAGCTAATAACATACACCTTTTAGTTCTTCGCCGACCGCTTCTTCGCCTCAGTCTCTCCCGCAGCGCTACTGCTGCTACCCTCGACCTCCTCGGCCGGCTTAGCTGCCGCAGGAGTAGGCGCAGGAGTAGCAGGGGCGGAGGCCTTCTTGGAAGCACCGACGAGCGAGAGAATAGAGCCAAAGACAAGAGCGAGGATGGTAACAAAGACGGCGCCGAGAGCGGCAGCGGTCTCGGGGTACTGCTTGACGGCAAACACGGGGTCGCGCTTGAAGAAAGTGAAGAAGAGCTCGGACTGGTAGAGCGAGTAGTTGATCGGGTCGGCCTTGAAGAGCTCCCACATCGACTTGGGCGCGTCGGGCTCGGCGACCTTTGGCCGGCTCGATTCCTCCTCCTTGATTTCGTAGATGACTTTCTCGCTGTAAGTCGCGTTTCCGATCTTCTCTGCCTCCTCGATCGAGTGGCCGACGTAGATGTTGTCAAACAGGATCTCGTTCGACATGGTCCACAGCTCAAAGCCGATCGCGCCAATGGGCTCGAGGTTCGACGGTGTCTTGTCTTCGTAGTAATCCGGGTTGGGGATGTCGCGCGGCGCCCAGGGGCCCTTGTACTCGGGGTTGGGGATCTTGGGCTGAACCCACTTGCCCTTGTATTCCGGGTTATCGACCAGAGGAGCCTCCCAGGGTCCGCATCCGTGGTCCTCGCACTCGGGGTTGGGCACAACAGGCGCGATCCACTCTCCGTCCTCCTCATCGTCCCAGTCGTCGGGCTTCTCGGCCTCGGGATCGGGAATGTACTCCTCGATCGACTCGTCCCAGTCGTCGGGCTTGACCGCGTCAGGATCAGGGATCAAGAGCGGCGCGTCCTCGTCCCAGTCCTCGGGCTTGACGGCCTGGTCGGGATCAGGGATGGTCTCGAGGTCGACCCAGTCTTCAGGCTTGACGTCATCCGGATCAGGGATCGTGGTGGGGGGTTCGAACGCGGGATCAAAGTCCTGCGAGTCGATCAGCGAGCCGTACTTCTTGATGTCGCCGTTGATGCGGATCTCGTAGGTCTGGTCGGGCTTGACGATCAAGGTGTAGAGGTTGGTGAGCTTGTCGGTGATCATGTGGGGAGCGCCGATGAGATGCTTCTCCTCGTACTCGCCGGTGATGGGGCTCTTGCGGCGGACGATGAAGTGGACTTTGTTTGTCGAGCCACAGCGGTCGGGACCAAACATGATCTGGTAGGAGGTCTTGTCGGAGAACTCTTCCTCGTGCAGGTTGGCTTCATCGGTCAGCAGCTTGAGGTACGCGCCACCGCAGTCGAGGCCGTTCTGGAGCTTGACCTCGTACTGGACGACGAGCGTGTTATCGGTGTTGTCGATCGGCTCGGCGAATTTGGCAGAGATGGCGTGGTGCGCGGCCTTGTCTTTGACGACGAGGCCCTTGTCGCCCGAGAGACCGCGGTAGACCTTGGGCTCTTCGACCGACCAGCGACCGATGTAGGAGAACTCCTCGTCGCCGCCGGCGGGCGTCTCCTTCTTGGCGTTGGAGGCCTTCCAGCGCTCGCGCCAGCCGTCGGTGAACTGCTCGAAGAAGGCGCCGGGAGAGACTTTCTCGGCGTAGGGCTGTGAAGCAATACTGTTAGCAACACTGATTGCAATTGACACGATTGCGCTACAGATCAGATCAACGCACCTCAAAGACCGGATGGGCGATCGCGGCCTGGGGAGCAGCGGGCTCGTCCTCAGCGAAGGTCTCCTCGATCTCGAGTTCCTGCGCGACGACAGCAGACTGCTGAACCGCCAGCGAGAGGGCAAGAACGTAGAGCGAGTAGGCAGTGATTCCGCGCATTGCTGTTGATGCAGAAAGAAGCAGGAATTGAGGGCTGGGAAGATGGGGATGGGCGGAGTGGGAAGGAGGAAGCGTCGTTAAAGAGGCACCGGCCGCAGAAGACTGAAGAAAACCCTAATCGCCTTCTTGACACCTGGCATCATCTTCGTGTAGTTGTCCTTTGCCCAGAGCTCTGTTCGTCGTATTTGATCCACGTGGGTGCTTTTACTGTATTCAGATGACTCTCTTCTATCGGGATCTGGCTGCTCCGACTCGCAAGTCCAGAACTACAACTCCTGCTGGAGGTTGGCCAATTACTTCCGAATCGGGTAATACATAAACACTGACCTCATCTTTCCATTCTCCCACGTCTACTACTATAACTATAACTACACTACAGCCGCCTCTGCTCGCGCTCGCTTCCAATCGCCCCGTCAGGTGCGATGCCAAACTGGCGCATCTTGACCGCGAGCTCGAGCAAGTAGTCGATCGCCTCGTTGTACACTTTGGCCTTCCACACGGACTCGCCCCAGACGTAGATGCCGTGTCGCCGGACGAGGACGGCGGTGGTGCCGGGGTAGGCGAGGATCGCTTGCTCGAGACTGTCCTTGAGGTCCTCTTCGTGCGCGGTGTTTTCGATGATGGGGATCGTGAGGGTGTCGAAGAAGCCTAGGTAGCCTGGCTCGGTTACGCGCGGGAGAGCTTTGATCTGCTCGATGTTTGCGATCGTGAACTCTTTGTCGTAGAGTAGCGAGACCATGACGGCGTTCTATGAATTTCAGTAATCACTCTCACATGAGCTGCGACTGAACTTGCAGCAACAGTTCATCGCAGCAACATCATCGTAGAACAGAGGACCAAGCTCACCTGAGAATGAGTGTGGATACAGGCGCCCGCACCCCGGATATCATAGGCCGCCATAAACAAGGGCGTGCAGGCAGACGGCTTGTACACCTCTGGTCTGCGGAGATATTCTTTTGACGGGTGGTCCATCACAAACATATTCTCCGGCACCATTCTCTGTAGTAAGTTTGTTAGACATTACCATAGAGCGATGTGAGTTGAATAACAGAGCAGCCTACCTCTTTCTGCACACCGGACGGCGCCAGGTATATTTTGTCTCTGTAAAATGCAGAATGTCAGAACAAGAAAAGAAGAGTAAAAGTATAGATCAGAGCGCACCCGTCCTTCACGCTGATGCCGCCTCCGGTACCAGTGACCCAGCCATTGTTGTAGAAGATCTTGCAGAGCTCACAGATCAGATTCGCGGGGTGGTTAGGATCATGCGAGTGCACCAGTTCGTCGGCCATCGTGTGTTCTGCTCAAAGTGCTCTTTACAGAAGCTGGCGATGATGCAATAGCGATGACGTGAAGATTTTAGGTGAGCAGACATTGAAGTAAGGGGCTTGTGTGCAGGCTGGCAGATGGATGGCAGGCATCGCAGGGGCCCAGGGAAGAGATCAGCGAATTTACTGCAGATTATGATTAAACAGGCGATAGTAATTACATGTGTCATAGTGCGAGAATAAAGCGTACGGTGCATGTTATATTCCAACAACATGGCTGGGCTGCGACCCCTTCCTTGGTCTTCTGTCTTTGACTGTGATTGCCGACATCAATCAGTTCTTCTAGTATCGAGATAGTGATCATAGAGACTAGACATTAACGTGGCTTGCTACTATAGCGACACTATAGTCAATCTATATAGATAGTCGCCCTTGCCTCCTATCATTCCAGTGGATAGGGCAATATAGTGATGATAGAGCAAAAGTGAGCTGTATCGATAATAGGGACGTGAATCAACTGATGAACTACATCAACTACATCAACTACAGTAGAGGTGCAGGTCAGAGAAGAGCAGAGAAGGCGCTGATCCCCCATGCATACGTGCATACGTGCATTTATCGCAGACAAAGAAACAACTGCGTCATCCCTCGCCTCCGCTCTACAGGATCTCAGGACCCCAGGATCAGGACAGGATCAGGACAGGATCAGGATTCCAGTCGCCGCGACACAAGGGGGCTCCAGCCTCCATACACCCTCCCCGCCAGCCCCTTCCTTCTCTCTTCTCTCCTCGTCTTCTACGCTCAAACCCCCATCTTCACCCTCCGCAGATGACGACAGCCTTACGCAACCCCTGTCCCGAGGCTGTCCCGAGCGCAGACTCTGCTCAATCCTCGGCACCGATCTTGGGGGTGGCTGGGCCTTCTTCAAGCCACTGCGGCGCGGGGCTGGCCCCTCCTTCCTTTTAGAGTATATTACTTGCCCAATGCAGCAAGCGACACTGCCACCTCGAGCCTGCTTCGGGACTAGTTTAAGGGGGTCAAAGCCTCACGTGGCTTGCGCATCCAAGATTCGGGAGCACCGGGCGCGTCCTCGATTCGAGTATAAGTCACCTCCTCCGTCTTCCGTCTTCTCCTCTCTTCCTCACTCTGCTTCTTTCTACATCCACCACACCCACCATGATCTGCTCCACACAACTGCTACTCCTCCTGCTCGCCGCAGCAGGCCTCTCCGCATCCACATCCCACCCGCCATCCCACATCTCCTTCCCGCTCACCCAGCACAAGTCTTCCCACAGATTCGCTCCCCATCCGGCAATCCCGCACGCCTCCGCCCTCCACGACCTCGCTCTCGGCCACGGCCTCACCAGCGCCTCTGTCGACGTCGCCTACACCTCGGCCGTCTACACCATCACCGTCGGCGTCGGCACCCCGCCGCAGCCGCAGACGCTGCTCATCGACACCGGGTCCTCAGACATGCTCGTCTTCTCCGCCGCCAGCAAGCAGTGCCGCTCGAGTTCGTTCGGCTGCGGCGGCGGATATAACCCTGTCGACAGCCGGACAAGCAAGAATCTCGACATGTCGTTCGTCTTTGGGTTTGCAAACCAGAGCGCGACCGCGCGGGGCACATTCGTGCGCGACAACGTGCATATCGGCGACTTTGTCGTGCGCGACCAACCTTTTGCCATGATCGAGGACTCGGTCCTGGACTTTGACATCGAGGGCGTGCTCGGGCTGGGGTATAAGAGCAAGCAGCAGTCTGATTTCAAGTACGAGACGCTGGCGAGCAAGATCACTGCGCGCGAGCAGACCGCGTCGACGATGCGCTTGCTGTCAAGGCCGCGGCCGGTGTTTTCGCTGTACCTTGGTTCGCGCGTCGAGGATGTTGAGTCTGGGATCGACAAGCAAACGCACGACTCGCATCTTTCTGCCTACTTCCGCACCAGCTCGAGCAAGAGCAACATTGGAAAATCATCGCTCGTTCCGCAGCCCTCGCTCGATCTCGGCTTCATCGACGAGACCAAGCACACGGGCGACATGCTCGCCTTCATTCCCTGCACCACGGCCGACGACTTTATGATCCGCGTGCACGACATCAACTTCGTCGACAGCAACGACCGCTTCCACTCCCTCATCGAACCCGTCTATCCTGTCTCTACCGCGCCGGTGGACAACAGCGACGAGGCCGCGCCGAAGCTCGATATGCTGCTCGACTCCGGGACTATCGGCATCCTCATCCACGACACCGTCGCCGACGCTATCGCTGCCGCGATCTCCGCCGACGCGACTTACGACGAGTCACTTCCCGGCTACCGTCTCCCCTGCAGCGCCATGTCATCCCCCCTACAAGGCCACCTCGAGTTCTCCTTCCTCGTCTACCAAGACAGCACGGACTCCTCTTCCCCCTCCCCCTCCTCCTCATTCGAGACATTCAAAACCATCCGCGTCTCGCTCGCCGAGCTGCACCGCAAATTCGTCTCAACATCCGCCTCGAACGATGGGCAGTGCGTGCTGGACGTGGTCCGCGAGAGCACGTACGGCGTCGGAAATATCCTCGGCACTGCGTTTATGAGTAGTGTCTATGCGGTGTTTGACGTCGATCGGCATCGCGTGGGGATCGCGCAGGCGGCGTATTATAATCTGCGATAGTCTTTCTTTCTTTCCATATACACTCACACTCTTTGTTTAATTTGACGTCGTTCTTGGTACATATTCAGCTTTTAATCAGCCTTTTTCTCTTTTTTGATGGCTACTCATGGTCTTGCATTGCCTTGTTTTCTTCTTTTTGGGTTCCGGGTCATTTCTTCATCTATCATCGTTCATGAATCTTTGTATACATAGAGTCAATAACATTCATAGAATCATCAACATCTACTCCACTCAACACACCATCCTTCTCATCTACGAAACAAGTAATCTGTAATGGTAATAGACGACTGATAATTTCAAATAAGTAAAAATTACAAAGCGAAAAATGAACAAACAACACACACACGACACGACACACAAAAAATAAGCGGGCAGTCTTGATTTATATCGACAGACAGCCATAATACAAAACACACAAAAAACAGAGAGTTGGAATACTAAACAAGAGAAGGAGAGGACTTTGTACATATGATATCATCGAGAGAGCAAGGAAAATGTAAGAATATAAAATGTAAAGTAAGAATGAGAGAAGAAGAAGTGAGCGAAATATAGAAAATAGAAAGATTAGAAGAAATGCAAAAATATAACAAACAAATTCAAAGCAAAAAAAGAAAACTCAAAAACAAAAAGAGGATAAATAGAAAGAACAACCACTTTTCCGTAATGACATTAAAAGACGTCCCGAGAAGCGTACTTTTTGTACTTTTTTGTACTTTTGTGTATAAACCGCAAAATACAATAAATAATAATCGAAAAAAACTATTCTTTTTGTCTTCTTTCAGCCGCCGGTGTAAAAGAAAGAACGCACAGTCATAAGCATATAGACAGTCTACTGCTTGTTGGCCTTCTTCGCATTGTTCGTTCGGTTGTTTCTTGACCGCCCGTTCTGGTTCTCGATCCCGTTCTGCTGGCCGCCCTGCTGGCCGCCCTGCTTACGCTTGTCGTCAAACCGTCCATTAGCCTTTTGCTGGAACGTGCCATTGCGCTGGCCCTGGTGGTTCGAAGACGGACCGTTCCGGCGCCGGTCTTCGATAAACACGGTCGCCCCGTTCTCGAACGTCAGCGTCTTGGCCTCGCGCGCGACCCTAACCATGCTGGCATCCGCGTAGTCGACAACCGCGCAGGACTTGCCGCGCTGCACCTCAAAGTGCGTGATGGTGCCGAACTTGGCAAGACCCTCGCGGAGCTCGTCCTCGGAAACCTTGTCGGTCACACCCTTGACGTAGATCGAGAGAAACTCGCGCTTCCTGTCGTCGGGCTTCGCGGCAGCTTTGGCAGCCGGAGCGGGAGCAGCGGCCGGGGCGGGAGCGGCAGCGGTGGTGGTGCTAGTGGCAGTAGAAGCCGGGGTGCCCGAAGCGGTCTTCTTCGCAACAAGCGCCGCCCACGAGGTCGGCTTTGCGGGCTCAGGCTTGGGCGTGACCTCGGGCACGGCAGGCTTCTCCACCGGCAGAGGCTCGAGCGGCACAGGCGGGACCTCGTCGACCTGGGACTGCGCGGCAGGCACGTCGACGGCCGGGTGGGGCGCTTCCTCGACAACGACCGGGGTGTCGGGGTCAATCTCGTGCTGGGCGTACTCCTCCTGGATAGTGGCCTCGTCGATCTCAACCGAAGCCGGGCCAGGGGTGTCCGAGCTGTGGTCGACCGCGGACGAGACCGCGGCAGATGGTCGCACGGGAGCGGGAGCGGCGACGGCGGGAGTGGTGGAGGTCTCGTCGGCGACGGGCTCCTCGGCTTCGCTCTCGACGAGGTCGTCGACAAGGTCGTCTTTGAGGAAGCGGAAGATGTCGTTGAGGACAAAGTAGCCTGAATTTTGCTGAGCGAGGAAGAAGGTCTGCACGAACTTTTGCGAGGGACCGCCGCGGATGGACATCTCGCCGAGGACCTGGATCACAAGGCCGCCGTTCGAAGGCTGCGAATCGACGTTGGACACGAGGACTTTGCAGTCGTGGAAGTCGAGTTCGGCGATCTTCTTGTTGATTTGCTGGAGAGTGTGTTAGTTTGGTGATTGAGAATGGGTTTGTGGAGGTGGAGCAAGGATTGGTATATAGTATGGCATTGCCACTCGTCCGAGAACGACGAAAAGGACATAAAACGTACCTGCTGGCCGACCAAAGGAGGAACAGTCTCTCCCTCGTTTCCATGACACATAATCGACTTGCGGGTGTAAAATTGCTACGAAAAAGACAGCGAGTTAGTCGGGACCGAACAAAGACCACCAAGCACGCTCCTAACGAAAACGACTTTAAGCAGCAAGAAGAACATACGTGGAGCTTGTTGGGATGCTTGTTCATGTAGGTGTAATACTGCTGGACAAAAAGCCACCCGACCTCGACCTGCGAGACCGAATCAGCCTCGCCAGCCTGCTGCTGCTGCTGCTGCTGTTGCGAAGCCTGGGCAGGGTCGGCGGGCGCCGGTTCAGACTTTTCGACGGAGCCGTTCATGGTCGGATATGAGACGAAGAAGAAGATGCGCAGAAGTAGAAGAGAAACAAAGAAGAAAAAGTGTGCGAGAACAAAGAAATCGGGCTTTGTGCGGAACTGCGGGCGGGTTTCTGGTTCTGGATGGGGTCGAGCGACTGCGAATATTCTTTTTGCGACGGAGAGAAATCTGGGATTTAGAGTTTAAGAGTGATTAGGTAAGGGATTAGGTGATAGTTGGCCGGGCCTATCGGATGCCGGGTATATCTGTAACATAACCAATTCGATTCAATGAAGAAGCAACTGCGCCGGAAACAAAAACAAATGGAAGTAGATGACAAAGACAAACAACAGAGACAGAAGAATACAGCTCCACATCCTCTCATGATCACAAGAAAGAAAAAGCAGAAGAAAGAAATATGTAGGAAATCGCGTACAAACAAAAGAAACCATGATGTTATTACCAACCCTTCTTCTATATTGCACTTGAGAAAAGAAGAAAAGAAAAAGAAAAGAAAAGCAAACTCCATCCAAGCCCTCTCCATCGACCAAATCCTTGTTCGTAAACGCTCTCGTCGGCCTCTACCTTCACAGTCTTTCTACTCCTAACAACCGACACTCATTACTGCTTCCAGATATAACACTTTCCTTCCAAAATAACAGAAAAACATAAAGTATAAAATATGTGAGAAAATAAAGCAACAGATAAATGAACAAAGAGAACGGCAACCAAAATGACACCAGCGATTCTTTTACTCTGTACGCGAAGACACGCTCTCTTCAAATGCAGGCGGCGGCGACCGTCCGAGCAAAGCCGCAGTCTCGCTGCTCTGCTCCTGCTCGTCGACGTCCGAATGATAGCTCGGCGGCCTGTTCGACGGCGGGACGTACCGTTGCCGGCCATTTGCAATCGCTCGGCTTGGTATCCGCTGCGCGTGGCTCACGTTCGAGGGTAGAGGAATCAGACTGTTGGTTTGCGCGGATGAAGACGAGTCGGCGGTGGTTGACCGTTGGAGAGGGTGTGCGAAGAAGTCGACGCTCGAAGCCGACGAGGCAGACGCAGCGGCTTGCTGCACGGCCGTCGACGAAGACGGGTCGACGATGGTGAAGTTTGACATGTCGATGCTATCGCCGTGATCGGTCGAGGCCTCGTTGATCGAGAACGGGTTCTGCGGGTTGCGCGAGTTGACTGGCGCAGAGTTGCGCGTGCTGCCATAGTCTCGTCCGAACCGGCCGATCTCGAGCAAGACCGACCCTTGCTCCGCACCGTACGGTGGCGGCGGCGCCAGCGATCCCGTCACCGGCGCGAGACCCCATTTTTTGACATTCGCCTCGATAAACACGAATCCGGCCTGGCCAAAGTTGACGTGCACTGTGCAGGGCCCGTTCGCGCCGATCGTGGGGAAGAGGTTGAGTTTCATGCCGTGCGCTGCATCTTCGAGCTTCTTTCCGTTGCGGGTGAAAAACACAGTTCCCGTCCGGGGTTTGAAGCCGACGCCAATGACATCGCCCTGCTGGAGCAGCGGGCCGTAGGGCACGCCGTGGAAAGGCTGGTTGTTTCTGCGCTCGCCGAGCGAGTTGTACGCCACACTGTACCGGTGGTATCCCGGCATCCTGAAGGTAGGGTACGGCTTTGTGCATAGTCCGATAGCCACCAAAGTCTGCTCGGGCTTATCGTAGAGCTTGGCCTCCCAGTAGTAGACGTCGTTCTGCTTGGGCACGGGGAGGTTAGTCATAACGCAGCACTCAGAGTCGTAGAAGGCGATCTCTGTGCGGGCCTCGACGAAGCAGTTTGCGTTCTCAAAGTCGGGCTCAAACTCCCACGCCGAGACGCCCTTCTCTTGGATCGCCATGAACTGCGAGAGCGAGATGTCGGTCGGCACGCTGTCTGGCGGGTTGACCTCGACGAAGGCGCGCGCCTGGAAATACGACGCCCGCGCGATGTCATCCATCTGCTGCAGCCCCTCTTCCTCCTCGCGCAGGAACGACTGCTCGTCATCGTACTCGCCTGGCCGGCCGCGATGGAGGAGGATGCGGCCGCGTCTGGTGTAGAAGAGAAAGTAGACGACGGCGAAGAAGATGGCGAGGAGGGCGATCGAGCCCAGGGTGGTGGCGAGGCCGACGATGAGCGGCAGGTTCACGCCGCCGCTGCCGGAGCCGTTGTTGTTGTTGTTGTTGTTGCCGCGATGGTTGCCGGGCCCATGCGAGGGCTCGACGATGGGGATGGTCGCGTTGGGGCTGTCGAGGAAGTCCATAGTAGCCGGGAATCAGAGGATGTTCGGGGATCTCGGATCGCTCGTTGCCCGCTTGCGAGGAGAAGTAGATATGTGATGATGATGCGATGCTCTGCTAGTTACTGAACAGTTGAATCTCTCTGCTGCTGCTGCTCGCCGGCTCTGTTGTTGCGCCAGGTCCTAATCAGCTCCGTTATCGAGACCGCTGAGGTTCTTCCTGCGCTGCTAAAGGAGTCGCACTGAGGGTTAGGTGTTGTGACGCACTTTACGCCGGTGCTGCGATCTCCGCAAATTAAGTCTTTTATGTAATCGATTATGTCATACTATTTACACTACTCGTCCTCCTTGCTCGTCGACCGGCCCTCGAACGGCCGCAGAAAGTCGCACTCCTCCTCCGGCTTCAGGAATGAGCACACGTGCTGCATCAGGTACGCTGCCTTGCGCTCCTGCTGCGTGTTCTCGTCGTCGGTGTCAAGTGCCCACGCCGTCGTGTCGACCCAGTGTATGTTCTTGTCGCCCGCCGCCCGCAGGTTCTGCGCGACCGTCAGCATCTCGATCTCGAGCGCGCCCTTGAACGGCCGTAGGATGATGATCGGCACGTGCTTGTATGCCTTCTTGCGGATCTGGCGGATGTAGTTCTCGACCGCGTCGCGGTACGTCTTTGTCGCGTCTTGTGGGAGCAGAGTGCGGTACATCAGCTTCTGGTCGATGAGCTGCTTGGTCGCAGTGCCAATGTCGAGAATCACCAGGCTCGGCTGCGGCTGCTGGTCAAAGTGCCAGTACTTTGGCATCGACCGCGACGCGGCGAGACTGCCGAGGAAGTAGAACTTGTCGAGCGCCATGATGTTGTCGGGGCAGTTGGAGATGCACATGCCTGGCGCGGGGATAAACACTCTGTCGGCGCCCAACGAGTCGGCTACCAGATATGGCCAGCTCAGCGCATCCAGATGTGACTGTGGGCCGTCAGCATTCCTTTCTCATAAATGTATCAGAAGATAAAAGCAATATACATACCGAGTTGTAGGTGTCCTGAACAATCTCAATAATTTTTGTCTTTGGCTTTGGCACCTCGACAAGGGTAGCCTCCATGTCGACGTAAAATGCCTCGATATCAGTCCTCTGCGCCTGGCCGCCAAACATCACGCGCGCGACATGCCTTGTACTCGGCGACAGGTTTTGCGCGAGCGAGATCACCTCGCGTCCGTAGGGTACGACAGTGAAACTCCTCGCGTCGTCAATCTTGACCGAGACCGTGACGGGCTCCTTGAAGTTCCCCAGGTGGATTCCGAGCGACGTGCCCGTGAACGCGACGTCGACGTAGCCGCCCTGGAAGAACGTCGAGGCAAGAAGGCCCGAGGCCGATCCCGAGGCCTTGTTGCGCGACCATCTGCCGACGTACACGAGCCGACTATCGAGCGGGCTCACGAGCTTTTTTGTGTTGTGGATCGTCAGACGTAGGGGGTCGTAGTCTGCGCTCACGCGGTCTGTGCATGTGAGGACGACGACAATCGCGAGCCAGACGCCGACAATCGCGGCAATGAGCTGGTGAATGCCTGTCACTCGTTTGCGCGCGGGCAGGATCGAGAACGGCAGGTGTCGCTGGCGCCGTTTCTTGCTCGAGCGATCAAAGGACTCGTCGTCGTCGGCGTCGGCGTCGGCGTCGCCATTCTGATTCCGCTCGAGCGCGTCCGAGTCGCCGGAGGCGTATAATACGGGTGAGACAGAGCGCGAGTTGCCGCGGGAGTGTGAGCTGTAGCGCGAGAGAGAGACTGTGATGTTGCGGTCGGAGGAGGAGGAGTCTGCGGAGCTCTTGAAGCGTGCGGACCAGTTTGCACGGGCGGAGGCCGGGAGCCAGTCGCCGGGTGCCCGAGAGAGGGAGAAGGACATGAGGAGAAGGAGAACAAGAACAACAACGAGAAGAAGAGCAGATATACAAAAACAACAAACAACAAACAACAAACAACAAAGAACAAATATCAGACAGAGCACAAATTCGCCGTGAAGCAGCCAAAGCACAGACCGGCGGCGATGGCTGAACAAGGCTTCGCTTCACGCGTCACCCCCCGTCGCGCCGACGCACGTGAATCACAGTCACGTGGACTGTCACGTGAAGAAAATCTTTTCTCCCAACTCTCTGCTATTACACACTGCATCCCAGCTGGAGAGAAGGAAAGAACAGCAGCAGAGATGGCAAAGACGGCTGCAGCGACGCCGGCCAGGAAGGCGCATATCAAGTTCTCGGAGCCAGAGACTCCGCTTACCGGGTACGTCACGGCGGAGGAGGAGCTCAGCGCGAGCGAGGACGAGGATGATGATGATGCTACGCCGAGGGCAGTTCCCCAGCCTAGTCTGCAGAACGACAGCGGCGACAGCGGCGACGACGACGAGGATGATGCACCTGAAGACGTCTCTTTCTCTGGTGGGAAAAGCTCTGCGCGGGCACAGTCGCGCGCCCGGCAACTTGAGCTCGAGACGATGAAATCACAGGAGCGCGCCAAGCGAGCTGCAAAGGCAGAGAAGATCAAGGCGGAGAAAGAGAGCTCAAAGAAGAAACACAAGACAGTGAAGAAAGCGAGGTTAGAAGCTGCAGAAGACGAGGTGCCTGTTTTCCTCTCTCAGGCTTTACTGAAGCAGGTTACGACAGAGTTGGACGACGACGACGACAGAGAAGACGATCAGAGTCAAATGCGGACAAATAAACGGAAAGTGTTTACAGACGATCCAGAGATTGATGAAGTCGAGAAAGAAGACCGGAAGATCAAACTGCTAAAGCCGATAAAGGCGCGCGTCATGGCTCCGCCTGCTGCTGCAAAGACAATCAAGTCAAAGGAGAAGTGGTTGAAGCGGAAAACTGCTGCGGACGCGAAGCAGCAGCGACTCATCATGCGGGCATAACGACGTTTTATTATATCTAATTATTTATTGTTTATTGTTTATTGGTTATCTGTAACATAGCATAAAGGGACACAATCACACATCCTTCACCGTCAACGTAACTAGCGGAATCAACATGCCCGCCACCGCAAACATCGCATCTTTCAATGCCACAACCTGATCAGAGCTCTTTCCCTCGGCCTCGCTGTCATTCATGACATGCACGGCGACATATAAGAACGTACCACCGCTGAACAGTAGAATAATACCGGTCCACCACTGGATCGTCGCGTCGCCGCTGTTGGAACCAATCATCATGATTATCATCCAGGTCACGACCGCACCGATTGGCGCCGCGATCGAGAAAATAAATAGATGCTTCTTGACCGCGCCGCGCGAGATTCCGTTCCGTAGCAAAACAGCAGACAAGCCGAACGCGGCGGGCGCCTTGTGGATCAAGATAGCAAAGAAGACTATCGTCTCAAGCGCAACGCTACTCGACGCCGCCGACGCTCCGAGCGCGATACCATCCGCCGCAGCGTGGATGACGAGGCCCGAGATAAGAGGACCGACCGAGGGCGGTGGACTGCTTCGGCTAGATAGCGAGGCCATGCCAAGCCCTTCTTCTGGGGACAGACCCGAGGTTGCGCCAGACGAGGAGGAGAACGTCTGCAGCTCGGCTACGTCGTCTATACTGCGGCGGTGATGGAGGTGCGCCGCCATCCCGTTGCCACCGAGGATCGCGGGCAGCTTGTCGATTAGGTACATCATTATAAACCCAGATATGAGCGCGATGCCGACGTATTTGTGCGTAGAGTCGCTGGCCGACGGGCGGCTGGAAGGTGGTCTGGGGTTACCAGGAATGCTGGGAGCTCCGTCCTCTGTATCTTCGTCGTCGTCGTCGTCGTCGTCATCGTCACTGTCACTATCCTCAGAGGACTTGCCATCACTAGGCTCGAGGTCATCGCTGTCGTTCTTGTCTTCATCGTCCTCGTCATCTTCACCATCGAGAGGCTTGGTCGCCGGATCGTCCTGGTCGTGATGGGGCGGCGTTTCCCTGATTCGGAGACCAATTGTCTCGAGCGCAGCACTGACGCCTCGCTTGACGGGGTCCCGCCCTTCTACCTCGCCATCGGCGCCGTCCTTTGCGTTGCCAGAGTTGAACGGGTTGTGGTCCAGCGGTGGGACGATGCTGCCAAGGCCCGAGGGTATCTTTGGCCGCCGGTGACGCGGCCGGGGGACGGAGTAGAGGGTCTCGACGCCTTCGGGGATGATGACGATGAGCGAGGTGCCCATGAGAACACCCATGCCGACGGTAGAGACCGCGCGCAGACGGTCGGGCGAGAGGGAGACGACGAGGGGGAGCATGCCGGACGCAAACGAACTGGGTGGGAAGTCAGCTGCGAACAGGGCGGGGGAGCGGCGGTGACGGGGCAACTTACGCGACGAGCATGAGCAGGGAGAGCATGAGCAGGGAAAGGATCCCCGATAGAGCCTGCATGGTGGACAGAGCAGCTGATTGAGCGGCAGACAGGCAGCAGAAGAGGCGGCAGACCGAGATATCAGACAACGAGGAGAGGAAGAAGCAGCAGCTGCGTCGAGGACGAGATGATTTCCACGGCTGCGGCTCAGCTTCCCCTGCGCTGCTTGGCAGATCAAATGCCGCAGATGAAAGCACGTGATGAGTCATGTGATGAGTCATGTGACCTCAACGCGTCAACTGGCGACGAGCAGGAGCGCTCCTCTGCTGTCGACAGCATATCAAGGAGCATGACCTCAATCACCCTGCCAGAAGTCTGGACTGCAGACTCAAACAAGGCTCTCTCTGTTTCTTTGGGTATTGCTTACTGTTTAGTTCCCGCTCCTCTCTTTGTGTCTGCTAATCGTCTCCACAGTCAACCCCGACGGCACCGTTCTTGGCAAGGAATTCCATCCCAAGTTCACCTATCCGATCTTTGGCGACGCAGAGGCCATTTATGGATATAAAGACTTGAGTATACAAGTGCGTATTTGTTTTTGCTATTTATTTTTTCTTAAATCTGCAGATCAAAGCAGAGCGCGAGAAACAAACAGCAGAGCACTGACGCGTCTCGATCCAGCTCAAGTTCGGCGCAACCGACCTCGCGCCGTTCCTCAACGTTTCGTATTCTGAAAAACTTGACAATGCGGAGGCTTTAGCTAGCGTTATTGAGGAGGTGCAGAAGAACTTGAACGCGCAGGAGGAAAATTGGGAGGACGCGGAGGAGGAGGTCGCGCAGGAGGACGGGGATAAGGAGAATGAGCAGGATGAGAAGGATGATAATGGAGATGACGACGAGAAGCCAAAGAATGGCGATGATCCGGCTACTGTCATTAAGAAGTTTCTTCCGGATGGTGAGCTACCCTTCACTCTTGCTACCCTCTCTTACTCCCTCTAACTAAAACAGACATCTTCACCAGCGAATCCGACTGGCTCTCACATCTCTCCTCTTCCGCCACAGAATTCACCCCACCCGGCACACTCCTAACATCGTATCCCACCGACGACTCCACCTTTGAAGTCTGGAAATGTCCGATCTCGGACCCTCTGCAGCAGAAAATAAACGCGCGCATGCAGATCTTTGTCCTGTTCTTCGTCGAAGCCGGATCCTACATCGACGCCTCTGACGACCGATGGCGGATATACACGCTGTACTCGAAATCCTCCGACGGCGTCTACAAGTTCGCGGGCTTCACAACAGTCTACTCGTATCTCTACTACAAAGACGCAAAGTCCTACGACAGCTCGAATCCCGTGCCGGACAAGGACTCGCAGGATTTCTTCAACCTGCAGCATCGGAAACGGATTTCGCAGTTTCTGATCCTGCCGCCGTTCCAAGGACACCACCATGGTGCGCATCTCTACAACGCGCTCATGGATGAGTTTTACGCCGACCCGCTCGTCAAGGAAGTCACTGTCGAGGATCCCAACGTCGCGTTTGACGATCTCCGTGACCGATGCGACATCGAGCGACTCGACAGACTCGGGATCTTCAACGACGAGTCCTTCACCGACGCACCGGTCAGTCCCGAATGGATCAAGTTTGCGCGCGAGCAGAGCAAGATCATGCCGCGCCAGTTCGAGCGGCTGGTCGAGATGGCGCTGCTGCGGCGGCTGAAAAAGTCAAACGCGCGGCAGTATAAAGCGTACAGGTTGCAGGTCAAGCAGCGATTGTACAAGCACAACCGCGAGGCACTTAAGGATCTCGACCGGTTCGAGCGGGTGGACAAGTTAGACGAGACGTACAGGGGTGTTGAGGAGGATTACTACCGGATTCTGCAAGTGCTGCCGGCGCCGGAGTACGTCGAGCCGAAGATCACGTTCAGACAGTATGAGGAGGCGCATGGACGGTCGGGAGTGATTGAGAAGAGTAAAAAAGAGGCTTCGTCGAGTGGGAAGGGGAAGGGCAAGAAGAGGGCGCAGTTGCTCGAGGTGCCGGAGGAGAGCGCGGCGGATGGCACCAAGCGCGTGAGATTTGAGTAGATATTCTAGAGAGAGCTTGAATTAAATAAACAAGATGTATCAGTAATACGCAACAATGACTATATTTGGTATAAAGTAGTGTAGATATTGTCAGTTGGGAGGTTGAGCCTCGCTTAATCAGATAAGCTTCAGCTTCGAGCTATCGACATCTCCACAAGAAATAATCCCAAAAACCACCAGCACGACCTCCCACGCCCACTAATCCACTCAATTCCTCTCCTCATCCTCCATCAGCATCTCCAGGCGCCGCCACGATGATCCGCGTGCCCTACAACCTCAAAGCCGCGCCCGCGCTGATCCTCCCGCCGACTGCAAACACCCTGCCTGCCGCGATCGCCGCGACAAAAGCATTTCTGGACCCGAGCACCGGCTCGACGGCGGTGATCACCGGAGCCGGCGTCTCGGTCGAGTCCGGGATACCAGACTACCGCGGGCCGACGGGGACGTACACTGTCAACAAGGGGTACCGGCCGATTTTCTACTCGGAGTTTATCGATCGTCATGACGTGCGCAAGAGGTATTGGGCGCGCAGTTTTCTGGGGTGGGAGGCGGTGCGGCAGGCGAAGCCGAATAGGGTGCATCGGTATATAGGTGAACTGATGAAGGAAGGCTGGATAAGCAGTTTAGTAACTCAGAGTGCGTCTGCTCCATCGCATATCTCGATGATCACAAGCTAACGCGTCCAACACAGATGTCGACTCACTACACTCCCACTACGTCCCCGACGTCACAGAAATCCACGGCTCCCTCGCCTCCGTCGTCTGCATGACCTGCCACACCTCGATCCCGCGCGTCGACCTGCAGACCCAACTCGCGGAGCTGAACCCGGCCTGGGCCGATCTCCTCCAACAAGAGCTCGACCGGCTCGCGCGCGCCAAATCCGCCGTCCGCGACCCGATCAAGGATTTCAGACTAAACCCGGACGGCGACCTCGAGCTCCCGGACTCGATCCGGTACGACGACTTCAAGTACCCTGCCTGTCCCGCCTGCGTGGGCAGCGGCGTCGCGCACGTCGATATCGGCGACGGCATGTCGTGGTCGCTCGAGAACCAGGACGTGTCGGTGCCGCATTCGAAGCGGAAGTGTAAGGACGTCGGCGTGTTGAAGCCAAACGTGGTGTTTTTTGGCGAGAACGTGGATCCTGATATGCGGGCGGCGGCGGAGCGCAAGATGAGCGAGGCGGATAAGATCTTGGTGGTCGCGAGTTCGCTGGCGACGTACTCTGCGTTCAGACTGATCAAGGAGAATAAATTGGCCGGGAAAGCCGTCGGGGTTATAAATATGGGTCCGGTCAGAGGCGAGCATGATTTACTGGGCGAGGGTGATCTCAGGTTATCGTTTTTGGCGGGCGATGTGTTGGGTGGAGTATGGGATTCGTTGCGCAAGGCGCAGCATCGGAACCAGCATCAAGCGCATCTATAGCTGCTGGAGAACTGTAAATATACATGCTGTATATAATCACCAATAGACTCAAATTTAATGACAATTACAAGCTAAAATACACAACTTTGCTAGTCGCTGTAGCTGCTATAGCTACTATACGAACTAACCGACGACCCGCGTCGTCTTCTCGACGATCCGCGTCCACTATCTTTCTCCCTCTCCTTGTCCTTCTCCTCCCTCTCCTTCTCCTCCTCAAACTTCCTCCGCTCTTCCTCCGCCAACGCAGCAGCTCGCTCGGTAGCTTTCTTCAAATACACGCGCAGATCCTCGGTGAGCGGACCGAGACCGATCGCAGTGAAGAAATTGATAGCGAACCGCGTGTCGGCCGGGTTGTTCCTCGGGAACAAACCCGACAGCGCGGCGGGGTCCTGTTGCCGCAGATCTTCAAGACGAGCAAGGAGCTCTTTCATGCCGATTTCCTCCACGAGATCCTGGAACAAGATCTTGATAAAGATACGCGACGAGGCAGTCGTCTCGTCCTCGTTCAGATGGATGCACGCAAACGCTTTCCAGCGGATCCCGTCGGATGCAAACACGTGCGCAAACAGCTTCGCGATGTTGCGGATCTTGTTGGTTTCGTAGCGGTGGATGGTGTCGTAGTAGGTCTCAAAGGCGCGCGTGAAGGGCTCGTTCCAGAAGCGGCCGAGCTTGCAGAATCGTTCGGCGACGAGGCCGTAGAATTTCGAGTAGATTTTCTCTTGCGAGCAGCACTCTATAATCATATTCACCAATTCGATCTAAATAACTCGTTAGCAGCTGTTTTAATCAACATATAATCAGAAGAATGGAGCATACCTCTTGGCCGGGCGGGAGCTTGATACGGAGAAGCTTATGACAGCACTCCTCAAAATCCATACTAGACCGGATCGTAAGATAAATCGTTCGTCGAAGATTCACGAGATCCTTATTCGTCATGTCCTTAATCTTTCCATCGTCGACCGCCGTCGCCGGCTCCGTCTCTTCGTCTTCCGAGCTCACATCCGAATCATCATCCTCGTCCTCGTCATCGCTATCACCCAAGATCTCGTGCTTGATCGCCTGGTACTTCTCTTCATTCTCCGCAAAGTTCTCGTCAAATTTGAAAACGTTCAACCCATCCTCGCCATTCAACTGATCCTCCAAGCCGAGCATATGGGTGATCTGATCTTCCTCCTCGACTAAATCCAGATCGGGCAGAATACTGGGATTATCCTCATACTTGTTCTTCCGAACCAGAAACAAGACTTCAATCATATACTGCGTCCGCTTGTCGAGTTCACCTTCGTGCAGAATCGCTCGCAGACGCTCGTACACGCCGTTATTAGCCGCAGGACTGACCGTCTCCAGATACGCTCCCACCTCGCGCATGAATCCGACCGCAATCTCAACAGAGTCGTCGGTAGGTCGCTCGAGTAGCAGGTGCATGATCTGCAGGATGATGATTTCGTGCGCGACTTGGTAATTACACAGGTGCGCTAAGAACATCGTCGAGCTCAGACAGACCGTCTTGTCGTTGCGTTTGAAGCCCTTTCGGAACTGGATAATCAGTCGTGTGACCAGCAACTCGCCAATCTGTGGTAGTTTCGTGTTGACGATCGCCGCCAGCGCGGCGTATACAGGCGTATACGGCAAACTAGCTGCCTGCGCGCGCATTATACTGCGCACAAACAGACCTTTGCCTCGGATAAGATTCTGCTTAAACACATCCTGCACAATCTCTCTGATATTGGCTTTGTTGACCTTGTTGATCTGCCCGTTGATTCCTCGCTTCAATTCCTCCCACGCCTGCCGCTGTTTCTCCTTCTCGTCGGTCTCGGTAAACTGAGCCTGCAAAGCGCGCAGTCGTGCCGGCGGCACATAAGTACCACCTGAGCGAAGCTCTAGAAGCTTCTTGTACTCTGCCCGGGGATCGAATTCCTTCTTCTCCTTTTCGCCCTCGGCAGCGAGTCGTTCTTGCGCCTGGCGCTCGCGCTCGGCCGCACGTCGTCTGTCAACGTCAGGCAGGGCACGGGGCCGTCGCGGTGGTGGAGACGGGCTAACTGATTTTCGCGACGACGCCCGCGCAGGTGATGGAGAGCGCGCGCGCCTTTTCGAGGTCGATTTTTCTTTCAGGGCGGGAGAGGGCGTGCGGGAGACGGACCTTGCTGGCGACCTGGATGGCGTTCTCGAGACTGATCGTGAGCGCGACCGGGGACTCCGAGAATCGGCAGAGTATGACCTCGAGCGGGAGGAGTACGAGCCAGTGGAATACGACCGCGAGCGCGAGGACGCTGAGCCAGAGTATGAGCGCGAGAGCGATCTGCCTCTGCTGTCGACCGACGGGGATCGTGATCTGGACGAATAGGAGGAGTATGACGAGACCGAAACAGACCTGCGTCTCGCCTGAGGCGACGGGCTCCGCGACACTCGCCGTCCGCGAGAGGAATCCTCCCGCGGTGGCGGAACATAGCGATCAGTACCCTTCTGCGCCGGCGGTAAACGTCTACCGTTTCGTTCAGCGCCGCCGCGGCTGCTAATCGGAGACCTTGTCCTTCTGTATTTCGTCTGCCGTTCTGCCGGTGGTGATTCTGATCTCCTGCTCTTCTCATCATAACGTAAAGCAGATGCGTCGCCGTCGCCCCAAGCAGGCGGACGTTTCGCGCGCGACCGCGGTGGCGGCGATGGCGAAGGCGACGCTCGTCTTCGACCTGGCGAGGAAGGCGCAGTTGTTTTCGCATCCAGCGGCGCCTCTCGACGCGCTGACGCTCTCGAAGCAGTATCAGCCATTTCTCCTAAACAGCAGTAGAGATCTTCACTCAGCCGTTGAGGGTATGATGGAAGGTTGTTGGTTGCGCAGAAGAGTCGTCTGCTGATGATGACTACGGGAATTTTATTTATTTTGAAGGTTTGTTCATCCAGCGGGATTAGAGTTTGTGGGAACCGGTGGCATATAGCGATGGTTGTTGTGCGGTTATGCTGTAGTTCAAAACCCTACAAAACCTACAAATATTGTGGATAAACCCTACGACATGTGCGTATTAAGGCAGCAGACTGAGGCAGACATGCATACTTTGATCACTTATCTACTATGCTTATCGTGGCCATTCATATGAGTGGAATACTTTGAGTACTTGTCCAAGGATCCTACCAGGTATCCGAGGAAGTTCTATATGAACCAGCAGGCTCAACACGACAAGTCTGGCACTACTTATTCCCAAAGTGTGCTGTATTGCTGTTGAATTACTCCAGTTGGTGGAAGGTAGGGCTACAGAGCAAAATGACATCGAAACCATATATCATTACGATAATCAATCACAGAAACCAGAAAATAAAACGATAGAAACCATGTGAAATAACAATAACACTTAATCCAGAAAACAAAACGGATATAAACAATCAAGTCCTAAAACACCAAAACATAACTTCGTGTACGGTAAATCTCTGGCAGAACGTGTTCCCTGCCTGCTCCTCGGTCTTCTCGAGGCAGCAGCCCAGTCTTTGAAATAGCATTTGCCCTCCTCAGTCAAACAAGAGCGTAGCTCCTTCAACATCTTGAGCTAAGGGTGTGAGAGGCCCGCAGCGGTCTCCGCAGAGTCGTCGTTGTCCGTCTAGTCGCAGCGATATATTCCTTCTCCCTGTCCTCTGCGAATCGCATGGCCTCCTCGAGCGTGGTGGGATGCCTACGCCGGACGTACAACTCAATGTCCTCCAACAGACTCATGATGTAGCGGTTCATAGCGCGAGAGCGGAGACCTTCCGGTGCTTTCGCTAGCATTGCGCGAAACTCCGCGTTGTACTCCCGGATCGGCTTAGTCTGGCACGCGTCGAAGAATGCCTTTTCGGCCTGCAGGGAGCTTTCGCTGTACTCGACTACTGCTGCAGAACGCACAGGGGCTAAGCCGCGGCATTCGGCGCGCGAACGGGGCGTCAGCTTCTCCACACTCAGAGCCGAGTACATAGCGTCCCGAAGTATAGTGGGGTGCCCCCGCAGCACAAGGAACTGGATATCATCCTGGAGACCCAGGATATAGCGGCTCAAGGCGTACTGGGACGCAGGCTTTGGAAGGTAAAGCACGATCTGGCCAAACTCCCTGTTATATTCCGAGACCGACGTGGTCTGACGAGCCTCATAGAACGCCCTCTCAAGAATATATTCGGCGTCAGGCGGCAGGAATCTCAGTGTAAAGTCTTTGATGAACTGCTCATACGATGGAAAGACGTAGTCGAGATCGTTCAAGTAGTCAGAAGTTCATTCCCGCGCCGTGCCAGTCAGGCGACTGCAAACATAGATAATCTTGCGCTCGTCATCCTTGACCTCGTCCAGACGCATATGCAGGCGCGTGATCTCCAGAAAATTGAAAAACGTCCTACCGGTGGGTTCGTCACGCTCGCCGTCGAAGAGGGATGAGTCATTGTTCGTTGAAGACATTATTGCCAGGTGTAGGAATAACGATATTTAGATAAAATATTGGTTTCCGGTCTTATAGACTGGATTCGAGTTCAAGCAGATAGCTGCGTAGAATCGAGTCAAGAACGTATTAAGGTCAAGCATTGCTATCAGGAGATCGCTCTCGAAATGTAGGTTAGCTCTTAGTGGTCAATACCGTTGGAAAACATATATCAGGCGTTAGTGGTTTAGCGGTAAAATTCGTCGTTGCCATCGACGAGCCCCCGGTTCGACTCCGGGCTGACGCATTTGATTATTTTTTTGCTGTGTTTTTGCTGAATTATATTTTGATTATTTTTTTATTGCTTCTTACTACTCTGGCAAGTGAATATGAGGAATTGGAATGATTGATATTTACTAACGTCTACTTCAGAACATTTTACATCACAGAGTCGCTTCAACACATCAATGACAGCAATCGTACTTTCTATAATCTACCCAACATTACCAACTCATGAGCTATGACAACAGAAGAAAAAAAATAAAAACACACGAAATTTATAGCTCGTCGCGATGCCACTGCTGCGCTGTTAAATCGTCAAGCCCATGACCGCCTGCTTGAGCAGCATGAGCTGCTTCCTGTGCAGCGATGAATTGCTCGTATCGCTGTTTTTCGAGGATGAGTGCACGGCCGTTGAACTTTGTCCACCATTTGTTTGAGTAGTAGATAAACATGCGCCAGAGGTTTTGCGGGAACTCGACGTAGCTGCGGAGGATGAATTTGATGGCTTCCCATGCGTTTTGCCATTCGCTGTCGTAGTCGGCCGAGAATGATTTGTTGTTGTGTTTTTTGGGTGGCGGTCGGGTTTCTTCTTCGGAAATCGAGGGCTCTTCTGTGCTGTCAGGAAGGCCGTCGGGGTTGGCGAGCATTGTTCGGAAGGAGTCGATCGCGGCAATGGATTTTGAGAGACGATCGTAGGTGTTGATGAGAGCGACCATTTCCATGCGACGGAGTTGGATCGCCTCGCCCTGACCGCTATCAGGCAGCTCGAATAGGATTTTCATGGCAGTCGCGTAGCCCGTGACTTGGAGCTTACCCCATAAGCGGCATTTGTCGCATCCAGTGCAGTCGACGATGCGAGAAACGTTGACGAACTTTTGTCGGAACTCTTCCTTGAGCTGAGGGCTTTTGAAGAGTTTTGAAGTGTCGACCAGGTCAGGCACGGATTTGTCGGCCTCGATCGCGATCTTGAGCATCTTGCGGCGCGTCTCGGTGTCGTAGCCCTGCGCGTCGGTACAGAAGGTGAAGTCTTCGAGATAGTGTCTGAGCTTTGCGACCGCTTTTGAAACAAGCGCGTAGTTGAAGTACACGTTCGACACGCGATCCGGGTGGTCGCCGACTTTTTTCATGTAGCATTCTAGATTCGGGCCCCATTCGCCGGTGTCGTAGTTTAGGTATTCGTTGCAGAGGTGGATTGCCACACTGGCGTGCATGCCCGAGATGACCTTGTAGAACATGCGGCGCTCCACGCAGGTGTCTGACACGATCGAGCCTACCTCTGCGCTGTTTGAGGCGATGGCGTTGTCGGCAACCTCCTCGGCAAAACAGTTTTGCTTGTAGATCTCGTTCCAGACCATGTTGGGGTGTTTGCCAATGTAGCCAGTATATCGCTCGGGGTTGTCAACCAGGGAGACGTAAACCCCGGGACCGTCTCCGGTCTCGTCCTCGGGAACGCAGTAGTCCTTTGGCTTCGTGTTGAGAGCATCTTCGTCCTTGACGCAGCTCATCTCGGCGTCACCAAAGGCTTCGTCTAGGAATTCAGCCTCGGAGTCAATGGCGGATCCCGAGCTCAGTTTGCCGAGATACTCGGACCTCCAGATCTCAGGAAGACCTTCTTCGTCGTCGATTGTGTCGACAGCGCAGGCACGGTTGCCGCATATGCCTTCGTCGTCCCAGAAGAGACATGGTCGTCCAAAGAGGTCGAGACGGTAGTATCGAAAGAAGTCGGAGGTGGTGACGATGTCGTGCAGCAAGGGACGCAGCTTCTCAGCGTTGGCAGTGTCAATTGCGGAGATGTCGTATGTTGACTGTGAAAATTCGTCGATTGCCTGAAAAATTGGGGGATGTCAGAAAAAGTAGGAGAGCAAGGAGAACACGTTGCAGTAACGAGGAGGGAGGATATCCATACCGAGGTCGACGAAGCCAACGAGGCTACAAGAGCAATAGCAGACAGAAACGATATCCGCATTTCTATAACTGTAGAAAGGAGTCCTGCTCTGAAGAATATCTCGGCCGGGGTCTGCTGTATAGAAAAAAAGCTGACGGTCTCGAAGGCTTGTAGAAGGCGTCGGACGCGATTTTTACAGCTTTGGGAGATCTCTGACGCCAACCTTACGCCTCCGAAGTCACGTGAGAGATCCTATCGGGGAGATTCACGTGCGCGGATTGAATTGATGAAGACTTGGTTGGATTTGCGTTCTGTTTTGAAGAAGTTTGAGATTTGTAGTCAGAAATGACGAGAGAGAGTCAGAAGAGTGTTTGGATAATTCAGAGCAAAGTGTGCTGTCGCTGGTGTGTTTGCTGCAGGGCAGTTGCGGCGGTAGTAGTAAAGTCAGACGCGTCAGACCGGTCCTGCTAACCACAGATTAGTAAAATCAACAATAAGAGCAATAACGATAGATATAGAATACAACAACTGTCTTATAAATATCTACTATTCGGTGGTAAACAAACAACGAATATCAGGCCAGGCATTTGACTCAGTAAGCGCCGCCGCACGTAGTCAACTGTCTGCAATTACGTCTTTCGCACCCGCTCAATCAGCCGTGCCCTCGGTCGTCTGGGCTTTTGTCATCATCCGCCTTCTTCTCTTCTTCTCCTCCTCTCCTCCTCTCCTCCTCTTCTCTGCATCTTCTTCTACCTGCATCGCATTCATCTTCACCATGGAGGACTCCCTCCTCGCGACCGTCGCGCCCGTATCCTCGCCGACCCTGCCCTTCTCCCGCGCCCGCTCGCCCTCATCCGACCCCGACATTCGCAAGCCCCGGACTTTTCCCTACACATCTCTTCTCCCCTTCCCTGTCGAGTCTGATGACGTCCCTCTCCAGCATCTCAACCATATCGTCGAGTCCATCTACGTCTCCATGACCGTCGAGACCGCCGCCGTCGCGCCTCTCGTCCACTGGACCCGCGAGCTGCGCTCCTGGCTCCAGCTCAAGTTCGACATGCCGATCTCGACCCGCACCCGTCTGGCCGCCGTATACTACGAGCTAGCTCTCGTCCAGGGTGTAGCTCTCAGCTCGTCCGATACCTTCTCCCGCATGTTCATCACCCTCGCCCAAAAGCGCTCGTTCGTCGACCGCTCCAAGCTCACTCTCGACTGGCGCCCACTCTTCCGCGAGATGAAAGCCATTGCCTTCCCAGATCTGCTCGTCGGCTCAATAAGAGATTCCGAGAAAGATATGGCGATGCTGTCGAAAGTGGCGATCTTTGCCCGCAGGTTCTTCGCCCCTGATGCTACTCTTGAGATCTTGGACGAGTTGCTTCCGCTCTTCAACACCTCCGATCCCAGCGCGGCTCTGCAAGTTGCAACCATCTTTGACGCATTGATCCCCACCGAGTTCACTCCCGAGGATCGTCCAGATCTATATCCTCAGCAATGGCTACCTGGTATCTACCTTTATCTTAATTCTAGTCTTTCTTTAGTTCACTAACTCATCTCTTAGTGCTCTTTCATCTCTGGACCCTCAATCCTCGCTCGCAATCATACGATCTCATCATTATCGATATATTGTCGCGCGTTGCATCCGGTCATCTAATCGAGGCGCATATCCCCTTCTCAGCAATCGGAATCTACACCAAAGAGCAGACGGCCGTCATGCTTACCTGTGCCTTGCGTCTATTCGAGATCCCTATCGGACGCGCGGGCTCACCATACGTCAACACCGAAGGCTACCCTCAGGGATATGAAGCTAAGAAAAGTCGCGCTGCGCGACCTCTGGCCCGGTGGATCATATACTCCTTGTCACCATATTGTCTCGGAGAGCTGCCAGACCGAAGCGACTGCAGCTCCGCCCTTCGCGGCTTACAGGGTCTCATCCAGTCAGTCGAGACTTTCTTCCATCCATCCAACTCTGGCGTGTGGACGAAGCATTTAGCTCAGTTTGTCCAGAGTCTTACAGATTTCTTTGTGCTTCGCTGGCATAGAGAACAGTCTGGAGAGCTGAGCACCCCCGAGGATCGCCGACTGAGTCCCGAGCTAAAGCGTGAGTTTGTATTGACATTAAAAGATGTCGTGCTTATGGGAATCTATGCAAAGAGTGCAACTGCCGCGATGTACTGTCAAGCAGCGCTACAGAACCTTGCTGTCTTGGAGCCGGATATCATTCTACCGGTCGTCCTAGCCCAGAGCTACGCCTCATTACAAGGACTCGTCGAGACGCACCGGACAATCACATCTCTAAAGACACTCACTCTACTTTCGCAAACAATAATCCAGAACAAGCCTTTCCGCACGCATGTGACTGCCCTTCTTGGATTGGCATTACCTGGAATCGACGCCAATGACCTCACGAAAACAGTTCAGTCGTTAGCATTTATTCAGAGCGTTGCATCTTATGTCCCGTTTGCCGATCTCAGTGAAGGATGTGGGTCTGCACTTGCTATGGAGTACATCACAGGTGCGATAGAGTCTTTAGAAAACGACAGCAGCACCTTACCTCCACTAGGTGATGAAGACGAGATCGCCGTCCTCAAATCGTCAACAGCCACTTTCGGCGAGTTCATGCTGTCATTCATGGGACGGATCTTTTCTCTGTTGGAGAACCTGCCAGATGCTTCCTCGAGCAACTCACGCGCTGCACCAGAACAGAATGCCGTCAACATGCTTCCGGCGACATTCACGGTTGTCCTAGGCGCGCTGTCAGACGAACTGTTTGATTTGATTCTAGACAAGTTCATCACATTTGTGACAAATCATATCATTCCGCAGGCTGCTGATGCCATCAGCAATCTTCTATCATGCCTGTGTAAGACGCACCCGGAGAGAACCTTCCACAAACTGTTTCCAGTTCTGGTCGGCAACATCCGAGAGGAGATTGACGAGAACCAGGCGGGGCAGAGTAAATCTCAGGATGTGGCGCCAAAAGACCGGTCTTTGGTATGGTATCTGTCCATGTTCCGCAAGGCCGTGTGGACCGCTGGAGACGTATTGCTCAACTACTCCGATGAGCTTCTAGACTTGCTGGTGTATCTGCGTGAAAGGACTTATGGTGCTGCAAGCGTGCACTCATCATTTCTTGTGCATCACACAATCTATGCGTTGACAAATGTCTATCATTCTGATAGCAGGCTTCTTAATGAAGAGGAATATTCCGCAAAAGGAGGATTCACCGTTGAAGATTGGGGAAAGCAAACTGACCCGTCGACCGGTCTGAAACTAAAGTGGCATGTTCCGACCGATGACCAAGTCACTTTGGCTGTCAGGGTATATGAGGACGGCGCAGAGTATTCAATGTCTGAAATTCGCCGGTTGATGGAAGGAGGACCCAAGCTGCAGCAAGACTGGTCGGAAGAAATCGCAAAGCAACTGGGTTACTTGCGGATGATTATCTCCGGAGCGTCGGTGCTGTACGATCCTGCGCAGGTTTCGGCGAGTGGTGCGTCTGCCGAGGTGTCTATCGAAGAGGACGATAATAGCGGAGACGTCGAAATGACCGATTCTGGCGAATACATCTCGGAGGAAGACGACCTGGAGTTGGGCGCAGAAGCAGAGATGGAGGAAGAGGAAGATGAAGATGATGAGGAAGCTCTGTCGATCAAGAAACTCTTTACGTATCCGATTGGATACTTTTTCGAAGATAAGAAAGACGATCCTAGGTACATAAAGGTTCATGAGATCCACGAGAAGCTGGGTTGGTTGATTCATGACTTGCATACCTATCTGCAGAAGAACAAAGAGGACGAAGTGACTGCAATTCGGAATCTTGCGACAGTCACGAGAGTCTGGTTTATTGACATTGGCTGCGAACACAGTCTGAAACTTCTGGATACGTATGTTCGGTCGTACATTGTCGATACGCGCAACTACAAAATCTCGGGCAGAAGGAAGCAGTATCCCCGCTACTTGCTAGCGCGTCGGGCTCACATTTACCATCTTCAGCGGGTGAAGCACAATAGCGGACCTCGCAAGACTTCGCAGCTGGACAAGGTGCTTCTCCTCGACCTTGTTCAAAGTTCGCTGTCGCGCTACACGAAGAACCGACGACAGTCTCAGCAGGCACTGCAAGCTGCTATCCGTACCGTTATGAAATCAAGAATCCTGCTTGCCCCCAAACTTATCGAGGAGCTCAACAACGCCGTCGCGGCAAAAGAATACGATTGTGCTAAAGGTGCGATGCACACGCTGTACCTGGACGGCATCCGTCGCTTTGTTTCGCGCGATCCGCGGGTTTTCCCAGACTACGGAATAGCGTTGCTGGCGGCCGCGAAAGCAGACAAGCTGTCGATCCATGACTTAGCCCGGAACTTGATTCTCCAGTTTGCGCTGACGACAAGGATGACCCCGAAAAAGCTATACTACTCTGATGATTACGAGAAATTCGTCAGTCAGATCAAGCCAGAGCGTGATCTTTCGGCGCGTCTTGGGTTTGCAAATACTCGCAATCTCAAGCGGGCGGAGGATACTCGGGCGAAGATTGACGTGCTCGAAGCAGAGCTTATGAAGTTGCAGAAAGCGGAGACGCACTGGCGGATCACGTTTATGATTTCGACTATGCTTACCGGTGGTCTTTCGCTTTTGCGAGAAAATGAGCCTGCTGAGTTGGGAGTCATTTTCTTCAAGGGAGCGATTGATAATCATCCTTATATTCGGTTTTCGTTTGTGCAGGGCGCTCTTAAGTTGTTCACGTCGGTGATTGGGAAAGCGTTGGTTGGCTATGATGTGCGGAAGCTCTTGCAGGGTGATTTCAAGGATGTTGGAGTGATTACCGTGCCTGTTGATCAGGATGACCCGGATTTCTCGGCCAAATTTATCGAACAGTTCAAGAGTCCTGAAGCGGATTACTTTGTGCGAGATTTGGATAGACCGGGGTGGCTTGTGTGGGGCAAGTCGTTTACTGCAGAGGCGAATCCCAAACCTGGGCTTGATCTTCAATTCAAAGATAGCGATCGCGAGACGATGAGGGCGATCGGCGAGACTGTGGATCGAGCGTGGTTTGAGAAGTTTTGTGAGATTCTCTTGGAAGAGCCATCGCGAACAGAGCATGATGTGTTTAGAAGCATCTACGCGATGTTTGCGGCGATAGTGTACGCGATCGTGCACGAAGGGTTTGCAAAGCTCACGTTTGAAGATATGGTTGAGATCATCCACAATCTCTACGGCGATGGCAAGGACAAAAATCATCATCGGGCGACGGCCGAACTTATCGGTGGCTTGCTGTCTGAGCCTCTCAGTCGCGAGTTTCAGTTGAAGGCGATCGAGGTTGCACTTCCTGTGCTAGACAAGGTTGTTGAGGACGGGCTTACTCCTGAAACGGTTGGGTACTGGACTGGTTGCATATCGTTTTTCTCTGTGAGTATCTTAGTTATTTTCCTGAGCTTTCGTCAGTTACTAATTTTTGTTCAATTACAGGCCTCTGTCGACCCGCGAGCTATTTGGCCGATTCTGACGAAACTGGCGAGTGTGAGAATTGACGCGTCGTCAAATGCAGCGTTCAAAGAAAGTTCTCGGATATCGCTTCTGCGGAGGCTGATTGCAAAGGAGGCATGGAGTTTCCAGATTGAGGAGCCGATTATGAAGGATTTTCTGGCTCATTTAGATCACGATTATAAAGGTGCGCTATACTTATATTACAGGGCAGATTGGGATTGTTGCTGACTTGTGGTGTGTAGGTGTTCGGGAGGAGATAGGACGGACGTTGGGTACGATCAGTCGATCGCGGTATTCAGAGTCATTCAGAAGCGTGAAAATACTTCTTGAAGAAAACCGAGCAGCAGGGCCACTGGGTGTGATCCCGTTTGTTCCGGACGAGGCGCGTCGGGAGCTGATTGAGGGTGTTTTCAAGCAGCTGGCTATTTGGCGACAGGAGCGGGCGCCGCTGCAAGAGACGTCGTCGTACACTAATGGTGGAAAGACGGTGATGATCTGGTTCAATACGTGGCTGCAGTCATGCTCGTGTCCAGAGCTTTTGCCATTTTTTCCCAAACTGATTTTGCCGGAGCTTTTGAACCTGCTGGATATCAAAGAAGACGCGGAGGTGATTTCGCTCGCGGTGACGATGTTTAAGAACTTTGGAAATGTGCCGTGGCCTAGTAATCTGATCAAGGATATGATTGACGGTATAATCGAGATTGCGTCAAAGTCCAGCACCTGGCACCAGCGGCTACGCGTGCTTGCGCTCGCGCAGGTGTTTTATTTCCGGCAACTTTTCAAGCTGTCGAATCTTGATCGCCGACGGCTGTTTGATTGCGTTTCAGACCTGCTTTCTGATCCGCAGCTGGAAGTCCGGGATACGGCCGCGACGACGCTGTCGGGCATGATTCGGTGCTCGCCGGCGCGGTTCAGGGGGTTGGTGATCACGAAGCTGCAGAAGAAGTTTACAAAGGCGTTGCAGGATAATCCGATGCCCGGGCGTCCGGGGCGAGGTAGCGGGGACACAAGTCGGAGTGGAAGCGTGCAGCCTTTGAAGTCGTCGTCGGCGGGACCGGCGAGCGCGTTTAGTTCGCGGCCGTCGACGCCGAGCGTGGAGTACAACAATATCATCCTGACGCGACATGCTGCGGTGCTGGGTTTATCGGCGCTGGTGCAGGCGTTTCCGTATCAATCCCCGCCGCCGGAGTGGATGCCGTCTGTGCTGGCTACGTTGGCGAACAAGGCGGCGAACGATCCAGGGATGGTGGGACGGAGCGTGAAGACTGCGCTGGGAGAGTTTAAAAAGACGAGGCAGGATACGTGGCATGTTGACGTGAAGGTGTTTGATAAGGAGCAGTTGGAGGATCTGGAGGGTGTGTTGTGGCGGACGTACTTTGCGTAGAGAGGGAGGTAGTGTATATAGCTGTTATCGAGAATGCATTTATCATTTATCGCTATAGATCTAGATATGACGCGTAGAGTGCAGTATGCGACGATGATTGACTTCAGCACACAGGGCGAGAGAGAGCGAGTTCCTGCAGCTAGATTAAGGCGAAAGCTCCTTTTCGGGGGCAGACCAACTTTAATGGGATTAAAGGTCGTCGTGTCGGCGGAGAGATAAAACAAGGACGCGTCGACGCGCAATCGCGATGGACGCGAATCCGCGCACGTTTCAGTCTTCTTTTCTTTTGTCTTTTTCTACTCAATTACTTCGTATCGCAGTCCTTACTTCATACAACTATTTCTTATATATTTACGATATCTGTACGTAGACAAAACGCGCTCGAGAACGTACAAGATCGCCCTCAGCCACCGCGGCAGGGAGGAATGTGGCTTCTCGAGGACGTGTGCCTGAACGATTAGAGTTTACGGTTAAACTCTAAAATGTAAACAAACCCTTTTGTTGTCTTTGTCTCCCCGTCGCTCGCTTGCTTCTCCTCACTTGTAATCTCCTCCTTCGTTCAACCAACACGCAATGTCGCTTCCAACATCGTCATCGTCGTCGGCAGCGGCGCCGAAGCGGACTTATGGACGACGCGCGCATACGACGGCGCATGTGCAGGGATTGACTGATTCTGAGCTCTGGGGCAGCGCGAGTCCGGTGAAGAAAGCGTTGTTTCCGGGTCTTTTTCGGAAAACGAAGGGAGGTAGCAGCAGCAGCGGGGAGCAGCCGAGCGATGGGCTTTTGTCGTCGGCGTTTGAGTCGTCGCCGTTGAAGAAGCGTGGGCAGAAAAGTTCTGCGACTGCGACTGGGACAGCGGCTTCGCGTCGACGGGGCGATCAGGAGAATAGGACGCTCGGTCATAAGTCGTCGTTTGCGAGGTTAAAGACAAAAGTCGACAACGTGGTCTCTTCCTTGCCGTCATCACCTAGACGGCCGCTACTCACCAAGAACGCGAATTCAAAGACGTCTGCGCTGCAGTTCGATGCTGCACCGGAGAGTGAAGCTGAGCCGGTACAGGAGCCGCAGGCGTTGTCGAGCAGGTTCGAGGAAGAACCGCCTTCGTCGCCGGCGATCGGGGTGGTTGCTGAGGAGACGGCGCGGCCGAAGTATACCGCGCTTTCGATACCGGAGACTGAGAAGTTTGATTTCTCTGATTTGTCGGCGTGTTTGGATTTGGTCTTGGACAAGGAGGACGCAGAGACGACTGCGCGGCCGACGACGGATCTTCAGACGCCTAGAGAATCTACTGTCGAGCGCAGTTTATTTACAGACGAGCCGGATACTTCGGTATACAATGATCTCAAGCTCGAATTCGACATTGACGCAATCATCGGCTCGTCAACACCGGCCGCCAAACCATTATCGCAGCCTAATCCAGCGCCTCCGAAGCAAACCGCCACGTCTCCAGCAATTGAGAAACCTGCTGTCAAACCAGTGGTAGTCATTGATAAACCAGAGCGAAAGCCCGCGGTTGCTCCCACATTTGCTGCCCGTGGCAGCTCGCTTGCGCATCAGGCGACGCCGCCAACGCGACCCCCGCGACCTGCAGAGACGCGTCTTGCACCGGCTCATCCACCTCCTTCTATCATCACCGAATCGCCGGAAAAAGAACAATATACAGTCTCTCCTCCCCGGCTCCTCAACAAAGCAGCGAAAAAGACAGCGCTGACGCGCCCGCGTCACGGCGATAAGCAGCTCCAAGATGCGGAAAGACATATTATCAAAATCGAATCTGGATCGCATATGCCAGCGCGAGAGATTGCGATTCGTCCTCGGAAACCGACCGCTGTGGCAGTGGTTGCAAAGCAGATTACGCCGTCGTCGTCGCCGGCGGTGGAGCATTCGCCGCTGGTCGCGCAGCCGGTTCCGGTGCGGGCTAATGATCCTGCTGCGTTCTCGAGTCCTCTTAAACGTCCTTCTGCGCCGAAACCTGTGTCGCCACCACGCTCAACTCCAACGAGCGCGACGATGGCAGCGCCCACAGAATCCCGACCAAAGTCGCCCACACCGGTCGTCGCTGTGGCGCCGGTATCTGAATCGCCTGCGACGCTTCGGCGATCGAGCTCGTTTGTCGAGACACCAAAGACAGGTGAATCGAAAGAGCCGTTTGCAAAGGAAGCAGTTGCGCCGATTGCGATTATTCGACCTATTCCAGCTGCTGGCTCGCGGCGGGATTCTATCCCGCTCCTCTCGTCTCCGTTGCGGGAGGTGACGAATTCGTGGGATTTAGAGGTCAGAGAAGAAAAGAAAGAGCGCGAGGATGCAAAGGAGAATGAGCTGCTGCGGGCGCGACGGGAGGAAGAGATGAAGAAGGAGATTGAGGATGCGCGGATAAGAGAGCAAGAGGAGGCGGAGTTGAAGGAGTTGTTGAACTTTTGTACGATTCCTACCATTGAGGATTTCAGTCAGTTTATCGAGGAGCATCGACGGACGTGGTCTATGCAAAAGCTGGGGGAGGCGTCGTATTCCGAAGTCTATGCCGCGCTGCACGCGCGCACGAAGCAGTCTACTGTGTTGAAGATCATGCCGTTTGGACGGAAAGATATGGAGCAGGCTTCGATCCAGGATATCAGTAACGAGCTGAAGATTTCGAAAACGATGATGAGGTTTGATGGGTTTGTGGATGTTGTGGGGGCGTATATCGTCAAGGGAGAGTATCCGGAGCATCTTCTCACGCTGTGGGATCAATACGCAGACTTGAAAGAGAGCGAGAACGAGCGTCCAGATTTCTACGACGAGGAGCAGAAGTTTTGCATCGTGATGCTGCAGAACGGAGGTACAGATCTCGAGCATTTCAAGCTAAAGTCGTGGCGCGAGGCGGCGACTGTGTTTTGGCGGGTCGCGAAATCGATTGCGAAAGCAGAGCAGGCGGTCGAGTTTGAGCACCGGGATCTGCACTGGGGAAACATTGTGCTGGACCGGAAGAAGTCTGAGGTGTCTGATATGATTGAGAAGCTGAGTTTGCAGGACACGAAGGAGGTATATGCAGTTAATATCCAGGTTACGATTATTGATTATACGTTGTCGAGAGCGAGGTGTGGGGATGAGGGGGTTGTGTTTTCGAGTATGGATGATCCGGCGTTATACAACGGTCGAGGTGAGTTGCTGCTCAATTTCTTTTTGAAGCAGTGTATTTATTGATATATCATAGGTGACTACCAATTCGACATCTACCGGTTCGTGAGAAAGTTATTCCCACAGATATCTTCATCCGACGAAAACAGCACTGCGGCGTCGTCAGAAACGAGCTCGAACCAACGACGTCGGTCCGGAAAACCAACACAGAGATTCGACTGGTCGCTGTACGTTCCGCGCACAAACACGCTCTGGCTGCATTACCTCGCCGAGCGGCTGATCCGCGAGAAAAACCTGACCGAACCACGGGTCGTCGGCAGCGGGAGCAACACGCGGGCTGCGAGTAGGCGCGGGGGTAAGGCCGCGGCGGAGAGTTCGCAGGCGGAGATTGACGCGTACCGGAGCTTGGATTTGGTGTTTAAGCTTATTGATCCGCGGAAGAGGCGGTTTGGCGCGGGGAAGAAAGCGGGCGGCGGGGTTGTGGCGGAGATTGGGACGGCGGGGGATTTGGTGGCGTGGGGGAGAGAGGAGGGGATTGTGTATGAATAGAGGTTATGAGTTATGAATTTTGTGTGTGTGTGTGTTTTGATACCATTTGTGGATTGAGAATTGATATTGTACACTATAGTCTAAGTTATAAGAATTGCATGTTATTTTGCTTTCTCGATGGTAGCTGGGTCTGGTAACCAGAATGACTACAAGATAGTTAGCAATCGCGTCAAAATAGAAACCACTCGACTTAAAGGAAGTGTGTTACATACGAGCTCTTCATCAGCAGTGGCGAGCATGAGGTTGCGTGGGTTGAAGGCCAGGCTGGAGATCGAGTGCCGGGAGTCGAATACTTTTATCGGTCTTTGCGCGCCGTCTCTTACAGGGGCTTGGATGTCCCAGACGTATACCTTTTTGTCGTGGGAGCCTGCATAAACTATTTAGTATTGGCGGTAATATGGTAAAGCGGGATGGAGGTTAAGAAGTACCAGAGAAGACGAAGCGGCCGTCGGGGGAGATACAGGTGTTTCCGGAAGAAGTATATTGTCGCTGGGGCGTGAATAAAGCTGAAGGATGGCCGGTGAAGCGCATGAGAGTGTGTCCCGTGAACGCGTCGATGAGGAAATGCGACGGTCCGTTAGTCGAGATGAGGATAGTTTTGCCGTCGTTTGAGAACTCGATCTTGGACCATTGGGTCGGGACCGCGGAGTCGGCGTGGGTCTGGCGGAGGGGCTCGATGGTGAAGACTTCGAATGGTTCGCGGTCAAAGTTGCGCATGTCGTAGAGCAGGATTTCGGCGGTGGCTTCGCATCCGACGGCAAAGACGACGCCGGCGGGGTCGAATGCGACGAAGGCGGGCGAGGGGATGGTGAGCATGCCTTGGCTGTATTGCGAGCTGAGGTCCCATACTCTGACGGTGCCGTCGAGGGAGGAGGAGATGAAGCGGTCGTCGGAGGGGGACATTTCGAGGCCGATGACTTTTTGCTTGTGGCCTTTGAAGTAGCGGATGTAGCTGCTGTCGTGAAGGGAGAGGTAGCGGATCGTGTCGTCTTCTTTTGTGGACGCGTGGATGCAGTTTGTGGAGCTGTGGGTGAAGCGGGCGAGATGGCAGCCGTATTTTTTAGAGTAGAGCGGTTTCATGTATCTACAATACAGAGTCAGATAGTCGCTCTTTCGCAACGCAGAAACAGAAGAAATACAAACCTGCCGGTCTTTGCATCATACAAAGTCAAGCTCTCGTCCTCTCCACAACAAAGCAGGTTCGATCCGCTGTCGTCGAAATCAATCGACGTGATCTTTGTGCCGTCTTTGTGGTTCCAGAAGGACTTTGAGGGCAGGAAGCTGGATATTATTTCTCTTGTTATTGGAACCGCCGACATCTTGTGCTGCTGTTCCTGTTCTCCGTAGAGATGTAGATGTAGGTGTAGATGTAGATGTGGATGTGTAGATGCTGGATGAGGAAGAGAGCGGCTCGGGGATTTACAAGATCACGTGATGTTGAGAGAGCGGAGGAATATAAAGCACACGAGACTGATAAGAAGAGGAAGAAGAAGAGAAGAAGAAGATATTGAGAGTATTGTTAGAAGTAATTGAGTATTATACAGTAGAATAATAGACATATAAGAGTAGAAAAGCAGTAAACAACAACAGAAACAACGGCGGAGTTAAAAGGCCGATGTCGGCGAGAAATTTATTTTTTTATTTTTATTTTCTCGTTTCGACTTCCTCCGAGCTCCTCCTCCTCCACTTCCTCTTCTTCACCCTCTTCTCTATCCTCACCATGTCCGCCGAGGAACCACCTAAAAAGCAACTCAGCAGTACCGGCGGCTTCATTGCCGGCGCGCTGGCGGCCTGTGGTGCCGTTACTGTCACGAATCCGATTGAAATCGTAAAGACTCGGTGGGTTCTTTCTCTCTTAGAAGACGTTAGTGTGGTGAAAGACAGAGCGCTGACTTGTTTATGTGTGGTGTAGAATGCAGTTGCAGGGTGAATTGGCGTCAAAAGGACAGGCGAAGAAGGTCTACACCGGGCTCTTTCAGGCGCTTCGTGTTATTCTCAAGAACGAGGGAGTGCGGGGTTGGCAGCGCGGTCTCGGATGTGCTGTGAGTTTTTATACATGTATACATACATCTATATATGAGTAAGAGTACTGACAAGTATGGTCTAGTACGTCTATCAAATCGGACTGAACGGTTGTCGTCTGGGATTCTACGAGCCCATCCGACAGGCGACCGCCAAACTGTTCCTCGGCGACCCTTCCGACTCGACCCTGGCCATCAACGTGTTTTCCGGAGCCACCAGTGGTATCATGGGAGGTACGCATTACTTCAATTTCATCTCTCTAGCTGTTGTCTAACAAGAATAGCCATCGCCGGTTCGCCCTTCTTCCTCGTCAAGACTAGAATGCAGTCATATTCCCCCGTCCTGCAAGTCGGCACGCAGACGCACTACACCTCCCTCTTCCACGGCCTGTCTACAATCTACAAATCCGAAGGCTTCTCCGGTCTCTACCGCGGCTGCGGTTCCGCCGTCATGCGCACCGGCGCGGGTTCCTCCGTCCAGCTCCCGATCTACAACTGGTGCAAGCGCACGCTCGACAAGTACAACGTCGCCCAGGGCACTTCGCAGCACCTGCTCTCCAGCGCCGTCAGCGGTTTCGGGGTGTGTATCGTCATGAACCCGTGGGACGTCATCATGACGCGGATGTACAACCAGCGCGGGAACTTGTACTCCGGTCCGTTTGACTGCTTCTTCAAGACGGTCAAGATCGAGGGTCCGATGGCGCTTTATAAGGGATTCTTTGCTCATCTTATGAGAATCGGACCGCATACAATCATCACTTTGACGCTCATGGAGTCGACTAGAAAACTTATGATGTGGGTCGAGGGTGTCCCATTTTGATTTCTGATAGAGTTAGTATAGTTAGTTATAGTTAGTTATAAAGGTGTTTGGTAAATGCAAGGATGGTGGATATTGCATTCTTTCTTTCTTGATGTTTTTCTTAATGTTTGGTAGTTTGTACATTATTTTAATAAACTGTTTGTTGCATCATAGATATCAACCCAACACCAACGCCATACCCAAGAAGAAATAAAAGAGAAGAGAAGATAGAGAAAGAAAGAGGTTACCGCTTCCCAGAAACACCAGCCATTCGATCGACAGCCGCGGATCCACCTTCAATAGCAAAGATATCAGAATACACATTCGTCTTTCTCAACTTTTCATACATCTCTGTATCTCTCTTTAGCTGCATCTTAACCATATCCCGTTCCTCCAAGAAATCATCAAGCTCCTGCGCGTACTTATTCCTCAACTCCCAAAACTTCTTCTCCTCCTCGTCCAGGTCGCGCGACTGACTTTCGAGCTCCTTGATCTCCTGCACGACAGTCGCGTGCTCGTGCTCTGCTTTATGCAGGTCTGTCATCACGCGCTCTTGCTCGGCGATTATCTCTGCCAGCTCTTTCTCGGCCGCGAGTTGCTGCTCGTCGGTCGGTTTCTCGTCCTTGACTTGCTTGAGAAAGTCGGCGTAGATATCCCGGTCGCGAACGATTTCGACGTACTGCTGCTTCAGCCCTTGGAGTAGTAGTTCCACGCACTCGGAGCAGATGGGTTGGTCGATATCGCTTTTCGACGTCACGATGTCGTGGATCTTATCTGAGGTCTTTAGTCGGTTCGAGAGCGCATACAGATCCTCTTCATCACCCGTATTCTCTGCCGCACTGGTCTCATCCACCTCCCCTCTCTTCTCATTGCTATAGTAATCCCTACGCAGCATCGCCTCGTAGTTACCCACAATCCCGCCCGCATCCGCCGCCGTCCGCGCATTTGAAATCACAGAGTCGGAAAGTAAGACAAAGGAGTCGCCGTTCACGCTCCGCAGCGGCGCGGGGGATACGGGAGCGGTTGCTGATGGTCTGCGGTAGTCCTTGCTGTAGGGATCGCGGAGAGAGCCGATGCCGTGCTGGTCTTTGTAGTAGTCGACTTTTTTCTGTTCTTTTGAAAAGTCGAGATCTGCATTGATAGGAGCGGAGCCTGGATTAATGAATAGAGATGATGATTAGCAGAGAACAGGATTATATGAACAAGTACACAGACTCACTGGATAGAAACTGATCAAATGTGTTGCTATCGAGATCAGATATCTGCTCGTGCATCCGCAGCGGCAGTCGACACCGCCGACAGAGAACTGTGTGCTGCACACTGCTGGATCCCTCTGTCTTTGCTTTGCTCATTCTGCTGCTGTTGTTCTTATCGTGTGGGGATAGAAGACCGCGATGGAGAGATGTGGTGATGCTGATAGCGGTTGGGTTGAGCCACGCTGACATAATCACCTCCCAACTGCTCTTCAACATCAACAGCAGCTCTTCTTCTTTCAATAACTGATAACTCACAGCTTCATGGACTTGGACGACGAATGTGTGTATTGCATTGTATTCTGTTCTACTTTATTGTAATTGTCTCTGATTTCAACAGTCATCTCGGACTCCGAGGTATCCTCAGCCCATCTGCTAGACAGAGTAGAGCACCTCGTCCTCGACATGATCCAGCACCCCGACTCTCTCTGTATCCGTCTACGGAACCGGTATCTCCACCGTCTGTTCTGACTCTACTCTGTTGATATAACTCAACTCTCGATAGATTTGAGAAAAAGCCGTCGTCAAAACCGAAGAGCATCACCGTGGCTTTTCCCGGTGCAAATCACTCTTCCGCCCGTCGCTTCGGTTTGTTAGTTCACTCTCTCCTCTGTCTCTGTGCTGTCTAACAAAGAAAACAAAGCCGCTCTAATGCGCATCCTCGACATAATATCCGAGAACCTCACATTCAGCAAAACAGTCACGAAGCGCGACATCTACTACCGCGACGTCGCGCTCTTCAAAGCGCAGTCCGAAGTCGACAGATTCGTCGACGACATCGCGGCGACTCTCTCTGTCCCCCGGCGCGCGCTGGGCGTCGTTGCCTCGCGCAAGGGAGTGATGGCGGGGTTCTTTGTCGTCAAGGACCGCGAGGGGAAGGTCGTTAGGGTCGGCGCGGGGAGCGAGGTGGCGCTGGTTCCGGAGATTGAAGCGGCGGATGAGAGGATTGGGTTGGATGGGGTTGATTACGTGCTAGTGGTTGAGAAGGAGGCTGTTTTTCAGACTCTTGTTTCGGCTGGGTTTTGTAGCAGGCCTGATGTCGGCCGGGCTCTCTTGATCACTGTCCTCCGCCTTTGCCTTGACCTTATCTTTCTCAGCGCGAGAGCTAACAAGACTTGTAGGGAAAAGGATACCCCGACATCTCAACCCGCGGCCTCGTCCACCTAATCTCAGAAACCTATCCCGAAATCCCACTGCTCGGTATAGTCGACTCTGACCCGTACGGAATCCATATTCTCGGGATATACAAGTACGGCAGTAAAGCGATGGTGCACGAGGCGTCTACTTTGATCGCCGGTAGATTACAATGGATCGGCGTGCGCTTGCTCGACTACGAGTACGAGAGCGCTTATGCGGGGCTGTCGAAGCGGGATCGTAGGATGGCGATGAATATGCTGGGGAATGAGTGGATGGATTGCGAGGGAGCGAAGGAGATGAGGGCGGAGGTGCAGAGGATGTTGTTTTTGGGGAGGAAGGCGGAGATGAATGTTGTGGGGGATGAGTCGGGGTTGGGAATTAGTGAGTATCTGGCGAGGTTGATTAGGAGTAGTCTTTTGCTTTGTTGAGGACTATTTTTAATGTTTGATTGTGGTTGCTATGTACACTATCTACTCTTCTATCTTTGCTTTCTTTGTCTGTTCAGGAGCAGTTGCAACATCCCTAGGCGGCTTTGCCCGTTTCCGAACCATCATCCCACTCATCACATTCACCGCCGGAGTCTTCACCGGCTCAGTCTTTTTCCTACTCTGCTCTTCCCCGACCAAAGTGCCCATAATTTCAAACCTCGAGCCCTCAGGCATAGCCATGCGCACGGCGGCTGTGGCATTCCGCGTATCGCGTATTGATCCGTAATTTCCAGTCACGATCGCGTCGTGGATTCTCGTGTATGTCTTCATCTCCACCACCGCGCCGAGATGTTCGTCTTCGCTACTACTACTACTGCTGCTGCTGCTGCTGCTGCAAGAAATGACACCCTCAACACCAATAATCCCCACAACAAACCCCAGCAAAAACTCCTGCCTCATCTGCAGCTCGTCAAAGAAATGCGCGACCGTAGTCTCCCTCCCGCGGTTCTCGGCCGCAAGACTGTCGAGGAACCGCGACTTTGGGTCGTCGGGGAAGTTCGGCACGGTCTCGATCGCGAGCGAGGAGGTGTCGGTGTGGAAGATGTGGCCGGCGGACCAGAGGGCGGAGGAGGATTGGAGGGCGGGCTTTAGTTCTGCTTTGTCGGCGCCGGGGATGAGGAGGCGGGCGAGGGGAGGAGGGGTGAAGAGGGAGAGGAGGGGGTCGAGAGTTTTGATCCACCAGCGGATAAGTTGGCGGTCGGAGAGGACGTGTTTGAAGCCGTTTGAGCCCGAGTCTGGGAAGAGATACTGCGGTTGCGCGCGGGCGAAGAGACAGATGCGGGTAGGGATTTCCGGTCTTGCGGTGGCTGTTAGCAGAACGCGGAGGATGGCGGAGACGAGGACGCGGAGGTTGAGTTTGCAGAAGCCGGTCGAGTCTGCTTTGGAGACGAAGAGGGTGGTGTGGAGAGGCGAGCGGTAGACTTGCACCTCGAGAGCGAGCACGTAGATGCCGTCGTACTCCACGAGAACGAGGTGCGTAGACACTGTTCCAGACGACGCGGACGGGTGCTCGGTCAGGGCCTGCTTCTTGGGCTTGGTGGAGATGTGGTAGAGGACGAAGGGCTGCTGGGGGTGCTGCTGGGGGTGATCTGGAGCTGGTTCTGGCTGCGTCGGTGTGCGCGGTAGAGCATTACTGAGGTTCCTATCCCAAACACTGGAAACAGCACCAGACGAGTCAGTGTCTGCCATGGCATTGCGCTCTTTCATAGATAATTGACGAACTAGTTGTATAAGATCAGATGTAGATAGTTGGTAGGAGGAGGAGTATCGGTACAAACCCCGGTGCTCACAACACTCGTCCACCAAACTTCTCATCGCCGCCTCTGCGAGGCTTCAGCTTTCACAATTCATTCAGCTTTTGTACTTTTGGAGAAACAGCAAAGATGTTGGAAGAAGTAGACGATATCGACGATTTTGATTTCGACCCCGCGGACTTTGATCCCCGCAAGGTGCTCGCCACGCTTCCGTCGACAGGAGGCGCAGGGCCCGCGAATCTCACACCGGCCGCCTCCAGCAGCAGCAGCAGCAGCAGCAGCAGGCCACGACAACAGCAACAGCAGCAGCAGCAGATGCCAACTCTGCCGAAGAACATGATCCCGCCCGGCATGAACTCGTCGCAGTTTGTCACGGACGACTCGGCGTTCAAAGAGTGGCAGATTGTGTATCCTGTGTACTTTGACGCCTCGCGCACGCATCAGGAAGGAAGACGGGTGAATGCCGAGTTGGCGGTCGAGAATCCGTTGGCGCATAAGATTGCAGAGGCGTGCAGTGCGCTTGGGATGCGGACGTTTTTGGAGGTGTGTTGGTGATGTGGTTGTGGTTGTGGTTGTGAGTGATGATGTGCTAATGCTTTTTGATAGCCTCAGAAAACGCATCCTAAAGACTGGGCGAATCCCGGCCGCGTGAGAATCATGCTTAAAGACCCGGAGACGCAGTTGCCTGTGAATCCTCGGGTAAAGAACAGTAAGTCTTTCTTCGATTGTGTTTACTGTTTTATAAAGAATCTACACGCTGACTATCGAACAGAGCGCGATCTGTATCGACAAATTGCCGAGTTCCTAAAGGAACACCCAACTGTGCCCTCCGACGCACTCAAGATTCCGATCCCCGGTGCTCCGTCCGAGATCCCCGAGCCTCCTGCTGTCCCCCGCGGATGGAAGATGAGCAAAGTGCTCCCGATCCACTCGAGCGCTCTGACCGGCGGCGGCGTGAACGATGATATATTCAAGGGGATGGCGGGCATGCCTGGTATGGAGCAACTTGCTGCGGCGGCGAGCAGTGGCAAGATGCCGCCGGGACTGGCGGGGCTTCCGGGGGGTATGAAGGGGTTGGAGGCGCTGCAGAATATGGCGGGAGGCGCGGGTGGGATGGGTGGTCTGGCGAATATGATGAATGCGATGGGCGGGATGGGTGGAATGGGAGGGATGGGTGGGATGGGTGGAGGAGCACCTGGTGGACGGGGAGGAAGAAAGCTGAGAAAGTAACTGTAGATAGATTAAGCTAATACTTTCACTACGAAAAGCAATATGTCCATAACGCCAAAGCAACACAGCGCAACTGCTGATAGTTCTACTTGTCCCAGTTTTTGGCTTCCATGCCGCCTGCAGAGTTGTAGATAGTGTCAGTATAGTTCTGCAAAAACTTATAAGAAAGTACATACTCGGTGGACTGGTCTTCATCGTCTCCTTCTTGACCTCAGACCAGTTCGTGCTCAGAGCGGTGCCATTGCTCTCGACATAGCTCTTCATCATCGCCCGTCGCGTGTCCTCGTCCGCATCAGCATACAGCTTCTTGAAGAAGAACGAGGCAGGGTCGCCGCCCTCGACCTCCTCCTGCTTGTCGCCAATCTCCTCGACCACGACCTTGTCCCAGTCTTTTGCGCCTTTGCTGGACGGGTAGGCGGAGGGCAGGGCGGGAGGAGCAGAGGAAGCCTCAAGATCCGAACGTTCGAGAGCAGCCCATTTGGCGGGGACGAGTTTGTGCAGCTTGAACTCGATCTTTGTGGATAGGATTTTGAAGGAGGATTTGGAGGGGTCGATGGCTGCGGCGAGAGGGCCGAGAGAGAAGGAGTAGTCTGCGAAGGAGATGGATATCTGGCGGTGTTAGAGGTGGTGAGGTGGTGAAGTGAGGTCGAGGCAGACTTACAGAGTCAGAGCTGATCTCGACGGCGGCGGTGGGCGGCGCGTTTTTGACAAAGACGGAGAGCGTGAGGACGTCGTTTGTCTGGTAGAATTCGTGTCTTGTTGCCATTGTACTGTATTGTATTATAACTGTTATTGCAATTGCTGTTGTATTGTTGTATATAGAAGAACAGCTGTAGAGAGACAGATATTAATAATCACGTGACCAGTGACCAGAACCCTCCGTTCTCGCATTCTCTCGAAGATCAACCTCATCGCTCAGCACATCGCATCACCACCAACACCACAGCATGGATCCGCAGACGCAACCGGTGCGGGCCGACGACGAGCAGGCGATGCGCGACAAGGCGTATCCGCCGCTCGATGACCTCGAAGTCGACTGCGAGTCGATGTCTGTCTGGAAGATCGAGAGCTGGAAGAAGCTCGACAAGAGACTCCACTCCCCGGCCTTCGACCTCGGCGGCTTCTCCTGGAAGCTCCTCCTCTTCCCGGCAGGCAACCAGGGCAATTCCCTCAACCAGATCGAGAACGTCTCGCTCTACATCGAGTGCTCGCCGCCCGTGGCCGACTCCGACACCGACATGGCCGACTCCGACGCCGGCCAGTGGGCGGTCTGCGCCCAGTTCGGCCTCGTCATGGCAAACCACAGAGACCCCTCCGTCTTCACCCTCCATCAGGCCTCCCACAGATTCACCCCGGAGGAAAAGGACTGGGGCTTCACAAAGTTCTACGAGCTCCGCAAGCTCGTCCAGAAAGTCGACGGCAAGGATCTCCCCATCCTCGAGGACGACAAGGTCGACATCTACGCCTACGTCCGCATCATCAAAGACCCCACCGGCGTGCTCTGGCACAACTTTATCAACTACGACTCCAAGAAGGAGACCGGCTACGTCGGCCTCCGCAACCAGGGCGCCACCTGCTACATGAACTCCCTCCTGCAGTCCCTCTACTTCACCTCCATCTTCCGCCGCGCCGTCTACCAGATCCCGACCGCGACCGACGAGCCGACCGCGTCCGTCCCGCTCGCCCTCCAGCGTGCCTTCTACCTCCTGCAATCCTCCCCCGCCCCCGTCGGCACAAACGAGCTCACCCGCTCCTTTGGCTGGGACACCTCCGAGGCCTTCACCCAGCACGACGTCCAGGAGTTCAACCGCGTCCTCATGGACAATCTCGAGGGGAAGATGAAGGGCACCGCCGTCGAGAACGCGCTCACAGATATTTTCGTTGGACAGATGAAGTCTTTTGTAAAGTGCATCAACGTCGACTTTGAGTCCTCCCGATCGGAAGACTTTTGGGACATCCAGCTCAACGTCAAGGGTATGAAAGATCTGCACGAGTCTTTTAAAGACTACATCCAAGTCGAGACCCTCAACGGCGAGAACCAGTACCAAGCCACCGGATACGGCCTGCAAGACGCCGAAAAGGGCGTCATCTTCCAGTCCTTCCCTCCAGTCCTCCACCTCCAGCTCAAGCGCTTCGAATACGACTTCAACCGAGACATGATGGTCAAGATCAACGACCGCCATGAGTTCCCGCTCGAGATCGATCTGAGTGAGTTTCTCGAACCTCAGACCGACAGATCCGAGCCATGGGTCTATGTCCTCCATGGCGTGCTCGTGCATTCCGGTGACCTCAACGCAGGGCATTACTACGCCCTTCTAAAGCCCGAGAAAGAGGGCGACTGGTACAAGTTTGACGACGACCGAGTCACGCGGGCAACCCTCAAAGAAGTTCTCGACGAGAACTACGGCGAGGACCTGAAAGACAGCAACAACAACAGCAACACAAACGGTCTTGTGGGTCACTACCCCATGCGTCAATTCAACAAGTTCTCGCTCAAGCGCCACTCGAACGCCTACATGTTGGTCTACCTCCGAAAGTCGCGAGTCGATAACCTGCTGGCGCCCTTGAAGGAAGAAGACACTCCACAGCACATCTCTGAGAGTCTCGAGCGCGAGCAGCGCGAGGAGGAAGCCAGACGGAAAGAACGCGAGGAGCAGCATCTGTTTATGCACGTCTTGGTCATGAGCACCCGACAGTTTGTCAACTACCACGGCGTCGACATCGGAGCCTGGGGCTTAGCCGGCAGCGACGAGCCCAACAACGAAGTCGCGCCCGAGGCGCGTCCGATGCTGTTCAAAGTCCGCAAGACGTCTACTCTGCGCGAGCTGCGGGACCAGATCGCAAAGGACCTCGCGATCGAGAACCCTGCCGCGCTTCGGTTCTGGCTGATGGTCAGTCGTCAGAACAAGACAATCAGACCTGATCTACCGCTTCTGGACTCTGTGCCGCGCTCGCTCAAGGAGGTGAGAGACAAGCACTCTGCGCAGTCGATGGAGATGACGCTGTGGATGGAGGAGGCGACCACCGATCCCGAGACCGGGGCGCTGATTCCGTGCCAAGCCGGCGGCAACGCGAGCTCGGCCAAGATTCTCATTTTCCTAAAGTACTTTGATCACCACAGTCAGTCGATAACAGGAATCGGATGCGTGACTGTGGGGAAAGAAGACAAGCTTTCGGTGCTGTATTCGTATATCTGCAAGACTATGAAGTGGGCGCCAAATACAGCTATTGATTTGTTTGAGGAGATCTCGGCGACTATGGTCGATAGCCTTGATTCCAAAAAGACGTTTTCGGGTGTCGAGATCCAGGATGGCGATATTATATGTTTCCAAAAACGGCTGCCAGAGTCTGAGTACGTCAACTTCTTTATGCCATCATGAGCACTACTAACGTTTTTTGTGTATTTCTAGGCTCGCCACTATTCACGGCTGTCATGATGCCAAGTCATACTACGACTTTCTCCGCAACCGTATACAGATTCTGTTCAAGCCGCGGTTCGCACACATGGCGATCCAAGAAGAATTCCAACTCTACCTCTCTCTAAACGACAAATACAACCAAATCTCCGCCAAAGTCGGCAAGCATCTCAACGTGGACCCTACGCATTTGCGGCTGTGCGCGACGCACACCAGCGGAGCGCTCAAGGCGCCGATTAAAGCGTCGACGTCGCTTTCGCTCAAGGAGTTGCTCGGGCCGGTATACGCCCAGGTTCTGTCACATACGATGTACTACGAAGTTCTGGATGTTGCGTTGCTGGAGCTGGAGTCGATGAAGGCTTTGAAGCTGACGTGGTTGACTGATGGCATCACGAGCGAGCACCATTACGATATCCTGGTGCCGAAGAACGGGACGATGGTCGAGGTTTTGCAGGTGTTGAAGCAGAAGGCCGGGTTGTCGGACGAGGTGGCTTCGAGGGTACGCTTCTACGGCGCGAATATCAACAAGATTCACCGGCAATTCCCACCGGATTACTCTGTGCTGTCGATCCTTGACTCGACGCAGTTATACGCTGAGGAGTTACCCGCGGACGAAGTCGAGCGGAAGGACAAGGAGAAGCTGATCACCGCCTTCCATTTCCAAAAAGAAGCGAACCGCACGCACGGCATTCCCTTCTTCTTCACGCTCAAACCCGGTGAGAAATTCGCCGATACCAAAGCGCGACTGCAGGAGCGCACGGGGATCAAAGACAAGCAGTTTGAGAAGATCAAGTTCGCGCTCGTGCAGCGCGCGTCGTATCCGAAGCCGCTGTATTTGGAAGACGAGATGGTGGTCTATGATATGGCGGAGAAAGACGACGAGCTGGGATTAGATCATCTGGACAAGACGACGTATAAGAACTTGCGACATGAGCAGCGGGCTATATTCATCAAGAATTAGGGTCATTTTTTTTTTATTTATTGATTTGTAGTTATTTTATTGAGTGAGGCATGAGTTGTTTTTTTTTTGTCTATTGTTGATTTTTAGGCATAAAGTACCTTTTTTGTGTTTTTGTGTGTCTGTCTGATTTAAAGGCGAAAATGAAATTTGTTCTCGATTATAAAACGTGTATAGTAGAATAAATGTCAGGATGAATGTCAATTGTATTTGATTATACACAATATCGAAAGAAAACAACGCTTTGAATATACACAATGAAGGAGAACAAAACGCCACAAACAGGAATATTTCACAAATGCATATCTCGAACCTCTTTTACACACCTCATTGTATGATATACACGTACTTAAAAATATCACCATACCCATCCGTCGAGCCGCCTGTTTGACTATACTCCTTGAGCCCCTTGCGGATCTCGGACAGGAGCGAGTCGCGGAGGGTGGAGACGCGGGACTGCTGGGCGGAGACGAAGGGGTGGTCGCGCGGGAGCTTTGTGATTAGTTTTTTGATGTATGCGAATTGCATGCAGAGCGAGCGGAGGCGGTCGATTGGACTTGGGTTTGTTAGTTTGATGTGAAGAGAGAGGGAGAGGGAGGGGGGGGGGAGGTACCTTGAGTATTCGATTTCGTCTTGGGTGGGGGATGGGGAGTCGTGTACGTGTAATGCGAGCTCGAGTTCTTGAAGCCGGTGGGCGAAGAACAAGAGTGTGCGTCCGAGGTTCTGGTGGTGGAAGGCGTTAGTTGATGTAGATGCAAGAGTAGAAGCAAGAGGTAGACGAGAGCATACTTGTTTCTGCCGGACTTCTGCTTTTTGAGAGAGTAGATCCTCGATTTCTTGTATGACGGAGTCTAGTCGGATTATCATTCCCTGCGTATTCAATCAGCATATCAATTCAGACGTCTTTATGAAGCATCGCAGACTTACCTCGACCTCTCTTCGGAACCCAATCACCGCAAGCTTGATATCATCAACCTTGACCGTCCCCCCACTAACCGACTTCCCCAACCCCACAAAGTCCGCGTAATCCCGATTAATCAGCTCCACCAACTCCTTCTTCAGCACCTTCGACCAATCCTCCAGCTGCGAGTGCAAATCCTCCAACCGCTGATACCGATGCTGCGCGAGCAGGAACGTATCCGGATCGAACGCTCCCGGCGCCGAAAACGCCGCGCGCTGGATCGGTTTCGGGAACGGCAGGCCGTTGGCGTCGTAGTCTGAGTCATGCGAGTCCGAGTCGGAGTAGGAGATCATGTCGTCGATGTTTGAGCTGTCGGCCGCGGTGGGGAGTGAGGGATGCGGTTCTGTGCTGCTCGAGCGGAGGATTGGGCTGTGGCTGCCGTTGGGGGCGAGGCGGTGCTGGGAAAAGTAGTCTTCGGTGAGACTCGACATGTTGCTTATGAGAGATGGTGGTTTCTTGTCATCAGATGGCGATTGTCGTTGGAATTGGGGTGTTTTGATGTGGTGAAGTGCAGCGGTGAGCGGTGAGGAAGCTGCGGCCGTTTCCAGGGGCTGCTTTGGAGCCGCATCGCGAGTGTAGTCAACGTCCATATCTACCAACTATCTATAATATCTGCTTTATTGCTTAATATTATTGCTCTATATCTTGTATCATAACTCCACCCTCGGATCAATCGCCGCCCACTTCCTCTTCACATCCACGTCCTCGCCCAAAATATCCACCAACCGCTCATCCACCGGCGGCCTGTTCAGCAACACGTGGAAATGATCGATATCCCTAACGCTCATCAGCGCAGCCCAATTCTTAAACCACAGAATATCCTCAACCTGCATCTCCAGCGGCAGCCGGAACGTCTTGTCTACAAACTCCTCGATTGCAGCTCGTGCCGCGGGCGTGAGGTCTGCTACCGCTGTGTCGAGTTTCGGGATCGCGAGTTTGGTCCACACCACGACGTGCACGATGCCCTTTTCGAAGCCGTAAGGGAAATCATTCATCAGAATCTTGTAGTCAGCTAGGTATACCCGAGATCCAATTGTCAGCCACCGTCTTCGCAATCAAAAACACAGTCAAATAAAAAGACACCTACACCGACACTCAAACAGAGAGCTGCCACTCGGCGCCGCAAGCTCCTCGCCTGGTCCCCAATGCAGCCGCTCCTGTAGAATGAAATTCGACACTTTGCCGTACTTTTCAATCGTCTGCGCTTTCCATAGAATGTATTTTCGTAGATCAGACGGCACGCGACCGAGCAGTGACAGCTGATTCGATCCTACAGATCCTCTTGTTAGCACCGCACTTGCCCCCGCCTAACTCCGCCTCATTATCAACACAGACACACCGATTATCTCCTTCAGTCTATCCCACGAATACCGCACAAAGTCGCTATCCGGACGAAGCGCGTTGACCGCATCTGCGCCGACGAGCAAGTGACGAGGGATGTGCTCTATCGACACATCTCCAGACACCGCCGCCTCCTTCACACTCTCCAGAACCGGCTCCACAATCCCAATTGCCTCCGGCTCGGTCTCGAGTCCAGATCCGTCCATTGCTTCACAGACTCCTTCACAATCTGCTTCTCACATGAAGCCTATCGCATATCTCTACAATATGCAACCAACATCTCCCTAATGACAGCAGTTACCCGGGTTAAATTCAGTTACCCGGATTTGGCAAAAAATTCAGAGTCCCCCGACGCCGACTTACCGTCCGCTGCCAACTTCCCGAGTCCATTTGGCCTGAGTGCTTCCCTTTCCTCTTCTTCTCAATCAGTTTAATATTTTCCTCTTGAATATGATCATCCGGCGAGGACTCACATCAAGGCTCACGGCATTAGCTGCGCGGCCAATGCTGTACGCTGGACCTGCTCCTGCCGCTGCTGCGACGACCACTCCTGCTCTCGTCCGCTTCAAGTCCTCGAAACCGGCCAAGGGCGGCAACACTGCTCCTGTTGCCGGTTTCGTGCAGCGAGAAGCCGCGGCGAAGAAAGCCGACAAAGATAAGCGTTTGCGGGACCAGAAGCGCAAGATCGAGCTTCTACGCAGGCAAGCAAGGACAACCCGCATCACCCCCATCACCATGGGGATCGAAATGGCAGCCCGCTACCTGAGAGCCGCCGAGGTCGGAAGACCGGACGGCACGAACATGATCACGTTGATGGTTAAGCAGGTCAATCCGCTGCACTTCCAGGCGATCCGAGGAAGCGTCCGGCTGCCGAAAGCGCCTTCGCTCGAGCGGGTCGCGGTCTTTACCGATAACGAGGAGGAAGCTGCCGCGGCGTTGGCGAACGGCGCGACCTACGCGGGCGGCGCGGAACTTGTCGATAAGGTGCTCAAGGAGGAAATCACGTTTGAAAAGTCGTTTGCGACGCCGACGGCGCTGCCGTTGCTGCGGGGCGTGCAGAGAATACTCGGTCCGAAGGGTTTGATGCCCAACGAGCGACGAGGAACTGTCGGCACTGACATCGTCGGCTTTCTGCGTGCTTCCTCTGGCACGATGGATTTCAGAACCATTGAAGATATGCTTCAAGTGAATGTCGCCAGAGTAAGTTGCTGCTGTACTCTCCTTATATATACATACATGCTAACTCGTGACATAGACTACTTTCACCGACGAAGAAATCAAGCTGAATATCAAAGCTCTCATGGATGCCTACCGGCTTGCTGTCGTCAACCACGAGCAGCGGCATAAGCCTTTGATTCTTGAAGTCATGCTTACATCCACACACGGTCCCGCGGTTAATATTCTCGCTTAAAATAGAAAAAAGGAGCTCATTTAGTTGTATATACTGTAATATAAATGATGATTATAATTGATTACATTCATATTTCATGCGCAGACATCTCTTACGCTATAAAAAGAAACCAAACAGAGCCTCTAAATATACAAAACAAAACAACAAAACGATCTAACCAAAAACTCACGCGCGCAGTCTTTTCATTTTTGGTCTGGCTTTCTTGCCGCCGACTTGCTTGACCATCTTTGCCATTGTTCGTTGCTGCGATAAGAGCTGCTCGACTTCCACGACTGAGGTGCCGCTGCCTTTGGCGACGCGCGTGATTCGAGTCGGTTCTGCGACGAAGATTTTGCCGTCGCTGTCCAGTTCTGTTTAGTTATGCATAGTTAGTAGACTGTATATCAATAGAGTTGAAAAACAGGACACACCTTTCTCGGTCATCGAATCCATAATATACATCATCCGCTTGAATCTGTTGTCGCTCTCTTCCTCTCCAATCTGGCCCATCATCTGGCTCATTCCCGGAATCATACCCGCCATTTTCGATAACGGCCCCATCTTCATAATGTTACTCATCTGATCGCGCAGATCGCGAACGGTGAAAATTCCTTGCTCGATATGCTTCATCGTCTCCTTCTGGTCGAGGTTCAGCGTCTTGACGTGGTCGACCAATCCCTTCATATCGCCCATCCCAAGCAGCTTCGAAACAAACTGCTCGGGCGTGAATGGCTCAATGTCGTGGATATGCTCTCCCGTACCGATAAACACAATCGGCGTGTTTGTGGCCGCAACCGCAGAAATCGCACCACCGCCCTTGGCGTGACCGTCCATCTTTGTGAGGATGATTGCGCCGAAATCGGAGGACTCCTTGAACGCCTTGGACTGCGACTCGGCCGCCTGACCGATCGAGGCGTCGAGAACCATGATCGTCTGGTTTGGCTTGACCGTCTGCGAAATCTGCACCATCTCCGCAAACAGCTCGGTCTCCTGCCGATGTCGACCAGAGGTATCGACGATAATCAGATTGAACTTCTCCTGCTTGAAGCGAGCGACACCCTCCGCCGCAACAACGACGGGATCGGTCTCCGTGTACGAACCATAGTACGGGATCTTGGCCTTTATAGCGTTCTGCTTAAGCTGGTCAAACGCACCGGCACGGAACGTATCGGCGCAGACGAGGCCGACCTTGAACCCGCGCCGGTGATACCACAGCGCCAGCTTGGTGCACGAGGTAGTCTTACCCGCGCCCTGCAGACCGACAAACATAATCACGTTGCAGCGGTCCTTCCGCGGCTTGAACCCGCCGTCGCCTTTCTCGTCCACATGCGGATCGACGAGCGCGCAGAGTTCGTCGAAAATCGCCTTTTGCGCAATCCGTCGGCGGTTCACGTTCGGTCCGAGTTCTTTGAAATTGATTTTCTTCTTGATGTTGTTTCGAAGCGTCGCAACCAGTTTGATGTTCACATCCGACTCAAGCAAAGCCGAGCAGACTTCTCTGAGCATATTGTCGACCGCCTGCCGTAATAATTGCCATTAGCACTGTCCTTCTTCCTTCCTCGACGTAAGCAACACTCACCTTTTCATCAACCACATTCGACCGCGTCAGCTCCGACATCGCGGAGTTAATCCGCCGTCCCAAGTCAGCGAGAACCATGGCTAGATATTACAGATCCAGGTGAATGCAGTCTTCTATCTGTGTCTGTCCGGTTATCGCACTTTTGTCCGTTGCTCCACTCGTTGTCGATACCCAGCTCGAATTCATGAGTGGCACCTTGAAAAAGGACCAGGCAAGTCACGTGAAGGCATAGTAATGGATTATGTAATTTATGAACATCACGTGCATGACGTCCAGGAAGTCCTCGGATTCTTTCGTAGCCGCACAGGTTCAGTTGATGCTGATTCCGAGTATTCTGACGACTGTGCGCGTTTGGATTGAATTGAAGAAACAAAATGGCATTAAGAAGGGCGCTGGTTCCTGCCTTTGAAGGGCTCGGTGCTGTGAGGCGGGTGCCAATCCCTGCACTTGCTCGGCCTTCGTACACGCGACTATCGCCGGTCAGCACCGTCAAGTCTGTTACAAGTAGTAATCAGTTCAGCAGGTCATTTGCTTCGCGGGCGCAGATCGAGCGATCCCGGATGATGGGACGACGCAGAAGCCCGTCGAGCGCGAAACGGGGCGACGTCTACTATCCGCAGAGCGGCACCAGAGTCATCTACAACCACAACTCGGTGCTAACTCCTAGTGATCCGATTTCCACGATCCTCGAGCAGCCTGCGTTGGTTATCGAGCGACAGATTGAGTTTATGAATATATTCTTGGTATGTTTGCTGCTTTGGATCTCTTGTGGTCTGGAGTCTTGAAGTTGGACTAATCATGACTTGTGTAGGGCTTTGAACAAGCAAATAGATACGTATGTGATCCATCATCATTGGAGCACGTCAGTTTTGATCTAACTATCATAGCGTCTTATGGATATTCATGGCAATATACTGGGATACATCGAGGAGGTTGACTTTAGTGAGTAAACCTGAACAAGGACGATGATGCTGGTCAGAGTTTCTAACCTTCCAATAGGCTTCGCGAAGGCAATCATGCGACAAATTTACAGACTCCATAGACCATTCACCGTAGTCGTCTACGACGCTGAAATGAATCCAGTTCTGACTGTAAGAACAAATTCGTGTCTGATTTGACCAAGACTGCGCGCTGACGGCCCTGTATATAGCTGCAACGACCATTTGCTCTCATCAACTCCCGAGTACGGGTTTCGGTCCCTCCGACGATATACGACGACGAACCGAGAATTGTTGGAGAGTCACATCAGCGGTGGCATTTGTGGAGACGGCGATATAATCTGTTTACTAGCGAGGACGGGTATGCATATAATTTTTAACTTATTGTTTACTACTCTGATATATTCTAATCTATCTCTCCAGATCTGATAACTTTGACCAGTTTGCAGCCATCGATGCTCCGATCCTATCATTCCGCTTCGAACTACTGGACGAGCTAAATCGACTGATGGGCGTAGTCTCCCGCAACTGGGTCGGTCTCGGCCGCGAGCTCTTCACAGATACCGGTGTTTACATCCTGCAGATGGACGCGGCCGATGCGGGCGAGTCGCTTGTGACGAACGAGAAAGCCCCTGGGTTGACGCTTGATCAGCGGGCGGTTTTGTTGGCGACTGCGATTAGTATTGATTATGACTACTTTTCGCGGCATAGTACATCGGGGTATGTTGGTCTTGTTGTTTCAGTAGAGACTTATTAGTCGGCCAGGTTACTAACTATTTAATTATTTAGTGGTGGGTTCGTCAACTTTGAGTAGATATGTTAGTTTAATATAGAAGTCCTCATTAAATATATAAATCAGCGCATTGGTTATATTTGTAGGATTAAATTGTGCAAAAGAGGGTTTTCTGTTCAATTATTATTGCGCGCGTTGGGAGTTGGCCCAAATGTAAACAAATAAATAAACCCTCCGGCTCTGGTCTTCTATTCACACGGTCTTTACGCCATACTCACAGTCTACAGATTATAGATGTCCACAGAATCTTCTGACTCTTCCTTTTCTGGTCGTCTACCAGAAGAGCTCTTGCCAGAACTTGAACAGTAACATTCCTACTCGTCAGCCTTGCATTTAGATCTATTTCTGACCCTTTATCACTCTGTAGCCTGTCTCGATATCTCTGGATCATTTCTGTCTTTGCGTTACCTGATAGCCGCAACTTGTTACCAGATCTATGTGGTCCCTCGTATACTGGAACCCTGAGGGCATTGCTGACAAAGTTGAAGGGTGAACTCAGCGAGTGCGTTGCTCATATCGACGAGGCGGAAGATCCAGACGCCGAGCAGACGGATCTGTTCTCTAGGACGGCTGCTCGGCTTGTCGAGTCGGTTAATGTAGAGCGTAGCATGAGGATAGTTACTGCTCACGCACGCCACGTTCTACCTGCTAGTATATATGCCAACACCGACCCCGCTGACGACGTCGACGATCGCTCTGATCCGCCATTGCCTTTTCCGCCCAGAAGAGCACAACGGGAGAACTCTCTGAGAGGGTCTTTTCTGAGGAGTATTGACTCGCGAGTCCCTCATCCTGCCAGAGATCCGTTCACCGAAGCTTTACCGGAACCAGTCAATCCGTTTGATACAAATCCTCGACAGACCTGGAATCCCCTGTTTTCGTTACATTTTACTCGAAACACCGCTGCATACGATCAAAGCATATACCCTGCAGATGAAATGAATGTTATGTTTGACGATGGTGGGGAGGCTTTTGATTACAGACGTGACAGCAGAGCTGTTCCTGGACATCACCAGCGAACGATGCACGTCCCTGCTTCTGCCCCGAGAGATTGGAGAACTGCAAGCCTAGACAGTACTGTGAATCATGACGGCTGCAGATCCGACAATCCTGGTCCGTTCACATGGATTGGCAAAGTGTATGCCCAGCAAAGTGCGAGATATGAAAGCCCGAGGGCTCGATTTGATAATACTGTTGTGATCACAAAGTTCACGAGGCAGTTTGTGAGGTCGACGCTGGATGGCTCTCATTTCACGGTTGCAAATAAGATTTTTGAAGATCTTTTGCAGCAGATGATTATCGACAAGCTGAACGGTGGAGACGACGAATGCGTGATCTCGCATGACGACGTGCTTCTTAAATCGGAGAAGGTATTTGCGCCCGTGCTGTTTGATCTTAGGGCAGTTTCAAAACGTTTGGGCGCGGCTTTGAAGATTGATATGACGAACCCGCGCCGACTGGATCCGTACATCTTGACGTCGGATCTGGGAGAGGCGCTCGAAGTGTGTAGTCTTGATGGGACTGCAGACAATATCTTGATGCAATGCAGAGTAGCGAGGGCTGATGCGGAACAAATACTGTTTACGCGACATGCATCGTATATTCACGTTGCGAGCCGTGAAGGATTCTGCGGACAGGTATTCAATCTGAAGCCGAGAGTTTACGAGCCATTTTTTATCATGGATCCGCAAAAGGTGCACTGGAGTCTTGCGCCTGATATACCGTGGCTGGTATACAACAAACGTCAGGAGACATTTACAGGAATTGCGCCCAACTTTCAGCAAAAGACAGCTATCCAGACTAGTCTGATTGCGACTTATGTTTGGTACGGGGTGTACAGGGAGATTCAGCAATTTGTGGAGATTGTGATTGATTTGGGTCTAGACCCCGATTACGGAAGAATGGGGTTTATAAGTCTACGCACCTCATCGCAGGGAGAAAAGGCGGTGTATACAGCAACTCCAACCGCCGAGGAAGACAAATCAACAGACCAAGCGGACGTGACATCGAGTAGCATCCAGTCTTCTATGGGACCGCCTGTGGTATCGGTTCCGATGAGTCTCCCAAACGCTACGACTCAGATAGTTGCAGAGATTGTGCCGAGCTATGAAGCGTCGATGTCGTTTGCTAGATCGAGGATCACGGGTGATGATGGAGAGCCTTGCAACATTTTATCATCATTGACCTGGGAGCGTGTCAGGCCTGAGAATCCGGCAGGGAGGGGGAATGATCCGGCTGCTCGCGGAGATCAAACTCAGGGCATGAGCAGGGATATGGATATGGATATGGACTCGGATACCGGTTCAGATAGGGAGTTTGATTCTGTGGCGATGGCTTTTGCTGATGATTCAAATGCCGGTTCCTGCCAGTGACTGAGCTATTATACCCGCTTTACTGTGTTTTCTGTCAGACTGTTAAAAAGAAGAAGTGCTCGAGGAGTGTTCTGTTTACTGTATAGATAGCTATAACCATTCGCTTTATATTTAATTGAATCATACATCGATAAGCCCTTCTTTTAGGGTGCGTTTGATATCGTAGGGTTCCCTGACGCGTTTATGATTATGCTGGTGATCAACGCGCCGTAATGCTACTAGGTAATACTACGTACTCTCAGAACCATTATAACACTACTGGAAGTCATTAGCGGCCCGTGTTGTTTGATTAGATTCTACCACACTCGGGATTGCGGCCAGCTACTTGATCCTGTCAGTCCTGCACAAAGAGACTAAGCCGGTTCTTGAATTACTCAGGTTCATAGAGACAGATTGCTTTTATTATTTGATCTGCTTGGATAATTGGAATTATACCGAGTGGTGCAGCAACGCCCGTCTAGGAACTTCTCATCAGTTTACCGTCTCGCGTCTCCGAGCATCACACGCGGATCAACTTCGAGCATATCTGCAAACTCAGAGATTACGAGGGCATCTGGGGACTGACGCAGTGAGATATGCAGATATAATGGACTCAAATTCACAACACACGAGCTCGACGAGCTCAATCAGCAAGAGCAAATCGCGTCGAAAGAAGAGCAAGCGGAAATCTCTCGAGCACCGGGGTACCCACGTCCGCCTTCGCTCGAACGGCAGTCCTGCAGCAGCAACGGCAGAGTTCTCAAGTCAGGTAGCATCAGAGGTCGAGCTTGAAGGAGAATACTATCGCATTCACGAGATCTTGGACGAGAGGCCGTCGGCGAGTGATCCTGATACGAACGAGGTCCTGGTGGCCTGGGTCGGCGACGATCCTCAGACCGGCCAGCCCTACGAGCCAACCTGGGTAAGTCTACATTATCTCTACAGTTATCGTCTACTTCACGCACCAGCTCCGTCTACGTTGTCGACACACCCCATCCCGACCGGCTGCCGGTGACGATGCGAGGAGCTTGTTAGAAACTTACCCGGCCGTCCACTAATTGCCAGGGTTAGGTCCTCCGCAGTGACTGCACGCCCGACGTGCTGAAGGAGTGGGATCGGACAAAGCGCGCCAGATCCCGGATCCCAGATTCACAGTCCTCCTACCACGAAAGCGCATCCCAGGACTCGCCGGTTGTCGAACGCCAGCCGCCGCTTATTGTTTCAAACAAACGGAAGCGATTGAGCAAACAGACTGGTTCGAGTGGTGAGTCTCTGTCTTGTTTTACTTGCGCTGGAGCTGCACTGGCACTGCGTTCATCTTCCTGATCCCCTTTCTAACGACGTTTCTGACGTATTCAGCCCTTTCTACGAGCAACAAGTCTATATTCGATTTTTCCGGAAGCGAGGAAGAGGACCGAGTTGTTAAGCCTCCTAAGAAGACTACAAGGCTATCCCAGTCCACTCTCGACCACGCCCGCTCCGAATCTGGCCCTCGAGAAAGACGGCTACGATCACGCACCATCAGCAATAATCCCGACAACACAGCTCATACTACACCTCCTCCCCCCTCCCCCTCCCGATCTCTCAGGAAATCAAACCCCCCTCCGAGCTTGCCACCAGTCGTCACCACACCAAAGACTGTGATCAGACACATTCGACTTCGCACTTCTGCTGATACACCTGATCCCAGCCCACCCAGATCTGATCGTCCTGCTCCCTCCCCGGCACGCACACTCCGAAAGCGCAATTCTATTTCAATCCGACGAATAAATCTCAGAGGCCCGCTCGCAAAGAATCCTGATCCTGCCCAATCACAAGATCTTGAGCAGAAAGAGCAATCCCCAGCTAAATCTGCTTCTGCGTCACCACCACCAGCCCAAGCAGATCTTATAGTTCTTTCGGACCCGGAACAGGAAGCTGAGCCAGGATCGCCATCTCCGAACGAGGACAATCTTGCAGCTCCTGTCGATAGTCAGAATCGCGAGAAACAGTCGGTCTCTGATAGTGAAGCGCAAGAATCAACTGGTCCTTCGATCGATTCTTTACTAGATCCACTTAGAGGTAAGCATAATAGAATCTTGGAGTTGAGACAGGATGCTAACAATGTATAGAATCACTCGACCATACAGTACCAGGCACCAAGAGCGTCGACGATCAAGTACAGGTCCCATCATCGATCGCGCCCCAGGCCCCTGATCTCGAAGCACAACCGCAAGGCTCACAGTCCGAAGCTCCGGTTGGCAATTCACAAATCTCAGACTCTTTCCAGCGATCTTCTGAAATCCATCTAGTTGACTCCACAACACTTGACAAAGTTGAAGACTGGTTGTCGGCTACTCAATCGGAAAACGAATATCATTCAGAGGACAGAGAACATACAGCAGACCAGTCTATACCTATCCGACCGGATTCAGTAAGCACACGGAATATGGAGGGAATTGAAACAAGCAGCCAAGTTGAGGCCTCACAAGTGGAGGCCGAGGAGAATGTCGAATTTGTCAGTGCCACCCCAGAGGTTCCTTTAGAGGGAAAGGAGGCGGCAAAGGAGGGATCCACAGAGACTGCTGATGGCGCCCCGCATGCTTTGGCGGAAGGATTGGTTTCCAGAGTGATTCGACTACCTGATAATAGTGGGGCCGAGAAGGCAGTTTCGTTAAACAAATATTTGCTGCGCGAAGCAGAATACGCGGTTCCCATTGGATTCACAAAGTATCAACGGCACTTGTATGAGCAGGTGTTGATGCTGCATTCGAGCGAGATTATCCGATTTTGTGACTTCGGATCGAGTACAGCGGCGCAGAGGAAAGTGATGGGCAAGAGCATGATGCTCGTGCTGACAAGGGCGCTGCTCGCGTGCGTGCATCCGTTTTTGCTGGTCCCTGCTCTGCAACCTCGATCGGTTAGCGATAAGGATGAGTCGCGATACATTGTGAACTCTGGCTCTAAGCTGCAGATGATTGACAATATCGTTACGGTATTTAAGGACGCGGGACTTAAGGTTGCTATTATTGCGCGTGAAGGACAGGCTATGGATTTGATAATCAGCTATTTGGCGGGTAAGCGAGTCAAGTACGCCAAGCGAGAAGGCGAGATTGACAAGCCGGCGGATTCTCCTGAGGATTCAGATAGCGGAAGCGAGGTTGATGTCAACGAGCAGTACGAGAAGATCAACGTGATTGTGGTGCCTTCATCTGCGGTGGACGAGAATAACAAAAAGAAGAAGTTCAATCTGCCACGAGTTGATTTGGTGATTGCGGTTGATTTCAGTTTTGTCGCTTCAGAGCCTCAAGTATTGCAGCTGCGAGGAGTGGACGAAAACACCCAGAGTCTGACGGGCAAGCCTATTGTGCCCGTCTTACGATTCGTTCCTTCGCATTCGGCTGAGCATGCGCTGATCTGTGCGGCTGCGTTGAATGGCGGCGCGGAGACCGAGTTAGACGTCGACATGCTGTGCAGTGTGATGGCTACATTCACATTGATGCGTTCGTCAGCTGGCGAACTTTCAGAGAATCTGAAGCAGGAGTTGGCCGAGCTTCCGTCTAAACTCCCACAGTGGCTGGCCACTACGGCAGGTACCCGACCTCCGCCGGTGTCGATTCTGTTTCCGCATGATAGTATACCGTTGACGGAGGACGAGGCCTCACAGTTTACGATCCGCGAGATTCCGCCGGATTATGACAACGATGCGCTGTCGTTATTGTCAGAGTCTACGATGGCGTCCGAGCTTCTGAATGTGCTGGAGGCGGATAACAATCCACCACTGATCTTACAAATGTCGCGCACGATCGGACATACGCTCAAGTTAATCCGAAGAGCCGACGCGGCGGTGAGAAAGGATCCGTTACAGGAGCAGCACGAGCAGCACGAACTTGCGGCGCAAGACATTGAGATGGTGGATAATGGTCCAGATATTGCCGAAGAGAGGAATGAGGACGAATACGAAAAGCTATCGGTGATTGAGAAAGAGAAGCTGATTAATGTAAGTTGTTTTGATATCTGCTGCTGAAACTACGGCTACTGACACTCAATAGGACCTGAATGATCAACTAATGGCGGCACGGATAAATATTAAATCGCTGGAATCCCAGCTTTTCAGTTTCAAAGATCACCACATGCGACTGCTGGAGAGATTCGAGGACACGGACCGGATAATGCAGTCTGTGCAGGAAGAGAAGACTGCTACCGAGAAACGAGCGGAGGAAGCGAATGCACGGATCGCAAGAGCAGAAGATGAGAAAACAAGATTGAAAACCGAGCTGGAGAAGTTGAAGGAGAAGCTAAAGGCGTCTGAGCAAGCGCTTCTGGACGGGCCGCCTCCGTTGGCAGAGCTTCAGCGGTTACGGACAAAGACGGAGCAGTTGGAGGACGAGATCCGGAAGCTTAATCACAAGCTGAAGAGCCGCGACGACGACATGCGGTACATGAGAGAGGAGTTTGAGAAGGCCAAGAAGGCTGGCGACGACGCGGTGGTCGAGCTCGAGACAGTGACGGCACAGAACGAAGCGCTGAAGAAGCGGATTGAAGACGATGTGCGGGCGCTGAAAGCAGAGCGGTCAGACGAGGAGATCAAGGCGAAGGACGCGAAGATCAAGGAGCTGAACTCGCGCGTGCTGGCGCTGGAGGAAAATATAAAGACGCTGCAGATCGATAAGCAGAGCGGGCGCGGACGGTACGGCGTGCGGTCGTCGAGCGTGCCGAGGAGAGGACTGAGTCCTGCCGCGCGGTCGCGGGGGTCGTCGCCCGCGTCCGGGGGCGCTACGTCGGCGTCGACGCCTACGTCGCACCCGCTGCAGCATGTTCGCGGGGCGTAGCGTAAGCGCAGACTGTTGTTTGGTTGGGACTTGGTTTGGGTGCGAGTAATAGTTTTGTATTTGTAGGCCGAATAACGATATTCAGAGCAAGTAGATTCGACAGCGGAAGCCAAAAGAGGAAAGTATAAACAGAGCCTAACCCTAAGACAACAATCGATATCGTCATCGGTCTGCCGCCGCCGCCGCACAGCATCATCGGCAGGTGTGGTTTTGGAGATAGTTTAGTTTGCAGAGCGAAGTTTTTGCCAGCAAGATCTACGGACAAGAACACGTGCGGAGCAGGGCTGAAGAACGGAGGATATCGGATTACTGCTGCTGGGTTGGTGCGAATAAGAGGTTTGGCGCTGGCAGGAACGCGAGCGACGACGGCGATAGGAAAAAATAGCAGAGAACTTACAACAGAAAGTCCGACGACGACGACCACGATACTAAAGCAAGAGCAACAACAACAACATCAAGAAGAAGAAGAAGAAGAAGAAGAAGAAGAAGAAGAAGAAGAAGAAGAAGAAGAAGAAGAAGAAGAAGAAGAAGAAGAAGAAGAAGAAGAAGAAGAAGAAGAAGAAGAAGAAGAATGACAGGAGCAGTCTACACACAGCACCAAATCGAGTCCTGGTACTCGGCCTTCAACAGCGCGCTCTGTCTGCCCGCGCCCTCCAAGACCGCGATCTTCCCCGAGAAAGCAGAGTACGACGTGACCGAGTTTGACGAGATTGTGCGCAACGCGGTGGCTGGCACGGGAAACGAGATTCTGATGACTGTCTGCGCGGTGATGGATTCCACGCGCGCGATAGGCTGCGTGTATATCAGCGAGCCGGCAAGGCCCGCGGGATCCGACGCCGCGGAGGAGCACTGGTCTGCGCTGGCGAAGATGGTGGTGGGGGCGGCGCGGGATCATAATTTCTCAGAGACGAGGAGTATTTCGTTGTTGGAGGAGAAGCTTGCGGGCGCGCATGATTTGCAAAAGCTGGGGTTTCTTTTGCCGCGGTTGCAGAGCGATATCAATAATTTCTTGACCGGGAGGGTCGAGAGTAGTCATAGTGTTGCGAGCGAGCAGGAGAAGCTGTTGGAGAAGAAAGTGCTGGATGGGGATGAAGAGGTGGAGGACGAGGAGGAGATATGAACGGATTTTAATGTAATAAATGTAATAATGAAATATCTAATTATTAAATCAATCTACATAGCAGCATCTACACAAAAGCATCTTCCAAGCGCCACTAGTCAAAACAAACACCAAAGATGCAACAACAACAACAACGACAATTAAAAAAAAAGCTCAAGTCATCCCACAATAAGGTCTTCCATGCGCCTTTTGGTAATTACACAAAAACGTCTCGAGATAAAGACAGATCGTGCCCGCGACGACGATGCCGCCCGAATCCGAGACCCCGACGGCGCCCATCGCGAACTCGCGCTCTTCGAGCGGCACGGTCTCGGAGACGAGGAGGAAGGTGTTGACGTAGGATGCGCCGCCGAGGAGGCCTTCGTAGAAGACGAGGAGCATGATTAGGTAGACGTTGGGGATTATGACGTACATCGATTGGATGATGAGGATGACGACGTTGATTAGTTGGAGGATTGCTGGGATGTATAGTCTGCGGACGCGAACGAACGCCGACGAAGAGCGGGAGATGAATACTCCGACTAGAAAAGTTAGCACAAGCTCACAAGTCATACACAACAAAGAACATACGTTGATAAAGCGAGCCATAGGTAACATAAGCATCGCGATACTCCTCAAACGGCATCTCCTCGATCGGAAACAGCAAGGTAGGCGAGATCCCCTGGTTGATGATATACTCCCCGATATACACCAACATCAAAGGCAGCATATACGGCACAAACAGCGGCGCAAGCCGCTGCAGCGTCTGCCCCGACGAGTCCACCATCTGGTTCCACGAGGGCATCGTGCGCGGGAAACTGATCCGGCTGCGGATCGAGCCGCGGTCAGAGTCCTCTGGCGCAGCAGCAGCAGCAATCACAGACTCCTCGTCGTCGGTGCCGAGAGGGGTGTATCGAGCCGTGCGCGGGGCGAACGAGCTCGACTGCGATGCCAGGAGCGGATCTGGCGCGGGCATGATGCTGTAGTACGCCACGAAGAAAATCAGCGGGAGCAAACTCGAGGCAAAGATCGTGCCGCGGATGGACAGGCGAAGCCAGGTGGTCGCGACGAGATACAAGAAGCTACCCGCGAGCCCCGCGCCGCCCGTGCCGGAGCTGAACGCGAGCATCGAGATTGGGTCGTAGAAATGCGTGAGCTGGAGAAACGTGAGCTCGCCGAGACCGGAGGACATCGACGCCAGCACGACGCCAAACAGGCGCGTCGGAATCGAGCTCGCGAGCGCGACGCACTGCATGCCGACCAGCGACAGCGCGACGAGCATCCACACGCGCACGCCGTAGGGTATCAGATGGACAAAGAACGGCGCCGTGAGCTTGACGAAGAACGAAGGCATCACGTCCGCGAGCAGCACGACTCCCTTCGGCACCTCCGCGCCTACTAAGTCCACGGCCGCAGACAGAATAATCACATAGAGCACGTTGTTGATCAGCCCGTAGATCCAAAACGTGGAGAATAACCGCCATCGCGGGTGCGTCGCCTTCGAGCTCGTGGCGGCCCTCGACCGCGCCCGCAGCTCGTCAGGACTGTCTTCGGCCTCCTCGAACGTTGTAGGAGTCATACCGCGCAGCGTGCCTGACTTTGTAGATGCAGCTGGTCTTACTCGAGCGGTTGCTGTCGGCAAGTTGGATGTAATTGCGGTAAATAACAGTCTGATAGTCCACACAAGAGCGCGAGTGGAGTCTGTAGAATCCCAGCAGGCAACCACGCACGTGACCGTTATCTACGTCTCCGCCATACAAACACTTCTCGACCAGTTCTACTCTGAAATGATATTTTGATACTATTAATCTACTTACTAGATAGGAATACATACAAGAACAGACCTTTTTTTAAGCCAATACATAAACACAAGCACTAAACACCCAAAAACACCAAACACTGATTACATCCGACTAATTATACAACCGTCTGTCCAACTCCCGCAAGACAGACGCGACACTCGCAACCTCAACCTGTCCACCTTTCGTGCTCAGCTTTCCCACCAGCGACGGCAGCTCAACGGCTTTGAACCCCTTGTGCCTCGACAGCGTCTGGTACGCAGCCGAGCAAGGAATGAACGCCGAGTCCTGCACACTCGCCTTCTTCCCTCCGCAGCAGCCACCGGGCTGGTTGCAGTTCCCGCAGCCGCCGCCTTCGCTGCCGGATTTCGAGGCTAGCGAGGTACAGAACAGCGTCTGCATCGGGTCCCGCTGACAACTCTCGCATGTTCCGGGCGCAAACTGCTGCGCGACTGCGCCGTTCGTGCCGGTCATGTCGGAGATAGGCTCGGGGTGTAAAGTCACGAGCTTGTGCTTTGACGTCTGTCGAATGAGCTCGGAGTGCGGGTCGTTGCGGAGTGGAGGGAGGGTGGTGTTCATGTCGTCGTCTGTCATGCCGTTCATCATCTGGCCCTGGTTTTGGCTTTGGTTTCGATCTTCCATCTCGCGAGCTTCGGCATCGGCAGCCTCGGCACACAGACAAGGCGTACCGGACGAGCAGAATCCGCAGGGGTCAATCTTCCGGGGCCCGGATTTCGACGATCGGTCAGAGGACGAAAAGTAATTGTCAGAAACGCTATAGTCGCTGTTGTGTCGGTGCTGGTGCTGCTCAGGTGGTTGGTTGTATACATTCTGAGCCTGCTGTGGACGACGGTTGATTTTCGCGGTAGTAAAGGCGTGCGTAAAGTCCATTTCCGTATCATCCTCGTCATCTCGCCGTATCCTCTTATTAGGGTGTTCAGGGGCGGGAGCAGGAGCGGCAGGAGACGGAGCAGCAGAGGTGTGAGCGCGCTTGGGGAAGATGTCGGTGGCGGGCTTGATGCCAATGTCGGAGCACATGCAGTTACCATCAGACTGGCAAAGACCGCACGAGTCAGACTTGGGAGATTCCTCGGATGTGTGCAGGGGAGAGGGATGGTTCGAGCCATGGGCGATCGATATCGACGAGCGATGGTTGGCGTAGGCGGGTGGGGAGGAGCCTTTAGGGGAAGAGTATTTTTGCTTCGAGGCTCGCCGTAAGGGCACGGACTGGCCGTACAAGCCTTGCGTAGCGGATGGGGACGTGTACTGGTATTGTTGTGATGAAGGAGACGAGATAGTTGTGCCGGTTGTAGAAGCAGGGGAAGCGGTAGCAGCAGGGTCGACAGGCAGCCGTTCTTCGAGCGCACGGTCGAGCATGTCTTGGCTGTAATTTTGCTCGTTACCAGGTGATGGAGCTGGAGACACGAGGTTATGAGCGGGCTGCTGAGCCATAGCCATAGGAGCGCCTTGCATCCCAGCAGCGGCAGCGGCAGCCTGCTGGGCCTGGAACTGCTTGAACAGCTCGACCTGCTGCTTTAATTCGTCGGTGACGGACTTGAGTTGCTGGTTCTCGGCCGCGATGCGAAGAAGGGTATTTGTCAGGTTCTGTTCTTTGTCTTCTTTTTCTTGCTCGAGGTCGTGCAGACGCTCCTCTAGTTCGACAACACGCGCCGCCCGCCGTTCACGGAATGCTCGCTGGGCAGCCCGGTTTTGAGCCTTGCGTTTGGTAGGGGGAGTCTCTGTTGAAGGTTTCCTGCCGGGCTATTCCGAGAGATGTTAGTGTCTAGAGCGCACCGCCGACATATACAGCTAAGAGAAGGAGGAGGGGAGATACCTTTGGTCGGGGAGGAAGAACCCATTCTTTCGACGGACGGATGCAGGAAACGCCGGCGGAGTCCTCTGGACTTTCCGGTTTGATGCGGGGAGCAATAGCCGGAGCAGGCGCGGGAGCGATGTAAGGCTGCGGGGCGATATTTGCCGCCGGCTGGATGGCGACTGTGGGTGGAAGGAGAGGTTAGTAGTTGTGATGACACTGCAGATGATGAGTTGTTGAGAGACGTACTGGGGGTAGAGGGCATGGCTGGTGGCGGAAGCGGATCTAGAGACTGGGTCTAGACTGGCGTGGAAAAGAGAGGATGGAGGTTCAGGACGCGGTCTGCTCGGCGGCGAGGACGGTGAAGTGGAAAGAAGACGACAACAGGAAGTAAAAGAGCAGGAGGAGGAAGATGAGGAAGAAAGAAGGAGGAGAGGAGAGCAGCGAAGCAGAGCAGCTTAGCTGGAGGAGGGGCCAGAAGGAGGAAGAGACTTGGCCAGACTCCGGTCTTCGATGAGCAGAGCGCGGTCCAGACGAAGCCTGAGTCACGTGGTGGAGGTTCAGCATAAGTGGGATGAGAGAGTGGGGTTGGAGCCCTAATGCAGCAAAGTTTAGTGCTTCCGAGTGCCGAAGTCGGCCATGATTTAATCCCGGAGCAGATCAGCACAGGTCCGGAGTATTTCAGCAATAAAAAGCTGCTCAGAAGCAGCTTCTCCGGCTGCTTCAGAGCTCTTCAAGCAACTGGAGAAGGGCTCGCGGGCCTCGAACTGGACCCGGAGGTCAGATCAGGCGCCTAGATCCGAGTCACGACAAGAGTTGCCGTTTTGGGACTTATCTGATCTTCCTCTGCTCCGCTTTCTGCCTCTCTTTGTTTAAGCCCGTTTCTGCCGCTGATTCTGACTAATTCTCTGAGCTTTTATTCCCTGCGCGGCAGCCAATCACGGCCCGTTCACAAATCTGCTCACAATCAAAGTTATCAGATCCTGTAACTCGTAAACTCTAATTCCCACCGCGCTGCCTCGACCGGCCGCCGGTGGACGATGATCTCTTTCTAGTAAGACTGCTATGACTACTTCTATTCTATCTTCTATCTACCCGCTCTTGCTCATCTCTGCCACCGCCTCCAAAACCTCCTCCTCCGTATACCCCTCCGGCCCAGCAACTACCTTCCCAAACTTACTAAAATCAGGCTCATCCTCGTCCGCCTCCAGCTCCCCCTCAAAATACCCCTCCCGGCGCAGCTCGTCGAGATCAACCGCCAGTCTATCCTTGTCCACCAGACACTTTGTAAACGCCGTCTTCAGCTTCCCTGCGCCCTTCCGTATCGTGCGCTCGCTAGCCGGCCACCGCCGCGGGAAGTACCCTTTCTTTTCCTCCGGATCAACCAGCTTGCAGAGCGCGTACACCCATTCGCAGAAATCAGCGTCTAGTGGATACATCCAGTCGTGGAACGACGACGAGTTACCCACCTCCTGGAACCGCTTCCAGACATAGTGCTCCATGATCGCCTTGGGCGGTAACCCCAGTCGACCGGACCACACGCGGGCTATATAGCACGCTTGCGCTTGCGATACTCGAAACGGCAGAACAAACCGTAGAGTTCCAAGTAGTGCTAGAGTCGGGTCTTGGGTGTAGATAAAGTGTAAATACAGACTGTGAACAAAAGCGCCATCTGTAATCAAAGGGTGGTCGCTCTTGTTGATCTCTGAGAGAAACGGCAGAGTCCGCAGATATCCACTAGAGAAAGTATTAGTACATTCTATCTTGCATCCACGGAAATCAACCCACTCACGTTGCATATATAACCGCATCGATATCCGTCAACACCTGTCCGTCCGCAACCACAATACTCCCATCAGGCTTATACTCCACAACCTCGCCAATCTCAGCAATCCGGCTGTCCGGCTCTCCCGGCGCAGTCGACTCGCTCCTAACAGACTTGTATATCTGCTTCCCCGTAACCAGCACAAGCTGATTCGCGATATCAGTCCCGCTCGCCGCGTTTCCGACCACCAACACCGTCTTACCGATGTACTCGTCCGGCTTTCGAAACGCCTTTGCATGCGTCACCCGACCGGGGAAGTTCTTGCTGTACTCTTCCAATCCCTTGACTTTTGGTATGAACGGAACATTAAAGTACCCTGACGCCACCACTACCGCATCAAACTTCTCTTTCTGCTCAATTGAAGATCCAGCGTCGACGTAGGTGATTATCCATTCACCATCGACTTTCCGAACATCCACAACATTCGTGTTGTATCTGATCAGACTCTGGATCCCCTCTTGATCAGCAAAGGTCTGTAGAAAATCCGCGACATGTTGTCGAAACAGAAATAGCGTTCCTTCTCTTTTGAATGCTGGGTTGAGATACATCATAATTTCTCCCGGAACGTTCGTGGTCTTCAATTTACCGTTAACGCCGAATCCTCTCGCAAAACAATTCAAAAACTGATATACTCACCAAACTATCATACGCAGCAGTAGGCCACCCAACCACCTTCCCCTCCCCATCCTTCGCCGGCGCGAACTGCGCCTCCGTGTCCAACGACGGCACCGTTATCTCTTTATCAGTGAAATCATTGTAATTCCACAACCCGCCTGCCACCGCATTCCGCTCGAATATCTTGATCTCGTCAAAAGCTTGCTCTTCTACCAACGCCTTGGCTGCTGCTAGTCCACTTGCCCCGGCACCTGTGTGAAGCTGTTAGTCCTGGTCTGCTGGTGTTCGGCGAATAACCGACTATAACAGAGAATAATCGAGTACAACTCACCAATGACAGCAACTCTTTTGATCTTCGTCGGCTCAGACATCTCTATATTCACAGTCCTTCAATCTCTTCCAACCCTGTACTCTTCAAGAAAAAGCACACTGTATTCTTCAAGAAAAAAGCACACAGCGGGGCAATTGACGGGTTTAAACACAATTAAAACTTCCCAGGAACAAATCCCAGCACGCCAATATCCGACAGAATCGCGTGTTGGCCGCCGGAGTTTAAGTTCTTTGAGTGGACCGTGCCGGATAAGCCGCGCAGAGGAGCGCATGGGCCGCTCATCGTCTCAGCCGTTATAAGATGTCTTGTTTCTTATATATATATCTGAGAATAGGGACGATGTCAAATAATGCTTTAAAAAAACTAGAGCTTTTGTAGATAACTGTGCAGTAAAAAAGCAATAGTAAGAAATAAGAAATAAAAAATAAAAAAAATTGTTAATGATTGGAGTTGGTCTTATGCGGGATCGAACCGCAGATCCTCGCGTTATTAGCACGATGCCTTAACCAACTGGGCCATAAGACCAATCATGTCTTTTTCAAGCGTCTGGTTTATTATAAACCCATGAATATTGAAGATTGTTGGATCTTGATACTTGTTTATATGGAGGTAAATCTGGACAACTGAGCTGGATTAAGACATCCGGTTCTATTAATTGAAACATATTTGGATTACATTTGTCTACTATGAAAACTCTGCATCATGAGTGCTACGTGCGACTATCTGTCGCAGGAGCTTGACTCGGGTATAGTGCGATTCTCTGGAGAAATATATAAACCGCCGATTCCTCCCTTGTTCTTGCTTATCTGAATCTATCTAGCATGGTGATTCTCTACTGATTAAAAGTTCATTAGCTTAACCGGAAGTGGGCGGGTTTGCGTGCGAAGTTTGCAATCGCAGAAACCCAGGAGGAGAGGGACTTTATATATCGTCAAATTAACTCGGTTCGTGCAACTAAGATGGAGATCGTCAGGCAGTCCAAGAAAGACTAGACTTAAGTTAGTCTCGGATAAAGACAACTCTGCTGCAACTTGCTAGGCTTTACAACGATGTGCTCTTCTCATTATTTCATTATTAGTACATGTCCCATCTCAAAACTGTCTCTCAATATTACCAAAGCTTTGCATTTCCTCTGAACTTCAAAAACTCATGTAAGTGGCGAGTCTGAGTCTGTTTGACTAGGACGCTGGTCTCTAACCCGTAGTAGAATGGAAACCCTACAGAGTAAGAATTACTCTCAGCCAAATCAAGAGACCCCAGAATTTCAGACACGCGCCCGCCCGCCCTGAAATCCGCACTTTTAAGTAGCGCTCCCGCCTCTCTCCTCCCTTCTTTTTCCTTCCCACACCACTTTTTTGGATCTTTGATCCCCCCCTCTCTTACTACCATCAGTCTGATCTATTTCCCAGCAATAGATCGATATGTCTTCCTTCGGCTCTCTCTCTCGACGGCAAAAACATCGGGCGTGGGATCAGAGTTTTCTGATCCGCTTCCTCTTTCGCATGCGTGGTACTTCGTGGAGATCCCAGTGAGCGGCCTATTCTGTGCTGGTAGCATTCTCAGAGGGTAGCTTATACCGCAGAGGTAGCATTCCCGGAGAGTAGCCTATACCGTTCCAAGAAGCATTTCAGAGAGTGGCATATACCTCGTTGGTGGCATTCTTGTAATGGGAATAGCATACACCGCACCAGGTAGCTTTCTCCGAAGTGACTTCTATTGGTTCAGGCTGCATTCTCTCGAGAGTAGCCTATACCCAGGTAGCATTCTCTGAGGGTAGCCTATACCGCACCAGGTAGGATCAGCCTTCTGTGGCAGTTCTTCACGAGAGGTGTGAGCGTATCTCGTGCCGGCCCACTTCCCAATAGTGGGCGTCGTGCCACGCATGCGAGAAAGGTAGGGGAGAAGCTAACTCGAACCAAGCGGTCTGGTAAACGATCCGCATGCGCAGATACCGGGTGAGTGCGCTCAAAGGAACTGCAATACCGTTGTCGGCCGGGTCCCTCTGCGTGGTCGACCCGTACGCGCCACGATCCTGCCTGCCAGGGTTGGCGTGGTTGGTCAGGGCGACCAATCTGGTGAGCTTCTTCTCTAGCCAGGTTGCTCATCGGATTTAAAACGTCTTCGTTGTCGCGTCTCTGAACAAATGCGCTGGTAAGTCGCGCCGTCGCACGGGAACCCCGAGGCGACGGTAGTCGAAGAGAGTCCGCACGACCAAGCGGTTCAAGCGCAACGTTGACAAGCCACCAATACGGAGGCAGTCTACGACTGTCTTTTGGGTGAAGCCGGGTTTTAGTGGGTATGGCGATTTCGAGAGAGTCGCAGAGTCCCACATAACTCTTGGGCAGGACTTCATAGTCTTGTTCAAGAGTATGCGTAATGCATTCTTCCCGGCCCTGGCACCAGTCACTTCCGCGCTCTTACTGTTTCTGTTTTTCTGTAGCTGCTTTTCTGCATCTGTGCTGCTGTGCTGCTGTGCTGCTGTGCTGCTGTGCTGCTGTGCTGCTGTGCTGCTGTGCTGCTGTGCTGCTGTGCTGCTGTGCTGCTGTGCTGCTGTGCTGCTGTGCTGCTGTGCTGCTGTGCTGCTGTGCTGCTGTGCTGCTGTGCTGCTGTACTTCTGTACTGCTGTGCTGCTGTTCTGTAGAATTGTTGTATCTTAGTATAGTTTTTTTCTTTTTTTTATGTTTTTGTGTTTTTCGTTTGTGATGTTTATATCTTTATCAGAGAGCAGACTTGTATACAGTATGTATTTGTTGTATAAGAGCGCGTAGTGTTTTCGTATTGTAAAACCAATAAAGAAAAAAAAATAAATCCTCATATTATCATCCCAGATCTGATTTTTAAGCCAGCAAGTATGTAGGACAGGCAGAGCAAGTAGTCGATGATTGAAATGGTCACCGTCTCTTAGTCATTAACTTCATATGTCTCATTGGAAAGTGTCATGAGTAAGATCGATATGATTTAGAGTAACGGTTGAAGTAAAACCCTACACATACTACGATGACTGCATCATACTCAAACATCCTCATCAAGCTCCTGCTGAATAACAGTTTCCCTTACACTCTCCCTACTCTTAAACATCCTCGTAAACGTCTGCGCGTTCGGCACATGAAACAAATGCCGCCTAATCTTCAACGTATACGCCGCCATGCACACCGCGCCCAGCGCGACTGCCGCAAAACTCATCGCGGACGGGATCCAGAACGTTTCGGCTTTGCTAAACACGATCGTGGACGCGAACGACATGAGCTCGAACGCGTTCTGGAACGAGGACTCGACGGAGGAAAACGTGGTGCGGAGCTCGGGCTCGACGCCTTCTTGGATGAGCGTCTGCGCGCTGAGGTCGAAGCCCCAGAGGCCGAGGCGGGAGAGGACGACGGAGCAGACGACGAGGAAGGTGGATTTTGAGGTGAAGAAGAAGAAGAATTTGCTGGTGACGGCTGCCGCGAGGGTTTCTGGCTCGGGGGAGGAAGGGGAGGAGACGACGTCGGAGTGGTAGATTGCGACGACGGCGCCGAAGATGCAGATGGTTTCCCAGTTGAGGAACCAGAGCCCTGTTCGGATCGGTCCGATCTTTGACATGACGATCGGAGCGAGCCAGGTGGCTGCTAACTCGAACGTGACGGAGACAGTGCGGAGGATACCAATCACGGCTGGGGAGTAGCCGACTGCGAGCATGTAGGTCACAAAGAGACCGCCAAAAGAGAGAACGTTCCAGTACAAGCACGACAGCGCAAATGAAGGAAGGAAAAGCTGGTGGCGCGTGTAGGTTAGGAAAGGCGAGCGGTTGGCAGCAGGAGCGGGAGCCACGTCCTCCTCGTCAGAGGTGGAAAGCAAGCCGGTCTGCTCTGCTTCAGAGTCAGCAGCCTCGTCTGATGCTCTCGCGCGGACAGCAAGAGCCGGCACGAGCTGATAGACTCTCGCGATCGAAAAGTACTCGACAAAGACCGACAGGAAGTTGAACACGACCAGCAGCCAGGCAGTCCCGACTAACGTGAAGCCGATGAGGAACGAGATCGCAAGCGGGCCAATCATCTTGCAAAACAAGTCGATCCGGCGCATGATGGAGTTTGTGTAGCGCAGGTCGGCGCTGTTTGCGCCAGCGATGACGACCACCCAGTCGCGCTCGACGGAGACGGTGTTCATGATCGACATCAGCTTCTCGACGCAGGCAATCAGGGAGAGAATCGCAATCGAACCGGCTTTGATTGCGAGACTTGATGAGGGGGCGCCGACGTTGAAGTGGATCATTAGTGCTAGAAGCACGCAGGACACGCATACCGCGAGACGCTGGAGGACTGTGAAGTAAAAGGGTCAGCACGCTACAATCTCCAAACCAAGAAGGAACTAGGAGGATCACCAATAGTCCGTCTGACGACCACAAGCCTGTTCACTTTATCAACCTGTCTCCCAAACGCAGGCGCGAGCAAGATCGCCGACAGCGCGCGAGCCAGAGCGTAGATCGAAGGAGGCATGAGCGTCTGGGGAAAGATCGATGCGAGGAGGAGCACGGCGGTGTACTCAAACACGCGCGAGTTCCAGGTCGAGAGGAAGTGCGAGATGCAGACTCTGACGAGGATCTTGGGGTCGACTGCCATTTTTTGCTGTTTGATATAGGCAGGGAGTAGAGGAGCTGGAGAGGAGGAAAGAGTGAGGGGGGAGGCGGATAACGATAAGATCTCGGCGAACTTTTTTTTAGCGAGTTAAGTTTTGGCTGGACCCTTTGTCTTTAATCAGCGCCTGATAGCGTCTTCTGGAGGGTATTTGCCAAGACAGATACGAGTGTTGATTGGCTATAGAACTGTGTAAGCTGTTCTAAATAGGTTTTTATGAGTTGTGTATTATTTGTAGAGGAGAATACGGGAGAATTGCTGCTGTAAACCTGATCAAACGGCGCGATGTCGACTATTTAGCCGTTGCGCTTCTACAGATGTTGAATTCTCGATTTATGTTGACAGCCAAACAAAGAGAAATTGGTTCAGGAATTCCTACTGGTGAATAGCTTGTCTATATCAGCTATAGATGACAACAGCTACCTCATATTGTATCTTTGAGATAGCGAATATGGATCAAGCCCGGAGCAGTCAGGTAGTACATCGTAAACACCTGCGATCTCTACATTTCTACCCAGCAAACCTCAAAACAAAAAACCACAAATATATCAAATAAACTAGTCTATTGATATCAATCAAAAATAAAAGCAGCAACCAGCAAACATATCAAAACCAGCGCATTTGTCAGTGCGGAGTTTCACTTTTCGCCTAAAAAAACGACAATTTTAAAGTTGCTTTTAAAGTGGCTTCGCTGCCTCGGACTTCGGGACGACAACAAAGTTGCTCTTCGTCCCCGCACCTGCCTTCCTCTCGTATAATCTGCATCAGAGACCTGCTCTCTCCGGTTTTTTTGGTAGAATTTTGGAGAGCAGGGGTGGTATATTGCTGGTTCTGCAATTGTGTTTTAGAGAACTGATTAGAGATAATTGTCATTCGTTCGCTTTATTCATCGTGTTAAGATGTCGAGACTACTCAAGCCTGCGAGGGTATTGCTACTAGGACCGCCCGGCTGCGGCAAAGGTACGCAGACCTCTCGTCTGCTCAAACGGTTTGGCATTTCTGGAATGTCGTCCGGAGATCTCCTACGGCAGCATATCAAAGACAAGACCGAGATAGGTATGCTCCTCTGACAATTGCTTAAAATCACCGGACGATGCTAATACTACTATCCGCGTCTAGGAAGCCTCGCCTCGTCAATCATCAAGCAAGGAAAACTCCTCCCGGACGATGTAATGGTCAAGATCATCGAATCCGAGCTCCGTTCCCGCTCTTGGCTCTCTCCCTCTCAATCCTGGCTTCTCGACGGGTTCCCCCGCACAGAACCCCAGGCATCCCTACTAGACTCCCAAATCCTCTCGCCTGCGTCCGCGAACCTCAACTTTATAGTTGAGCTGCAGGTCCCGCATGAGATTATCCTCGACCGGATCGCGAATCGACTCGTGCACGTACCCTCGGGAAGGGTCTACAATCTGACGTATAACCCGCCTAAAGTGGAGGGCAAGGACGACGTGACTGGCGAGCCACTTTCGCGACGACCAGATGATGATCCGGTATGCTTGTTCTTCTAATCTCCCCACAATAACTGCCAGCGAAACTAACAGCCGCTTAGGAAATCTTCAGGCAAAGACTAGTCGAGTTTGACAAGCTCACAAAACCACTGGTGACATACTACGAAAACGCAAACAAAGACGCCGTGTTTGAGGTCGCAGGCGAAACCTCAGATATCATCTTTCCGCAACTGGAAAGTGAGATGATCAAGCGGTTTGGCGAGAAGGCAGAGTAGAATACATAGATTAGAAAGGTATTACATGTAGCAGCTGGCTTGCTATCGTTCTTGTCCTTACTATATTTCATGTCTATAATACATATAAAACACCAAACGCCGGGTCCAATAAAATACAAAGAGTAGTATACACCATCATAATCATAACTCATAAGTCCACCTACACAGTCTTTCCCATCTCAAACCCATTCTCAGCACCCCTTCTCACCACCGGCGTGGCAAACAACTTCCGCCGCCCTTCGTACATCGGACTATTCCGCAACCGCGCCCAGCGCTCCATCTTCGGCGTCCTGAGCTCGTCATCAAGCCGGCCTGAGAAAGAAACCCTGGTCCCGGACCGACGCTTGGTCGGCGTGTACGTCGACGCGCTATCCTCCGTCGTCGTGGTTGAGATCGAGCCGGCGACGATTGTTCCTAAATCGCTGTCGTAGTCTTCGTCTGCGTAGCTCGTCGTACTTGTCTCGTCCGGAGGACTATCCGACAACTTCCGCCCGAGCTGCTCGTCAGAGGCGTAAATAATCTCCCGCGTCAAATCCACCCAATTCGCAAACAACCCTTTCGCGCGCGCCTTTCGCGCTCTCTCGTGGAACGCGTCCGCGCGCGCTTTAAGAATGCCGACCTGGATCGCGCGCATGTTCCACCGCCGAAGGAGGTTTTGCGCCCGCAAAAGACTGTTGATATCGTACACTGCCGCAGATCGCCGCATGCTGTCGTCAAGGTCGAGTTTGCGCTGGTGCCATTTCGCGAGGTATGTCTGCTTCAGACGCGTGTCGGAGAACTCGTCCGCGAGACTCGACATCTCACTCACGGCAAGGTATCTGTCGCTCCATTGCTGGAGGCATCGTCGCGCTATACTGTCGTATCCGTACGCGACGTAAAACTCATCGGCCTGGATGGAAAGCTCGACTACCTCGACAGTGCGATCGACCCATTTGCGCAGCGCGGCCGACTTCCGTCGCGTGCGCTTGGCGGATAAGAGATCTTGGAGTAAAGACTCTCTGCGGTTCTGGCGTTTGATTGATAGTTGTGTCTGCCATTTCGCAAAGTGTGTTTTCAGCAGAGTGGTCTTGCGAACGGCTTCGGCTTGTTCGGTGAGGTGGGTTATGCGCTGATATTTAGAGGTCAGCGCGGCGAAAAACTTCTGGTACATGACCAGTTCGTCAAAGTCCTATGATAAAGTCAGAGGGAGAAGCGTATAATAAACTGAAGAAGATGTGAAATCATACCATGGCCTGATTATACATCTCGTAAAGAGCAGCAGTCTTGAGTTTCCAAGTCCGCATCGCCTCCGCGACAACGCGATAATTTCCCGTCTCATACACGGCAACGACCGCACTCTTATCGCTCTCGACGCGCTTTGCCGTCGCGCGTCGCCAGGCTGCGAACGCGTTCTTCAGACCACGTCGTCGACTGACGCGCCCGAGGAGTACTGATCTCTCTTTCAGCACCCAGTGGTAGAGTGTGCGGTGCTCGAGTCGTCTGTCGCGGGTTTCGGATAGAAGTTGTTCGCGTAGACGTTCGCGCATGCGCTTGAGGTACCGATGGGCCAGGGAGGATTGGTAGAGAATATCAGCAGACACAATCATATCGGTTGATGTCTTCCAGTGGCTAAATGTGTGTTTTTTCAGCGCAAGATTGTTAGTTTGCTCGAGTTCTTGCCTGGAAAGCTCGAGTATGGTCTCGCGAGTCCAGACAAGCCAGGTTTTGCGGATCAGCAATTGTCGGTGAAATGCATCTGCGATCCTGTTGAGATTCGTGACTTGCTTTGTGGACTGCCGCCAGTAGTCCAAGACTATAAGCCTCGTTTGGCGATCGCGGAGAGCGATGATTTTATCTGCGCGCTCGTTCAAGCTGTCGGCGACTTCGAGCTCGGATATCCACTTGTCCAGACATTTGCCAGCCAGTACTGTATCGTACGAGACCCGTGCGTTTATATCCTGCAACGCAAAGAACCAGACGCGAAAGTATTTCCTAGCCACCGCTTCCCGCTGCGCCGCAAGCACTGCATCCAGACGTTCTTGGAGCTCAACGGATTTAGACCGCACGGCTTTCATCCGTCCGAACCAGATGTATTTCGTAAACAAGTCGGCCGCGCTCTCGCGGTCATATCCCAGCTGCAGGGATTTTTCTCTCCAGTCTTCGAGATACGACCGCGCGATCCGCTCGTTGTTCAGAGCAATGACCTCGTTCTCGCGTACATCGTACTCGTACAATTTCGTTCTCCAGATTTCAAACGCGTGCGTGGTCAGGATTGACTGGTCGTATTTGACGGCGACGCGTCTGAGCGCGCGGGTGAGGTTGTGGAGGTAGATTGCTTTCGAGTGCCATTTGCGAAGGGTGGGGACGAGGACTGACGAGCGGAGAAAGTCACGGTAGAGGGATTCGAGCTGGGGTTTGCGGTTTTCTATCAGATGGGAGCTTATTTCCTGGAGGAGGTTAGCAGAGATCAGAGAGAGATCAGAGAGAGTAGGGGTAGGTACAAGAAGTAAATTGTTGAATTTCTCAGCCCACGAAGATCCGGGCGCACGGCAGAGCTTGACGACCAGTTTGAAGAAGAAGGTCTCTTTTGAAGTGTCGATTTTTTTGCGACGAAGGACTGTTTCGTAGCTTTTGAAGATTGTGATGAAGCTGTTTGAGTCTACGGTTTCTGTGTCTGTTGCTCTGAGCGCGACTTGGACGATTGACCGCAGGACGTTGATGTCTGGAATGTTAGAGAGCAACAAGAGATAAGCAAAGGCAGAGGTGGTGAGCATACCAGAGACAGAGTAGTTGACGACATGAGAGCTATCGACTTGTTTCTGCAGGACAGGCTGCAGAATCCGTCTGTCGTCGTCGGATAGCTGGTCGATGAGTCTTGAGGGATCGCCGTCAAAGACCGCGAGGTCGGGCAGAGGGCGGGTGAATGACGGATCTGCGTTGAGAGCGGCCTCGAGATGGCCGTCGTCGGTGGAGGAGGCCATGGAGAGGCATGGGGAGATGAGCAGGTCTGATATGAAGACGCGTTTGTTTACTGTTTACACTTTCTACAGAGTAGGAGATTATTACTTTGATGAGGGGTCTGTACTGATATTAGTTCTTTATCAGCGACCCACTCCGTTCTACGTTAAGATAAGAAATGAACAAATAAACTAAAAACAGACAGACAACAACAGCCAATAAACACCGCAGACACCACCCCCGGGCATCAAAACTCGCTGCAAAGAATGCGTGCGATAGGGACAAAACAGGGCAGCGGAGGCAGCCTGTGGAGGGCGCACGTGGTCTGCGGCGCGCAGGAGGTTAAAAGCCGGCCGAGACCCGCGCCGCCTGGCCGGCTGTTCGCACCGCCACATTCACGAGCCACTGCACCGCCACCCAGTCCGCGAGTCCGCCAGCCCGCTGCTCCACTTCCTTCACCGTCGCTGTCTCTGATACTCTCCCTTCACCACATCCGCAGAGCAACATGACCACCTACCAGTCCATCTCTGAGCAGTCGCCTCTGCGCGCAAACACCCAGGACTCGGACGAGATCCCGTACCACAACACGCCGACGGTCGTGGGCACCGTCTTTGGCGAGGAGTACGCCTCCTACTCGATGACCGAGAAGGCCGCCTCCCTCATTACAACCAACCGTCGCAAGCGTCCGGTGTTTTCGCTCGCGCTCGGTGCGCTGTTTGCCATTATCGTTGTTACGCTCTCGCTGTCGCTGATCAGAGGATACTCTGACTACTCGGCCTTCCGGGCGACGCACGATATCCCCCGCAGAGTCAATGTGACGGAGATGGTCAGCGGCGAGTACTACTACTCGTACTCCGACTACGGATACTCCAGCACCTCCTACTACCCGTCCGCCACTTATACGTCGTATGCGGTTGAGCCCACCTCATAGAGCTCGATAGAGATCTCTGGCATCTCATAGAGAGCAGGTGTTTTCGTCGTGTTGTCACATTTCTCATTTCTTTCCGAGTCTGGTTGTTTGCTCGCATTGCATACTCTTTTCTTTTGCACACTAATAACGCTTTATGATGTTTTGTTTTGACTGTTTGTTGTACGGCAAGGCTTGAATATACGTAACGAATGAGCCGGTGTTGATGTTTTGATTTTTGATGTCTATTATTGTGTTTTTCTATTATTCATGGGGTAGAGGGTGGAGGAGGTCTTTGGGTTGCCTGGGTGTTATTTCTTATTATTTCTATACTTTATGCTATTTGTAAGAACATATCCTAATCACATTTGTCGTTGTTATGAATAAAGACGAATATGTTTATCTTGAGCCCGTGCAAGGAAGGTAGCGCTCGGGGACGGTCGAGGTGGTCTGGTCTCTTATCGACCTGTCTGAGATGGACAGTGCTTTAATACGAGCATGTTGCTGTAGAAAGAGTAGCAGAGACATTGTATCTGTCTCTGCTACTACAAGCCCAGGAGCTCTACATTAGTATTTTATGAAGATATATCGTGCAGAATACACCCATCGGATGAGAGCAGAGCAGAGCAGACAGAGCGCAGGTGATTGGCGTGAGCCGATAGAAGATAGCAGACACGCGTGCTCGCATCACAGCACGTCTTCGTCATCACCGTTACTCTCAACACGCACTGTGATTTATCAGCGCGTCGTGCATTGTCCTCGCGCCGGGTAACAAACTTCGACGCCACCGGCTTTTTTTCATTTCATTCGGTTTTTGCTCCCAGCGCCTTCTTCACCTCGTCGCGAACAACAATCAGCTCTGGTTCTTTGAGTATCGCAGCAAGTTGAAAGAGCTCACAGACAGACAGGTTTGGAAGAGAAAGTAAAGAGAAAGTGAAGACAGCAGTACCGGATCAGGTCTGTTTCTGTCTGCTCTGCTCTGCTTTGTCTGTCTGCTCTACTCTACTCCGTCGCGATGGTCCTTCTTCTTCTTCGCCAGCCGGCAGACCAGAAATCGCACATTGCGAATCTCCCTCAGGCAGTCGAGGTTGATCGCGAGGAATCGTCGGTCGATGATCTCGTCAAAGCGATCCAGTCCTCGACGCATCTCGCTCCCTCGCGTCTCCGTCTCTTTCTGGCATCGTCCAAGACCGCGCTGGTGCCAAATTCCCCACTGAACGCCTACGACATGCACGACGGCACCCGCGTCGTCGTCAAAGATCTCGGGCCGCAGATCAGTCGGCGCACGTTACTCATGACAGCATACTCGGGCCCGGTCGTCATCCATCTCTTGTTCTTCTACTGCCAGACGCTCTTTTACGGCACGAAATTTCAGCACTCGGCCTCGCAGTTTCTCGCCTTCACGCTCATCACCCTTCATTTTGCCAAACGCGTATTCGAAACGCTCTTTGTCCATGTATTTTATCGCATCACGGTCTCGTTCTACTCCATTTATGTCTACATCTTGCATTACTGGGTCTTGTCTGGAGTTTTCATGGCGTACTACATTTACTATCCCACCTGTCTGCCCGTGCAGTACTCGACCTCGGCCATCGACCACGCCGCCAGCAACCTCGCCGCGTGCTCGTCTTCGGTCTCGCTCATGTCATCCACCGCAGAGTCGGAAGAGACCAGCCTCTACTTTCTCTCCGCGGTCTGGATCTTTGCCGAACTGTCGAATTTCGAAACCCATCTCATCATCGCAAACATGCGTCTGCGCTTCCCGCGTCAGGCCGCGACCGCGCGAAGCATGATTGCCCGGCGCGCGCGCACGGCAAACGCGCGTCTGCTCGGCCTGCGCTCGCTCTCGTCCGCGTCCCATTTTGCATCCTCGATGGCGCGCAGGTTCCCAAAGGGCTACGGCTTTGACTGGGTGTCGTGCCCAAACTATTTCTTTGAACTGCTGGCGTGGACGATGATCACGCTCATCACGCGCAGCTTCGCGTCGCTGCTGTTTTTAGTTGCGTCTGCCATGCAGATGTGGCGGAAGGCGGCGAGGAAGCACGAGATGTACAAGAAAGAGTTTGGCGCAGAATACCCCAAGTACCGAAAAGTTTTGATTCCGTTTATAAAATGAGTTATTGTTTGGTCTATACACGCTACTTTGAGCTTTTGGTGTTTGTCTGTTTATATATGTCGATATCCTGTAATTATAGTCCTAATACGATGCATATTTCCTTAAACTTGCGTACTCTGCAGCAGAGCGAGGGTTTGGGTTGAGGCATGGACGCACCGACGTGTCTGCCGCAGCGTCGCAGCTCTTTGGTCCCTTCCTCACCGCCGTCGTCAGCTCCTCTTCACCACCTTCTTCTTCTTCTTCTTGATCTCTGATTATTCTACAAACATCCCAATGCTGCTCCTCTCGCGGCCGTTTGTGCCCGTCCTCACCCTCCTCCTCCTCCTCGTCGCCCCCGTCCGCGCCTTCTACCTCCCCGGCGTCGCTCCAACCGACTACGAGGAGAACGACCCCGTCCCCCTCCTCGTCAACTCCCTCACCCCCACAATCGACTCCGAATCGCCTCAATTGCAGAGCGTTCTTTCATATGACTACTACCATCCCGCATTCCACTTCTGCCGGCCTCATGGCGGTAAGTCGCCTTCTTTGCCTTGCTCTCTCCCCTCCCTCCTCCCCCATCTCTCTCCGCTAACCACTACCACCCCCCGATCCAGGCCCCAAGAAGCAAGCAGAGTCCCTCGGCGCCATCCTCTTCGGTGACCGCATTTTCAACTCTCCCTTCGACCTGCGCATGCTCAAAAACGACACCTGCAAGACCCTCTGCACCCAGAACTTTGAACCCCGCGCCGCCAAATTCGTCAACCGCCGCATTCGTCAGGACTACCAGCTCAACTGGCTGATCGACGGCCTGCCCGCCGCCCGCGTCAAGTACGACGAGGGCACGCACTCCAAGTTCTACTCCGTCGGCTTCGAGCTCGGCACCATCGACGACTCGGAGGACAAGAACCCCTACCTCTCCAACCACTACGACATCTTTGTCGAGTACCACGAAACCCGGGCGGGCAAGTTCCGCGTCGTCGGCGTCGTCGTCCAGCCCTCGTCGCGCCGGACGACTATCGACGACGCCGGTGTGGTCCAGAACTGCAACGTCGGGGACAAGCTGATGCTCAACCGCGACATCGACACCAAAGTCACCTTCACCTACTCGGTCTTCTGGACTCCCTCCGCCACCCCTTGGGCCACCCGTTGGGATAAGTACCTGCACGTCTACGATCCGCGCATCCACTGGTTCTCGCTCATCAACTCGTCGATCGTCGTCATCTTCCTCACCGGCATGGTCGGCATGATCCTCCTGCGCACCCTCCACAAGGACATTGCGCGCTACAACCAGCTCGACCTCGACGAAGACGTCCAGGAAGACTCGGGCTGGAAACTCGTCCACGGCGACGTCTTCCGCACCCCCGAGTACCCGCTCGCCCTCTCCGTCTTGATCGGCTCCGGTGCCCAGCTCTTCGTCATGACCGGCACCACCATCGTCTTTGCCTTGCTCGGCTTCCTCTCTCCTTCCAGCCGTGGCGCGCTCGCCACCGTCGTCATCGTGCTCTACACCTTGTTTGGCTTCTTTGGCGGCTACGTCTCCTCGCGTGCCTACAAGACCTTTGGCGGAGAAGCCTGGAAGCTGAATGTGATTGCCACCCCGCTCGTTGTTCCCGGAATCGTCTTCACCATCTTCATCTTCCTCAACTTCTTCCTCATTGGCGTGCAGTCCTCCGGCGCTGTTCCTGTCGGCACTATGATCGCCCTCGTCGTGATCTGGTTCGTGATCTCTGTCCCGCTGTCGGCCGCGGGCTCGTACTTTGGCTTCAAGGCGCCCGCGCTCGACCCGCCCGTGCGGACGAACCAGATCCCGCGCCAGATCCCGGATCAGCCGGTGTACCTGCGCTGGGTGCCAAGTATGCTTTTGGCAGGAATCCTGCCGTTCGGCGCGATCTTTGTCGAGCTGTACTTCATCATGAACTCGATCTGGTTCCACAAGGTGTACTACATGTTTGGCTTTTTGTTTGTGTGCTATGTGGTGATGATCCTCACGTGCTCGACCGTCACGATCCTGATCACGTACTTTTTGCTGTGCTCCGAGAACTACCACTGGCAATGGCGCAGTTTCTTCACCGCGGGCGCGAGCGCGATCTTTGTGCTCCTGCACGCGGTCATGTACTGGATCTCGAAGCTGTCGCTGGGCGGCGTGGTCAGCAACGTGCTCTATCTTGGCTACAGCTTGCTGCTCTCGTTCCTGGTCTTTGTGCTCATGGGCACTATCGGCTTTGTCTCGAGTTATTTCTTTGTGCGGCAGATTTATCAGTCGATCAAGATCGACTAGAGTTGCTATCAGAACAAGAGAAATCAAACAAAAAGAAAAAAAAGAAGGACACCACAGGCAAAAGAACAAGAACAAGGACGAAGCAAAGATAGATGATGGCTGGACAGATAGCACTACATGTCTAAACAATACTCTGTACTCTTTTTGTATGCTAGGGGATTATGAAGAGGATTGATCCTACTCTTTTTTTATATATATTCTTCGAATTCGCTCACTTTTTAATGTCGAGAGATATTTTCTGAATCTATTTGTATAGGTTATTGATACATACTGGAGAGATTTATTGTAGTCTTGTGTTTGGATCAATATAGTATTTGATTGCACTGCAGCAATAGTTTTCTTGTAGTTTAAGAGTCTACATGATTATGAGAACAGACCGTAACTTTTATTAACCAATAACAATGTACAAAACACTAAGGAGTATAAATGAATTGTTTAGTAAATACGGTAGCTGGGACCCATGGTGCTCTTGATGGTGAGCGAACCGACGTTCTGCCAGTTCTTCTTCAACAAAGAGACCAAGAAGTTGGAAGCAATCATGATGTTAGTCACGAGCTGATCCTCCTCCATGCCAACGTTTCCGACAGCGACAGCCAAGCAGAGAACCTTCTTGAGCTGGAACTTGATGGTCGAGCGGACCTCGGTGATCTTTCCGTACAAGTCATCGGAGTGCGAGACGGGGGTAGGGAACTTTCCGGCCTTGGAGAGCTGGGGTCCGAGAAGACGGGGGACCTGCTTGATGAGAACCTCGGAGGCGATGAAGGCGTTGTACTTCTTGGCGAGCTTCTTGATGAGCTTCTTGTTCTTGTTGAGCTTCTTAAGATCCTCAACAGACATGGCGTCGACACCAATGTGCTTAGCACGGTCGACGTCGTGGGCATCACCAAAGACGCAGATGGTCATGTTGGGACGGGGGACGGCAGGAAGCTTGACGGTACCCGAGAAACGCTTGTCTCTGAACAGATGTTAGTATTCTATATTGCACATAAACCTGTAGACAAAGAGTAAGATCTCACCTCTGGGTATCGTAGTTCTTCAAGCCGACCTGGAGCTCGACAGTCTCCAAGAAGTTACGCTTCTTGGTGTTCTCAGAGTAATCCAAGAGCTCCTGGACAGTTCCGCGGACTCCGGCGACGGTGATCTTGCTCATTTTGAATTAGAGTAGAAAGAAATACAATGAATAGATTCGATTAATCCGTCTCCCAAGCGATGGTTTGATCGTTTGGTAATTCCGTGGGGTTTGCTGAGGGCGGTGAGAATCTGGCGTCGGCGTAGCAGAAAGTAGAGATTCTTCGTGGTTGTCCCAGGGCGCGCGGCTCATCCCAAAGAGGAAGAAGCAGTCACACTTAAGAAAGCGCATAACCCTAAGCACATAGCCCTAATGTGGCGCACAGAAAGGGGCTGGTGACCAGGTGCATGTGCATGTGGCTGGTGGTGCGGCTCGCGTTTTGGCCACGCCGCTTGTTTTTGGTCGTCGGCCGGCGCGTCTCCCCGCAGCCTGCACCGCGTCGATATCAACTTCACGAGTTTGTCGGCTGATATTCAATCAGAACTGGTGGTTGTTCTATATTCTTCTGTTTATTCCCTTGTTCACACAGATATCATCTCCAAAATGTCGATACGCGGAACTGCCTCTCGCCAGTTCCACTCCATGCCAATCTCCATCTCCTCGAGAGCTCCCCCGATGGCTTCCACCGCTGATCCGTCTCCGCTCGAGACCCTCCGTCGCCAGACTACGCGCATAGAGGAGCTCCTCGACTCAGTCTCGGGCCCCGTCAAACCATACGTGCCTGCCATCGGCCGCTTCCTCATCGTCGCGACCTTCATCGAAGACGCGTTCCGGATCATGTCTCAGTGGTCCGACCAGGTCTTCTATCTCTACTCGTACCGCCATATCCCTCGCTTCATCGTCATCATCTTCCTCTTCTGCAACATCGTCGCCATGCTCGCCGGATCCTTCTGCGTCATCACCCGCAAGTACACAATCTACGCCGTCGGCGCGCTCGTCGGCGTCGTCGTCTCCCAGGCAGTCGGCTACGGCCTGATCTTCGAGCTCAAGTTCTTCCTCCGTAATCTCTCCGTCATCGGCGGCCTCTTGCTCGTTCTCTCAGACACCTTCTCGCAGCGCCGTATGACCTTCGCCGGCCTGCCAAACATGGACCAGAAGGACAAGCAAATGTACTTCCTCCTCGCCGGCCGCGTCCTCCTCATCTTCCTCTTCCTCGGCTTCGTCGTCTCCGGCGGCTGGACTCTCGGTCGTCTCTTTATCTCGGCTGTTGGACTTGTCGCTTGCGTTATGGTCGTTGTCGGATTCAAAACCAAGCTCAGCGCTATGTTTCTCGTTCTCCTGCTCAGCATCTTCAACATCTGTATCAATCACTACTGGACCGTATGTTTGTCTTTGCTCTACTACTTTTGAACATTCCAGCTGATTCTTAAATGTCCACAATAGTACTCGAGCAGCCACCCTAACCGAGATTTCTTGAAATACGAGGTACGGCCACCAGATCCCGTCTTGGGAATTAGTCCGAGCTAACATTACTATCACAGTACTTCCAAACATTGTCCATCGTCGGCGGACTTCTTCTAGTCGTCAATGCCGGTGCCGGAAAGCTAAGCATCGACGAGAAGAAAAAGGTCTGAACAATCCCAATTGTCCCATCTCTTCATCTATTAGCCGTCTACTAACACTTTGGACAGATCTACTAAGTCGGCTGCCGCAAATGGCAGACATTAGGACAAGCTGCGGACCGGCATTTCCATACAAAAAGAAACAATCAAGAAGCTCGAGTACATTGTGCCCTGTATATAATATGCGAGCCAATCTTCTACAATACTGTGGGGTGTCAGTTCACCACATCTAGCCGAAACATAAAAAAGAGAGAATAACAAGCATCACAAACCGGCATCGACTGGGGTGTCGGTAGTGGGATGTCGCGCATAATTGTCTGGAGGGATGTCTGGAGGGAAACACTTTGTGATTTATGACTTAATGAGTTTAGTTTGAGCTTTGTGTCTATATCTTTTAGGAAAGAATATAAATGATCTACCTCTGTAGATGGAGCGATGACTGCGGAATGATGGCGCGAAGGAGGTGTGGACAACTGAGCAGCGGAGTTCTCCTCATCGAATCTATTGTTCAGTATCAATTGAGGATCATGTACTTTGCTTCTGCTTTGAGAGCCAGTAGGTTATGAAAATGTGTAGGAAACAAGATATCGCAGCAACATACTGACGACCTGCAAAACCCTACTTTTAGTCGACATGTAAATACCCTAAAGCACCCCGCCCTACTCCTCCAATTCTCGTCCAGCACCTCTGTTCGGAACATTTATCTTCACTTAGTCGGCGCTCAGTGTTGCTGTAATCATACACAACCTGAATGGCTAAGGCGGTCGTCGCTGGTTCGGCCGGCGAACCAGCTACTTACTCGTCTCTAGCCTCTTCTCGATCTAATGCTGAATCAACATCCAGATCAACACCCTCCCCACAGGCAAAGATCGCGCGTCCGTACTCAGCTGGGAAACATGAGACGATCTGGAATCTCTGCGCGGCAGGCACAGCGGTTACTATCTTGGCTTTGATTCTTTACTCGGTTTTCAACCTACAGCTTGATACCAAGGGATGCCGCCCGATCTTCATGGCTCCGTCATACACGCTTCTCAAGGACTTCAATACCTCGCACTCGCGACTCGCATCGAAATACTCCCTCTACTTGTACCGAGAGATGGGATATCCTTCGCCGGCTGAGGTACGCAAATCTCTATATTCTCTCTATCACGTTTTTACTAAGATCTCACCCTTTCCAGCTCGATGGAGTTCCCGTCCTGTTCATTCCCGGTAACGCAGGAAGCTACCGACAAGCCAGATCAATTGCTGCCGAAGCGACACGCGTCTACTTTGACACTCTGAATGAGAAGGGAACTTATGGTGGAGAGAATTCTCGACATCTGGACTTTTTCACTGCAGATTTCAACGAAGATTTCACTGCGTTCCATGGAGTCACTTTGCTGGATCAGGCAGACTATCTCAACGATGCTGTTTCCTACATTCTATCATTATACTCTGCAAATCATGACAGCAACAGACAATTCGTTCCGTCATCGGTTATCGTCTTGGGTCACTCAATGGGTGGCATTGTCGCCAGGACAATGTTGACTTTACCAAACTATAGAGAAGACTCGATGAATACAATCATAACTCTATCGACTCCGCACGCTGTTGTACCCGCAACTTTTGATTCCGAAATGGTCAAGCTCTATGAGAAAGTCAACAAGTACTGGCGTGACTCATTCACAAAGTCCTCGAGTGGCCAAAACCCTCTCTCGTCAATCGCACTAATCTCAATTGCTGGTGGGAAGCTCGATGATACAGTACCCTCGGACTACGCCAGTGTGTCTTCATTCCTGCCGCCGACGAACGGCTTCACCGTTTTCACTTCGTCGATTCCAAATGTATGGACTGGAATTGATCATCTGGCGATCGTATGGTGCGACCAGTGCCGAAAGGCTATCGCGAAAGCTCTCCTTGCTATCGTCGATACTAAAATGCCTGGCCAGACCAAAGACTTGGAGACTAGGCTTCATATCTTTCGGGAGAGGTTCTTGACTGGCTTAGAAGCGTCTGCTGTCCAACAAGAGCCTCCATTGTATGATGTTTCTTTGCTGCTGTCTGGAGCTTCTATATCTGATCGGCTACGTAAAGGTAATCGCGCGATGCTGAGGCGTGCTGAAGAACAGTCATGGGTCTTTTCAATTCCTGCAGACTCTCAAGCGAGCCATCTGAGGCTCTTGACCGATGGAACCATAAGCTCGGCTGAAGATGAAGACCAAATCAGCATTCTGCTCTGCAGAGCACAGTCACAGAACCCCCAGCAATCGCAGTACAGAGTGAAAATGAGCATTGGTGAAGGAGATGATGTGTTGCCGTTGACTTGTGCGGACTTGCAGTATTCCACAGCTATCCTCCCTGCTTCTACTATAAAGTCCAAGTACTCTTACGACGGACCAACATTCTCATACATCAATCATAATCGAACAGACCTTTCGCAATCCGAATATCTCGTTGTATTGGACTATCGCTCCTCTTTCAAGAGTGAAGAATTCATATTTACAGAACTTGCAAACAGCAGAGCTCAAACATACGAGCTGGATCCCGGATCACTGAGTGAGTATCTTTAATTTCCTTGACTAAGACTGAACTAAGACATTATCGTCAGACAACTTCCTTAATGGTTCCAAACTGGACTTGGAGACAAGTAGTGGCAGCTTTCATGAGATTAAGATCAACGGAGCTAGTTCATCACTGATTTCATACAAACTCTCCTTGCTCTCTGATCCGCGCTGTGATTACTCGGCCACATTCTCACCGCTGCTCCGTCAGTTTATTGAGGATCCTTATGAATCAAAATATTTTCCAAACGTCAAGGATAAGGAGTTGAGCTTCCATGGATTAGCGCCGTTTGTGCCAGTGGTTGAGACACAGGGCCAGGATCATGATCTCAGGCTGAATATCTGGCTTGATCCGACTTGTCCATCGACAATTCAAGTGCGCGTCAAGGTTGATGTATTGGGGAGTTTAGGGAATCTTGTCATGCGGTATAGAACCGCTTTGGCATCGTTCCCTTTAGCGATTGCTGCGGTGATCCTCCTGATTCAATTTAGGATTTACAATAACACAGGTTAGTGTTCAAAGTCGACTTGAAGATGATGTTTTGCTGACAGTTCTTAGGTGTGTTTGTGACGTTTGGAGATGCGCTGTACGTTTACTTGCAAAAGTATGCTGTCTTCGGGATGATCATATCAGCTTTATTGCCTTTCGTGTTTGATAGACTACCACACCAATCTGCACTTTTATTCAAAAACTCCGGGTACGGCGAGGCTGATGTGATTCAAAGGAACCTGAAAGAGGCGACTCTTTACCTTGGCTCTTATGATCTTTCCATGTCTTTGCTGGGACCGCTGTTTGTGGTTATTTCCTCGGGACTCAATGCAGGACTGTACTACGCAGTTCTTTGTTGTCTTTACATATCGTCGAAGCTCGTTGGTCTGATTAGGAAAAAACGGGAGGAGTTGCTTCCGCGGCCGTGGACGAGTGCTGTCATTAGATTGCTGGCACAGTCGACCTTAGTGGTGGCATATGCGCCATATCAGCTAGCGTTTGTGATTTCTCTTCTTGTACATTGCTGGACTTGCATCAAAGCCTTCCGCCTTCGAGGCGGACCTGGTACTCTGGCTGCCACCAACTTCCCCAAATTTGCTATTTCAATCTTGGTTCTTCTGCTCTGGCTTCTTCCAATCAATGTTCCAATCTTGGTGGTCTGGATCCACGGACTTCCGATGCAGTGGACCACACCGTTTTCTTCAGATCACAACCCCCTGTACACTCTACCTATCTCGATGATGGTGGAAATACTGGCAGCATCTAGACTGGTACCCCCGACAGGCAAGCCGTTCTCGACGGTTACGTCGTGTATCTTGATTTTCCTGACTGTATTTGCATGTATATATGGAATGATGAGAGCGTATGGGCTGCATGAGATCATCAACGTATTGTGCGGATGGCTCGTTCTATTGTACTTTGTGTCGGATGACAGAAGAAGGGTCGGATCGCATACTGGTAGCCACAGTCGGAAAGAATTGTGATATGAGGTATTGTCTAGCTTTCATTTGTATATACAGTAAAACAGCTGCGAAAGCGAGCAATAAAATCATGTCACCGATTAACAGGAATAAGTGCGATAGATGGTAGATTTGATCCCTCAGATTCAGTCAACGATTTTTTTCCCCTGGCCTTCTTTGGCTTCTGAGTTATCTGCACGACAGTAAGCCCGCTCAGGAGTTTCTCTGCCGCAGCATTCCAAATCATCTGCTGTATGCGCCCACCCTCGTCATAACTAGTCACCAAACAGAACGACATCGGTCGAGCAGACGACAGCATCGCCCGCTTCGCTGCATCGGTAACAGGCAATCTCGCAGCCAGCACAGCGAGCGTGTTTGCGCTCGAGTTTGCCGACGCTCCCTCAAGCTCGCGGATGTGTCGCGACCCCGGCTTCTTCTTCTCCGACTTGCACTGCACGACCACCGGTATTGTCTTCGTCTCAGCCGAGGCCAGGCGCATTGTTCCGCGCAGGTCGATGCCGAGGTCGCCCGCACCGCCGCATCGTTCGAGTTGCATTCGCGCTGCTGTCTGGAGCGCTTCGAGGGTCGTGTATTCGTATAACGTACCGACGTGGTATGTCGATTCGGGGGACAGGTTTTGAATTTCTGCGTATCGCAGAAAACTGCTCAATGACGAATGTGTGCCTGAGATTGTCGAGTAAGAGCACTTGTGTAGGCACGGAGGACAAAAGTACTGCTGCGGTGTGGATATTTTGCCAACTCTGGCCAGCAGAGTCCGCGCGAAAGCAGAAGCCCGATTTCGGTATGCCATTTCTCAAAGGCCCGCGATATTGCGTCTCAATGCAAACTCAACAACTCGAGCATCCCTCGAACCGCGTAAATACGACTGTTTAAGCAAACACGGTCGAGCTCTCGAGCTGGATTGGGAGACACAAAAACAAGCACCGGGAGCGGATAAGATTGAATTAAGGTTTTTCTTCCCACACTCTGATGAGCCGCGAACCATTAGCTTCCCGAATCGACCGGCGCCAGTTGCAGCAATCCGCCGCCTCGATAACTTCAAGCATCGGCATTCGTGTCTGCATACCTTGCGTATCTACTTATTTGCAGGCTGTGATTGAGATTGTGAGTGTTTGATTGCTGTCTGGGATTGATGATCCGGAACTACCGGCGTTCTTTTATCCTTGTCACTGACCATGACTACCGCAGGCTCGATCTGCTCGACCCAATCCTCGTTCGATCAACGCCATAGAGCACCAACAACAACCTCGCATATTCACTCAAACGCTTATTGCTTGTACATATGGCATCCCTGAGTAGCAACAAGCTTGAGGAGTGGGAGATTGCAAAGTACTGGGAGATCTTCTCGGGCCTGGATCCCCTGAACGGTCTACTTTCTGGAGATCGAGCTGCTGCAGTGCTCAAGAACTCACAGCTAGCTGACGACCAGCTCGAGAGGATTTGGGATCTTGCAGGTAATGAGCTCTTATTTATTGTTCTATCTGCCCGAGAAGGCAGTGGAATGTGCCTGTTTGTGTATGCTTCTGGACACTGGCTGATTTGACTCACGCGCAATAGACGTCGACAGCGATGGAAACCTGGACTTTGAAGAGTTCTGCGTTGCTATGCGGATCATCTTTGATCTTATCAATGGCGTAAGTTGCGAGTCTTTCTTTATTACATTAAAGGCAGGCTGGCTTTACTCACACATGCATCTAAAAACTACAGCGCTACAAATCCGTCCCCAGCTCTCTTCCAGATTGGCTAGTCCCGTCATCAAAGGTGCATCTGCTAGCTGCTAACCGGGCGGTCAAGACCGGAAGCTCTGGGTTCGAACGGGTAGATGACGATGATGACTTGGACGACCAACCTGGACTCACCAATGACTTTGACTGGTACATGTCACCCCAGGATCGTCGAAATTACGAGGCCGTGTATAACGCGAACACGGATCGACATGGACAGATTTCCTGTACGTTTTTGCTTTATATTGTGGAGAAATATCTGTTTGCTCAAATTAACATTATAATGCTCCAGTCGAATCCCTTAGCGAGCTGTACGGAACGCTTAATGTTCCAGAGACCGATATAGCCTCGGCATGGTATGTTGATATTCACCTATCACCAAAAGCTTCCACAAACTAACAATGCTTGCGCTGATCATAAGGAACCTGATAAACCCCCGTTCTGACCGGACGATCGGCAAGGATCAATGCCTAGCATTCCTGCATATCCTAAACAATCGCGACAAAGGAGTCCGCGTGCCTCGTAACGTGCCGCCATCTCTCCGGGCTACTTTCGAGAAGAGCACTGAGATAGACTACGACGTCTCCAACACAAGCTCACCGTCTCAAAGACTTGCGTCTACCAGCACGACGAGTAAAAAATCTGCCTTTGCAGACTCCTATCTCGATCGTCTTGGCATATCCGGTGGCCGCAGCCCTTACTCGTCCTCTGGCACAGACTTTTCGGCGACAAAGGATACAGACTGGGAGGAAGTCCGTCTACGAAGACAATTGACCGAGCTTGAATCGCAATACGAAAAGGCGCAAGCAGCTGCCGAACGTCGAAAGAACGAAGCCAAGCGAAACGCAGACAACTCAAAGATTGGCCTTGTGCGTACGCAGCTCGAGCAGCTCTACGACTACAAACGCCGTCAGTTGAGAAAATTGCGGGCGGGAGAGTCGCTCGATGACGGGTCCTCTGGCGTGGATTTGACGTCCATGAAGCAAGAGATCGAGGTACTGAAGCAGCAGGTTGATATGCTTGAGGATTACTGCAACCGCAAGCAAACTGAGCTAAATCAGCTGTACTCGGAGATTGAGCGCGAAAAGAGTAGTTAGATCGTTTTACTTTAAGTCATTTTGTGTTTGAGTACGTGTGTATGTAGAGTAGGTGAGTGAGTGTGTATTAATGAGAATCGTTCAGTATTCTGTAATGCTAGCGTCTGCTTTCTTTGTACCCAATTACTCATTGCAAGAACCTGCAATAAAGAGACGCAGCGCCACAGCGTCATTAGCCAGTATCTCCTTCTCTCCGAGATTTCCATCATCTTTTTAGCGTAAAAAATCGAAGTAACTATTCGACGTCCGGTAACTCATCGACCTCCTGCGCCTGCTCTCGCGGTGGCGCACTGCTACCCTTAGGTACCGCATGCTCAGGGTTAATAGGTGTCCGGCAGAGCGGACATGAGTCAGATACAACTAGCCACTGTGTGATGCATGGAGGATGGAAAAAATGCTTGCACGGCAGGATCTTAATCATATCAGTGTCAGTATAAGCTTCCATGCAGAGCGGACAGTCCGGAGTCTTTGCGATTTCTTCAGCATGCTCCTTCACGGAGATATTTGGCAGAGCCTGGATTTCTTCCTGTGCCGCGGGCGGAGCTGCGTTCGTAGTGGGAGCCTGCTCCATCAACTGGGAGATGATCTGATCGAGTTGCCGGTCGGAAACGTAATCACCAGGGTTTCCCGGCATATTGAACATTTGAGTCATAAGCATAGACACAAGATCGTTGGCCGCGTTGGGATTAACTTGAGCACCGCGAGTCCCGCCCAGACGTGCCTCGCCTGTAAGCCCCGCAAGCGAATTTTGAAGAAAGCTGAAGCAATGCCGTTAGTAAATAGAGGCCGTATTGTTTATGGGAAAGTGATACGTACTGAATCCACTGGTCTCGGTTCGAAAGTTCTTCCTCTGACTGATCCTCATCGCTGGAGCCGTGCTCTTCGCGATCACCGCTAGTTTGCCTTGTAGTAAGAGGTAAGATTAGCTGCACTGTACACTCCCAGACGGACTGGGGAGAGGGACTGCATACCTAGTTCGGTCAGATTGAGCCGAAGATCGAGTTTGACGTTGGTTGCCTCCAGGTTCTGTTTGTGATGTAGAGGATGTTGGGGAATCTGGCATTGGTTCGGGTACGCCTGGGACGCCATGCCGTAGAAAGCTGTAGATGATATGTCAGTAAGTTTCTAGAGCAAAGTGCAACTAGTCAGAACACGTACTTATCCCACATAGTTGCATTAGCCCTAGGATTAGTCCGTGTAATCTCAGAAGGGCTAACAAGTTCCAGGAGTGAATTTAAGCTGTATCTTCGCTCGGGGTCGTTATCTGAGGTAGGCATCGCACCCCGGTTGCCGTTGTGGCCGTCTGCACCGCTCAATGCCGCGCCGAGATTGATCGTACCGGCATTGCCAGAGAGTCGGTCCATGATTTCCATGAATGATTGTGGACCGTTCCCCCCTCCGAATAGCATATAGCCATCATCGTCGTCATACTCTTCCTCACTTTCGGCATCGCCTTCGTCTTCCTCCTCGAGCTAGACAAAAAGTGGTCTGTTTAGCACGTCAAATCACACCAGAGAACACCTCGAGTCATTTTGATTTACCATTTCGCAAAATTCGGAGTCGCATCGGGGACAGAGCACCGGGAATTCCGGATCAGTCATGTTGAATTCATTGTAGCAGCTGTGGCAGAGGAATAGGATCGGAGGACTATGAGTAGGCCCGTCCGAATGCCTGTCTGTTCCGTCCGCATCTCCTGCATAATGTTGAGTTTCGCTAGACATTGCACAATGCTATCAAGACAACCCAGCTCGGAACCTCCTTATTGATATAATGTACCACCAGTTGGGGTTGGCGTAGGTGGTAGCCGCTATAAGACGCAACGCAACGCTCGCCGACGCGCGGGCGAATGAGTGATTATAGAAAGTAAACAATACAAGCCAGGCGCCTAACTATACCCACAAGTCCCTGGTGAATAAGGACTCACGAAAGCCTGCGGTGACGAAAACAGAGGATCTGCAAGCACACAGATATCGGTTGCCTGGGCCGCTTTCGTAGGTCTGATATTGGGAAGCGGTGGATTTCGGTTGTGTTGGTGCGAGAATAACCTCCAGATGGTGACTAAGGAGTTACTAATATATCTACGCTCCTTGTTCCTTGCTCCCCACTCGAATTGTCGGAAACGATATGTTTTGAGTCAACAGATAAGTAGTAATTCTTATCTTATTACGTTACATGCACCAATGAATATCCGCAAGCTCAAACACAAAACACCAGAGTAAAAAAGTAACCGAACAATATACTATCGAACCCCCCGCGAACTATACCAATACTTTGTGGCGACCGGATTACAATCACCGCCTTCTCGCCGAACCTCTAAGAAGCGATCCAACAAGAACACTACCGACTGCGACAGCGCCACCAATGATCGCCAATCCGACAAGACCGTCTGTTTAAGTATGTCAGCAACGCCCTTGATCTACCTTCATCATAGTTGAAACGTAGCTGGCGATCGGAGATGACTTACCTTTTGCCACTTTATCATCAATGAGCTTGTTCAGGCTTCGTGCTTGCATGTTATTCGGCTCGCGATCAAGTAGTAGGTCGTTGTATCTCTTTGCCTCAACATGATTACCGAGCTTGAAGTTCCCTAGAGCGAGATAATACAAGCACTCTCTTCGTCGTTCCGGTGCGTCGCGGAATATTTCTGTGGCAGATCGTAACAGTCAGTCATCATCAACGTCATTAAAAATATTAGACCTGCACGATATGGGGAGTGCTTACCCGTCAGGAGTCGTACTCCCAAAGCCTGTTCTTCACGCCTGTTGCTCTTCACAAGGCCCCAGGCGTAGTTGAATTTTGTTTGGATAGTGACAAATGGCTCTTCTTTGACATACTGAGTCCTCAGAACATTTAGCTCGTCGCGGCTTAGAGAACTGCAAATTATGAGAGTAATGTCAGCAGACTGGGTTAAATCAGGCAGGATCAAAGCACGAGCAAGCGTAGATGACGGTGACTACTTACACCTCCGCATCCGCGGCATCTGTAGCGAGAACGAGGCAGTTAGCAGGAATCCCAGTATAAATACAAATCATCAGAACAGTACATACATGGTAGATCAGAAGGCATTTATAATGCTGATTGCAAAGCGAACAGAATTCGAAATCTCAGATAAAGATGTGAATGGGTTTCCGGCTCAGATGGATCGCCGCCAGCGACTCTTTAAGCCCGGCTCAGCCTCGTGATGACGTATTGGGCCTTTTCCCTGCCATTTGTGATCACCACGTGACTAAACTCGTGACCCACGCGTCTCCCAAGTAACGCGTCAAGAACCGGGTCTTTATCGACGATTGATTGCTTTGATTGTCTGATATGGAGGGCGAATCTGCAAAGTAAGCATATTTTCACTATTATATCAGCTGGCTTAAGTGAAATCTGGTGTTGGTCTACTTGATTTTGGAGACGTGGCGCAGAAATGTCTACAATACGAGAAATCGATGCATCGTCGGTCCACAGAATCACTTCAGGGCAAGTAGTCATTGATCTATCAACAGCAGCGAAAGAGCTGCTAGAAAATAGTTTGGATGCGCACGCTACTTCTATTGGTAAGTGAACTACGCTATCACGTGCTGGGGGTGCAGCTGGTGTGGTGTTATCTTGCACGTCTTACAGATGCTTATTCTGACTCTTACACAGAGGTTCGATTCAAACAATACGGCCTCGAGTCTATTGAAGTCAGCGACAACGGCGATGGAATTTCCGAAGATGATATGGAAGGCATTGGTGAGCTTGCTTATTGTTTTGCGTGCTACATCATATTCTTCTATTCGCGGGGCTTGAAGAAGATGAACAACTGACATAATCGATAGTCCTAAAACATCATACCTCCAAGCTTCAGCAGTTTGCTGATCTCGAGACCGTCGACACATACGGATTTCGCGGCGAAGCCCTCAACTCCCTATGCGCTGTATGCGCCAAGGTCCGCATAACAACTTGCACGAAAGAAAGCAAGCCCCGAGCCACTCGATTAGAATACGACAGCAATGGGAAGATCGTCTCGAAAACCCGAGTCGCGGGTACCGTTGGCACTACCGTGACTCTTTCAAAGATATTCGAGGGGAAGTTACCCGTACGACGAACAGATTTGGTAAAGAATCATAAACGAGAGTTTGCCAAATGTGTTGCTCTTATACAAGCGTATGGGATCGTTATATTGGGCGTGAAGATTACAGTCACAAATTCGCTACAGAATGGGTATTTTCACCTATGCACCTACTTGATTGAGCCCGTGATGACTCCATTACTTACTATATTATAGAAGGCGAAACGTGTTATTCTCAACAAATGGAAACCCTACGATCGACCGGAATATCATCAATATCTTTGGAGCTCGGCAGTTTTCCGAGCTGCGACCGCTATCTTTCTCATTTGAAATCACACGCAGAAGATCGCTATACTCGCAAGTCAAAGAAGAGCAGTCGGACCTGATCAAAGTAGAAGGGTTTATCTCTAACCCGGCTCCAGGGAGTGGGCGAAGTAGCCAAGACCGGCAGCTGGTGTATATCAACAGTCGTCCATGCGTGTATCCGGGGATTGCAAGGTGCATCAATGAATGCTACAAGCAGTTCAATCCGACTCAGTACCCTCTGTTTGTGGCAAACCTACTGCTGGACCACAAAACTGTCGATGTGAATGTGACGCCTGACAAGCGTACGGTGCTTCTCCACGATGAGGATCAGATAATGGATGGTTTACGGAGAACGTTGCTGGAATTGCTTTCAGAATCAATGACTATGATCAGCTCAAAGACTCAATCAACTTTAATAGATTCAATCGCAAGCTCACCTCCTAGATCCGGTTCATCGATGGCGTACGCAGTGAAATCCGAACCCAGCGATACGAGTTCGGGCTTCGTGCTGCACACCGACTCCCCTGAGCCAGACGCATCTTTGAAGAGCGAGGAATCTGAATCTCGACAAGGATCCGTTTCATTGATGGAAAGGTTTTCGTCGGAAGGAAGGAGTTCTGAACCTCAGACGCCCATGCTTCGAAATAGTGCAGTGTCGCGCAAACGAAAGCGCGGATCAAGTTCTACTAAATCTACAGAGGCGGGGAGATCTGGAATCAGTTTGATCCAGAGATTTTCGGCTACGAAGACTGATCTTGGTGATGGTGATGGTGATGAGGAATTGGAGGATAGTTTGATGTCGATTGGCTCTATTGCAGACAAGGAGGATGAGTCGGATGTTGCACTCGATAACGAAATGACTGATACACTGGTGACTACAGACACAACGCACGAGAAGACTTTCTTGGCTGAGATAGCAGACAGAGAGGGGAATACAGAAGCAGAGGAAGAAGAGGAGGAAGAAGAGGAGGAAGAGGAAGAAGAAGAGGAGGAGGAAGAGGAGGAAAAAGATGAAGAGCAAGAAGAGAAGGTGGCGGTGGAGATGAAAAAGAAGGATGCTGGGGCGCGATTAAAGGTTCAGACTATCGTCGCGTCAGATCTTCGTCAGACTGGAGAGGATGAGTCTACATCTGAACAGGTTTTACCTCCAGTTGCGTCGCATGATTACGAGACAGAAAGCAATGAAGTCTCGACCGAATCTATCACAGACTACAAGACGAGCCGGGGGAGCGTGCAATCTACACATAACTTATCTGTGGAATTAGAAGTATCGCTTGATGCAATCATTGCTCAGAGCAAATTGCTGAGGACAGCTGCGTCAGCGAAGAGCGAGAAAGGACAAACGCTACAAGTGGAAGTCGACGAGGGCGAGTACCATCTGCAAGCTCTTAATATATCAAAGACAGATTTTGCGAGGATGTCGATTATTGGGCAGTTTAATTTGGGATTTATCATTGCCAGGCGGGTCGAGGCCTCCGGAAAGGGTGGCGACGACAGTGATGATTTGTTTATCATCGACCAGCATGCGAGCGATGAGAAATATAATTTTGAGCGACTGCAGAGAGAGACTACGATAGGCCGGCAACCTTTGGCAGTGTATGTTGCTTCAGAATGCTGGATATGTGCGGGAATTTGCTAACTTTTGTTTTTGTCCACCAGACCTAAGCCTTTGTCACTCACTCCTCTCGAGGAGCTTCAAGTTATCTCTAATCTCTCGGTATTTTCAGACAACGGGTTTGGACTGAAGATAGACGAGGGAAGTGAGCCAGGACGGAAATGCTCACTGACTGCGGTACCAGCGATTATGTCTAAAACGCTGGGTACTGAAGATTTTATGGAGCTTTTACATGCAGTGAGCGAATATCCCGGAACAACGGTTCGCTGCTCTAAGATTCGGCAAGCATTTGCGATGAAAGCTTGCAGGAGTAGTGTGATGATTGGTACAGGGTTGGAGATTGACAAGATGCGAAAGATCGTTAGAGATCTGGGTACGTTGGATAAGCCATGGGTAAGATACACTGATTTCTGCTGATGAGTTTGATCAACTGTGTTGCTAATCGTGCTGTGTAGAACTGTCCTCATGGCCGACCTACTATGCGTCATTTGACTAGGATTGGGAAATGGAAAGGGTGGGATTTGGATTTGAGCTAACCCTAAGAATACAGATTGATTGAGAGCAAAGATAATCCACAGTGTTAAGCAAGAAGAGAACGCCAAAAATATCCTAATACATAATTTCTACCTAGACCAGCTTGAATTACATCATACTCCAGAGGTGATTTGCGATGAAGAAGTTTGAGTAGGACTTGTCCATGTTTAGGACATGCATGTCGTTGCTCTCTTGCGACCTGACGACTGCTTTGCTGTAGCCGCCGATGTCGTCACTTTCAAGGCTAACGCCTAGTGATCTGTAGACCTTGAGGAGTAATCTGCATTGTTATAGAACATTAGCATAGCTCCCACGAACCAGAGCAGAGCGGAAGAATAAACACTCACATGGTCGAGTCCTGCTGAGCACTACTCTCAGACGCCAAAACATCTTCGCTTCGCAGTTTCTCCAAGTCATTGTTTAACCGAGCCAGAGTGGTCTCACTGGAATGATAAGCAGACTCCAGCTCATTGATGGTTTTAGCAAGTGCAAATTTCTCGCGGTCGAGAGCAAGCATTCGCTCGGTGTGGTTTCTCTTGGAAGGCGAGGACAGCGATGTAACTGCTGACTTTGCGAGTTCGGTTCTCCGGGATAGGGCTGTATACAAGTTATCAATGAGTATATGTAGAAATAAAGTGGTGTAAAAGCAGAGCTAGATAGTACCTCGCAGAAGTTCCATTTGCTGGTCGCGCTCGAGTTCACGAGCAGCTTTGAGAATGCGGATGTGGTCGCTGATGCGTGAGACAGCTTGCACATCAGGAGCGATTTGGAAGTTTGCGGCGGTGGACGCCACCAGCGTCGACATTTTATCTGACGGCATGATTGTATAGAAATGTTTAGAGAGGATGGAAGAGAGACGGTTGGGAACAAGACAGAGAGACGAGGAGAGGAAGACGAAGGAGTCGTGGTTTGTTTATTTTGTTTGTTTACATGCGGCGCTCTGGGAGGTTGTGCTTGGATACGGCGCGCCGGGTAAAAGAAGGCGACCTCGCGCGACGCCGTCGGATGTCTGTCAATGGAAGCACGCACAGTGGGATCAACACGTGACCGGGAATCAGATCCCAGCACAGTGCGAATGAGGGATGCTGGGCGGGGAGAGGGAGCGAGGCGGAGGGGAAGAGCGAAGAGCGGCCGCGGGACAGGCGTCTGGTTGACCGGGCAACGGCTATTTAATTCAGCTATTTTATTCGCATTTTCTTTATTTTCTGCTCTGCGCTGGATCCCACGCGGCCGGACTCCAAACAGCCGTTGTTGGCCGGCAGAGCAGCTGCGTTATTCTGGTGCGATTTGCGCGGGCGGCTGCGGGGGAAGCGCAGAAAGCAGAAATGCCGTCACCCAGACTCAACGAAAATCTCACCAGACTTCCGCTCGTCCTTCTCGCGCACCACTTCACCACCGCCGTAGCCGCCTTTGTTCAGTGTTCCTCCTCCCGCAGCTATTCTCCTGCTTCTTTCTTATCCGCTGCAATGGGCGCATACTCCTTTCATGTCGAGAACGTCCAGATCTGCGTGGTCATGTGAGTGCATAGCCTGTACCCGAAACCGCACTTCTTCCTGCTAACCACTGCCTTTTGTCCTCCAGGGTCGGTCTGCCTGCTCGCGGCAAATCTCTAATAGCACAGAAGAGTGAGTCTTCTTTTTGTCTTTTATCAATATCCTAGCTTTGTTATTAACTCTTCTCTACAGTCGTTCGATACCTCACCTGGCTCTCAGTCAAAGCAAAATGCTTCAACGTCGGCAACTACAGACGGATCGAGACCGCGCACCCGACCGCAGACTTCTTCGACGTCAACAACAGCGAAGGCGAGCGTCTGCGCAAAATGGCCGCCGAGGCTGCCACCGCCGACATGTTTAGGTGGTTCGACCAGGAAAAAGGCGTTGTCGCGATCCTGGACGCCACAAACACCACAAAGGCCAGACGCGACTGGGTCCTCAACCTGTGCCGGAAACGCAACATCGAGCCGCTGTTTGTCGAGAGCTGGTGCGATGACGAAGACCTTATTCTCCAAAACATCATTGACGTCAAAACAACGAGTCCGGATTATGTCGGTCAAGATCCCGAGCAGGCTGCTCTAGACTTCCGGAATCGGATACGCAACTACGAGAAAGTTTACGAGACCATCTCTGAGCGTGAGCTGACTTATGTGAAGCTCATCAATGTCGGATCCCAGGTCATAATCAATCGCATCCAGTCCTATCTAGAGTCTCGGATCGTATACTATCTCATGAATCTGCACATCAAACCTAGATGCATCTGGCTCAGTCGACACGGCGAGTCAGTATTCAACGTGGAGGGGAAAATCGGCGGAGACTCGGACCTCTCTCCCCGTGGTCGCGAATATGCGCGTCAGCTGCCCGGGCTCACCAAGAGCTCTGTGGGCGACCAGCCGCTCACAGTGTGGACCTCTACTCTGAAACGAACACAGCAAACTGCGAAATATCTACCATACAGACAATTGACGTGGAAGGCTCTGGACGAGCTCGACGGTGGACAATGCGACGGCCTGACTTACGAAGAGATTGAGGAGCGATACCCTGAGGATTTTGCTGCTCGAGATGCAGACAAATATGAGGTAATTCTGCTCGAGTATAGTATTTACTCGTGATAGCTGCTGACGATCATCGATCTAGTACCGATACCCTGGTGGTGAATCGTACCGAGACGTAGTCATCCGGCTTGAGCCTATTATAATGGAGTTAGAGCGACAAGAAAACATCATGATTGTGACCCATCAAGCAGTTTTGCGCTGTATATACGCCTATTTCATGAACGTGCCGCAAGATCAGAGCCCTTGGATGGAAGTGCCGTTGCACACCCTGAGTATGCTATCCCAAGTCAAGCAGTCTTATCTTACCATGCATACTTACATATTCTCTCTTTAGTCAAATTGGAGCCAAAGGCATACGGAACCGAGGTGACCAGGTAAGCTGATAACCAGTACCACCTCACTTCTCTACAATACTGACAGATGTTCGTGTCTAGAATCAAAGCCAACATCCCGGCCGTCAGTACATACCGCGAGAAGGGACAGTCAGCGCTGAAGAAGTAATCCCGACTCGGACCAGAATACAGCAGCAGTACATAAACTAAATACAAATATCTCTCCCTATTTTCTGAACAACAAACAGTCGAGGCTCCCCGCCGCGCCCCACGTGACGCGATGCGCAGTGCCCTTCCCCGCAAGCACACAGTGGTTAAGCTTTAACATGACAAACCTTAATGCACCTGACTCGGAGCCGTGCTCTTCATTTGCATGTGAAAGACCAGCCGACCGCCTCCTGTTGTCTGCAGCACACCGCCTGAGCTGAGAACCCAGCAAGCCAGAACCAAAGTGAAAGCTATCTGAATGATTGGTGGGTAGTTCTATGATATCTACTGCAGTCTAGTTAATACACTAGAGCGGTAGTTGTCGTCGTCACCAGCTAACATCTCCTCCAGATCATCTCATCGGCCGCCCGTCTCCGAGTCTCAAAAAGGCCCAGGTACTCTTAGTATCGACCTTCTGGGTTCTTTACTTAATTAGAGGCCCGCGTCATGGACCTTTGGTAGCAAAGTCGATCAGCAAGTTCTTGACCGAGCACGCGTCGGCGTGGCAGGTCCATGTACTCACCATGACTGGTTTGTACGTGCTCAAGAACCTAGACAAGATCCTGAATTTGCAGTCGCCTGAACCACTCGCCGATATCGTGAGTTATACTCGTCGGATTTATACTATATACTCGCGTTTATAGCTAGTTTATGCTAATACCTTGTTTGAATGTAATAGTACAGTCCATCGTTCTTCCGCGCGACGTGGATCTTGACTGCTCTTGACGCGGGATTTTGGACAGCGATGCCTATTCGGCCCAAGCCCATCCGTGACATTGCAAGTCTCTGCTTCAGCATCTACTACCTCATATTTGCTGATCAGGCCGACGAGAAAGTGAGTATTTCTAGTGTTTTCTGGCTGCTTAAGCACACTCTGACTGTCTTTCGACTTCTAGGTGAGAAAAGTGAGAGCTACCGTCACTGCAGAACATCTGCGGATATCTTGGGAAAAAGCGACCTCGACATACCTCCGACTTGGCCGACTATTTACAACCCCGCGGATCCAAGTACTAAAAGGCTTTGAGATTGCCAGGCCGCCCGGCAGTCCCTATCACTCAAGAATCAAGGCGTTTCTGTACTACGACGGACCTCGGGGTTCGTTCAAGCAGCACGACAAGATATTGCTCAGTTTTCCCGGTGGCGGGTTTGTGAGCATGACTCCGCGCCACCATGACGACTCGCTCTGTAGTTGGGCTAAGCGTTTGAAGATCCCGATCGTCAGCATAAACTACGGGTATGTCATGCTGAGCCAGAGGTTAAGATATTCGATAGTCTTGCTAATCTTTACTGTCGCGTTTAGGAAAGCACCAGAGTACCCATATCCATACGGACTAGATGAATGCTATGACGCGTACCTCGAGATTATCAGAACAAGGGGCCGCTGCATTGGACTGTCAGGGCACTCAGATCTTCAGATAGTCTTGATTGGTGATTCTGCGTAAGCGACTCTACTGCTGCCAACACCAAGAATGATGCTAACAGTATTTGTATGAACAGAGGCGGTAACCTGGTTGCGGGTACGATTCTGAAGCTATTGACGAATGCAGCGCATCCACCGCTGCCGTTGTCGGTGCTTTTGATTTATCCTGCTCTTGACTTGAACTTTACGTAAGTTGTGCTGTTTGCTGGAGTTAGATGAAGGATAGATAGTCTAACAGAGTGAGAAATAGGTCGTGGATGTCTGATGAGCAGGTTCGACTGCTCAGACAGGAAAGTGTGCATGAGCTGCATAGTCCTGGCTTGATGAAGCGAAAGGAGAGCATGTATCCAGGCATGAGCGGTCGTTACCGGATCGAGCATGAGGCCAGAGATATTGATGAGTTCCAGCTGCCGAACAGTATTGACCACGACATGTCGTCGACAAGTGCACATTTTGCAGGGTCGAGTAATCTGCACAACAAGTCGTATAACGATCTGACGGGAAGACCGGCGCTCGAGCCGCAAAGCAGCGAAAAGTCAACGAGCAGCAGTGAGATTGGGACGTCGCTGGCGATGACGTCTAGGGTGTCTTATTTCAGTGACAAGATCATTACGCCAGAGATGTTGCGAGCGATGGTGATTCTTTATATCGGTCCGCATAACCGACCAGATTTCACAGCAGACTACTTATTATCGCCGGTTAATGCGCCGACGGAGCTGTTGGCGAAGTTTCCTAAGGTTTACATGCTTTGCGGTGAAGTCGATCCACTGGTGGTAAGTGAGAGTAGAAGAGAGGCGATGGGGAGGACGTCGAGCTAACTGATTGTAGGACGACACGGTGATCTTTGCAGGAAGACTGCGAGAGGCCAAGCAGAGCGCGAGGATGCGATATCAAGCATTGGCGATGTCGAGACCAGATGAGGAAGCCGACTCTGTTGAGGTGTTGATTATCAGGGGTATATCGCATGGATTCCTGCAGTTCCCAATGTTGCTGCCGGAAGGCAAGGCAGGGATCGCGAGGTGCGCGGGATGGATCCAGGAATCGTTTACAAACTACGATAATCACCATCAGAAACAGTCGGAGAAGCCGGTACTGAAGCGAGCGGTGACGACGGGCGCGGGTAAGAAGATCAAGAAAGTGGGAGGAGGTGGAGGAGGGATTACAGCGAAGGTGATGCGCGCGCTGCTTACCCGGTCCGGGTTAGGGTGGGTTATTACGCCTCCAGAGGAGAGGCAGAGTACGATGTTTGACGAGTATGACGATGATTTGTATTACGGATCAGATGACGGCGAAGGGGAGGAGGAAGGCGACGAGCGAGGGGCGGGCGAGGGAGATGAGAGTGGGAAGGCTACGTCGTCGTTGTCGGCCGAGGTCTACTTTGATGAGGGTCTGATTGAGTTTGGGACAGGGAAGGCGGCGGTGAAGAAGGACGGCGAGGCGGCGAACAGTGGCAACAGCAACAGCGAGGAGGATGAGAAGATTCGCGGAAGAGGAAACGATCGAAAGAGGAAGGTTGCTCGACGAACAAAGTGGGAAAAGTCGCGGCAGATTCACGAAGGCGAGCTGATGGACCGGCGACGGACTAATCTGGTGAGATCGCTGGCGGCGCGGACGGCGGAGAACTCGAGCACGACAGGATCTGGGTCAGAGGCCGAGAATGGAGGCGGACATGAAAAGGTAAACAAGAGATAAAGGATAGGAATGTAATATTTATAAGCAGCACGAGATTATACGACCGGGTAGTAACAATAACAATAACAAGACCAAATAACAAATAAAAGCACCAGTGGCGACCGCGCGAAAGCCGACAATAAAGGAGACTCAACAGATATTCATAATAATCACTAAAACCCGTATATTGAAAGAAACCTAATGTACACGGCAGCCACCAGCGTTTAAAAACACCTATTCAACCCGAACAAAGCCATTACTAAAATACAAAAACTAAGATAGGAATCTATGAGCGCTCGCCACGGAGACGACGAGCGAGCTGGATGTCCTTGGCCTGGATGGTGACACGCTTGGCGTGGATGGCGCAGAGGTTAGTGTCCTCAAAGAGGGAGACGAGGTAGGCCTCGACGGACTCCTGGAGGGCACCGATGGCCGACGACTGGAAGCGGAGGTCGGTCTTGAACTCCTGGGCGATCTCACGGACGAGACGCTGGAAGGGGAGCTTGCGGATGAGAAGCTCAGTCGACTTCTGGTAGCGACGGATCTCACGAAGAGCGACGGTACCGGGTCTGTATCTGTGGGGCTTCTTGACACCGCCGGAGGAGGGGGCGGACTTGCGAGCGGCCTTGGAGGCGAGCTGCTTACGGGGAGCTAGAGAGAGGTGTTAGGTAGGTGAAGTCATAGATAGAGGAGATATAACAAGACAATAAAGAATACACACCCTTTCCACCGGTGGACTTGCGAGCGGTCTGCTTGGTACGGGCCATTGCTGAGAATGAGAAGAAGTTGTTGTTGGTAAAGTAGAGAAGTGGTGAAGAGATGGGATGCGGAAGAAGAAAGGCAGTGGCGGAGCGGGGGACGCGGGCTTTATAGGAAAAGGCCGGGCGGGTGATGAAAGAGCCCTTACCCCGCTGATTCAAACGACCAGAAAATGATGCGCAATTTTGGGATTTGGAGCCTGTTTTTCGTGCGCGCGCAGCAAACGGAATGTGCGCGTTCCCAAAGAGCTGCTTTGGCCGACTGATGGAATAACCCGAACCCTCAGCCGCCGCAGCTTTATAACCACCGCCCGGCGCCTGCTCTGTTGCTGCTCCTCATACACATCCCTCTCTCCCACTCTCTTATCATCTTCTACTATCATCAACAATGGCTGGCCGTGGCAAAGGAGGAAAGGGTCTTGGAAAGGGCGGTGCTAAGCGCCACCGCAAGATTCTTCGCGACAACATCCAGGGAATTACCAAGCCCGCCATCCGCCGTCTCGCGCGTCGTGGTGGTGTCAAGCGTATCTCTGCTTTGGTGTGTATTCCTTCCTACTCATTCTTTTCTGTTTATGCTTACTAACAACACCAGATCTACGAGGAGACCCGCGGAGTCCTCAAGTCGTTCCTCGAGAGCGTCATCCGCGACGCCGTCACCTACACCGAGCACGCGAAGCGCAAGACCGTCACCTCGCTCGACGTCGTCTACGCCCTCAAGCGCCAGGGACGCACCCTCTACGGTTTCGGTGGTTAAGCGTCTTCTTTCTTTCTGGCTGATATGTGTACATTAGAGGGATACTGGTATTAGTGTTGTTGTGGGTCACGGATTTGTATATTATTTTAGTACAACGGGAGTTTTATATTTGAAATCACGTGTAGATTATGTAACCATAAACACTGACGTCACCGTCTGAGCCGTGCCCTGCCCTGCGCGTGACCTGCCCTACGCTGCGATTATGTAACAATGACTGGACATGGCTAGAAGCTGTCTGACCAGCACCGAAGCCCGACTGTCTTTCGTCATCACATCTCATTCCTCGGCCGCTTCTCTTCCTCGTCCTCCAAATCATCGTCTTCCTCGCCTTTCCTCTTCCCATCCGCCTTATTCCCTTCTCTCTGCGTGCGCATTTCTTCTAGACAATGGCAGACTTCCTCCTCTTCGATCCGCCAGACGTCCATCGTCCCGCTTCGACCCTCCCCTTCGACCTCTCCTACTCGTCCTTCAACTCAAACGCCCTCCCTCCCCAGTACATGCGACGGGAGTCCTGCTCCCTTCCCGCTTCCCTCTCCTCCACCCCAACCGAGCCCTCCTTCTTTGCCACATACTACAACAACCTCAGCAATAACAGCTCCAACACAAGCAACAACATCAACAACAACAACATCAACAACAACGGTGCCAACAACTCCTCCGCCCTCGGCCACGACAGCGCCAGCAACGGAGTCGGCATGATCGGCACCAACCCCAGCAATAACAACGAGAGCTTCAGCTGCTACTCTCGTGGTCCCGATGGCGCCCCCGGCGGCCTCGATTCCATGCCCGCCCTCTCGCCCTCGCCCGCCTTCGACGAGGTCTCCTCCCTGCGCGACCCCTTTGGCACATCCTCGCAAGATCTTCAGAATCAGCAGCAGATCGCTGGCGAAAAGTACTCCCTCGGCCGCAGAATGTCAGAAGGTGAAGACTCTCAAGCTGAATTTGAGCGCTTTGCCCGCACTTACTTACGTCTACCCCCAGATCCATCAGTCGAATACGCATTCAAAAACCCAAAGCTTGAGCGCACCATCTCTGACGTCCTCGAGGACGAGCTCTACTCGCCAAACATGTCGCCCGTCCAATCCACTACCTCGGACGACTTCCTCGTTGACTTTGCCGATACTCTCCCGCAATCCTGGTCGGTCAAATCAATGCCCGTCACCAGAACTGCTTCTCCTTCTTCCTCCTTCAGAGACCTCTCGCCTTTCCGAAAGTCCTCTCCTTTCTATCCTGGCCCTCCCGCGCCTGATAGTCCCATGACGCAGTACAACATGTTCCCAAAGCTCCCTGTTGCTCCTACCTCGAATGCCTCCGTCGGCCCGTCTTTGGCTGTTGAAGATCAGCGTGCCATCAGTACCTCTCCACAGCCATCCACGCAGGCTAAGTTTGCTCAGAACCAGCAAAGGAGCATGCAGCAACACCTTCAGCAACTTCAGATGCAGAAGCAGAAGCAGCAGCAACAACAGTTACAGCAACAGCAATTGAAACTACAGCATCAGCAGCAGCAGCGGCAACAGCAGCAACAACAGCAACAACAACAGCAGCAGCAGAATCCACGGGTACCGCCGACAAGCGCTTCACAGGCTCCGATTCAGCAGCCGTATGCTCAATATACGTCCACGCCTGACTCAAATCAATCTGGCTCTCAATTCAATACTTCCACTCTGAACCCTCTCGCACAACAAGGAATGCTCTCTGATCAGCCCGCAGTCAAAACCATCTCCCCAAAGGAAGCATTACTCGACTTCACTCAAGATGATGACATGCCTGATCTGCAGTCGCCTCGGCCATCTCGTATGTTTGCATACACCCCGAGCTCATCTGGCGGAAGCACTTTGAACTCTCATTACGATGGCGTTTCCTCCGATCTCGACTCGGGCGACGAAGGTGCTGATTTTGAGCTATTTGCACATCCGTCGGGATATCCGAGGTCCGTCAACAGCAACATGATGACCGCCGATCAGCGAAATCAGTTGGACGACAACATCGATTCCACCACTCAGTCGTCGGCACTCTCATCCCCTGTGGCGTCTGACTATGATGATTCGTCGCTCACTGCATCTCCGGCGTCGTCAGTCACATCCAAATATCAGACCGGTGCATATACTTCCGAAGGTGGTATGAACATCGCTCCTCCCATTGCGCGAAGTGCTGATTCGGGTGACGAGTCTGGTATCCAGATCTGTCCTGACTGCGGCAAGCGACTTCCTAAGTCTCAGAATCTTCAGTTACATAGGAGGTCGCACAATTCTACTCCACCTCGCAAGAAACTTCCTCTGTCAGCTCAGACTGGTCCTCACAGATGTGGTTTCAATAACCCTGCCACCGGAAAACCGTGCAACAAGATCTTTTCGCGACCCTACGATCTTATTCGTCACCAAGAGACCATTCACGCGTCAAATCGCAAGACTTTCAAGTGCGATCTCTGTGGCGATGATACCAAGACTTTCTCTAGACAGGACGCTCTAGCTAGACATATTAGAGTATGTATCCGTTTATTTGTACTTTTAACAACTAGCGGTTTGCTAACAATTCTTGACTTTAGGTAAAACACGAGAAAGGAAAATAAGTATACTCGGTTTTCCAAATAGTCGATCCAAAGCGATCGATATATCACAACTGCATACGGGCGTACAGGTTTTGGTGGGGGTTCTAGCGTATAAGCTCTTCATCGCAGCAGGAGCTATGAAGAACGTTCGGGAGGCTTGCTTGTTTCTTTTCATTTATATATCCATATTTTGTTAATGGTCTTTGTTCTTATATATTATCTCAAATCCTGTCATTGCGAGCACAATGACAGATGCCGAGAAGAAGGTGTTTTACGTCAATCAGGAGTCTTTATATGTTTACGGTCAGTGTACAATTGTTGGGAGCGCATAGCATTCATTTATTATTTCAAATTCTGGGGGGTAGGTGCACGGAGGGGATTGTATCGGATTATGTGCTGCTATCGTGTCTCAAGCTTATCCGCTTATTCGGCTTTATCTTTGTGTTTGCGTTCTATTTATTCTGTATTGGTTTTGGTATAATAGTGTTTGCTTGCGCCTTTTTGGTTTTTATCGGGAAATGGTGTATAATTTAATTGTTTGTCTGGATTGCATAATTTGAGGTCTTTAGCATGTTTTATCTGTTTTAATGCTATGCTCTATCAACAACAAATCTTCTAACTAAATGTTACTAATATTTGAGGACTGACAAGTCGATCAATAGTCACATCCTAAAATCATCGCCATCACTATGTCTAGCATTTGTCTCAGTTTGCACTGCATGTCACATCCCTCGACGCTCTTCCTTCGAGACATTGGTGTTGTTGCCTTATAGCACACATAAACCAAGCCGCAGACATCAGATCCACCAAATTCACTCAAAGGGCTGAATGGACTATCGAAAACGCGGATCATCAACGCCGAAAGGGAGCCAATGATCGCAGAAAATCGTCTCAGTCACGTATGTCTGAGCAGCGCCGGTCGGAGCAGTGCCTGCCTAAGCATGTTATAATAAGCGCGGAAACCGCGCAGCTGCCACAGACGTAGTCCTGCTATAACGCGTCTTACTGGTGGCCAGATCTTCGTGGCTCATTCCGGTTCTCGTGAAGCGCACCGGAGCCACGATGCATCTAAAATGATGATCCCTTAAATGATATTTTTCAGTGCTTGCGCAACGGAGAATTTTGTAAACACTAAGATAATCGTCTCAATGTCAGTAAAAGCTATCCCATAATAAGAACCGTAATAAGACAGAAATGTACATTTGATTGCAAATTGTCGTCCTACAAATCTACCCAGAAGCGGGAAGATGACGGCAGAGAATATGAACTGGATCTGGCGGAACGACTCGTCCCACTCTGCTTGCGCATCAGAATCATAGCTGCTAACTGACGAGCAAGTGCTATAATCCTCGTCGATCTCGTTGTCTTCTCTCGGCACTGGTGCGGGGCTCTCTCGGTACATGGCGGGCTGAATGTATTCCTTTACTTCTGATGCAGGGCTGTAGTTTCGTTGATTTCGACTTTTCGGGCTTTCCTTCAATAGAAATAGAGCTCCAAAACAGAAAAGAGTGGCAAGTATCGTTTAGAAGTAGTCAACCGCCTATAAAAGGACGAAGGGAACGTGATGATGAAAGATGGAGAGTTCAGGAAGAAGGTGGGAGACGGTGAGAAAGCTACTTACTGCTCGTGTAGACGAGAGAAATGTCCTGAAACCTTAATTCTCGCGCAAATGCTAACTGGAGCTTATCGTCTCGAGATGCTCTCTTAATCAGTGCATCTATTCCACTACTCTGCTCGTTGCCGCAATCAGTGAATCAGCAAAGGAGTTTTTGGTTAAGAAGAATCTTCACCGGAATACTAGGACTGGACAGGAATTGCTCGTTTCCTCTCTTACAATACACGCGAAGATCGACTGGCAAGAATGGCGTCACCTGGATTGCATCCTGGCAAGCCCAACTCAATCAACCAGGCGCTCAGCACCGCGTACTGGAATGATATGAGACTACTGGTATGTTCTTCACGAGCGTGCTATGATGGCGGATATAATCCGAGGGTTTATTTCGTACTGGTTGGCTGCGGGAGACCTGATCAGTTCCAAACGGCAATGCGATTCCTCTAACTATTTACTAGGCCTATGTTTCCGGCAACAACCTAGTCATTCTATCTCAGCCCGGAGTGCTGCGGCAGACGATATATCTTGATCGCGATGGTGGTCCTTTGGAGATTGAAGAAACCACGGGATGTGTATGTTGATCAACGAATTGATTTCTATTCCGGGAGAGAGAATTGCCATTAACAGAGTTGTGATATTCCAGATCGCGGTTGCTTCGGGACCCAAGGTACTGATATATAAGCCGTCCAACGAACGAGGTGATCTGCTTCGGGTGAGTACAACTATTTCATTCTGGGTTCTGTGCCCTCGATTGCCTTTTGCTGATCCGTCATGTGAATAAATAAACAGTGGGCGTTAGTATGGACAATACATCTAGACCTACACGACGGGATTCCCACTGGCGTCAGCTGGGGAACTGAGGAGGAGTTATTTATCTCTGGAAAATCAATCTCGTTATGGCGCTTTTTCAACGACGGACCGCATCGACTATGGACAAAGGAGTAAGTGATCTCTGAAATTGAATCTGTCTGTCGCTTATGGTACTAACGACGTATACAATCTTAGGCTGGCTATTCCGGCAATGTTGTCCGCTTTCTCTTTTGACGCATTTTTGGCAGCTACGGTCGGCAAGAACGATAAGCTTGTCAAAGTCTGGCGAAGATTCTCTTACGACCTATCGAATGTGGACTTTGATTTCTCTTACCTGGCGCATCCACGAGCAGTCACTAGCCTGAGATGGCGCAAGCCTTTTAGCAAGTCACAGTAAGTTCGCATATTGCTGAGCTTCCCAGAATATGGAATGTGGAGCGGACTCTGATTGATTATAGGTCGATGGAAAATATACTGTACACTATATGCGCCGATGGAATTTTACGCATATGGGCGCCGACAGACAGCATCGAGTCATCATATATGCAAATGTGGGCATCGCTAGACCTCTACGATGTGCTTCCTCGAGTCAGACCAGACGAATTGCGGTACAGCTTCATCATTGACAACAAAGACTTCACTCGAGCAACGGAATCGGCTGTCCGGAACGCTAAAGACGATGCGGTCTCCAAAGCCAGACTGCAAAGTCTGGTTGATGTGGCAAGCAAGAACCCAGACGTGTGTGTTGTTATGGATCAAGATGGGAGAATGGCGATCTTGGGGATTGAGGTAGGAGCTAATCTTGGTTTTTATTCTCTGACTTGCAATTTTTCTCACATGATATTATCTCTTCTAGAATATCGGGTCACGCATCAGAAGGGCCTTCAGCATATTCGATGTTGTGTTCGATTCTAGTCCGATCAAAGATTTTCCCAGAAACGCCGGATATCTATCATTCTGTGGATTCGGCGCTAGTACAGCTGCAGAGCCTGGTATGTCGTCGCTTTGGGTTTCGAATGATTTGAGCAGTGAGAAACATGATGCTAACTAGATTACAGATTATGTCTTGTTGATCCACGACTTCAATGGAAGCATTCAGCAGTATGAGGCCAGTTTCGCAGATCTACTGGATCCCGAGTCTGCTAGCCACCGTCTTGTTCTCAAAAACTCTTGGACTGGTCATTACAAGTCAGTTCAGAGTCTCACGCGTACTGCGGACGGTAAGGCAATGCTGTCCTCGAGCAATCATGCCGAAAACATTATTTGGAAGCCGAAGCCGATGTTTGGAACGATCAAACTACAAGAGTCGAGTATTATCATGGCACCTGACAAAGTCCAGCGGGCTGCTATACTTCTTGAAGGAAAATATGTTGTGACGGTTCAGAGTCAGACTCTTACTCTCTGGGACTGCCAACAGAGAAAAGCAGTCAGGATAGCCAGCTTACCTTTGGAAAGCTTGGGCAAGAAAACAATTCTGAATTTCTTGCTGCTGCCGGAGAGTAGCTCTGTTGACCGGGTGTTCCATGTGGTTGCTGTGTTCAGCGATCAGTCTGGCGTTGTCTGGGAGGTCCGAGTCCCATCTGAATCCAACGGGGAGGTCAATGGCAACGGTAGTGTTGGATCAAATGGCATGTTGAGCGTTTCCAACGGATACGGCTCACTGCGTGGGAATGGTTATCATAGCAAACCAAACTCAGGCCTGTTGAAAATGCTTGGGTCTTTCAAATTTCCTGTGCCTGAGGGAGATAAGCTCTCTTTGGTTATATCCGTTGATCCTGTGGGGTGGAACTCCACTCTTTCTGGATCCATTGACACCTACGCCCGCGACGTTGTCACAAGCATATCTTCTGATGGTGTGGTGAGATCCTGGACTGCGAAGCTTCAAAGTCAAGGCGAACCTCTGCAGTGGCTGCAGACAGCTAGCGTTGATACCGGCATCAAGAAACTGGACCTGGCCAAAGGGAGCAGCATGAAGAAGATTGCTTTGGTGGACAGTTCGTCTACAAGGCTTACAATCTGGGACATTGGCGAGGAGCACTTGGAGTTTGAAGAGAAGTTTGCCGAGCACGATAGCATATGCGATCTGGACTGGACATGCACGCCAGATTCTCAAAGTATCTTGGCCGTGGGATTCAAGAATCGCGTTCTTCTATATTGCCAGCTGCGTTTCGATTACACAAAAGAGCTGCCGGCCTGGGAATCTTTCCGGGAAATCAACATTCGCCAGTACACTCCACGTGACATTGGTGACTCGCTCTGGCTTGACGATGGCACGCTGGTTATTGGATCTGGCAATCAACTGTTCACACATGACAAGAAGGTCGATACACATAATGCCATCAAAGCTCTGCACCTCAGCTCGCATAAGCTGCCGCTCCGCAATATTTTCGATATTGTATCGGTTCTCAACGGCCCTCTACCAATCTATCATCCTCAGTTTATCGCCCAGTCGGTCTTTCTAGGAAAGGCGGAGCAAGTGCGCAAGGTTTTTGTCACTTTGTTGAATGCGCTGAAGTTCAGTGTTCCTTCGGATTCAAACATCGCCGATATTGAAAGCAACTTGGGAATGGATTTAGACGAGTTTTATAAGCCCGCTGAGGAGGAGGTATGTTGGACTCTTCATTTTTTGACTTATATTATCTTGAACTATTCTAACAGGCATATAGGCTCCTACTGGTTCTGGCACAATGTCTCGCGCTGAGAAGTACTCCAAGCTGTTTTCCAATGGCAACTTCGATGAAGTGGACTACTCAACATTCAGTGAGAAGGTTGCTGAAAATCTCAGTGATTATTTGAAGCGGCTATCTCTTCCATATCTCACTAGTCACCAACAGATCAGTTTGACAGCAATGGTGGAAGCGATGGGCCAAGTGGAAGAGCACAGAAGATCTTTGGATGAAAATGGGATCCGATACTTTTTGGCCTTCAGGCTCTTTGTCTTGCACCGTGATTCTATGCTGCAGATGCCTTATCGAGACCACACTTGGGCATTTCACTCAGAGTCTCAGGAAATTTTGGTGGATTTGGTTTCTCGTTCTTTTAATGGAAGAATGACCTGGCAGCAAGCAAAAGAGACCGGTATATTCATGTGGCTGAAAAGCCAAGATGCACTTCAACAGCAGTTCGAGAATATGGCCCGTATTATCTATACAGACTCGGAGCCTAGAAATCCGGTTAGCTGCACTCTTTACTATCTGGCGCTTCGGAAGAAACAGGTACTGCTGGGATTATGGAGAATTGCTCATGGACATAATGAGCAGCGAACAATGATGAAGTTCTTGGCAAACAACTTCTCAGAACAACGATGGAAAACTGCAGCGCTCAAGAATGCATATGTGCTACTAAGTAAGCAGCGCTACGAGTATGCTGCTGGCTTTTTCCTGTTAGGAGATAGTCTTCGAGATGCTGTGAGTGTCTGTGTGAGAAATCTTGAAGATATACAACTAGCTATTGCCCTTGCTAGAATCTATGAAGGTGGAGAGGATGGCCCTGTGTTTCAGGATCTTCTCAAAAAGGAAGTTTTGCCATTGGCCTACAAAACAGGAGACCGGTGGTTAGCCAGTTGGGCATTTTGGAATCTCAAGCGGAAAGATCTCTCCCTCAAATGCATTATAACATCATTTAAGGATGAAATCAGACCTGAGGATCTGGGGTCATCAGATGCCCTTGAGATGAAATCGTTTTTGGTCGAGGATCCAGTCCTGGTTGTTCTGTATCAGCAGATTCGCAAAGTACTCGAAAAAGGACAGCAAAATGCGATCACTATCACTCCACAAATGGAGACACAGTTCGTACTCCACATTGCAAAGCTGTATGATCGAATGGGTTGTGACTTGTTGGCCTTGTATCTTACAGCAACTTGGAAGTTTATAGATGTCAAGGAGAAGAAGCCTGAAGCTCCGAAATCATTATTGGATATGTGGGGTTGAAGCATTGTTGTATGACAATAAAGAGAATAAAAGAGGTGCATTCTAAAGCTTGTTGTATGAAATTCAGTAGCCATGTAGTTCCGACTTCCAAGAACAAGACACTCACAATTATTGCAGAAAGTAGAACATAAATGCTGTCTGGGCTGCAAGTATGATGATGATGATGATGATGATGATGATATATTTATGTTTTAGGCCTGTTGTGACAACTAGGTTATGACAGACTATTGATGATGATATATTTATGTTGTAGGCCTGTTGTGTCAACTAGGTTATGACAGACTATCTCCCTCTTCTCCTCTAGATAGAACAAAATAGATCCCAAGATTGTGTCACAATAACAACCAATTCAATATCAAATAAATCTTTGAGTCAAATTAATAACACAAAGAAATTTCGCAAAGTTCATTCAAACATATTTTAAGTCGAACATCAAAATTCGCGCCTCAAATCAACCCCAAGCTACTGAGATCTATCAAGCCATCTATCGACTGTCTGAAACCAACACCAAAGTCTCCATCTATTGGCTTTGCTCTGTTAGCAAAGTAGAGGGCGGCATTCGCGTCCAAGCTTCAGCAACTCAAGCAGCCCCGTCGCCAGACTGCGTCAATCATGACTGCTCCTTGCGCTTTCTTTATAAGCTCGTTGATGACCTCGCTCTTGGGGAATGAATGACAAGTTTCAGGCCAAGTCTCCATCAGATATTATCAATATGAGGGCGAGCCTCGACTCTCTAGTGACAAACCCTCTGTGGATATCCCTCGCAGCAGTACCAGCTGTATTGTGAGCTTCCGGACTGGACATGGCTTTATTAACAGCTACTTTGCAAGACATGGCAGAGAGCCTCGTCCCTCTCCAGAGTGTTGGTGTGAAATGCCACTGCAGTCAGTTGAGCATGTGCTTCATTCTTGTTGCAATCACAGCAATGAAAGAACTAGCGCTTTTGAAGATATCCCTATGGCCGAGCGCACGCTCAACCGCATTCTAAGGACAGACACAGGTCTTTCTGCACTTGTCAAGTATTTTGAGAAGACCCATGTCGGCACCGGTCACTGGTATCATCAGCAGACCTCTCTCACTCAGAGCCAGATGGATGACTTATGGATCAATTTCTTGGTGGTTTTGAGAGCGGGCCTTGCGAATTTCGGGATGGCTGAGTAGTAGTGAGATCTTATAAGGAAGTCGATAGCTTGGATGGTTTTTATTGAATTTCTTGGATTTTTACCTCTCATTTGAAATATGTTATAGTGAAATTCGCGAACTATCTTGGTGTTATTTCTGACTTGGGGATTTGTTTTATGCTGAATTTTGTTGACACACGGCCTTAGGATCTACTTTGTTCAATCTTTTGTCTATTTTATTATCATTATTTAGTGGAGAAAGGGGAGATAATCTGTCATAACCTAGTTGTTGCACCGGACTTGAAACAGAAAATTATCATCATCATCATCATCAAAAAATAAAAATCCAAAAAATTCAATAATAACCATCCAAGCTATAAACGTCTTTAAGGGACCTAAATGCTACTCATCCAACGCGAAATTTGCAAGGCTTGCTCTCAAATACACCAGATAATTGATCCATAACTCATCCCTCTGGCTTTGAGTGAGAGAGGTAAAAATTGCTGATTGTTTTGTTTATTTCTCTTTTTTAATTTTCTGAAGTAGAGATATGGCTATAACAGGGTTACTCTGCTGCATGAATGGATATTGTACCAGATTTGCATCTATGTTGGCTAAAAATAATTCCTCAACTTGGGTCATATGATATTCGCATATTGCATCTGAGTCAGTCATTTGGTAACATTGCAGATTTATCTTGGTAATTTTATATATAGTATTCTTACAAATGAATTGGTAGGTGTAATGGGCACCCTTACTGTGAATATGAGTGAGTATGATGGCAATAAATCTATTTTCAAAGTCTGTGTGCAACACTGGACTATGACAGACCAATGTATAAGAGTGAAATTCATAATCAGAAATTCCTACAGAATTTATATCTGCTATTTGAGGAGGTTATATTGAGGTTTTGCAGGAAGTTCTGATGTTCTTCGACTTGGTTACTAAATTATATTGTAGCATTATTATTGTGGCCCTATGGAACTGATAAATCATTGGTGATGAACAATCTTTTCTTATTATTATATTATAACGCCGAGCCCCTTGTAGCGGTGCACCCATTGTCAGCGCGCTTCTACATATAATTCGACCATTCTCCCTTCTCCACAACATCCCACACCAGCAAACCATGGCATCCACCAAAATAAATCGAGTTATTTAGAAGGTAAAAAAAAGCGGAGCTGTATAAGCGCTGTTAAGGCATATAATTGATTGTGAAAGTACCATGCATGACAGGATGAACAATCAACATGTTTGATGATTTTGCTGCACAAATTTCTTGAAATTGATTGAACCAGAGAGAAGAAGAGTATTTTACTTGATGTATTTTCACCCTAGAAGAATAAAGATTGATTGATTTATGTTTGGCAGACGTGAAGATATGACTTATGTTTTAAGGGCAGAGCTCGATGCAGGACACATCGAAAAGAACTCGGCCTTCAGATTCGCCAAACTACAACAAGAAGCTTTGAAATACACCTTGCTTGTCTGTTTGACTATTTAAGAGCCTTGTGGGGTTAGCATGTACGAGATCTTCGATCTCTTTTATGAGAGGTACCACCCTTGGGTCCAGGCAGGCATGTCGGACATGCGGGAGTCGACGAAAGGAGTGCGCACGTTACTGCCTTTTCTTGTGAGTCAGATGACTGTGTCACTGCCCGACGCACCAGAGGCTTCGTAACAGCTCACTTTGGTACAAAGTCACATTAATAGTTATCAGGGAAACACTCAAGATCCATTTTTAATGGCTTTCGGCCAATATGCAAAAGGTATGATTATATTGAGACCCCAATCCTCTTCATCAGAGTCTAGGTCTCAGCAACTATATGAGGCAAACTCGGATATTTGCAACTGCCGAATAAACAAAATACATGCTTAATGCATAGAGGGTCCGTTAAAGGACAGGAAGGACATGATTCGACAAACGAGAGAAATGCTCAAGAGCCACTACAGGTGGAAATGTGTGAGGGGGGTGGAGAGCAAAGGACCACTGAGCCAACTGAACAATGCTGTAGCATGTGTAGTAAGACGGGACATACTACGCGCACTTGTAAAAAGATGCGGAAATGTCCGTTCTTTGATATTTTAGATATTAACTTGTTGTGCTAGAGTAATTACTCTTTTCCTAGAAAAATGTGGATGAAAGCTCACTGCTACAAGGGGCAAGGCGTTATATGCCATAACTAGGTTATGACAGACTGACTCCAGCTAGTCCCACAATTTTTTATCCCAGTTTTCTAATCCAACCTCAATTTTCCCTCTCTCCGAGTCCACAGATCGGAATCGACCTCTTGCAAGCTTTTGGCGAGACTCCCAGTGAACTCTTTCCGTCTCCTTGCTTGAGATATCCAAGAATGCCTGCCTGAAGTGGAGGACAGGCTATCCAGCAGGAGCTCAGCTTTGATTGTTCCCACAAAGGGAAGGTATCTTACCAAAGTCCATAGTATTTGAACCATAACATCCAGGAGATTTCATTTCTTTTGCCGCTTTTTTGTAAACTTGATGCTACTGATGATGATAAATCTCTGTGTGAAGTCCATTGCAATAGCTAGGTCAGACTTGGTGCTACTTCAGTGCTTGGTTCAATACCAATTTAACAACCAAGATGATTTTCTGCTGAAAATTATCATGGTGAAATGCAGGAGTTAGATATTAGGCCGAAAGCCAGGAAAAGGGCCCAAGTGGGGCTCGGACTGTGAATCCAGAGGGAGCAATGCAGCAGCCATACTGCAGGGCCATATAGCTGCTCCCCCTGGTACCTTCTCATAGGAGAGCTTGAAGACCTTGTACATGCTAACCCCACCCATTTAAATATCTTCACAAGATCTTCAAAAAGGGTCCCCTAAAGATTAAACAAACAAGTAAAACACATTTATCAAAGCCTCTTGTTATAGTTTGACAAATCTGTGAGCCCAGTTCTTTCCAACACGTCCCGCGTCGTGCTCTGCCAGCAAAACATTATCCATATCCCCTTGTCTGCCAATATGAAACAAAATCTTTATCTTCCTGAGTTGAGGACACATCCAGTAGGAGTATTTTCTTCCCTCTCAGATTCAGTCAGAACAATTTGTATTGTAACATTGTCAAACGTGTCATTTTTTCGTCCGCTCATGTGAGATACTTTCGCATTCAATTATATGCCATACAAGTGCTTCTACAGCTCCGTTTTTTTCCTTCTAGATAGCTTAATAAATTAAAGTTCTTGACTTTCCTGTTCAGTAAATGTCAGTGTTTGTTGGTGTGGGATGTCGCAGAAAAGGAGGATCAACTGAATTCATGTAGAAGCGCGCCACTAGAAGGGTCTCGATGCTCTGATAAAAAAATTCATCATCATCATCATCCATTTTATAAATTTCATAGAGTTTCTTCAAGTTTTATAGGGGTTTATAGGGTTTAATAGGGTGTTTATAGGGTTTATAGTTTTTATGAACAAGATAATGCTGCAAATGGTATATGCCAGTGGAAGTTTCAGACATATTGATGATGATGATGATGATGATGATGATGATGATGATAAATCGTTTTATTATAGTCTATATGCAACAACTAGGATATGACAGACTGCCGCCAACTTCCTCTAGTTTGTTTCAATTCCATTTTCTAATCCAAGGAGCAGTGATATGGCCCAGCGGTATGGCCGCTGCATTGCTCCCTTAAGATCCACGGTTCGAGCCCCGCTTGTGAGCTTTTCCTGGATTTTGGCCTAATATTGAACACCCCCCCAATTTTCACCTTGATAATCTTCAGCAAAAAATGGTCTTGGTTGCAAAATTTATATTGAACCCCCCACTGCAGTAGCACCAAGTTTACAACAAAGCGGTGAAAGAAATGAGATCCCCCGGATTTTATGGATAATACTATGGACTTTACTATACGCCTTCCCTTTCTGGCAATGGTTGAACTGAAGCACCTACTGGATAGCTTGTCGTCCACTTCAGGCAGGCATACTTGGATATCCTATCAGGGAGATGGAAAAAGTTGAAGTTGGATTAGAAAAATGGAGATAAAAAATTGGCGGAAGAAGTTGGAGACAGTCTGTCATAACCTAGTTGTTGCAAATAGACTATAATA